TCATATCGAGTGTGTTTTTAAAAATCATGATATGATGTGTACGGTAAAGTGAAGCTTAAAGATTTTAGTGTATGATATGATATAAAAACTATAAGATAATATTATTGAAATATGCAGGAAAAAATTATTAAAGAAGAAATTGTAAAATTTATAAATCTAAAAATACCCCGAAATTTTTAAAAAATCATATCGAGTGTATTTTTAAGACTCATGATATGATATGTATGTTAAATGGAGACTTAAAGATTCTAATTTATGAAATGATATAAAAACTATAAGGTTTTGTTATTGAAATTACGAGAAAAAAATTATTAAAGAAAAATATGTAACATTTATAAATCCGAAATAACGCGAAATTTTCAAGAAATCATATCGACTGTATTTTTAAGAATCATGATATGATATGTATGTTGAATTGAAGAAGCTTAAAGATTCTAGTTTATGATATGACATAAAAACTATAAGATAAAATTTCCAGGAAAAATTATTAAAGAAGAAATTTATAAATCTAATAATAACTCGAAATTTTCAAAAAATATCCAACCCATATTCGTTCTTTCTAGATTTTGCTCATTTGAGGTAAACCCAGTGAAACACTAACTCTTGCCTCTTGGTATCATCTTCGTCCAATATTGCCAATCTTCCATGAGTTTTGTTTATAACATCGAAATCTCCAGTCCTGAAACGTTGTAACCATTCACAAGTTCTTTTGGACAGGGCATGATCGCCATAAGCTTCTGTGAGCATTTCAAAATCACGAGCATTTATATTAAATGGGGCATTTTTATATCTTCAAATTTTTTTTATTAATATATTTGAAATTATAAAGAAACTAACTTTTGTATCGTAATAATTGTTTTGTAAAAAAGATGCAATCTACCACAACACAAAAAAATGTTGCTTTCCATCAAGTTCGACTTAAATGCATGTAATTATGTTTAAATCAGTCCAAGATAAGCGTAGGCGTAACCGTTGTAGGTAGTATCACTAGGTCTTTCGCTTTGTGGTAGAATACAGGTGTAAGAAGCAGGCGTACCCATCGCGCGGACCAACTTGAAGGACCGTGGTTACGCCCCGTGGTCACCGTTTTGTTGTTGGAACTCTTGGTGTTGTTGGGTTCTTGCGGGGCACCAAATTAGACCGTCGCTTTTACAGTTACGCTAAATACGGGCGTTATAAGCTCTCCGTTCGTTCGGTTCGTTGGGATCTTTAAAGCCAAACGAGCTCGAATTTTAATCACTGATATTAGATGGGTGCAGAATCGCATGCTTTTACCATCACTGGACTAAGCTTCGAGCAAATGAGCAAAAGCGAATGGGAAAACGAACGGATAACGAGTTAAACGGTTTTTAAATTAAAATTAAAAATTATAATTTCTTGCATGAAATTGTTGTTAAGTATGTAAATTTGGTTGCCTAATTTCAAAAATTTAAATTTTTATGTATTGTTCTGGGAGAGTGAACTTTAAGCCCAAAAAGCCCCACTTTTTTTTATTCCTTTTATCTAATTTCTTTATGGTTAATCATCGTGACGAACACCCGTGAAATATCCGAATGTCCGTATCATGACGATTAAGTTTTTTCGATCGAATTTAAATTAAAAGTATTTACTGTTTTTACTTTTTGCCATAGTTTTTTTAATTAATCCTTTTTCTTTTCTTTAATTCAATGTTGATTTTGAATCGATATAAAGTTGATGACCCTGTCAATGGTTTATTGTATGCTTAACTAACCTTGTTGAACGTTTGTCAACCGGAAAATGATTTTTAAAAAGGTCGTAATCGGTCATCCGGGTAATTATTTTCCGTTGATACGTTCCAATTTTGTAGTAATTATGTTTTCAGTTAATGATATAATTGTTTATCTTTTAAGTTAATTTATTCATAAGAACGTAATGCAAAAAAAATTTAAAAAAAAAATAAATTTTGTACCCCTGGTGGGACTCGAACCCACAGTCCCCGGCTTAGGAGGCCGATGCCTTATCCATTAGGCCACAGGGGCTTGTGCTTTAACAACGGTAAGTAATCAACCAGTTTTTCTCAGTAGAAAACTCGTTAAGGAAATACCTGGACATGTCATTGAGTCCACTACAAAAAGTCAAGACTGGTACAAAATGGGTGATCCTTTGTTATGCTGATGACGCGGTCCTCTTAGCGGAAAACATGTCAACATGTCCATTGCTGCTCAAAAAACTGCTCAACAACAGCGAAAGAGCCACTTCGATGTAAGCTGGAAATGAATCAGAACATAATAGAGCAGATTATGGTCCAGGTACTTGGAGTTGAAGTCATTTTACGGTAATATTGAAGAGGAAGTATCCCAACAAGTGAGAAAAATCAGTAAAATCGCAAGTTGCAGTTTTTGCCAAAAGTTCTTTTTGGAAATGCCTTATTGATATGTTTATCTTAAATGTACCAAAAGAGAAAATGCTACAAGACACTACAACGTCGACATCCCTTTTAACAACATTTCGGCATTTCTGTTGAGTTCTTTGCCATTTAACCATCTCCACAAAGGACATAACAAAAGAAGAAAAAGTTTGTAATTTTAGAATATTCAGAGAACCCAGTGGTGAAAAGTAGCTTTGATATTTTAGCAAGCAGATTTCGTGTTCTTTTGACTCCAATTCATTTTTCTCCTAATAAAGTTACAAAAATAGTTCTATTAACTTGAACTCTATATAACCCAAAAAGAAGTTATTTTTTTCAATTGCTTTTTTCGGGAAGAAACCCCAGAAATGACACCTTTATCAAGACAGGTTAATTATCGCCATTGTTACAACGTCGGGACAAACGGTCATAACTTGTCATAAGTCTATTGAGTTCTTTATGTTGTGTATTTTATATAGAGAAGGTGTTTACCTGGTCGATTTCCAGTACTTGTATGCTCAGGAACAAAATAGTTGGTGTTAAGATGATTGAAGGTGCACTTTCAAATATTCTAATAGTCAATACACGTCTAAATTAACGTTTTCATTTAAATTTAGTGATAATAATATGTTATACTTTACAATAGTCAATGTCAGGAAAAAAGCCATTATGGCTAATCAGATCTGTCACAGGCTTCTTGGAAAGAAATGCCTACGCAGACACATGATCGCTTATGCCTCACTGGATTTTTGGCCAAAGACAAATCATAAGACAGCACAACAACAGCTGGCACTAATTCAGCGGTTAGCATGTTTTAACATAACTGGTGCAATGAGATCTTGTCCGACGGCTGCATTCGGTCTCACACCTCTTCAGTTATACATACAAAAGGAGGCTAAGTGCCTTATCACTGAAAACATGCTCTTCACTCAAGTTGATGCAGAGTAACCTCAGAGGACACCTCGAAATCCTCAAAAACCCATGTCTAAACCATTTGATTGAAATTAAAATGAACCTCATACCGATAGAATATAATTTTGACCAGTTGTATAAGATCATATCTAGAAGCAGGGATGATTGGACGAACTTAAAAGAAAAGCCCTTGCCTGGTACACCAATGCTTCAAATACAGTTGGATCCGGAGTAGGTATGGGCATTAGTGGACCAAATATCCACATTAAATTGCCCCTCAGCTTCAACAAAACCATTTTTCAAGTAGAAGTTCTTGCTATAAACTTCTGCACCGTTTTGAACCTAGAAAAGGGGCAGAAAGGTACATCCATAAATATTTTCACAGACAGTCGGGCCACCTTAAATGCAATTCAGGCCTACACGTCTGATTTCGCACTGATCAGAGAGTGTACCAGCAACCTGACAGAACTTGCTAGGGGCAATGATGTTACTCTATGGTGGGTTCCAGGTCACAGAGACATTAAGGACAATAATAAGGCGGACAAGCTGGCCAAAAAGGCAGCTTATTAAAAGCTCTTTATTGGATCCGAACTCGATTGTGGACTACAAAAAAGCCACTTAAAACAGGTAATCAATAGTTGGGAGGCCTCAAAGTAGTAGTTGGGGGTAGCTTTGCGCTGGAAAGAACTTCCAGATCATAGATAAGCGAAAAGTATGATATTCGTGGCAAAACAAAACCGAAAAAGTTTTATGCCTTAGCAAACGGGATCTAAGGTCTAAGATCTAAGGTCGCTCTCAGGCTTTTTGACTCTTCCGCTCTCTATTTGATGAATCATTTGATGACTATATTATGTGAATGCGTCGCCAGAGGTCGCCTAAGATACAAAATTTTCGGTAAAATACGCCTAACACCTACCGACATAAAGGAACAAGACTTTGGAGCAATACTAAGGTTCATCAAGGACCTACATTTGCTCTAAACATTGGGAGGGCTTAAGTTGCGATAGATCTTATAGATCGCGGTGAAGAGAGGGGCCAAAAATGTTATAATTGATTTATGAAACGTTATGTAAGAAATTAAAAAAAAGGTTATTAAAAGAAGAAAGAAAGTTGGTTTGGTTTTATTTCACATAAGTTGATTTCAGGGTTAAGTTTTATTTTTCATTCTTTAAGAAGTTTATAATGCTATCGGTGTCGTTATTGAGTGCACATATAACAAAATTTATTGAGTTTCAGGTTGATATCGGGTTCAATTATCTTCGTTTTAAAAACGACAGGGGGATAATCAATTAATATTTACGTTGATGTTGTTGTAACGAGTCGATCGTTTCACGGTTGAGTTGTTTGTCAGAAAACTAAAAAATGAAAAAGAAATGGGATTAAAAGAAAAGGAAAATTTATGGATAATTAATTAATGTGTTGCGTTCGGATTGATGAGATTATTATTAACGAAAAGATTAAAAAATATTATTTAATTTAATAAAGTTATCAAAACTTTTAACAATAATTTTTTGTATTAAAAATTTTGACAAAATCGCATCCCAAAAAACCTCAACCGAAATCTAAACTTAAATCATAACAAAATAAATCACAATAATTAAAATTATTGTTTCCAAAACGCCAACAAGTTCTTTTTTTTTTGATTTTTAAGTCGTTCGCGTTTTAAAAACATTTTTTTTAACACTTCAAAATGAAAAAAATTTAAATTAATTAAAAAAAATTAAAACATTCTTCCATATGATGACATATTCCTTGAATGACTCAAACAAGGGCTATCTTGTAGCAACAATTTGCTTCCACCATACCCAGATCCGCCACTACTTGAAAATAAACTCCTCGTATAATAGGAAACATTCGATCCACTTCGTCTTGCTTTCAATAAAGACCAAGCAGTTACAAAAACCGCCAACAAAAAGATTAAACCAAGGACGCAAAATGCAAAAGCCATGCTACTTGGTGAAACGCAAAATGTTCGATCTCCGGGTATACTTCCAAAAGACATACTTGCTTCAGAAGTAGGTTTTACTAAAAAGAAGAAAAAATATGAATAAACACCATTCTTTGATAAAACTTGTAAAACATAGATTGATTAGATTGAAAATATGGTTGTTTTAGTTTGTAAAGAAGATGTATTGGTAAATCTTTCAGCAGAACGACGCGACGATACATCAAAATCCTCTTTCTATTCTATTTTAGTGATGGTATATAAAAGAAGAACATAGAAGAAACGATATACATGAAGAAGGAAACAAAACAAAAGTCGGATGATTGCAACATCAATATCGTTTGAAGCTTTTGAATTATTACCCGATCGGAACTAATGGACCGAAAACTGACGCGGTTCGATGTTTTAAATTAATTACAGAGAACGGCCCAACACAAACGGCTAGTCTTCAGATGGTGATTCGTCTCCGGAATATGCCGGCATATTTCACGCAAGGTTTCCTCTTCGTCTTTGTCCCGAAGCAAGTTCAAAAAAAATTATTTCCAATTATCGTTGCATTTAGTATCTTTTAGAAAATTATTTCTTTGAAATCATTTATGTGTGCGTTTTTTTTTGTGATGAGGTAGGTGGTCGTTTTAATTTTTTTTGTTAAAGGTGATAATGCAAAACAGGAGTAGACGATGACGATGAACGCGTGCGGAAAGTTAATTGGCTTATAAACGCAATTTGAAAACCGCTTTCATCGTTGTTGATGGAGTAATTTAATGATTTCACGGTGTTTTACATTTTTCTGTAAGTTTCGATGCTGTAGGTGAAGTTTTATTTTTCTTATTATTAACTATAACACTTATTTTTAATTTGATTTCGAAACATTTCACTTTTCTAATAAATAAATAGTTTTAAACGAGAAGTAAAGTAAAATTTGCAATTTACATGGAAAGGGTGCAAAGAAAACCTAAAAAAAGAGATCCCCAAAAAATCATAACCCTACCCCATAAAATTCTTTATTTATAAGAAATAAAATAAAAGAAAATAAAATATAAGAAAGTTTTTAAAAATAAATATATTTACAACAAACAATATATACAACGAAAAAGCAATATTTACAAATGCTTCAAATAATTTTTCATCTTTATTTTTAAACTTACCATTTCGCCGATCAAAACGTAAATAATCATCTTCGATATCAATTTCTGGTGCTTTAACTTCAACGCTATTAAACACTTCTAATCGTTCTAAAATTTCCTCACCACGGTCGTCAACGCTTAATTTTCTTGGTAATCGATTATCGTTCAGGTTATTATTGTTGTTATCACAATGAATTTGGCTACAATTCGAACGACAAAGTTGAAGTGAACATGAAAAATGTAAACGATTCCGATCGGGGAATTTGAAAGCCGCAAATTTCGCGATTGCTTCTTGGTGTTTCATTAAAGCGATCGGTCGAGGCGGTTTTAAAGATAACTCTGGTAGTAAAAGCTCATCTATTGGACAACCAAAATCGTCGAGAAGCTTTTGATATGAATCTCCGATTCCATCGTGAGCGATACAATCAACTACTTTCCAACCAATTCCAGCTAAAAAGAAAGTAATATTAAATAAAAAATATTAATATTTAGATCAACTAAAGGGATCTCACATCTACAAAAGTTAAAATAAGCAAAGGTAAAAAATAACTGTTCAATTTGATATTTTTTAAACCTGTCAATGTCAAGTGTTTAGGGTTTCTGTTGGTACTACTTAGGCTTCTCACAAAATTTATATTCCTTTTTTGATTTCTAGTAAGATTTTTATTAAGAAATTTTTATTCCTTTGGGATTATTTCTTTTATAAATTTAAAACCAAAAATTAATGTACCACAAATGGATTTCAAAACATGATATAACAAAATTCCCTGTTAATCTTCCAACTGTTACCAACTACACAATAATTTGACAAGTATTTTAAAAATATAACCTAAAAAAAATGTATTTATTTTTTACCTGGAAGTGTTGATTTAATAACTAAAAGAGCAGGTTCACCAACTTTTAAACTTTCAGAGGTAACATCATTTTCCGGAACAATCTCCATCCAAGCTCTTGCTGCATTTAAAGCTTCCGAAAGTAATTTATCATTTTTCCCCGATATTAATTCTTCCTCAAGAATTTCAGATAAATCCTGATGTCGCATTCTTCCTTTCCGATTATTAACTTTCCTCCCTTGAACCTCGTTTTTTAAAGCATCCTCCATCTTTGCATTCCACTCCATTATAAGACTTTCCTCCCCATTATTTACTTTACACGTAATCCTCGCCTCTTGATCAGAAATTTGCCTTAAGAATTTGTCTTGTTGCAATACGACTGTTACACTGTAAATCACTTGGTCGTTATCTTTCACTTTTAATTTAACACCGCAGCCGGTGGTTGGTAGAGATAATGTTAAAGAATTTGATGAATTTCCTGTTTGGATTTAAAACAAAAATAAAAGTGATGTATAGAATTTGTTACGGATAAAATGGGAAGTGTTGGTGTTGTTACCCGAGGATCGACAATCTTGAGAAAATTCCTTTGCTAATAGCATTCCTTTAAATCCTTGCTCAGTCACCACTGTTACATTTAGCCTTTTTGAGTCGCAAGAAGTCGTGGTTGAAATAATTTTATTTGAAATTGGTGGCAAACTTCTTAATATCGGTGGAAAAGCTGTGTTTATTATTTTTAAAAGTTGAAATAACAAAAATAGTTTAAGTATCATTTTATTATCTAAAAAAAAAGAAAGATTTAACATTTTATATTTTACCAAGATTCTTTTCTTTTCTTAGGATTAAATTAGAATAAAGATAGATATAATAAGAATAAATGGGAAATAAACAGTTATAAAGTATGAAAGGAACACGATGAAAAGAGAGACAGCAATAGGAAAACGAGAGAATAAACTATTATTGGTTGCACATAACGGTAAAGTTAGAAGAGATGTTATGTTACGTAGTCAAGGCCGGCTATGTGTTCTTTATATCGTTTTAAAAGCCTCTTGACCGATCGTCATTGTTCCAACTGTCTGTAGGTCACTAGGATATTTACATTTTTTTATGATCACAACCAAATATTATAATTATGATATATATATATAACATAGCTCGGTTTTGAACATTTCTACATGTCTGATTTTGCAGGGAATAAAAGAAATGATGAAATGAAATAATTGAAAAATGAAAATATAGAGGAAAAAAAGACAATGGATCATTAATGATGACTTTGGGAGGTTGTAATAAGGAGAGAAAAGGAAAATGTTTCCGTTTTACTGGGTAATGTAATTGCCAACAGCTGAGTGTAGATGGTGAATTTTTTTAAAAGTTAATTTCTCTGGTTTTGTAAGAAATGAGGAACATCGCGCTTTGTTCGGCGATTGTTACGTAAGAAATGATCTTGAGTAATACTTAAAAGTTTTCTCTACCTATTTAAATTGATTCAATTAAAAATAAAAATTTTTGAAATAATAAACGAAATCATTTGAAATCTATTTTAATTCTTAACTATACTATGATATCATCAAAGATTTTTAACAGTTAGTCACCTACATTCTCCAATCGTTATGCGTAACATTTATCAACACAAAAAATTTAAATTGCAAACTCAATAAATTATTTCCTTCCAATTCGTAATACTTCAAATAACACACTATAAATTCATTTCGGACAATATAACGATAACGATAAGATAATAAAATGACAATAACAATTCCTTACCTGTTTTTTTTTCCCAAAATTACATCCAACATAAACTAGTTATTTTCTTTAAAATCTTGTCATTTTCTTTATTTTATATTGCAAAACTCTTCTTATTTGGATTAAAAATTTTGACGTATTTTTTAAAAGAACTTGTACATTTACTGGATGTCGTTCACGAAGCGAAGGTGCCGGCAGCTGGCAGGTGAACAGAACCGACCAAATGTAACGTAACCGAAGAGTACAGTTTGTTACGGGACTCTCAGCGGCTGAAGTGGCGGGGTCAGTGACAAAACGTCGGCCTCATCTGATTAAATTCTTTCATTTTAATTTAATAGGAACAAACTAAAAATTCTTAATGAAGATTAAAAAAAAAATTTTATATTCAAAAGAATCTTTGGAAATAAAGTTATCTTAAGCTATCAAATTTCTCTCAACATGCAAGTGACGAGTCTAAAAAGTGATCCGGTCTAAAAAAGTCATCTTCAAAGTCAGTTATCATAAAAGATTAACCAGCGGAAAGTTCGGTTTTTTAACCATTTTTATTATTTTCAAATCAAAAAATTATTTCAATGCAAAATTAATCATTGTCCAGTCGCTGATCATTCATTGTAGATCTGAGTGAAGTGACCCCGATATGATAAATCTTATTTCAACGAAACAAGATGTTGGTGGAAAAATCATAAAAATAGTGACTGCTTTAGCTGTTGCTGAAAAAAAAACAAATATTCCTCCAAAGTGTTTGCATCTGTATTAGGGTTGATCTATATTTTGTTGTCTAAACAATGCTATTTCATTGGCAACCTCGTTAATTTTTAGAGTTTGTTTGTTTTTAGGTCAAACAATTAATGGCTTTTATTTGCTTCTTATACAAAAAATTATGCTAACACCTTACTGTACTTTTATATTATGACCATAAAACAATAAACTTTGATTGCAAGGTTGTCATTTATCGCTGATAAGCTTGTAGCTGCGTCACTCCAATTTATTCCTTACTTTATGTACACGTGTATATTTTACAAAAACGTCACACAATCACCAATGTATACTCTAAGTTTTAACATTTGCAACTCACGTAGAACGAGACCGTGAGTTCCACAAAATGTTGTCGTCGAAATGATAGAAAGCCAGTCTACACCTGTCCCGCAGTGAAATCGATTTGTTGAAAGAAATCCTTCTGTGTTCTTTCCATTACAAATTTAAAAGTTGCTACCATAACATTCGTTTCTTTGTAGTACCCAGACGCGTTTTTAAATTTTCTATTAAACTTATTTACAATAAAAATTTATTTTATTTAATTAACTTTAGCACTGGATCTGCCGTTTCTACCAGATTGACGACTATATTATTGATGTAGTCGAATATCGGTTTTTTTATTGTTTATTATTATGTTAATATTGTCATTTGTAACATAAACGTGCTGTCAGTTCAAAAAGACAACCAGTGCTTACTTTATCATCTATTCCAAATAGAAATCTTGTTAGAGTAGCTTTAGGCAAACAAATTTTGACACCATATTTTTATGTGATTGGTTAGGAATGTATTGACAAAACAATAATTTTCTGTCATCATTCATCATCATCATTGGCACCAACATTCTGGTGGGTCTTGGCCGGTTCTTAGATCGGTTTCCACTCCCTTCTATCACGTGCCTTGGCTTTCCAGTTTCTAACTCCCAGCATTTTTAGACTTTCTTCCACCTGGTCCTTTTATCTGCCTCTAGGGATTCCTCTCTTGCAGGTTCCAAAAACTGTTTGGCGAAACAGTTGCTCTATTGGGTTCCTTTTCATTCATCCTTTCTAGATGGAAGCGTTTTGTATATTAGTACCTTAGTTTTCTTGGTCATTCCGCCTGGCGTTAATAGTTTTCTCATTGTGAGTCGCTCTATCAGCCTAAAGTAAGCTCTATTAGTCATATACAATCTTCTCATAATATCTGCAGTCATTATGTTATTGTCATTTATTTTTATAAATTCCTTTACACTTTTGAACGTGTGGTTCACTAATCAGATCGTTAGGTGGGGTTGGGTTGGGTCTCCTGAGCGATGTTAAACAGTAGACAAGATAGGCTGTCTTTCTGGCGTAGCTCCACACCTGTCTGAAAGGATCTTGATAAGTTATTTTGGACCTTCAGTTACTTCACTACCTATTGAATCTACCTATTGAACTACCTATCTACCTATTGTAAGCAGTTTTAAAATCTATAAATAGGTGGTGGGTTGTCCTGTTACATACGGTCCTTTCTTATGTACAGGCGTGTGCCTACGTTCCAGTCTTTTGGGAGTTTTAAGTGCATCCTTCAGCTTGTTTATCAACCTATTCACTGCTTTGAGTAGCTACTTCTTCTTCCGTGGAGGGGTGATATTTCTCTGTTTCATCTTATATTAATAAGCTTCTATGCCAACTGCCAAGCAATTAAACTTTTATCGATTACAACATTTTTACTGAATATTGTGAAAGATTGAATTAATTTACATAGCCGATCTTTTTTTTTCTATCATTGGTGTCATTGCCCTAGAATGTATGTTTCAGAATTATCGATTAGGACCTAATCTTTCTGTTTCCCTTCTATTTTTAGGTAATGGTGATAAGCAGAATTCAGCATTAGCTTCAGTTATTAATTTAACTGCATCATCTCTCAATAATAGCAATTTCAATCAAATTTATAATAGAATATTGCATTTCATCCAAACAAACAGAACAGAACAGTTTGCACAACAAAAATTTAAAAAAAACGCAGGAACGAGAAGTTTTATGAATTAACAGAAAATTAATCTAAAAAAAATAATCCAAAACGTATTTTTTACGTATATATTTAAAAATAAACCTTAAATTCATAATAAGTTAAATAAATAATAAACGAGTGATAAAATTAGCTCACATTCATTAACGTCATCGCATACAGATGTTAAGATAAATAAAAAAAATATCTCGTTAGATCCATTATGTTAAATTACTCAAAAAAATATACTGAATAAAAAACGCATTTGTAAACGTCTTAATATAAAACAATATAATAAAAAATGTTTAAATCAAGGATAATTTATAATTCTCTTTGTTCATGGTCCGACCAATAACACAATAGAAAAGCGCTCAATGTCGATGATAGAGCAAAAAAAATTGGTAACCATATCGTTATATCGGCATTTGAAACTAAAAAAAAAAAAATTAAAAGAAATATAATATTAAATAAGAACGTGATACGTTTTTCTTAATGGTTCAATGAATAGTACTTACAATGATACATGTGTAAAATAAAATATACGAAATGATACACAACTCCGGCTACGGAAAAACCCATAAAAACAATTCCTAATCGATAAAACGATTCAAGTTCTGGTAATCCATACCATTGATTTAATCTTTGCCGAAGTTTCAGAAATATGATATGAGATGTAAGAAAATTTAATATTCCTAAAAATAATCATGAAAATAAATTTTATACCTTAATATTATTATTCAAAGAAAAACTGTTATAAGCCCGGCTAGCTCAGTCGGTAGAGCATGAGACTCTTAATCTCAGGGTCGTGGGTTCGAGCCCCACGTTGGGCGAATTTTTTTTTTTATTTTGTAAACTTTTTTTAAACTTTTTATTATTAAACTAATAACAAAGTTCAACCTGTTATAAAAATCCAACTTGCAGCGAAATAAACTTCATGCACTAAACACGACACAAAAACGGCGACGGATATTATAGTCAACGAAACGGTTAAAACAATTAATTTTGACCGCATTATTTCTTTACAATTATAATTTTATTACACCAGACTATCTCTATCTGCAGGTAAAAAACTTGTGTTGTTTTATAAATCGAGTTCCAGTTTAATTTAACGATAAAATAAAGGTAAGTGTATGATTGTGCGTGAGTTAATAAAGGATAAAAAAAATAATTAAAGTGACATCTAGTGAAATATTTAAATATTAGTAATTACAATACTTGTTTAATAGATGGCGTAATAAAAAAAATATTTTAAATAATTTATCTTAATACTAAAACTTAATTTAACTTAACTTTTACATTAATTATTTATCCATTTATTTAATATAAATTCATTACATTTCTAGTTATATTTTTTTAATTATTTATTTAAATAATAATTATCAACGAAATTGACAACTTGACATAAAGCAACATAAAGTTAACCTCATTTTAACCTTAAACTTCGAGGTTTCCAAAACGACACGTTTTTGAAGTTTTTCTAACATAAACGTTGCTTTCAATCATGATTATCATTACGAATCCAAAAAATCCGGCCGTTTTAAAAATCTTAATAGCAGGAAAATGTGCCGGAAAGGATATAGAAGTAAAAATAATGAATTCCCAAGGTAGGAATCATATTTATCTTACAAAAATGGCATAAAATTTCGATTTTTATTTAGATTCCTTAGTAGGGACGAGATTACTACCTTATTTAAAGTTAGACGGTTTGGAATGCATTTTCCTCCCAAATCCAGCGGGCAAGTATTTATTTCCAATTAAAAAAGATGATGCAAAATTGGAAGAGTGGTTATCATGGGAATCGAGTACATTAACACCGTTATTAGCTCAATTTAGTAGTATAATTAAAAATGAGAAGAAAAAGGGATTACTTGTAAATTATTTAAAGTACTTAAATGATAATTTAACGCAGAAATACTTATGTGGTGAAGATTTATTATTTTGCGATATATCTATTTGGTCGGTTCTTTATCCACTTTTTAAAGACCAAAGTTTATCAGGAGAATACTTTGGAGAATTTAAGAATTTATTGAATTGGTTCAAAGAAATCGAACAAGAATCTTTTGTTAAAGTAAGATTTTAAATACTTTTTGATGGGTTTATTAATTTTGAGAAATAGTCTATTTTAGAAAAATACACCATTAATCCTGCAATAGAGGCTTATAATGCACTTGGAGAAGGTGCTAGATACATTACGAATAATTTACCAGAGTTATCGACCCAATCTTCTTTGGAAAATGATGATGTTGCATCCAAACAAGAATTAGATAATGCTAAAAAGTCATTTTTAGAAGGAACAGTTCGTTTTGTTGAACCAAGAAATGATAAAAATCCTATGTATGTTGTTACAAAATCATATATTTTAATTGTAATATATTAATTCATTTTAGTTTACCAATTCCTGGTGAAAAAAACATTTTAATCACCTCTGCTTTACCTTATGTTAACAACGTACCACATTTAGGAAATATAATTGGTTGTGTTTTGTCTGCTGATGTTTTTGCCAGGTACTAAGAATTAATTTTTATAATTTGCTATATTTTTGTAATAAAATGTATTTTAGATTTTGCCGCCTATGCAACTATAACACTCTTTATATTTGTGGAACGGATGAATATGGAACAGCAACCGAAACCAAAGCATTAGAGGAAGGTTTAACACCTCAGCAAATTTGCGATAAATACTTTGAAATCCATAATTCGGTTTATCGCTGGTTTAACATTGGATTTGATTATTTTGGAAGAACTACAACTCCAGAACAAACAGAGTAATTTTATTTAATCCTATAAATACAGGGTGATTCACATAAGAAGTGACACGGAGCAGGGATATGTAGAATACAATAAATTAAGATGATTTAATGCAATTTATCTCTGTACTAAGTTGTACCCCTGAGGAGTTATAGGCCTTCAATGTTGGGTCTTAAATTTTTAAAACATTCAATATCTTTGTAATATATTAAGCTAGAAAAACCAAATTTGGTACATGTTATGAGTGTACCAAGTGTATTAATTGGTAGGAAGTTGAGACCAATTGAGGCTTTTTTATGTGTAATGGTCCCCTAAATTTTGATAGATTTTTTTAACCTTTTGGCGGATTTAATACATTATTATCTCATTTTATGTAGAATTTGATTCTAAAGCTTTTTTTACTCTTATTATTTTTTAAAAAACTTTGTTGTTTTCATAAAAAACTCAAATAACTAAAAACACGTATTTCGTTAGTGACTTAAAATCATCAAAAAATCAGTTGTGGCAATTGTACGCCAAACTTGACAAATTATTGTCATAGTTGTTATTTTTATTGTCCTCTACATGTCCCTGCTCTGTGTCGGTTCTTATGTAAATCACCGTGTATTAACAATTTGTAAATATCTTTTAAGAATCGTTCAAGATTTATTCCACGCTGTAAACAAAAACGGATTTGTTCTAACACAATCGGTCGATCAGCTTCTTTGCGAAAAATGTAATCGTTATTTAGCTGATCGTTTTGTAGAGGGCGGTTGTCCTCATCCGGGTTGTAACTACGAGGATGCGCGAGGCGATCAATGTGACGGTTGTGGAAAATTAATTAATGCGGTTGAATTGAAGAATCCGCGATGTAAAGTTTGTAAAGGAACTCCCGTTTTAAGGAGTTCTAATCAGTTCTTTTTGGATCTTCCTAAAGTAATTATGATTATTCCTAATTTTATTTGTTAATAAATTAAAAATTTTTGTAGTTAGAACCTTTATTGTTACATTGGATAGAAAAATCTTCATCAGGTTGGTCTAATAATGCTCGGGTTATCGCGAAATCTTGGATGAAAGAAGGCTTAAAACCTAGATGTATTACGAGAGATTTAAAATGGGGTGTTCCTGTACCCATCGATGGATTTAGAGATAAAGTATTTACTTATTTCATTTTTATATTTAAGATATAATTGCAATTTCATCGGTTTCTGCTAAAAATCTATATTGAGAAGTGTTTTATGAGTATCATCTTATTGCAGCACGATAAGTTATCTTATTAGAATTCGCAAATTTATTATTATTATTATTTATTACACCTTACTTCGTCACGAGTCGCGCAATAATGCAGTGGATGGTCTTGGGAGGAGGTGACTCTTGACACTTAAAGCGAAAAATGGTTATAATAAGATCAGGATTCGTTCATAGTGATGGGGATATTAACGGTATTAATGGAGAGAAGGGTATTCCCAACAAATCCATTGGCGTATCTGTAGCCAGAACATGTTGAATATTTTTTAATTTACTAGAGTTTAACACAAATGTGGGTCCACTAGAGATGCTGGGAATAGTTGTTATAGCGAATAGTGAAATACCGATTAATCGCAATTCCCTATGGCGAATAGTCGAATAACTCGCCATTATTATTCGACATAAAAAAAAGAATATAAAATAGTAAATACGAGCATATAATGAGGGCTATTTAATGAATAATAGCTCATTATATGTAAGTAGAATACTATACTTTGTCCACGACTACTATTGAAATTGATTCCATAAATTTATTTTTTTTAATAAATTTTTGAATAAAGTTTAAACGTCAATGTGACACAAATTCAATGTTACCAACAGTAACCAACTTCACAATAATTTGTCAAAATTTTATGAAACGTTATGTTTTTTTTACAAAAATTAATTAATTTATGCTTAAATCATACGAAAAAAAGAATTTGTTTACGTTTTTTAATGTCAAACGGAAAGTCCTAAAAAAATCACATTAAATTGACGTTTTTTGAAATTTTGACGTTTTTAATAATTATTATTAGTCTGTCAAGTTGATTACCCGTGAATTAACAAACAAATTTTTTTTTCATATGATTTAAGCATAAATTAATTAATTTTCGTAAAAAAACGACGTTTCATAAAATTGACATTATTTTTGACAAATTGTTGTGAAGTTGGTTACAGTTGGTAACATTGAATTTGTGTCACATTGACGTTTAAACTTTATTCAAAAATTTATTTAAAAAATAAATTGGAATATGGAATCAATTTTAATAGTCGTGGACAAAGTATAGTATTCTACTCACATATAAAGAGCTATTATTCACTCAGGTTAATTATTTAACCTTAGGGAATGTTCGTATAATAATATACTATTTTTTGTATCACAATCTGCCCCTTTTGGACTTTAAATATTAATTAAAAAGCCTAACTAATTAACTTTAGCATGACGTGACTGATTTTTGGCTAACTTTTTATATTAATCATAATAATTAATACTAACAGTTTTTTATTTTTCAAGAAAAATTAAAGTTTGATTATTTTTAAGTTTATAGTTCTTTTTGTTCATTACAAGTTTATTTTAGACAACTATTCGCCGAAAGTTGAATCATACCCGCTATTATTTGCTGAAACCGATCAAATTCGTATCGTTACAATTAAAAATAATGAAGTTATTAATACAAATAAATTTTGTTATAAGGTTTTTTATGTTTGGTTTGATGCACCAATTGGCTATATCTCAATGACACAACGTTATTGTAAAGATTATGAAAAATGGTGGAGACCAAACAGTGATACTAAAGTCACTTTATATCAATTTATGGGAAAAGATAACGTTCCTTTTCATTCTGTTATGTTTCCTGGAATGTTATTGGGAGCAAACAGAAATTTTGAACTTGTTTCTCATATAATGGCAACAGGTAAAAATCAGATTTTTTAATTTTTTAGTCTTTTTAACAATTTTTTTTTAAGAATATGTTAATTACGAAGATGGTAAATTTTCAAAATCACGTGGTGTTGGGGTATTTGGTACAGACGCTCAACAAACCGGCATTTCAAGCGATGTATGGAGATTTTACCTTCTTTACATTCGTCCAGAAGGTCAAGATTCCAATTTTAGTTGGGTTGATTTAGCTACAAAGTGTAACAGCGAACTTTTAAATAATTTTGGAAACTTTGTTAATAGGTTTTAAGAATTTATTGAAAACTATTTTATTTACTTATTCCATTAATTTTTTAGGGCTTTAGTTTTTACTGAGAAATTCTTTAAATCGTCCATTCCTAATTTAAAACCTACAGACGACGATTTTAATCTTTTAGCTTTATGTAACCGTGAAATTAAAGGTTATATCTCAGCTTTGAATCAAGGTAGATTAAGAGATGGGATTCGCTATATATTAAATATCTCGAGACATGGTAATCAATATTTGCAATCAAAACAACCTTGGGTTTTATTAAAAGGAACTGATGAACAAAAGTTTGTTACAAAAAAATTAATCTTTATTTTTATTAATATTTTGTTTTAGAGAACAAGCTGGAACTGTTATTGGGTTATGCTGTAATATAACGTTAATGTTAACCAGTTTATTATTCCCTTATATGCCTGATACAAGCAGAACGATTTTGAAACAATTAAACGCTGAAAATTTACAACCAATGATTAATCCAAAGTAATTTTTAAGTAGTGGATGAAATAATTTTTTGATTTGTTTTTTGTAGCAAACCGGAAATCGTTGTTTATTTAAAACCGGGTCATAAAATTGGAAAACCAGTTCCACTTTTTACCAAATTAGAATCCGAAAAAATCGATGAGTTAAAACTTAAATTTGCCGGTAAACAACAAAGCCCACAAAAAGAAATTATAAATAATGATGTGGCCAAAAAGGTGGAAAATAATAATTCAGGGCTTCAACTTTCTAATGAGGAATCCATTAAAGAATTGACTCAAAAGATTGAAACACAAGTAATTATTATTATTAAGTGAATTAAAATTATGAAATCTATTTGTTTTATTTTTAGGGTGCTTTGGTAAGAAAACTAAAAGAATCTGGGGCTCCAAAAGCAGATTGGCAACCTCAAGTTGAAATTTTGTTAAAACTAAAGGGACAATTATCTGTCATGACTGGAACACCACCAGCTGCTCCAGGAAAAGGAAAAAAGGGGAAAAAATAAGAGAAAATCGTTTTAATTAATTTATAAATGTACAAAAATATTTATTACTATAATAAATATTCATACTAATATTAAAATTATCAAAAATACCAATTTACTGAAACAAATCCCAACAAATTCAACACTCTATGACGCTTTAAAAGAGCCTCAGGTCTATAATATGACCAGCAATTGAGTGGATTGTGCATATTAAGTATCCATCAAATAACGATAAAAAATAATGATCATTTTTGCAATAATGTCTTAGGGGTGAATCAGACATATGCTCCATTAATACCAGGAGAATTTCATGAAAACTTTGTATAACAAAATGTCAGAAAGAAACGAAACAAAACCTAGTAGGTATTTAGTTTTGAAAAATTTAAATAAACAAAATTATATTCAAAACATTTCAATAACATTTATTTTTAATCAACAATTAAATTTATTTTAACATTAAAATCTTGTTGGAAATGTATTTCCATAAGCAGATGCACAAGCTGAAAAAAAAATTTAATATTAGAAAAGAAGTACTGATTAAAAAAGAAAAATAATTTAATATAAAAATGATACAATCATTAACTTACGGCTATATTGTGGTTGTGGTGCCATTTCATATTGACATGGTGTTTGTATAAATTGTGGATAAGGTATTATAGGTTGTGGTGCTGGAATTGGTAGTGGAACAGGAACTGGTTGTGGAATAGGAATTGGTTGCGGCATAAGAATTGGTGCATTATACGGTTCAGGAATAACAACAGGTGGTTGATAAACCGGATATTCTGGCGAGAAAGGAATACTTTCGGGATATAAATTTTTTCTTGGCATCGGTAACGTATCAGGATCAATAACTTCAGTTGTATTATCCTTACAATACACATCAGAACAAATCGTTTTGATATCCCCGCCGCATTCATCTGTACCTCTTGTACAATTCTTCCATGGTATCAGTACCTTGCAGCATAATGTACTTTGCGCAGGAAGTATCTCAATATTATTTTCATTTATTGTGGTTACATTTATCGGATTATGAATTTTATTCAAGGTATGGATAACGTTGTTTAAACTAATTGAAAAATTTGAATTTGACGGCGACGAATTGCTTTCTTTGATTATTACGGTTTCCTTTTCAGTATCTTCATTATTACAATCCGAAGAACAACACGACGATGAACAACAATTTGAAGTTGTACACGAATCACAACAATTTGTTTCTTGGCATTCTTGATAACATGTAACTTTACAACGATGAGTGTTACATTTTGAATTACAATTACTTTGGCATCTATTTTGAGCGAGTATTAATGAAATTGAAATTAATGTGATTATTAAAAAAAGTTGGGTTTTCATTTTTCTACTTTTCTCTGAAAACAGTGATAAAAATGTAAATGTATGATCGATTTTTATAAAATAAATATTACCTTCTTGGATAATAACTGGTGGTTACTTAGAATTTGAATTAAAATTTGTTTTAATTTTAGCTTTTATATGTTTTTTTATAATGTTTTTAAAAGATAAAAAAATCTTGAACTAAGGTCATGAATATTTTTGAACCGAAAAGTTCTTTTATCTTCATGGTCAATGTAATGAGGGCAACTAAATTGTAATGATAAATCGATAATGAAACTTTTGTTGTTAATATTTCATTCTTGGTTAATAAAATTAGAACAAGGATTTTTTTACAACAATATTTACACTTCTTGTATTTGATAAATTTTATCAACCGAAATTGGTACTTTACCTGAACACATAGAAAATAGAACTGAAAATACTGATTTAGTTATCACTTTCGATTATTAATTAAAGTATCCCCTTTTTAATGCAAAAAGCCGTTTTGAAAAATCACTTTCAGTTCTTGAGAAATAAATTTTTGAAATAATCGACAATTTTTTCGAATTTTGCAATTTTCGCCGATTAAGTTTTAAAAATTCGTATAAAATCGATTTCTTAGAATATAAGTATGAAAATTACCCAAAGTGTTAATAAAAGTGTCTTCTTTCCAATGAACAAATCCGTTTTGAAAAATAACTGTTAGTTTTTGAAAAAACAATATTTAAAGTTTTTATAAAATTTTCGATGTTACAATTTTCATCGATAACTTTCAAAATTCGCTATAAAATTAATTTCTTGAAGGATCCCTGTGGGAATATCACCAATTATTAATTAAAGTATCCTCTTTTTAGAGTATTATAACCATAATGGCCGGATATCCGGCCGAAGGGGATGCTGAATATCCGATATCTGGCTGTTCGGAAAATTACTATCTGTTCCATCACTAATTTGTACTAACATGGAGTTTGTTTAATCTGGATCAAACGAGTAATTTCCCATGTTGAGATGGTTTGGGTATCTTCTTAGGGATCTCTATCTAGTAGGAGATTCTGGCTTAGGTTCAAACATGAATTTGCTTTGATATGTGGGGCCAAAAGAATATTGTTTTGATTACATGAAGGGTGGGACGTATTTCTGGATGAATTTAGTCGAAAACTGCTTGTCTGAACTGTTGTGGAATATAAAGTCTTGGAGATGATGAAGAGGATTCACAGCATAGCTTGGTATTGGATTGTAATGTTGTTTCATGTGCCAGACAATAAGATTTGAAGGGTTGTTGGAAAATTGTTTATTCAGTAAGTTTGACAATTCTGTCAGCAAGTAAGGGTTAGAAAATCTGGATAAGATGAATTTAGAGATCCGCTGTTTGTTCTGCAGAGAACATCTGCGATAACATTTGAATTTCCTCTGATGTATTTGATATCTGAGATTTGTGTGACAATGGGTTTGTGATCTGTGTATACCGTAAATTGATTTCCATGTAAGGCATATTTGAAAAATTTGATGGCAGTAAATGATGAAGCATTTTTTTTGAAAAGAATGCTAATGTTTGAAAGTTTCCATTGATGGTTTGTGTTAAAATAGCTCCCATAGCTGTATTAGATGCTTCAGTTGTCAGTGATAGGGTGGAATGTGAAAAGGGATGTCCTAGAAAGATAGATTTTGACAGAAGATCTTTGGCGTTGTCGTATTGTAGTGTCCAAGAAGTTGATGAGATCGTTTTGTTTTTAGTACATACAGTAAGAAAGAAAAAAAGTTTAGATTTGTTTTAGAAACTCTATTTTTATTCGCTACAACATTTTTATGTCAAAAATACTTTTTTGCTATTAATTATAACCATCTGCACGTTTTTATACAAAAAAAATTATGATTGGTAACCAATACATATCAAATTTTTAAAACGAAAGAAACAGTTAAGCTACAATTTAATTCATAAACATTAAAGGCAAAATTCGAATTTTGTTGCCTTAAAACAATTTTGACACACAAAACTCCATAAATTACGAAACGTAAATAAAAATAATGAACGCACATTTTTATACACATAGTAATTTATAGTTCACTTCTATAACTACATTTTTTTAATTAAATCGATCTTTCCGGTTTTTTTATATCGAAAAAATCGAATTTAACTTAAAAATAAACAAAATATAAAAAAATTAAGCTTAAATAAAAAGCTTCACTAATTTTTACACATTAAAACAGGTTTTTTTAAATTTATAAAACTACAATTCGATTGTATTCCATGTCAATAACCGCAATATTTCCTTCCGGTGTTAAACAAACTCCTTGGGGATTTTTAAACGTTTCATTTTTGATTTCTTTAATCGTTTTAAAATGTTGATCGAAAATAACAACGCGACCATTCTTTGAATCGGCCACAATATGATTTCCATCTAAATCAATAATTAAACCTTGAGGTCTATTAAATTGTCCATCAGAACCATGAAGTTTAAACGAAGAAAATATTTGATCAAAAATTAAAAAACGATGATTATTAAAATCACCGATAACCAATTCACCATTTGGATTAAAATGAACGGCTCTCGGTAAATCAAAAAATTTTAAATCATAAGGATAAAAATCAATGACTCCATTTAAAATACAATTTTTATTGAATATTTGTACTCGACGATTTTTTGTATCAGAAACAATAATTTCTCCATTATTTAAATTCGTACAAACATCCCATGGATAATTAAATTCGCCAGGTAAATGACCCATTTTACCAAAATCTTGAATATAATCTCCATTTAAATTAAAAATTTGAATACGATGATTATCTTTATCAGCTACTATTAATCGATTTAAATTATCGATAACGATTCCTGCTGGGCGATTTAATTCTCCTTTTAATTTTCCATACTTTCCAAAAGAAAATTCAAATTTTCCATTTCGATTAAAAATTTGTATCCGATTATTACTTCGGTCAGAAATGAAAAATCTTCCCGTTTTATCACAAATTATTCCCCAAGGACGACAAACTTGCCCATTTTCTTTACCTTCTTCGCCAAACCAATAACAATCTTTAAATTCATTTAAAAAATTTATTTTAAAATAACAAAAATTATCGATACTTAAATCACGGTATCTTTCGGAGTCATCGAATGGAATTTTTTTTAAAGCAATCTTTTTCATTGATTCAACCATTGTGGTTCCAACAATACTTAAACCAGCAGGTTTTTTAAACACATTGTTTTTAATAGTTATTCGAAATTCTTTGTTATGAATCGGAATGAAACCATAATCGTATTTTTTCGCCAAATTTAAATCTTCACGGCATGCCAACGATGAATAATTAATAATCTTTGCATTTTTCGTTATTAACGATTGTCTTAAAGATTTTAAATTTGATTCCATTCGAAATAATAATTGATTTAAATTGTATTGTTGCATTTTTAAATCTTTAACTTTTAAAGTTTTTATTGTTTCGATTAATTTTAGAAGATACGGTCGTCTATGTGGGCACGAACCGTTATATTCCCAACTGTTTAAAAGTTGAATTACACTTTCCGAAGTTTCCTTAGCTTTGTATGGAATTTCTTTTAGGGTAATTTCAATTTGAAAAAGTAAATTTTCAATATCTTTTATGTAGTTGTTTAAGGATAATTGAACTTTTTTTGCTGTTGTGAAAACAGATTCCGTATTTTTTGGTGTTATTCTATGTCCTTGATGATTTTCGATTATACATTTTGAGCAAATCGTTCTTTCGCATTTCTCGCATATAAAATAGAGGGGTTCTTTGTGGATCGTGCATCTTTTAGATACATCCCACTAAAAATAAAAAAACAATTAATCAAAAATTAATCAAAAATTACGGTTAAAACAGTAAATAATTTTATAATAAGTGTAATTTCAACTAAATGTCTGAAGTAATTACTGAGAAAGCGTTGTGAACATTAAACTCTATATATTTACCGTTATCCGAGCTAAAGTTTCTGTTTCAACAATATTCTTTTCACTAGATGTTATTTTTAAATAATTTCCACTTCCACGATCGCCAATAACGCCGAAATTAAAATCGTTTTCAGTTTTATTTGATTTTTTATTGATTTCTTTGCGTTGATGATCGTCGAAATTATCTTTTACATCGATTGTTAAACCATTTTCTTCAACAAAATTACCCTTAACATAAAAAATAAAAAAAAACTGATAATGCTCATCCAAAATGTTTATTTAAAATATACTTACCCATATTAAATTATTTAAAGCATCAGGATTGATTTTAAACACACAGGAATGATCAGAACACGCTAAACTTAATTGTCTAAAAATACTGTTACCAGTTCCATTTCCGTAAATGGATTTTTGAAGACACCCAACGATGGTGTTTTTCGAAAATTGTAATTTAGACGTTGGGATGAATTGTTCCTCCTCTGAACTAATCGCTGAATCAGAATCTTGCATTTCCAATTGACTTTTATATTCATCAGAGCAAATTGATGATCTTTCACACATGTGAAAATGCCTTTTATCCAAAATATACGAATCCATTGTGCTTAAACTATAATTGTAAGTGATTTCATTAACTTTAATGTTATTTTAAGGTTTAATTTTACCTTTGAATTGATAAGATTTTACTTTGATAATTTTTGGACATTTTATACGCTGACTAAAGAATGAAAACTGGTTCTTTTAAAACATGTGGAAACCAAATTTTTTTTTGGGCAGGAAAAATATTTAAATTTATAATCATTTTATAATAATATATTTATAGAAATTAATCAAATCATTTATTTTTTAATGAAAATTATAATAAGAATTAACTAAATAAGAATTATTATAAACTAAATTAAAAATAATTGTATGGAACGAAAACTACATCCTTCTTTTTTGAGTACTAATATAAAGCACATTATTTCCACGAATAAAAGCATCGCCAAACTTATTTTTAAGTTGCCCATTAACATATTCTTCAGTTTGTTCTAGTGCGATATTCATGTAACCATCCAAACATGCTAAAACACCTAAAAAAACAAATATATTTATTATTATATCAAATGTATTTTGGTTGTTAAATTTACCTCTGTAATCAACACCGCTATTTAATTTAACCACAACGGGTCTAGCGTGGATTTGTTGAATAAAATTCGATAAAGCTTCTTTTCTGCTCATTATAAACAAGATTTTTTTTATTAAGAACTTTTTCACAACAAACTTTGAAGTTTGTTTTAGGTTATGTTTCTGTCAAATAGCAACAAAGTGCTAGGTGAGATACCAACCCTAAATTTAGTTACGTATGGAATATCACTAGATTAAAATTAATTTTTTAATAATGAATAGTTTTAAATTATTGAATTATATTTATTATTTAATATGGACAAATTAGCTTTCAAAAAAACTATTTTTTTTTAATCACCATTCTATTTTAAATTTATTGAAATTTAAAATGTCACAAAAATATGTCATTTGTCAAATAATTTGAAATAAATAAATTTAACCAAATTATTCCTAATTTTATTAAAATCTATCCATTAGTACATAAAATACATATAACAAATCGTAGTATTAAAAAAATAAATAAAAATTAAAGAGAAACACAATAATCACTTATTTTTTAATACTCGACATTGTATCGTTGTGTTACATATTGGGGCCTTCTTTGCTGTAAAGAAATGTTAATCTCTTCCGGATTTCTATAAACTTGTCCGATTGTCGTTTCAGGTCTTAAAGTGGGTCTTCGAACAATAACTTGTCTTTGTTCTTCTTTTACCTGTTAAAAAAGCAAACAACACTTTCTAACTTAATAAAAAAAGTTATTAACTTTCTTTACCTGTTGTCTTGGTCTCTGTGGTGGCTCATCATCTTCATCATAACTGTAATAATTTTCGGGATAATATCGATCAGAATATTTTAAAGTAACATTCGGTTTAGATTGATGTTCTTGTAAATTAATCGGTCTATATAAATATTCGTTGACGAAATGGAACTGCGAGGATTTTTCACAAATATTATCACCACCGGGCGGCATGCATATTAAATGAACTTGATGGAACGTAAATCCTTCGGGACAAATCCATGAGTGTCTTGCATTATCTTGACAATAATGAAAAACTTCACATCCCAATTCCTCATCAGCATAATAACCAGTATTTCTTCCTTGACAATTAAACTTAGTTTGCGGTAATAAAATAGAAAGCCTGTCCGGTTCCTCTTCTTCCTCTTTTTCGTCTTTCTTTTTCCCATCAACTTCTTGACCTACATCACCATACTGAGGTCTATACTGCGGCGGTTTTCTTTGTACAATTTGAGTTTGCGGTCGATTTTGCGGTCTTTGTTGAACGGGAATCGTGTTTTGCACCGGATAATTATCATCGGAATAAATTGGAACTCTCGCTTGTGAAGAAGCCACTTCAGTATCATCATCTTCTTCTAATTCTTCTTCTTTATCATCTTCGTAATTCGATGTAGGTCGAAATGCTGTAGATGCGGTTGGACCAAAACCACGATTTTGAAGATGTTTTATTTGCTCTTCGGATAATTTTGTGTAAGTTTGTCCTGGGGATGATTGTGGTAAACTAGTTACCAGTGGGATTAAGAATAATATTAATAAATTCATTCTGAAAAATAAATAATAATGATGTATATTGGCACAACAATAATAATTATAATAAAAACCAAAAACATCTTTTTCAAAAAGATTTAACTAATCCACAACTAAACTTGGGTGCTTTCCAAACGAGAGGAAGAGACACTTAGGGTGTTTGAAAGGAAAACTATGGAGAAGGATCTAAAACTAATGGGAATAAGAGCATGGCGAAGAAAGGCGAGAGATAAGGAAGACTGGAGGATATTCTGAGGCAGACTTAAAAAGAGAGCTACTAAAAGAGAGCTCTTCTCGTCCAAATCTATAATATCGAAGAATCGCGAACAAGTAGGTGCTGAGGAAGTACTATATATGAATATTGTTAAATGCATAACATATCAAATCACCACCTATTTTACCATGTGTTTATTTTATAAAGCTGGAAATCAATACAGATGACAGTGCCTAAGGCATATTTTTTTTTCAGCCCGGCAGCAATAATAATGAAACATATATTCAAAAAATTATAGTGTTGGTTATGATATTTATGTAATCAATTGAGTGATGCGGAAATGTTGAACCTGTTTCGTTTTCTTTTTTTGGTTATTGAAGAGGGTGTGTCGTTTTATACAAGAGAGAAAACTGGACCCGAAGAGATGAATGAATTTATTCCTGAAGCTTCGGGTTGGTTTTGTGAAAGTGAAATTACATGGTTACTAAAAGAAGTCGGTCTACATTCAAAGTAACAGATGTTCCGTAAAATAAAAATTTTTATTTATTTACATCTCACTTTAAACTTAACTCTCTCTAAATTCTCTTCAAAAAGTTTTCGAGTAAAAAAAAAAAGATTAAATGTTAATCAAACGAGAAAAAATTGATTAAAAAAAAATGTTGAAAGTTGAAAGGACTTTCGATTTGCTTTTACTGCACTATTATTTACTGTCCATGCACCTGACATTGTGACCATTCATTCTTCTCTCATTCGTTTCGATTCGAAGCCGAAAAGCAAAAGCGTGACGAGTGCGGGACCTTGAAAACAAAAAACCTTTCTCCTCCTCACAAAATCACTTTTGTTCCACATTTCACAACGCCTAAAATTTAAATCCGCGTACAAGACACGGATTTAAAAGCTACCTTGCGTGTCATTAACAATTCAATACTCAACAAAAAAGAAAGGAAACCAATAGGAGCGATATTAAAATTACAATGACAAAAAAATAAGTCGTGAATATCGCAATCTAAAACCAAACGAGAAACCAATTAAGAATTTTCGTATCGTTTACTAAGCAAACCGTAAAATCAATTCATAAACTATTATTTGAGTTAACACATAGATAATTGAATGTTTATAAAGTGGAAAATAGAAAATGATGGTCTATTTAGTAAGAAAAATTTAGAAAATAAGAAAGTCTTTATGAAGAAAATTTTGAAAAAGTTCCCTTTTAACTGTTAATTATTATTAAAATAAGATATCTTCGTTTCTTCTTACCAATTACTATTCAGTTACATCTCATTACTACATAAAAAGCTTTTTTCTTCTATTTTCTTACATTTAACTTTCCTACCGGTATCGAAATAGAAAAAAATTAGGACAACTATGCAATGATCTTGTGAATGTTGTACAATTTAAAAATAAAGTCTTACGTCTTTCTATTAAGTTTGCAATAAATTTAAAACGTTTTAATATTTTCTTCCTAATTGCATACCTACATGGGTTTCTGTTATATAATGTTCTGAACGTTTTCAGCGTTCGAAATACTTTCACGACGATTTAAACACAAAAAAAATATCTAGAATCCGTGACAAATCGAAATTACCCATAAATTAATATAAAAATAATTAAATTAAAATATTAAGCAGTTTATTTATAGAATGAAATGAGGAGAATGTTAATTGAATTTACGCGTAATATGTAAATTCTTGGAGATTTTGCGGTTTATTAGTCAAGTCTTCTCAAACGTTTAATAACTTTATGAACTATTACGCAAGTAGTTGTTAACATTTTAATCAGTAAACAAAATTTCTATTCAATTTCTAAAGAAAAAAACGATAATTAATTGAAATAAATTGGAACCAGTTGATCACATAGAAAGTTCACATTTTGAAAAAAAAAAATAGTAGCGCTTTAAAAGCGAAATCCACAAGAAAAGTGACCGACTGACACACATATATTTAATCTCAATTAAAGTTTTCAAAAAATTTCTCTAAATCAATAACAATTAACATCGTTTAAACGAGACAACATTAATTTAATATAATTTAACATTACCAGCTTTTTTATAAGATAAAATAAATAAATTTAAAGCTTAATTTTTAACATACCTGCTCCTTCTTATAATTTCTCTTAAGATGAGATTGTTTCACTTGCACGTGAACAACTGTACTAAGCTGAAATGCAGGGGTATCCAATCTTTTTATTTATAAAAGAAAAAAAGAGATTCGACTCGGGTGGGATACTTTCCAATTTAGGTGGAGAGTATATCTTAAACTCGTTTGTATATACAGGAAAGGTTCAACGCAATAATTTTTGTACGGGAGAAATGGTCTTATATGGAGGGAGATAGTTTCGATTTATTTTCCGAGAAGTTTGGATAATTTTTAAGATTTTCCAAGTTAAATACATTATTACCATATGTTCTATTCACAACAATCACATATCATTTGATTATTTAAATACAGTTTCACTTCATGTATATCTTCTAAGAATCTTATCTGCAGAGAAAGGTTAAGGGAATCCAGCGTAGTAATAATTTTGCATTTTTGTATTCTTTTTATTTAAGGAAAATAAAAATGTGTTGTCGCAATTCAATTTAACCTTGGACCATTTTATTTCTAAAGCTAATATTTCAATATTTATCACTTATTAAACAAATCTCTTGGTTTAAATTGATTCTGCAGTGATAACATTCATATTTTTAGCATCACCTATTTTAGTCCAGACTCAGATTCTGGAAACAAAAAAGCTTCTTCATTCCATTAAGTGTGCTTCTAGCTTGTTCATTTCTAATGCGCACCTCTTGAAAGCTGTCGCTGTTATCATTAATCGTATTGCCTATTTTATCATTAACCTTTTTCAGTTTAAACTAATTTTAATAAGGTTTAAATTAAAATAAAACATTTAATTCACTTTGCACAAGTTATATTGATTCAATCAAAATACATAAAAAGAAACTGAAAAGATAACATACGGTTAAGTTACATTTCGATGGATGATAGTGTGTGGGTGCATCGGTGTAAGTACTTACAATATGATGGTAAATATTATGTTAATACACTTTATTTTTTTTTTTTATTTTTGTGGTAACTTTTTGGTGATGATTTTTTAAAAATACATCTACCCAACCAAGCTAAATATATTTGTATATCAATAACAGTCACAAAAACTAAGAACTTAATCTTTTTTTTTTCTTAATTTATTTTTTTTAATTTTAACATTTTACATTAAGTTTTCCTTTTTATTTTATTATTTGGTGGTCAAAGGTTATGATTTCTTACCATTTTACGTTACAGTACAAATTTTTTTTTTGTAAGCGCATATATTTTCGGAGAAACGAAAAGATTTTTTCAGTGACAAGGTGGGTGCATTATTTTCATTTTTACACGTGCAGGATTTTTAGTTATAATAGCATACAAGGCCTAAGTAAAATGTAACACTGTACATAGGGCACTGAAGAAACAAGAAGTGTGTTTTTTTTGTTACATATTATTTATTTTTTAATTTTAATTTACGAGTTGATTAAAAATTATTAGTTTCAATCAATTCGTAACCAAAGGTCCCAAAAGTAACCAAAAATTGGTTTTTAACAATTTTTTTTCTTACATATAATGGGATCTTTTCTAATTAGTACTTTTGGGACATGATATTCATTATTTTTAAATACACTAATCGTTGCCTATTATTTTAATCTAAATAGTTTATTAGAGGCGAATAAAGATAGTTTTACAGATTCAAGTACTGATTTTTTTTTCATTCTTTCACCATATACATTTAGAGGGCAATAATGTGAAAATATGGAAGCCTCAAAACTATTTTTCTACATAAAAAAGAAATAGAAATCAGAAACATCCATTAAATTAACATTCGCTTCTTAAAACGTCTTCCAGAAAACTTTTTTAATCCACTTATGTACACTTAAAAAAAATTATTTATGGTTTATTTTCTTTGCTGGAACGACAACGAATGTATTTACATTATTGGAAGATACAAATATACCAAAAAGAAATTAATTTTATGTGTCGTCTTTAAATTGAATTTATTATTAATATAGAGGGTTTACTTTTTTTTTTGTAACAGGACTTTTATGCAACATAAATTTTATAAAAATTATCATTAATAGAATTCATATTCAATTTATTACATTTTCGTGCTGGCTGTTATTTTATTATAAAGTCCTGCTGCAATAAGTTGAACACATGCATCGTTTAAACAAAATAAAACCTACCTAAAATTATTAAAATTGAAACAAATAAATAAATAAAAATAAAGAAAACGAAATGATAAAAATAAAAAATAAATGCTATTTATTCTACAAAGAATCATTTTAACCATTATAATAAGATATATACACAGAAAAAAAACTATATACACATCACTATTATATTATTTTAAAATATAAATAACATACTAAAAGAAAAAAACGGAAGTAATAAATACCTGATAAACGTTTAAATATGTAGGGGAAATAGTTCATATATATATACATTTCTGTGGCAAAAATGAACATCTTACATCTTAATATACTTAATTAATATTTTTCGTTTAGAATTTTGCGTTTAACACATTAATAATAATTAATAATAGAGGATCTTCAAAGAGTAATATTGTAAATTTGTAAGCTTAACAATGATAATAGTAACAGCGACGAACAAATCTTGGAAAAATCTTTACCCAATACAATTATTAACGACATTTTGAGTATTTCTTTGGATTATTTAACACTTAGTGAAGTTTATATCATTACACATTTTCAATTAATTAATTTACAGACTTTAAAACACTATCTAAAACAATATAGTTACTGAAATAATTGTGCCAACATTTTTTTTTATTGTCTTATTTTTAAAGAATCTTTTATTTTTCTTTTAATTAATTTAGTCTGCAAATTAATCGATTGTGAAAATTGGTTAATTAATGAATTAGCCCATTTTTTAACTATACAAGGTAGAGGTGATTGTTGAGCAACGCAAAATAACGACCTCAATGATAATAATTGATCTCAAATAAAAAACGGAACCAAAAAACAAAATAATAATAAATGATATGTACCGCATTTTATAAAATTCAACGACACCTAATAAGCTACTATTTTTATTTAATTTACTTTTCTATAATTATTATTCCATTTTGTTCCGTTTATTTTATTAAAACTTCATAGAAAAAAAGGAAATGATTTTAACAACAAAATGCCTCAGTCGAATATACACATACAAATAACATATTTTCGTTACTTTATATCTTCATTATATTAAAAATCTAAAAATTCTAAAGGGATTGGATTAAAAATGAAAAAAATACAATTTCTTTTTAGAAATTTAACCAACCCCTCCAAAAAATCTATCATTCTTAAACAACCGAATTAATAAACATCATTCTCCTGTTTTATCAATAATCATAATTATTTATTTTCAGTTTTACTTAATTTTATCGCTAATTCTAACTCAGCCTCCTCTTGTTTTTGCCGAAGTTTTCTTGCCTCTTCCAATTTTAAGCTTTCTTTCGCGGCCCAAGCAAGTTGTTCATCTTCCGGCGGAACGGGATCTTTACCGAGCGGAACCGATTTTCTTCCTCCAGCAGATTCAACAGCATTCGTAGATCCAGGTATTTCAGGAAGCGGTACCGATTGACGTCCTCCTTGCAAACCAAACGGATCGAAGTCATTGGCGGTGGAGGCGGATGCTGCTGTTGATGTCGTTGGTGGCGGTAGTCCAAACGGGTCAACTCGTTGTTGTTCACGGGGACGTGGAGCGTCTGCGACGGCGGATTGCGCCTCGTCGTCGAATGTGATGTTGAACGGATCCTCGTACCTGTAGTTCCGGAAAGGGTCGTCAGTGAAGTCAAGATTCGACTTGTTTGTTGATGTTGTTGCTGTTGAAGGCTGTGGCGCTTGCTGTGGCTTGTTAGAGAACTGAAGAGGAGATCGGAAGAGAAGTATTAGTGCTGGAAAAATTTGCGGTAAGCAGAACGGTTAGTTAACGTTACGTTTGTGTCCACCTCGGCATTGTTTTGGTCGCAGCTGATCTACTATATTTTTTTAAAAAAAGAAATAAAACTGTAAAATTAATTTTATGATTATTATTTGTTGTTTTTTTTTCTTTTTGATAATATGGAACTGTTTGGAGGAATAAAAGAAGAACATTAACTGAAAGTGGAAGGAAAAATCTTATAAAAATAAATAAATAATAAATATAACAAAAAATATATATACAAATGATTCTTAAACCAAGAACAACTTAGTTTAAATCGTATATACGTTATAATTTACATTTAGGCCCACTTTTACCATCTTCCTGACAAACTATCTAGAGGATAGTTGCCATGGTTACGGCGGTTTTAAGAGCTTTCATTGGCTAAGAACTGGATTTATCTATCGGATAAATTTATTAGGAGGTGGTAAAAGCGGGCCTTAAAGACATAAAAACGGCTTAAACGGCTGTTCTTGGTTTAAATTATTAAGATGTTTCAAAAATAGTCTGCTAAACGAAAATTTAATCTAAGCTTAAACATTCTATGGCGAGCACATCAGTTTGGTAGCTGAATATGAGCTTGTATTGATGCTCATTAATTGAACCAACTGCCAGAAGGACAGAGACTAGAAAATTAGATATAATTTTAACTAATACACTTAGAATTATGATGATAAAGTGCTACCAGCCATAGTTTCCATTGGATATGTACGGGATTTTTAATTAACAGGTTTCAATTTCGCACTAAATGATTATCTGTACTCAACATCTTCGTTTAGCAAACTATGTATTTGAAACGTTCAATATAGAGCTTCTGTGAATACGTTTTTTTTAAATTAATTAATTATTCAAATTTGAAATACTAAAACTTTTGAAAATAAACAACAATAATCATACAAAAAACAACAGGAGTGCCTATATAAATAAATAAGAATAAATTGGAGAAAACAAAATATTTTGGTAAAACGAAAGTTACAATCTGCTAAATAGAATCAGTTATTGCTTTCCATAACAACTAACAACCTGTTTAATACCTACAAAAAAACTTGAAGGAAGTACCACAGCAGAAATAAAGTCACAAAATATTCTTTTTCATTGTATTACCAACTTTACAATACTTCAACAGCTAACTAAAAAAAGATGTAAATAAAATATTACCATTTTTCTATTTAGCAGATCGTACGTGATTATTAAAACAATAAATAAATAAAAATATAAATGGATTAATAAAGTAAATCTCCTACCGGTAAAGTATCTTGAGTACAACATGATCGTATGTCATATCTGAAAGATCTTCGTTTCGGGAAAGAAGGATAAGGAATTTTCGGATAAAGCACAGCCTTAGTACAAGTACAACGTTGGAAGGAAATGAAAAACTAGGAAAGGAAACAACATCGATTAAGCAACATAAATAACCAATAATCCCGATTGAAAAAAAAAACCATCAAAAAACAAATCCAAGAAGTAAATAACACAAATAAAACGAAAACACTTAATAATCAAAATAAATAAATAAACTGCATAATTAGCGACCAAAATTAAAAGACATTCAACGCACTTTTGAATCAAAATCGGCGAACCCCTCGAAACCTCCGCTCGAAGACGAAAACGGATCGTTTGCTTGCGTAGCACAGAACGGATCCGGTTGATTTGGTTTGTTAAAGTTGGGGGGTTGCATCGGTCGAGGAGGTGCAGGTCGAGGTGGTGGTTGTTTACTTTTCTTTGGGGGTAAAGCCGGACTTGGGCTACTTGGTCGTCCTGGTGGAGCACCGTCACGGGTTGGTGCGTGAAGCACCGCGAATGGATCGCAACCAAACGGATCTTTATCAGACTAAAAAAAAAATAAATGGAATGCAAAAATAATCTCAATAAAAAACAGAATTTATTACTTCCGGTTGAGTTGTGCAACAGGGGTTGTTTTTGTCGCCAAAAACATTAAAAGGATCCGATTTATTACTATTACTAGCGAAGGAAGAACCGAAAGGATCTGATGAAAATCCATCCTAAAAGCGTTATAATGAATTTAAAGGATTAAAAATAATGCGGGGTTTAACTTACATTATTTGTCGTATTTGCAAACGTAGCTTTAAAGGGATCACTTGGTGCAAAGGCATCTGTATTACTTTTAAAGGGGTCTGAAAAAACAAATAATTTTAAAAATGTTATTCAATATTAATCAATTTAATAATTAATTGGTGGTTTAATTAAATTCTATAAATCCTGAAAGAGATGCAAATTTAGTTAAGTTAAATTACTAAAATTATTCAATGAAAATTATAAAGTCAGGTTAGTTATCATTAAATAAAAACGAAAACATCAAAAAAATAAAATAAAAAAGCAAACAGAACCTCATTTACCAAACATTTTCCACATATCGCTTACAGACATATCAAGGAGTGTTGTATGTTTATTAGGTAGATTTTGTTCTAAGTACAGAATGATAAAAAGAAATGAAAAGAACGTAATGAAGATATTAATTAATAACCTAAATAAAATATTGTTTTCATACCGCTTTTAAATGGATCTTCTTGGAATCCTGATGAAGCAACATTCGTACCTGAAATATTACTGAATGGATCATCATCCTGACTACCACCAAACCCATTCTAGAAATTAAAAAAAATAGTGATAAAGTAAAGTAGTCGTTTGGGATTTTTAAATGCAACATTTAAGATTTACTTTACTTAGATGGGTCGTAAATCAAATTTGTTTGTTGAAATTGAAATGAATTTTAAATTCTTTAAGCGAAGTTCCCCAAAAAAGATCGTTAACACAAATGTATGCACAAATTTTGATGATTTTGTTTCTGTAATGGAGACCACGAAAAGGAACAATGAGCCACAATGTATATCAGTCTTTCTCAAAGTCCTTGTGGGCACTAAAGCCTACAGGGGGGCGCAGAAAAAATTGGAGAAACCTTTTAAGAATACGACTAATAGCCCATTCTATTGGTGTACAATTGTAAAATTCTCCATCACCACGGTGAAATGCACCCAAAAGAATGCGCTATAATTATTAAACAAAATTATATTATTGATTCCAACTGGAAGGTATAATTTTTTTTTAAATCTACTTCCTTCTTACTAATAATAAGAATATTTAATAACTTAATTTTGAAGATCAAGGCGTAGGCATTAATTTAAAAAGGTTAAAGATCAAATAACTTGCAAATTAACCCACTTAACAAGGTGCAGTTTAAATCATTTAATGTGTCATTAACAAACATCATTCTTATTTACCTGCATTTTTGTATCTTCTGAAGTGCTAAGTCGTTTATATTGCTCGTCGCGAAAATCTGGCGTTATCCTGAGAACACTATCAGATACAGAACTCAAATCTCCAGTACTAATTGCCGAGTCGCAAGCGACAATCGCATCATTCATCTGTCTAGTTTGTTCTTCGAGTTGTGAAATCATATTTTTAGCCTAAATCAAAACAAAAATTAATACTTTATAAAAAAAAATTAGATTTATTTTTACTTGACTAATTGTTAATTGTGTATCTTGCAAACTATTTGTTAATTTATCCAATTTTTTCGTATAATCCGTTTTGAGTTGTTCCAATCTTTGTTCTTCTCGTTTTAAACCTTCCAATTGTTCCTTTTTACAGGATAATTCCGTTTCTTGTGCCGATATTACTTCCGCTTGTTCAGCAGCTTGCGATCTTAATTTCTCAACCTAAAGATGTTTTTAGATTTTTAATTTTATTTCCGAAATAAGTCAAATAACATCTAAAGATTTAAAAAATACAGAGTGCTTCCATTACAATTTAGAGATTATAAACCAAACTATAAAGTTTAACTACAATAAAACATTTTAAAAACACTCTATACATTAAAAAGACAATTAAAACGTTAATCATAAAGTGTGTAGAGTTTTTTTACCATCACCGATTTCGCTACAGCACCGTGCAAATTACCTAACTATAGCGCAAGTTAACACAAAAAAGAAGAAAATACATTAAAAAGAAATGAAATAAATATTACTAAAAACTCGGTATAAAATAACTTACCGTCGTCTTTTGATCGGCTATTTGTTTATCCACTTCCTCTAATTCAATGTCTATCGTTGATTTCTACACTCGGAAATTAAAAAAATAATAATACATGCTAAACTATAACTAAAAAATTAAAACAAACACAATTTTTATTTCAAGCATAAAAAAATTGCACCAAAACACAAAAAGCCAAGCAAAAGCATTAATTAAACGTATTTTTCATCATTCCTTATTTAAAAAAGATTTGTAACAATAAAAACACACAAATTTTATAATTTATTTGTTTTATATCACATACCTGCGCCTTTAAATCATTGAGTCGTTTTTGGGCTTCACCTTTTTGATTTTCTAATTGTTTAAACGTCGCCGCAAGAGTATCCAATTCGCTTTGTAAACTTTTTATTTCGCCACTTTTTATTTTTATGTCCGCTTCGCGTTGGGCTATGTCCGTTTCTAAACTGAGTTTTTCTCGCGACAACTCCTCTATATCTTTACTAATCATATCTAATTCGGGATTTGAATATCTAGTGTTGTTATTCTCCTGAAACAAAAACAGCATCTAATTTATTCAGTTTTTAAACGTACACATACGGTTACAGTATTGTAATTTTAATTTGTGACTTGAATAGAAAATTATCTGGTATGTTTCATTGTTGAATACAAATTAAATTCGTTATTAACAGCTGTGTTGTCAAATTTGGAAATGTAAGCGGAAAAAAATGTTGAAATAACTTAACATAATTTGTGGTTTATGATTAAGTTTAAGTTGGTACTTCAAATCAAATACATCTTTGACATCTGTAAGATTTATTTCACATAAATCAAAATGATTTCGATTTTAATTATGTTATTACTTATAAATAACATCATTCAAGATATAAACGGTTTATTTCGAGGAAATATAATGAAACAAATAAAAGGCAAAGCTATGGATTATTATAAATCGAAGTTTGGTACGAAAGGTTTAAATTTTATGGGTTACGAACTTTCCGAATATCCGGGTGCGAATGATATCTATCGAAAAGAAAACATAGCAAAATGGGAAGAGTATTACCAATGTTTAAACATGCAAAATGAAGCGTTAGGTTCTCTTAGAAACTTCGTCCCCGAAGCTATTTTGGCTTACGAAAGCGGTTACGTTAAGTAAATTATTAATTTATCACATCAAATTAACACTTTTATTAGATTCGATTGTAAAATTTGTTTAAGTCCTGAATCTCAACACAACCTCGAATCTGTCGAATGGGACTTTGGAAAAGAGGACGATAACTTTTTAATTGAAATCGAATTAACGGAACATGTTATAATCGCACCAGAAGATAAATCGTTAAGTATTTATAATCTTCAACTCGAACACACCGGTCAATACGTTTGCCGACTTGGACAAACTATAACAGCTCCAATTTATTTAACAGTTATTAAAGGAGATAATTTAACCGAAGTAAATTCAATAAATTCTCCCGTAAAAAAAAATAACCTAACATTTTTAGGTTCATGGTAAAAATGCTGAAAAAGGACCATTTCCACAACGTCCAAAAACGATTACCGGAAGCGATGCTTTATATTTAGACACTGTATGGAGTCCATGGTCGCAATGTAATCGATGTCATAAAGTTGGAAAACGTCACAGACATGGTTATTGCATTATTAAGTATGGAGAGGAAGATGTGGAGAGAATGCGAAGGGATGAGGAAAATATTACACAAACAGCTACGACGATTCCATTTAATAATAATTCCGGGTATTTCAGTGAAGGACCAATTAGTAAAGAAAATGTACGTGTTCTAAATCTTGGAACCAATCCCAAACCTATATTTTCATGTATAAAATTCTTTCCAATAAGCAAACGCTCTAATAAAAGGACGCGGTGTCATTATTTTTCTTTGCATAACGGGGAAATTTTTCTAATAAACATGATAAGACATGTGTTCGGGGATTCTACGTTTTACGAGTTCCGTTATTAGTTTTATTCGTTTGTAACGTGCGTTGAAATGCCGTCAAAGGTGGTAAAAAAACAGATACTTATATTAACAGAGAAAATGGAAATAGCGAGTTTATAAGATAAAGAAAAGTTGTCAGTTCAAAAGCGACAAAAATAGTCAAAGATAAAGAAAATTATAGATATGAAAAGAAAAATTCTGATAAGCGGACAAAAGTCGATTACTTTTGTCCGCTTATTAGAGCTTTCACTGTATTTAATTTAATTATTAATTAAATAATTACTGTTTTTAGACATCCGCTTGTGTAAATTGTAAAGAAATTGAATTGGATTTGTTAAAAATTTTTGAAGGTGGAATGCCGTGTGAATCTCACATTTTACCAAGTTCGTTTAAAAATCTTCCTGACGTGAAAGAACGTACAGGTGAAATAATGGTTGGATATTGTAAGGTAAATTTAGTAATTTTAATAATATCTAATAATACAACAGCATAATTAAGGTACCATGTCCTAAATCCCAAATATTTGAAGTAAAAGATAAAAGTGGAAAGATTATAGAATCAGCAAATAATTCGGCTGGAATTTATTCCATGTTACAACCGATTCCACCACCTGTGCCTCCTTTAGTGCAGCAGGTTCAATATGCTGCTAAAGGAAATGATATAACAATAGGTTGCCCTGGGTAAAATCTTTTATAATTTAATTTAACATAAATTAAAAAAAATATTTTGTATAGGAATTTAAATAGTGATGCACCAATAATTTGGCAAATAGCTGGTAAAAATGTAGTCCCCGAATTATTAAAACAAGATTCCCTTGGTCGAATTTTTATAACACTTTCCGATAAAATCCATATACGGCAAGCGAAAATATCCGATACAAATACATATAGTTGTTGGCAAAATGATGAAGTAGCCGGCGTTATACGATTGGTAGTTGAAAAAAAAATTGAAATGAATTTTAATCATCACATAATGTTGTTTGGTATAATTATTATTTTATCTACGTTTCTTTTGGTGTTTATGAAAGCGTTTTTTGGACGAAAATACGCAAAAACATAAAAATTATAAAAAAAGAAATACTTACCACAAGACCATCTGCGGATTTCGTTCGAAATGTTGGAGGTACCATTTCGGGGGTTAATGTTGCTGGTGGTTCTATTCCATTTAAACAACGCGCCACGAACCACATTGCCAAAGCGAATTGTTCGTTATTTAATTTTCCACATTGTTTTATATCACAAAGTGCCCTAAAAAAATAAAATAAACTTGATTATTAATATGATATTGATTTCATCTGAATAATAATAACATATTTAAAGTTATGTCCTTAGGTAACAAATTTTCAGCAATGCGTCAGCTAGTTTCATTACTATTCTGGATTGGCAGAAGAGTTGCTAGATAGAACACATTTCATTGGCACCTTAAAGAAGAACCACAAAGAAAATCCGAGTTAAGTGACCCAAAAAAACTGAAGCCTGGTGAATATATTACAAAAGAGAATCATAAGGAAATAATTGTTCTTTCCTGGTGAAATAAGCGGTACGTCCTGATACAATCGTCAAGAACAAACATAGAAAAAAACGGAAGTGATAATTGCTTACAATAAAGGGAATGATCAATCTCCACTTAGAACAACTGTCAAGTGGTATCAAAAAGTGGCGTTTGAGATTTTGATGAATACTGCTATGATTAATGCGTGATTGATGTATTAAGAAATTGCTTATGGTTTATGCAATACTCGCCCTTCTCCAGCAGAAGAAGTTCAAGCTGTCACGCCAAGCAGAAATCGTCGTTCACGTCATGAACTGTCTGAAAGAAAGTCCTAAAAACGTAAACTCTACAAGATGTGTTATGAAATGGCCAAAAACAAATCATGGGTGGCGAGTAGCTGGGAACTTAAAGAGGATTTGAACCTACTATAAAGGATGATGTTAAGGGGAGTCTCATCTGTGCATTAACAGTTTGAATAAAAAAGATCATTAGGAGTGAAATCCTATATTATAGCATCAGGATTTTGTTTACTGTAGGAAACATTTTCAAACCACTATTTTATTAAAAACTGAGTTATTTTATTTATTATTGAAACTTTTACGATAATAAACACTGATTTTCTAAATAATTTTTCTTTTATTTACAATTTTTTGATGCAAAACACTGATTCAATTATACAGGTGTTTCTAAATTGTTGCGAAAGATTTCAAGGGTGATTTTTTAGCAAAAATTAAGGGGTGTCTTTCATATAACATTTTATTCAAAACCCCTTCTCCTCCAAGTTAAGGGAAAAAATCTGCAACTTTCTTATACCTTGACATTTTACAACTAACAAATTGTTAGGTTTATCACAAAAAATAAAATAATGCTGAAATCAATTTGACAGAACTTCATTTCTTTGACTAATAATAACCAATCTCTAAAATAATTCACTTGAGCCTGTGTATTATTTTATTTTTTGTGGTCAAACTAACAATTTGAGAAGAAAATGTCAAGAGACAAAAAAGTTGAGTATTGAAACATCGGTTGATTTTCATTTTATTAGCAACAGTTATCTGCCAAATTTCATTCTTCTTAATTCCTCCATAGTGGATTTATTAATTAAAAACAATTTTTTCCTCCTACAGTGCTGTAACTTGGTGGTGAAGAAGTTTTGAACAAAAAGTTAGATAAAATTTCATTCTTCTAAATTCCTCAATAGTGGATTTATTAAATAAAAACAATTTTTTCCTCCTACAGTGCTGTAACTTGGTGGGGAAGAAGTTTTGAACAAAAACTTATATAAAAAACCCCCCTTAATTTTTGCTGAAAATCACTCCTTGAAATTTTTCGCATCAATTTAGAAACAGCCTGTATATATAGAAACGGTAGTCAACTTGTTAATACTCTAAGTTCTTTATTATTAATTTTAAAAAGTCTGGATTCTATTTAAATTAATTGTAGGCTTTAAGATAAACTTTATCTTCGAAATTTATTCTTAAAAATTGAGGTTATGTCAAACATTTAATAAACTTCACCAACTTGGTGCAAAGACTCTTTTCAAAATGGACAAGAATTGTTAAAATTCTTTTTTAAATAATTTTAACTTCTATCTTAAGGTTATATCTATTTGTAATATCCTAAAAATTTATTTAAATTCTCTATTTTTATAATCACCAAGTTTCTTTAAATAACAGGAAGTGTAGGCGTTTTCATCCCAGATAAAAAAAAGCAATCCAAATTCATGATAATAATAAATTTTATAACATAATTAATTTTTATCTTACCAAATATGAGCAAGAACAGGCGGAGGAACCCCAGATTGCAAAAAAACGTCTTTAATTTCCTGTCCCGAAACAAAACCATCTTTATCAATATCGCTTTTTATAAACAACGCATCAGATTTGCTTCGTTCTTCTGGCGTAACCACCCAATTCATTGTCGGTTGTACGGGTTGAACTGGTTTTGCGATATTTGATATAAGTGGGGCTGGCTGTTGTGGAACTTCCGGTTTAACACCATCCATTCCGCGATTTAACATATTTTGACCTAACGGGGTGGAATTTTTCCTTTTTGTTGATGGCATTAATTCGGGAGGTAAAGTATTGGGTATCGCATATTTTTCCAATGCTTTATAAACTAAATGCATTGCCTATTAAAGAAAAATTAATTAATTAAATTATTTTGAATTTTATTTAAATATTTACAGCAACAAATTCGTTTCTGTCTAATGAACCATCTTTATCTTGATCTGCTAAATCCCAAATTTTGCCTAATGTTTCTAATGGTAATTTTGAATCCATTAACACTCCTTTTACCTACACAAAAATCATTTTTCCACTTGAAACTAGGCTTGTTTACTCAGATAATTTAAACAGATAAATATTTAAATTATTTTGATAACTACATTATCAAAAAACAAATAAAACTCATCTTTTAAGATTTTAAACCACTGTATTATGTGAAAATAGCTTTTTAATTTACCTTATTTCCTGCTATCAAACCATTCATTGGTTGTAAACTTTCAAATAAATTTTCATATTTTTCCCTTTCTGCTGGTTTTATTGTCCAATCTACGGCTGTTGGTGGCAAGGATGTTATTAAAGGTGTATTTGTTGGTGGCGGTGGTTTAACAGGTTTAATTGTTGGAATATCACCCTTTAAATAAATAAAATACATATTTTTATTTTTCAATCAATCAATTTTTTTACCATTTTTGGTGGAGGTGTATCGATCCCTAAATTTGCAAGATTAATATCTCTTCCTTGTTGTGCTAATGCAACAAGTTTAAGGGCCACAAACATTCCAGTTCTATCAAGACAACCTCTTCCACCAGGATCAGAGAGATCCCAAACTCTCGATAAAACAACATCACTTAAACCGGATCTTTTAAGAAATCGAGCAGCTTCCATTGCCCCGATAGTGCCATAACCATTTGGATCAACCTTTAAAAAGGCAAAAGATGATCAAAATGATTTGATTTGAAATAAAGCGATTACTTACATAGTTGTAGTAAGCTTCATATATGGCACTGTGGTTACCAGCCACCTTAAAGAAGTCAATAAATCTCAATAAGCCTTGATAGTAATAATAACGATTAAAAAAAATCAATAATCTCATTCTTTTTATGTTCTTAACCTAGAAAGCTTACATAAAGTGCAGTCGCGAAAAAAATTAAAATCGTTTAAATTCTTTTCTTTAGATGTAAAAAAAATTATGTACTTTGAGCGACAAACAAATCGTTTAAACTATTTTTAGAAATAAATCCTAGAATAAACCCACTTTGAAAGCTACTTAGAAAGACAAGTTGTTGACGTTATTGACATTTTAAACGTCAAATGTAAAATTTTCGGGTCGTATTTTGACAACTACCACCTCCCCCTATCTATCTAACATAATGTGCCCCTCTCAAAAGTGCAAATTAAACCCTGATTATTTCTCGAAGAGACACCTTTTCGAACATGTTGATTTTTCGTCCGGCGAAAATGTATATGTTAAAATATCAGGATAAAACTAAGCTAAACCGTAGCAAAACCGCCCACTAAGAAAACACAAATTACACGCGCGATATCAACCAAATGAAACTAGAACGTCGTGTTGTCGGATTCCTTGGTAACCCGTTAACAAGACGGTTGCGCGAATTTCACGCGAAAGGTTCGTTTTATTCAATTTATCCCGAAAAATGCCTTAGTACCTTAGACGGTGACAAGGGTAGAGCGGCCATCTTTTCGAATACTGAAATAAAATCGTTTATTGGTCGGTGAGTGCAGGGATGTCAACCAATCAAAATTACAATCAATAGAGTCTACAATCATTCTTACCAACTTTAACCAAAATTTTATGTAATCCTAAATAAAAATTTATTTATATTTATACTTATTTTTTGTTTATATTTCGTATTATTTGAATAAATATTTAGACTTTAAATAATATATTGATGATTTGTATTTATAAAAAGGATATAATTTAAGAGTGCCCTCTATAAGCGACCACAAAAAATATTTTGACGTTTTATAAACTTCAAACAATTTAAACTAAAATGGAAGATCCTCAAACGCTATTAATGATGGTTTTAAAGCAGCATTTTCGAGATCGTCCACAAATTCTCGATGAAGCTCTACACATAATTAAAGAGTATTCTAATCAGGATTCAACAGAAGAACAATACGAAAAGGTGTTTTTTTAAAAATTTTTTAAACACTTTTAATGGAATATCTCTTTTAGACTGTTCAAATCTTACGTAAAAAGATGAACGATTTACCCATAGATATTTTATTATACTTCTTGAACATGGTTCCTTTACCTAAACAAGTCACAGAAAACTTTAAATCTTCAGTAGCTGAAGAAGTTCAAAAAAATAGCTTTCAATTAGATAAGTAAATAATTGAATAATTATTACAATAACTATTTGTAAAGGGAACAGTATGTAAAATCCGTATTTGAACACCCACCGAAAAATTAGAAAATCACGAATTACTCAAGAATGGTTGTGTAAATTTCAAATATTTTTGATGATTTATTTCACCTAGAAGAGTAAAAGCAAAAGTGCCCCCTCGTCACCGTGGCCTATAAGATCTATTGTAACTTTAGTCCTTCAAAGGTTTAGGGCAAATGTAGGTCCTTAATGAACCTTAGTGTTGCTCCAAGGTCTTGTTCCTTTATGTTGGTAGGTGTCAAAAGAGCTTTACCGAAATTTTTGTGTCATAGGCGGCCTCTGGCAACGCAATTACATAGTATATGTTCAGCCGTTTCTGACTCGTCGTTACAAAGTCGACAATTTGATCCTCAGCTTGTCCAATGTGGAAGAGGTGGTATTTCAGGGGCGCATGGCCAGCCAGGAATCCTGAGAGTGTCCCCGTTGCTGAGGCATAAAACCTTTTTGGTTTTGTTTTGCGACGGAGCTATGATACTCTTCGCTTGGCTGTGACCTGGAAGTTCTTTCCAGCGTAAGGCTACCTTCGAGGCCTTCCAACTATTGATTACTTGTTTTGGGTGCGCTTTTTTGTAGTCCACAACCGGGTTGGGGTCCAATGAAAAGCATTTTCGCTGTCTCTTTGGTCAGCTTATTCGCCTTCCCATTCCCCTTGATATTTCTATTACCAGTCTTGAGTACTTCGTAATTTTCTAATATTTCTGAGGGTGTTCGATTACGGATTTTGCATACTATAGTTTTCATATTTAATGTTTTTTTTCTTTTAAGCATTCGTTTCAAGTTAGTGGAATATTTAAACAGTAAAATCCCACCTTTAATTTCATTGAAACGAGATCCAGATAAAAAACCCTCACTTACCAGTGATTTTCTACGTCATAATGGAAATCCTATTCAATATGTTCGTCCCAAACGCGTATGGAGAAGACGTGGAAGGGCTAAACAGAAAGGTTTGTTATGTAACAATTAAAAATAATTTGTAAAACAATTTTTTTTCCTACAGATTGTAAAGCCCTTTTAGATATTTGCTCGGAATATGTTATAAAAAACCAAAATAAGCTAAAAAAATTATACAAAACAAAAAAAGAATTTGTTTGGAGCTTGGTAAATAGTAACAAATATGAAAATGAAGATTTAGTTTTGCTTTATGATGTTATTGAGGATTTAAACAAAAAGGAAAAATTTATTCGAATGATTGACAGTGAAGATGTTTGTTTTGAAGTGTTAATGGAAGAATATGGGGAAAGTGATGTTCTTTTAAAAGAACGGCAAATTTATGAAACTGTTACCGAAGATCCTTTTGAAATTACTGATGATTTAAGGGAAGCTGTTTCTAGTTTTGTTGATAATTTTTGAAATGTATTAATTTTGAAAGATGTTAAATGTTTAACCATTACATTACATATTCAATTCAATTCGTCAGTGTAAGTCCAGACTTCTTCTTGTTACTTGGAAATTGGTCAATGTAATTTGGAACAATATCTGGAAGTCTGGATTCTCAGCAGTGTAATTTGAAACTTTCTTTTTGGTAATTCTAAACTTTTCTCGTAATCTTCAATTCGGGTAGCGCGTCAATTTCACACTTCCTCTCGAAGTCCCAACCCAACCCACTTTAACCCTTGGAAGCATGATTTTCTTGATTAAATTTTAAAAAATATCAGTGTATTTTTTGTAGTAACCAAATAAAGGAAAAAATAGGGTTTATTAAGTTTAAATGTTTAAAAAAATACGATTTTTTTTTGAGGTAGGTTCACTCTAATTTATTAATATTCATAAATTATTACAATTTAATGCTTTGCATTGGCAGTGACTGATTCTGTGATCTATACACTTCAATAACAAAAAATTTCTACTTCCATTTTGGGTAATTCTATACAATTTTAATGCAGTAACAATTTGTGTTAAAAAATTAAGGTTCAGCAAAAAACAGAAATCATCTACTCTGTTTTTCTATACTTGTAACAAATCTTGAAATTGATTTTACAATGCGGACGTAAAATAAATATCCAAGTAATACTGAAACGATGGTGACCAACATCGAAACGCTTTCAAAAATTAATTTTGGGGTGAAAATCTTCCAAACCATTAAATGACGGCAGTGAATTGTACAAGATAACATTGCAGCAAATAACTAAAAACAAAAAGTGGTATAAAAATATGTTTTAATCTAAAAATAAACATTAATTTACCCTAACAGCATGAAAAATTAAATATTTAATGCACAATTTGGTTGTATTCCCCAAAAGAAAATCTTGATTCTCGAAAATTAACATTTCACCTTTATCAATGTCCTTTTTTAAAGTTCCCAGTTTGGTTTCTAGCTGTGGGAATATTTTGTAAATAGCCAATGGAGCTAATTGCAGCATTGGAAGTGTAAAACCAGTTAAAATATATGATCCGAAAGTATTTATTATAATTAAAGTGGCCGGAATGAAATTATTATCTAATTTATCACCAGTTCCGACAAATGCGGCTGTCCATGGGATATTTGAAAACGAAGCTTGATGTCCGGTTGCATAAAAATAGTATGATGACAATAAAGTCCATGTTGCTACAAGTGATGATGGAACATCGAGTAATTGATCTAAAAATAGTTGCTTTAAAATATTGGCTCAAATAAAATAATTTTTGTTACCTAAATTCAAAGATTTTTCATATCTAATAATCGAAGTTATCCCCATAATAATAAACAAACTAATAAACATCATTAAAACAGCCGGTGTATGTCCAATTCCAATTAAAAGAACAATCAGTAAAGTTAATAAAGTTGTTACCATAATAAATGGGGCACTATAAGCAGTTCCAAGCCCCCAAATCATCGGAATACGTTCATCACGTTTCGAGTTACTTTCAAATTTACTTTTTAACGTTTTGAAAACGGTGGTAATTAAATTGTCTCCCTCCCCCGATATATTTGGATCATTATAAAAGACAAAAATAGCGCTTGGGAATAAATAAATTACAAAAATTCCGGTTAAAATAATTACATATGAAGCTAAAGCAAAACCGTCAACGCCCCAAGAAGGCAAATTTTTTGTTAAACCATGTTTTGGAAACGAATTAACAGCCCAAAAAGCACTTATTGTAAAAACTAACATTGGTGTAGTGTATCGAAAGAAAATTACATTTGGACTTAAACCAGTTAAGTTTCCGCAATAATTTAACCAAACCCTAGATAATGTTATAATAACAATAATTGAAATAACACTAAAAATCCAATCCGAAGGTTCTGATTGCTTATCATTAACATTTTTACAATTGTGTTCTTCGCGACATTGAAAATAATGAAAAGAAATGCGAGATATAATCAAAAAAATCACAATTAAAACTGAAATTGTTGTTAACACTTTGCGTTTTAATTTAGTTTTGCTTACTTTGTATTTATTGCGTATTTTCAAACCCCCGTCTAATAAATTAATAAACAAAGCTGCGTTTAATAAATAAAAACTAACGTAAGATTCGTGAATAATATAACTGTTCGAAAATAAAGCGAAAATGCTTAAAGCTAAAACGCAACGAGTTAATAAATCGTCTCGTCCGTTTTCTTTACGCCTTTCACTCCAATTTTCCGCGATATCCTCCCATTGTAAACAAAGAAACGTCGGAAATATAAAACAAGCTATAAAACCGGATATAAAAATAAAGGATGTTAATAAATTATCAACGATTCCGAAATTATAACTAAAATAAGCTATTATAATCGATAAAAACAAACTTCCGTATAAAGCGAAAGAAATTTTTCGACAAAAATCATACAAAGACGTTTTAACCCCTTCTAAAATGTTATAAACGAAAACGGAAATAACTGCCAATAAAAGTAAACCACGTGCCATTAAAAAAGGATTAAATTCAACCCAAACGTCTCGACACATTTTTCGTGTATTATCGATAAAATTTAGCGCTTGTTCTGAAAATATTTTAAAATTATTTTTGTTGATATTCAAACGATCTAGAGATATTTGTTCAAAATTCCATGTTAATTCTTTTAATTGTTCCGCATTAAAAACATCCGACATTTTTGAATAATCTAAAACGTAATCAGTGATTTGTTTAACATTCATCCAAAGAGATATTGACAATTCAAGCCAAGAAATCGATGATGGTAAAGCATTTAAAATTAAAGAACCTACATTACTGTACGGTATTGGAACGCCTAATATTATTGATATTGTTGGAATTAAATCAACTTGATTTACAGAATCTAACTGGGGAGTTTGTGGTGAGTTTAATTGAAATTTTGAGTGGATGAAAAGAGTTGAAAGGATTTCCATGTCAGTTTCACCACCATGATCTCCTGAAATTAATATAATTGAATTGGATGTAATAAAATAAAAATTTTTGAACCTGTTGTTGTCATTCCGTGGTCTCCAATAACCATTAAAATTACATCGTCGGGTAATTCAGCAATTAATTTCCTTAAAAGAAATAATCGTTATGCCTATAACCTCCAAGTTTCTAATTTTAATTTTATTTCTACTAACAATCATCGTAAATTCCGCCAAAATTGCTTTCATTTGATATCAAACACGATATATTTGGTTAAAGTTAGATTATAAACTGTCAAATGTCAAAATTAAATATAACGAAAAAAAAATTTTTGGTTATAAAGGTATTCTTTTTTAACATAACTGGACAGAAAATTAAAAATGCTTTAAAATGAACCCAAACTCGACTTATTTATCTCTAACCGTTATTGAGATATCTTAATTTTTACAAAAAAAAAAGATGGTGATTATTTGACAGTTTTATAACCTAATTTTCTTTTTATTTTTTAACCAAAACATATCATGTTTGGTATCAAATTAAACCATTTTTGATTCTTATTAAGATCATTTCAATATTTATCAAAAATCGTTATATTTAATTTTGACATTTGACAGTTTCTAACCTAACTTTTTTTAATTTTTGAACCGAAATATATCATGTTTGGTATCAAATGTAAGCATTTTTGATTCTTATTAAGACCATTTCATTATTTTTCAAAAAATCGTTATATTTAATTTTGACATTTGACAGTTTCTAACCTAACTTTTTTTAATTTTTGAACCCAAATACCTATATCATGTTTGGTATCAAATGAAAGCATTTTTGATTCTTATTAAAACCATTTCATTATTTTTCAAAAAATCGTTATATTTAATTTTCACAAATTTCGGTAGAAGAAATTAGTATGAGAAAAAAATAAAAAAGTTAGATTAGCAACTGTCAAATATCAAAATTACATTAACATTTTTTTTGATAAACATTGAAATGGTCTCAAATCAATTATTTAGTTTAAAAATAGATTAAATTAGATTTATTTAAAAAAAAATATAGGTTAATTATTTTTTACCCAATAGCTTCATTCATTTCAGTTAATTTTCTTGCCATTTCCTTATGATTAGGTCCATATCGATGTCCACAATGATCAACTCCCAAATAATGTCCAATTAATAAATCCCAATCCTTTTTTTTTAATTCTTCATAAATATTATTGCTAACTCCTTTATCTACAGTATCCAAATCCATAACATTAAATGATGGAAAAGGATATTGTCGAAGAAATTGATTTGGATATAATCCCAACCAAGTATCATCACCAAGAAAAACAACTTTTTTATTATTAATAACTATTTGATTAATAAAATTGTCTTCTTTTATTGCTGTTGAAGCAAAATTTGAACCAGCATCAATAAACGTAGGTAAACTTCCTGTTGTTAAAGCTTTTAATCTTTGCATTGTTGTTGTTGGAGGATCAGCAACAAATTTAAACAATCTTGTAGATTCTGGTTTCGATTTTAGTACATCATTAATAACAGGTATTTTGTTCTCATAAGGTAAAGGATTCGTAATGTTTTCATTATAAAGACTAAAATCATATCGAAATGCATCAACAACAACCAACAATACCCTGGCTTTTTGGTCTAAACACATCGAAAAATCTTTCTCGCTCCATTTATCAGGAAATCGTTCCTCTCCAACCGAGTTTTTATTAATCTTTTCGTTATAATTACAAGCGGCGACTTTCTCGATAGCTTTCTTTGTTAACAAAAAACCGCTGTGAAATAAGAGGTTATGGGACAGGATTGAGAAACTGAACCATACCAGAAAAAGTACGTAATAAAAGCACTTCGGCATTGTATCACACACGAATATTTTTTTGGTTGTAGTTTATCACAGCATTAAAATAGTTTTAATTGTTCCAAATTTAATTACATAAACTTAAGTAAATACCGCATTTGGATTAAACAAATACGGTTAAAAATGGTTTTGTGTTGAAATTTTGACGTTTGTCAAAAACATATGATCATATCGCCATCTAGTGAAATTATTTTATATTAGTGATAAAAATCATTTTAAAATTTGAAAAAATTTTGATGTGTGTTAAAATAAGTAAAAGTAAAATTTCGAACTAAAATCTTATCTTATATCTTTTGAAATTATAAATTTGGACCGATTTGCAACGAGGCAAACGAAATAATTTTTATCAAGATCTATTTGACGATAGAGGGCACTACTATAAAGTGTTCTCTATTTTGCTTATGAATGTTGCCTAATTAGCGCCTAATTTGGATTAAAAAGTGTTCATAATTATCGGAAAAAAAGAGAAAATGATTTAAAGAACAAGTTCAAACTAAAAAAGAGCCATTCTAAGCTCTGCTTCATTAGAGCTAAAGCTATCAATTTTATGAACGATACCTCTTATAAACCATTTGTCGTAAGTAAAGGTTCGAGAAATTTAAAAATCATCACACTTTTCCATTTGAAATTGATGGACGAGTCTGCTTCGGCCGATGAGGCAGCAAAGCTGTATTAAGGATCTGTAAAGGGGATAGTTTAAGATGGTGGTTATGTCCCACAGGTTATGCAGATGAGACCAGCCTTTTGAAAAAAAATGTCTTCAAGAACTTTTTTTGTCCACAAATGAAAAAATTGCTGCTGGTTTTAAGGTGGCTAAAGACTTTACCACAATTCTGGACAAATTACAACATTGCTGGAAGAAAATATGACCAAATGTTGGCACATCAAAGAATAGTTTTAGTGACCACCATACAACTGTTAGATATTGAAGAGCAACTTGAGTCACATGATTCTGAATTGAAAGACAAAGAGTTGGCCGATTTAGTAACTGATCATAATCATGAATGCAGTGACAGTTATGGAAATAACGAAAACACTTTTCCAGCTCTGTTAACTCTTAAACAGTTAATAATTGTTTAGAAATAACAGAAAGAGTAACATATATATTGATAGAAAACGATCCTATAATAACTAAGTTTAAAGGCATAACGTGAGATCTATAATGCCTTTAGATTTTTTTTTATCTTAGAAGTAAATTTAAACTTTAAATCAGTTCATTTATGAATTCACAATATTTTCAGACAATGCAGCTGAGAACTAAGTATCAATCAATTCAACGGCGCTACATCTCAAATCGAGCCCTGGCCTCCTCTTTCTAGAAGTTTCGTAACGGTGCGCCTTTTCCGACGTGTGATCGTTAATCACACGGTCAATCCCCTTAGGAGGAAAGGCAGCTAACTACCACTAACGACACCAGAGGTGTTCGACTGGTGCCGGGACCGACGGCTCAACGTCCCCTGTGAAGGACGGCGAGAACTAAATATAACAACCTATTTTTTTTAACTACATAATCAATAGTGAAGATTAAATGTATTACAACTCAACATCTTCTTAATCCTTGGAACCGAATACTTCTAATTCAATATAATAGAGAGACTACTGAATTTCTTTTAGTTCCAAGTTTTCAACTTTTTATGCTATTAGCAAGATAGGTAACCAAAGTAACTATATGATTATGTGCGCCATCTAAAATTTTACTGTTTTTTTTTATTGCTTAATTACAGTGTATTTTGTTGGGTTTTTCCAACGATCTATCAACGTCGTTCACTTCGCTCGTCTTTGTATGAGCCATTACAAGACTTTTATACACGTTTGTTTATCCCAAGTATATGCTGTACCACCTGTCTTTGTCGACTAGTGTTTATAAACACTAACATGTTTATACTTCCGGCCGCGAGATAGCCATAATTAAAAATATTTACAAATATCCACTTATTTACTAATACTCGGTGTATATCAATGGGATAGATTAAAATACATTATGGCTCATCCAGAGAGAAACGAAGCAAGCGATGTTATCACATCATTTTTGGAGCTACGATTTGGCTGTTGATAATGATTTAAAAATTTACTCTGTTTTATAGACTCCTTAAAAAATATGATCATGTTATTTAGATTAGGTTGCGTTATTAACTAACAAAACTTTAAATACTTTTAAATACTTCTTCTTCTTCTACTTTCGACTAGGGATGCATTCCTGTTTGTCAAAAACAGTATCAGTTTGTCAGATAAATAAGAATTGATTTAATAGTTTAGAAGAACAGGTAAAATTTGAATGAAAGTAACTGATTGATTTATTTTTCTTTGGCTTACATGTAAATTTTAATTTAATTAGAAAATCGTGATTAAAAATTCATTACCACATAATAAAGGTTTCAATGTCATCAACATGTTTATTTTTGCAACATACAAGAGGTATTAAATAAAAAAAACAGCGAAAATCTGTAAACACATTTGTTTTCAATTTCCCATAAGCAATATTTTTTTGAATTTCCAAGAACATGCACTTGATAACAGAACGTGTCAAAAGGTTGTTAAAAATGTCGGGAAGTTTGAAGGTCGACTCTGATTTTACCAGGAACGTTTTCTTTTCGATCTTAAGAGAGTTGAGACATCACGAAACCAGTTCTTATTCTTATGTAAATAAGTTTCTCGTGTATAAGTCTCCTAGAAGAGTTAAGTACGTCATATACGTTTCCAATAATTCTCGTTTATCAATGTTTATGTTTATTTAGAAGAAACGGGTAATCTCGTAAAAGATCGTCGTGGGAATTTTTGATTTTGTATGTGGTCATTTAGGTTGTAATTGTTATTAAACAGATCCGTACTATAAAATATTGATTCTTACTTTCTATATCACGTATTTTTTAAAAATCTTTTTACTTAATTACATAGAAAAGTTAATTAATCTTAAAATTAGTATTTACTTGTTAGTTGTAACAAAGGTGGACGATTACGACATTATAAACGTTTCAAAACGATTTTTAATTTGTTTTTAATTGGATAATAATAATTAACATAATGTTGAGACGATTTGGTGTTATTCTTTTGTATAAGTTCAAGGAGATTTTATTTTAAATATGAGACCGGCCCTGTTTGTCCACCTCTTTTAAACATTTGTTTATACTCATATAAAATTATAAAATAGCCTTGCATTCGCCGGTTTCAACTCAGTTTGACTGAGTTCTTCGACATCGAAGTAAAGATGAGGTCGTTACTACTGTGTAAATTGTTAATGTTAGTGGGGTTAGTGCTGTGTGAGAATGAAACTGAAAATTCGAAGTAAACACAAAACAATCTGTTTTAATTGTATTTATTTATTAATTTTTTTAATTTATAGTACCAAAGAGAAATTTGAATATATTTTTACTTATCCACAATCGATGATATCGGAAGGAAAAGTAACCGGTTGTTTAACACTAAACAATGCTAAATTACCGGCAAAATTAGATGTTACATTTACGAAAAATAAATGTAACGGAAATGAGTGCAAAAATAGTTTCGATGTTACAAAAGGTAAAAACACATTTCATAACCGATTCGATTTATTCTTTTTTTAACAATATTGTTTAAAACCAACGTTATTATTTTGTTGATTTAACTTCAAGCATTGTTATTAACCTTGATGGGATTGTATTTGAGTGTGTGATTTTTTGTTCTTTTTACAACAAAACTTTCGTCGTTGACCTTAAAAAAAGAACATGATGCGCGTTGAATTCATTCATGAGATTTTTTTTGTAGATTATGTGGAAGTTCCTAAATTAAAAAAAGAACCGTGACACACATCGTTATTTAATAATTATTATTTTGTGCTTTTGACGTCAATCCAAAAATTTTTTTAAAAGTTTTATTAATATTAAACGTTTGGTAACAATCACGAGATAAAACGAAAGAAATGTCAAAAGTGACAGTTCAAATACATTATCACTGTCAAAAATTTATGTCATTTTTAATATAATATATTATAATTTCATTTTTATTATTATACATAGTTCTATAATGTTTACATAATGAATACAATTTAAATCGATTTCAAGATGTATATAATTTAATCTTTTTCACCAATTGGCTTTCATCGTTGAGTATTCGAATCATAATTTTGGTTTTCTAAGTTTCAATATCTTTTTAATTTTTTTGGATCAAGACAATGTTGTTAAGTTTGCTTAACCATGCTTTCTTATTCAATATTTCTACATATATATATACCTAGTTGCTTGATTGGCAGCATATTCCCATGGCGGTGGTCTATTTTTACAATAGATTGCGTTATTTATTTCTAATTTTAAATTTGCATTTATATACATACCAGGAATTTCATATAACTCGCAATATATAAATATAGTAATATATTACTATATGTAATAAAGCTTAATAGTACAGGCATTGGGTAGTTTTGCAAAGGAAAAATTTTGCTTGGAAAAAGGTGACGTCCTTATGACAACCCTGAGTTTTCGGCCGTCTTAAGAGACGCACGGTTAAATTCGAATGCTTTGAGTTCTAGGTTTTGTGTTCGCTTTAGAGACAGTGTAAGTACAAAACTAGAACTAACACTAGACCGAAAACTAGAAACACTTGGATTTAGCCACAAGTCTCTCAAGACGGCTAAACCCGAATGATTTGAGTTCTAACTCTAGTGTTAATTCTAGTTTTAATTGTAATTCAGCGTTAGATTGTTGTATACTTTTATTTAACGAAAAGTAGAACCCAAATTCCAATTTGTCTTCTGCTTCCTTTCTTAGGCGTTTTTCTAATATTTTTCTTAAAAGATAATATAATTAAAATACTTGATCTAGAATTGTTAATAAATCTTCATACATTTTTAGATTATCAATGTTTTGAATTGGACGTTCCAAAAGTATCCGAATCTGAAAGATATATCCAAAATCGAGATGCTCTAAAAATTCAATTAACAATTGATGGCGAAACATATGAAAAAACCGGAAAAGAAGATATCACAATTTTTTCTACATCAAGCATTCTTTTAGTGGAAACTGATCGAGGACGATACAAACCTGAAGATTTAATCAAAATTAGAATTTTAGCGTTGGACTTTGATATGACACCATCAATTGATAAAATTGTAATTAACTACTTTTACTTTTACATAAAATGGAAATTATTTTTTTTTAAATTTTTTAACAGATTTCTAAAGCAACTTTACTCAATCCTCAAAGAAATAAAGTTAAAGTGTGGGAAAATATAACTACTTCTAATGGTTTAGCTCAATTGGAGTATCAATTACAAGACAGCGCTCCAATGGTAAAATAAATACAATTATTTTTATGCTTTATGATAATTTTAGAATCGTATAGCAACTAAAATTTGGAAGATAACCTCGGCATCTTTACTTTATCTTAAACCAATGGGATAATTTATTTCTTTGTTATCAAGAACTCCAGACTTGTTATTTAATCTTAATGTTTACCAATATCACCTAAAAATACATTTCGAACAAATTCTTTGAATTTTTTCCTAAATAATTAGTTTTTTTTTCTTTTATTTAGGGTTATTGGACGTTAAATATTAATGACACCGCTCACCTTGGTTTCCAAGTGGAGGCTTATGTTTTACCACGCTTTCAAACTACGTTGGAGCATCCAAACAATTTCTACATCGATGATAAAACCATCGATATTAAAATCTGCGCGAAATATTCTTATGGACGTCCTGTTAAAGGAGTTGGTGTAATTAAAGCTAAAGGAGCTAGTTATTATTTTTATAGGAATAATGTTGAAGCAACTGCTGTTAGTAAATCAGAAGAGGTAAACATTTCTATCTATCAAATTTACTTTAATAAACATTTTCTTTGTGAATTTACAGCTGAAAAATGGATGTGTAACACTTCATGTACCTGTGAAAGATTTGGAAATAAACAGATCGAGGCATTTCAGTTTGGATGTGTCCGGAAGTGTAACGGAACAAGGAACGGAAGAAACACAAAATGCAAATGGTTATATTTATATGAACACGGAACCTTATCGCGTTTATTTTGATTATTCAAACACGGAATTAAAACCTGGATTACCTTATCAGGGTACTTTAAATGTTAAGGATAGAAAGGTGGATTTGAATGGAAAAGTATTGAAAATATGTTATAAACACAGAGACAGCTGGGATTCTAATGCAACAATTACCGATTGTCAAGATATCGTTATGGATAATAGCGAAGATGTTTATTTCACAATTCCTCCTTTAAAAAAATTTTCAAAAGGACAAGTTTATGTTGAAGTATTACTAAAAATACAATATTAATTTAATTCATTATAAACTTATTTAAAAATTTGTAGGCAACTTTACCCAAGTTTAATACTAATGAGGATGATGAAGATTTTCGACGTTACCAAAGTTCTCCAACAATGTATTTAACCCCTTCTTATTCTAATAGCAATAATAGCATACAAATCGTTGATGAACATTTACCAAGACATTGTGGTGAAGATGTCACTTTTAAAGTATTTTATACACTCAATCATATTAAACAAGACGAAAAGATAACATTTAATTATATGGTAAACTAATTTCATTAAATTTATTTCAATTTTAATAAAATAAAACAATATTTTATATTTACAGTTTATATCGCGATACGATGTTGTGAAAACCGGACATGTTGATGTGCAAGCAAAAGGTGAAACATTTAATCCGAAGAATTTCAAAAATATTTTCAAAGGTGAACACGAATTCATTCAAAGCGATGATGTTCCAATTGGTGAATTTGAAATCAAAGTGAAACTTGATGGTAAAATTTACACTCAAGCGAAATTACTTGTGTATTATGTTACTAATGGTGAAGTTATTGTCGATGAAGTTAATGTTGATATTCAAAAATGTTTACCGAACATGGTAAGAATTAATAACAAGAATTAAATTTTGAATTTATTTAAATTGTTGTTTTAGGTGGATATAAAATGGAATAAAGAAACTTTAGAACCTGCCGAAAAAGCTTCATTAAAAATCTCAACGGGAAAAGATTCGTTATGCGCTTTGACTGGAATTGATAAAGCTAGTACTTTCCAATCACCACCGGATGAGTTTACCGTCGATAAAATTTTGGGTCCAACTGAATACGGAAGATATCCCTATTATTACTATGAAGGAAGGCAATGTGTTATGAGCAAAAAAGATTTGGAGGAGGAGAAAAAAAGTAAAGAAGAAGTAGTAAATGATTCTTCAAATGGAACAACAACCGTGTCAATGCCTTATGAACTTCGAGAGACAGTTTGGAGACCAATTACAGGAACGGATGCTAGTAACATTTTCCAAAACGTACACGTTGGCGTTATTTCCAATCAACAATTGACGACAAAACCATGCGAAAAGCATACTTTTCTACACCATCCAATAGGTAAGTAATCAAAAAAAAAATAGATTATTTAAAATTTGGTGGTGGTTAATAACGAAATTTATTTAAAAAGTTTTTCGTACAAAAACAGCCTTTGCTGCTGCTGGACCAGCGTTTACTAGAGGTCCAGAACCTGATGGAATCATGTTAATGTCAAGTTCAACTCCTAGTTTAAATAGAGGTAACGTATTTTTTATTTTTCTGTTTTCAAGAATATGCTTACGAAGAAGGCAATTCCTTAGAACCAGTTTTAACAACTACTTCTGTAGTGGAAGATGCACTAGTGAACAAAGAAAGTGCAGGAGAAGGGGGCAGCGCAACAAATTCGCCAGCAAGAACTTATTTCCCAGAAACATTCCTATGGGATTTAGTACCAGCAAAGTAGATACAAATTATACCTTTTTGCAATCACAAATTGAAATAATTTTAATTCTTGCAGTGAAGGACAAACTGTCATTGAACGTACAGCACCAGATAGTATAACAAATTGGGTGACGAAAGCTTTATGCGTTTCAAAATCGAAAGGAGTCGGCTTAAGTTCAACTGTTGAATTAAACGTTTTCAAACCATTCTTTGCGGACGTTTTAATGCCATATTCCATTAAAAGAAACACGGAAATTATGCATCTTCCAGTAGCCGTTTTTAATTATATGAATCATAGCGTACCGGTTCGGTTAACACTTGGCGATAATGATGAAATGGAATTAGTCGATGGGGCTGATAAAAAAACAACTAGCATGTGTGTTGAAGCTGGAGACAGTTCAACCCATATTTATAAAATTAAAGGATTAAAAATTGGCGTTTTAAACGTTAGCGTAACAGCGGAAATGGATCCTCACGCAACGGAAAATTGCGGAAATGAAAAGATTATCGTAAAAAGAGATTTAATTTACAAAACAGTGAAAGTTGAAGCTGAAGGATATCCAAGTGATATTGTAAGAAGTGCTTTGTTATGTGCTAACGACTCATTAGGAACAGATCACGTAACCTGGACTATTGATTTACCAGAAGGAGTTGTTAATGATACAATCGATGGATCTATAACGATTAGTTCAGATATTTTAGGACCAGTTATTGAAAATTTAGATAATTGGTTACGTGTCCCATCCGGTTGTGGCGAACAAACAATGGCTGGTTTAGTTCCGAATCTCTACATTTTAAGATACTTGAAAGCCAATGATGCGCTTACCAAAGAAATTGAAGCAAAAGCTTTAAAAAATATGGAAACTGGTTACCAAAGAATTTTGGGTTATTCGCATGAAGACGGTTCGTTTTCGGCGTTTGGTAAATCTGACCAAAACGGTTCAATGTTCCTCACAGCGTTTGTTGTTAGAACGCTCCGATTAATGAAAGAGTACATTCATATTGATGATGAGGTTATTGATAAGGCTGTTAAATGGATGCTGGAACATCAAAATCCCAATGGTTGTTTTGAATTTGTTTCGCATGTTTTCCATCCAATGGTAATATATATTTTTTTAAATAATTATTAATTAAATGAAGTTTATTGTTTATCTTCAATTAGGGTGCTGATAACGACAAAGATAACCAAACGTCCGCTTTAACATCATACGTAGCTGTTAGTTTAAAAGAAACCAATATCGAAGTACCAGATGAAGTTTACTCAAAAATTAAAGAATGTATTTCAAAAGCCGATAAGTCAGATAATTACACAATGGCAATCTCATCTTATGCTTTATCATTGATGAATCTTCCAGAATTAGCTAACGCAAATATAAAAACTTTATTAGATGCCGCGGATGTTGAGGATGGCAAAATCTTTTGGCAAAAGAAACATACTGGTTGGTGGTTTTCGGGTGCACAAGATGTTGAAGTAGCCGGATATGGTCTTTTGGCTTTATTACAATCGGCGACACCCGAAAACATTGGTCACGCTGGTTCGGTTGTTAGATATTTACAAACCCAAGTAAATCCTCAAGGTGGATATTATTCAACTCAAGATTCTGTGGTTGCTTTGGACGGAATGTCTCGGTTTGCTAATTTAGTGAATAAGAAACAACCTAATTTAGATATTGACGTGTCCACGAAACAAAATGGAAAGAAGAATGTTGAAATTAGAAAAAGAATTAGGGATAGTAAAGTGGAAATTCCTTTGGTAGAATTTCCCGAAGTAATTGAAGTTAAAGTTAAAGGAGATGGTTGTGTTCTTGGACAAGTAAGTTTCTATTTCGTAATTTTTTTTTTTATTATAAAGTAAAATTATTTAGGCTGCAGTTAAATTTAATATAAATGAAAAACCAAAAGTTGAAGCTTTAAAACTTAATGTTACTGCAAAATCAGCCACCAAAAAAGAACAGTGTACTTTACTCGAAATAAAACCTTGCGTATCTTATAATGCCAAAGGACATTCAAATATGGCACTTTTAGAAGTTTCTATGCCTTCTGGATACGTCCCCGATCAAGCATCTTTATTGGCATTAAAAGGAAGTGTTCAAGGTAAATTTCGCACAAAACTATTTCCAGCATAATAACTATTTTTAAATAATTTTAGAAGTGAAGAAATTCGAATTGATAGATGACAAAGTTGTTTTTTACTTTGACAAATTAACTTCGAACGAAATTTGTGTACCTTTTGTGATAGAAGAAACTGTCGTTGTCGAAAATAGAGTTGACTCTATTGTAAAATTGTTTGATTATTACACACCGGAAATCAGTGTGTCCCAAAGTTACAAAGTACCCGTTTGTGAAGGAGATAATGCGATTGATCGTTAAGAAATTTTGATGGAAACAATGTACTTATTAAGTGTTTTCAAAATGAAATTTTTATGCATTAATCTTTGTACCTACATCTAAATATTAAAGAAATTTTTGAAAATCTTTATTTGTATTTTTTTGTATGTAATCTGTAGAATTAAACGTCACCATGTTTAAGCACTACTAAAACATGTGTTTCTTCTACAACTTTGTTTTTTCAATCTCTGGGGCGAAAAGCACAACGCCAACTTTAGCAATGTTACTTGTAAAATCTCGAAAATAAAGCATAGCAAAAAAAATGCAGAGACAACGAATTTGGGACATCCTGCACAGAAGTACCTAGAAATACTTAAACTGGTCTTTTATTAGAGTATCTTGTCCAACTAGTTTCGCCACTCGGCCATCATCAGAAACATCTCTAAAAAGAAATCCCCGAAACCTAAAAGTCAAAAATGTTAAATAGCTTTAATCTTTTAAAAATATTTGACAAATTCTCTGGTTAACTATATATCAACTCTGGTTACTCTCTCTAATTAACTATTAAGGGGAGAGAGTATCTATCCTTCCCAAATCATTTCCCTCGCCCTTGACTGTGTCAACATATCATTAATTACATTTTCTTGGAAAATTTAATTCCATTTTTATGCCTTTTGTAATCATAATTAATCGAATTAAAAGAGAAAAATACTCCGTGAAATTGCTGTTTTTGTATAGATCTATTAAAAAGTGCTAAATCGTATTTTGTGTTGATAAAAAAATTCATAAAAGACTTATCAAGACACGATTTTTATTTAGTTCCTTATTAGAACTAATCAAGAATGAATTTATTAATTTTATTATGTTCCTTTTTTGTTGGGACGTTAGTAACATCTCAATCTTCATCTGGGTACGTTAAAAATCACCTTAAAATTGTCTAGATCTAAAATAATTGATTTAATAGGATAAAATACGTTTTGACCGTGTCTAAATCCGTTGTTTCTGGAAGTCCTACGACAATATGCCTTTTAACGCAAAATTCAGATTACCCACTTGATATAACATTAGGATTTAATTATACCGATGTTAAAGATAATTTTGAAATAACAAAAGGTAAGTTATTAAAAAATAATAATAAAATAATATTCTTTATTTTTTAGAATATGCTTGTTTTCAATTAAATGTACCACCTTTTTCTGGAATCATGCCTGGAGCGACGTATTTAACAATAACATTAAACAAAAAAGGGGATAGTTCTCCTTTAGTATCATCACATTCACGTATAATTACCGTTTTTGATGCGGAACGGCCAAATTATCAATTACAAATGGATAAATTACATTATAGAGTTGGAGATAAAATTCTGATTCGAATATTTTCAAGTAATCAATACACAGAACCAGTTAATGATGAAGTATTAACAAAATTAACATTTAATTTCACCCATTTTAAGTTTTTATTACTATTTTTTTAGATAAAAGATATTGCAATACTGGATCACGATAAAAAGGAAACTATTTCATGGAAAGATCCTAAATCAACTGTTGGGATACTTCATTTAGAGTATGAAATAAAAGAAAATGATCCAGTTGTAAAAAAAACACCTATTATTTTAATATTTACAAAAACATTTCAACATTTTTTTCTTTTATTTTAGGGAATTTGGTCGATAAATATAAACAATAATGAAATGGTAAAAGAATTCCAAGTAATTCCTCCACATGTGCCAAACGATATTCAAGTCATATTAAAGTTTCCGGAATTTGTTAACTTAAACGATCGTAATGTTACAATAAAAGTCTGTGCTCTATATACAAATCAAAAACCGGTAACTGGCGAGGTTTTATTTTCTATAAATCTTATTAAAAACAAAATGACAGATTCAGACTCAGATATAATTGAAAATGTTATTGGTGGAGAAGAATTAAAAGACGGTTGTGCAAAAAAAAATATTGATTTAACCAACATTGATTCAACGATTCTTCAGAAAATTGAATTTAATGCAACAATTACCGATTCCGTTACAAAAAGCGAGCTAAATGAATCGGGCTTTATATCTGCTTATCCATCGGTATATCCATGTGATATAAATATTGAACTATTAACGCCGAATGGAAGAGTCCATCCTGGAATACCGTTTGTGGGAAAAGTAAAAATTTCAGATAGAAAAGTTGATTTAGATGGGAAAACTTTTCAAGTGTGTTATAAAGTTTTATACCTCGACAATGCTGATTCATTAGACTATGTTTTTGAAGATTCCTCAAATCCTAAGTATTGTGTGGATATTATAATTGGAGTAAAAGAATATTATGTATTTACAATTCCACCTTTTAAATATAATACGATAAAAAATGTTGCGATTGGGGTAAATAATTTGAACTTTATTTATAAGTCAACAATATACATACTCTTTTAGGCAAGACTAGTGGATTATCCAAAAATTACAAGTGAGCTATTTTTGAGGGCAACCACAGGTGAAAATAGTATAGAGTTAGTTCCGGTAATTCCATCGAATTTAGAAGAATGTAATGAAAAATTAAATTTCATAGTTACTTACACACAAAATAATGTAAAATCTGATATAACCGGATTTAATTTCATGGTAAATATTAAAAAAGTTATTTTTATTCTCTCTTTATATAAAAATAAAATTATATTCTTTTTAGATCACTTCTAGAAGTAAAACTGATAAAGCCGAATGGATTTCAACTAGTGAAGCAATAAAACAAGCCTATAATCCCGAAAATCATCAAAACCCAATACTTGAGAAAACAGATTTTATTTTAGAATCCGCCGAAATCTTTACAGTCCCCTTTGAAGTAAAAAGTACCGACATCAAACCAGATGAACACAATGTAATTGTTTATTATTTACCTAATGATGAAATGATTTCTGATGGTTACGGTTTGAATATATTATCATGTCTTAAACATAAGGTAATATATGTTTTGTATACAAATCAAGAAAATGAATTAATTTTTATTCTAGGCCGAAGTATCTTGGGAAAAAGATACCGTAAATACAAATGAAAAAGTAGTATTAAAAATTTTAACTACTAAAAATGCGATTTGTTCCGTTTCGGCAACGGAGGAAACCCCGGAAATAGTAAATTACATCCCAACATTGTTTGAATCACCTTCAATGAAATGTTCTGAAACCATGCCTAATAATATTTCCTCTAACACTAACACAATTTTGCAAGTAAGTGATATAGAAGTATTGACTAATCAGCTTATGAATAATTGTGTTAACAAAGATAACACATCTAAACGAAAAAAAAGGGCAATTTTTAAATCGATAAATATGGATAGCACAACATTTTTATGGAAAATATTACCACCAGCAGAGTAAGTTCTTTTAGATCAAATTTAATAAATTAATTACTATTAATATTTTTGTTTTGTTAGGGATAATGTCATTTACATAGAAGAAACCGCTCCGAATAAACCTGGAACTTGGGCGACTTTAGTTTTATGTTCTTCTGCGGAATACAACGCTATGAGTGGAAGTCAAACCATTTTGAATGTTATTTGAATAGACAGTGATTAAAAATAAATAAATATCAATTGTTATTACAATGTAATATTTCTTTGAATCAATTCATTCAATAACTTTATAACAATTAAACTCAATAACGATGGTTTTGGAAGATATAGAGATGGAAAATTCTCGAGAAAAAAAAAAATAGGAGAATATTCTCGATTTTGAGAATTTTCTGAGAACAAGTTTTTAAAATATTTAAATGTATTGTACAGTTCCTTCCACTATACAACGGGATGTAGTGTTTCCACGGATTTTAAAACATATAGTTTTCCAAATAACCCTTCTTTAGATCGATAAAGGGCACCTCTGCAGCCTCATCTGGGCTTGTTACAGTAGCCATATTGTCTATAAACTCTGTTCCTTGTATTTGTTCTTCTCTATTAAGATAAATTCCATTAAAATTTGGATCTAGAATATTTGCAGCAAAATGAATTGAATTTATTACCAAAGCAGCTATGCTTTGGTGTCATTTCTTTCAGTTTGCATTCTTTTGAAAGTAGCCAATAGTGAGAATTTTTCAGTACCAACTTCTCTCAAAATTTCATTGATTTTTTCAGCATTACAGTCTGCGGTATGTCGACAAATATTTGTTGGCAGTTTTAGGAAGTTTTATAAAACACAGGGTTTGGTGTAGTAATAATGCAGTTAAGTATGTATTCCTGTAAATTTGTATAACACTGTAATCTAAGATCATTCGCTTCTCCAATTTTCATATTAATGTCTGCATAAATTGTACCATTAAAATAAAGATTAAAATTACTATGAGAAGTAATAAAACCTTTTTATTGCCGTTTCCATGGTAATGGATGGCCACGTCGAGTAAATGTCAGAGATAAATACCTGCAAGAAGAAGTCGAAAGAATGATTTCAAGAGCACAAAAAAACTCTCTTGGCTCAAGTCTTTTGGTAACTGGGAGATCTTAATTTTTCATAAACGCATCTGTGGAAAAGCGGAAGGCGGAGGGGGCGCTCCTCTGGGACCAAAGAACCCTCTTCCAATCGCGATGAGTTGCAACCTAAAACAAACAGAAGTAAAAGTAATTGAAAAATAAAATTTTTCATACCTACCAACTGAGATGATGTCAAATGGTGGCGGCATCACAGCTCCCATCTAACCATGGAAGAAATAACCAGATGGGTAGCACCGGAGAAGACAGGAGGGTTTTTACTGGGTTGTACTGGGAGACACTGAGACCCAGACTGCCGATCAAAATACACCTTACCAACATCTCTAGGAGCTTTCTCAACCTCAATTCTATCAAACTGCATCTAACTTAAAGGAAGGGCATTCGTTTCCACACAATCCACATTCTGCTGGATTGAAGGATTGACAAAAACCGAAGAAATCAGCAAAAGAATTAATTAAAAAATATTTTATTGGATAATTAAGTATATATACATATTATACATCTATTTACAATAGGAAATAACATTTTTTTGATCAACACACATCAAAACGTTTTTTTTAAGTATTTTAATTAACTTTGGTGTTTAGTAGGAATACTGAACTGTTATGTACTATTATTTTTTTATATAATTAATTGCAACGTTTTAATTGTTTTAACTATATCAACCTACAACCAAAAAGCTCTAAGTATTCTCTAAAAACTCCCATTATATTCCAAATAGAGAACTTTATTTTGTAATTTAAACTCACATGATCTCTAAAAACTTTTAACATGTTTCATAATATTAGTAATTCATATAAAATAATCAAGTAAATTTAAATTACAATTAAACTCAATACAAAGTTACTGAGCGATCATAAATGATACGTAATTGACATCATCATTAAAATTTGACGAAAACAGCTACCCAATTGATTTTCGTTCACGAAAGGAACGAATTAAGTTGCTTTAATTGTGGCCTTAGTCATTATGTGGAACAAATTGATACAATTTCATCATCTATTGGAAAACTACAACAAATCTTAAAAACGTTTGATCTCTAAGCTTTTGTTATTACCGAAATAATACTCTGAATCAAGTTCATCATCAGAGTTATTTGGAGTTCTTACAGATATAGTATGTAATAATTACTTAGGTGCCTTATGACTTGGTTTAAATAACAACCAACAAAAGTAAATTTAGATGAGAGTATTTTAATCATTTCTGATCACTCAGTATTAATAAAATTTGTTCCTACAATACTAAATAAATACTCTTAAAATATCTTGGGGTTTCAACTATTATTTTAAAAAACAAATCTTTACGTCAACATGTATTATAGAATTTTTTTAGTTATTTTAAATTGAATAACGTAAATAAAAACAGATTGTGCAGTACTTTTTTGTTAAAATTAATTAAAAACAAAACAAGTCATAATGAATTATTTCATCAATTTGTGTTGTTAAATGTAAGTGGGGGAATTCTGCAAACTGAATCCGCAAGCTTCGCAAATACTTTTTTCTTTAGGATTAACCAAAGTGCATTGAGAACATTCCGATCCGCCAATTTCCATTTCGTGTCGCATTAAAACTTTACTTTTCCCGCACATTTCGCAAATATTTAATGAATTTTCATTTAAGAAAGTACAAAATTTACATTCCCACTTTATTACAATTTCATTTTTTTTCGATTTAGTTTCTTTATTTTTTTGCTTTTTATCTTCGTCCCTTTCTTTTTCATTAACGTGCATTTTTATTTTACTTATTAAATTTTTACTAGGCGTTTTCGATTTTAATTCATGACTGGAAATATTTTCGTAAGAACTACTTAATCCCGTATCGGATAATTTCGGATTTTCTTGATTTTCTTGTCTCTTATCGTACAAATTCAATTTTTCCAATGCTTCGTTTATTTTTAAAGGCCGATCAGAAATTTTTAAATCGGATTTTTTTTGATCCAAATGTTTCAAATCGTATTTTACTTCGTTTCTAATATAAGGACTACTTAAAACATCACCACGTTCACCTAAATCTTTAGAATAACCCTGACTTTCTAAATTACGATAAACATAATCCCAATTTTCAAATTGTGTACCTTCCTCACCCGATTTGTTTCTCAAAGGTATTTTTTCTTCCTTAACTCTTTTTTGGACAGCACCGTCAGGAATATCATAATTTTGAGGAACACTTTGATGAACAATTTGATTTGTTCCTAATTCAATAAGTTGTCCAGTTGGAACATTACCATATTGTTGCTGCTGTTGTTGTGGTAAGTAACCGTTACAATAAAAATTATTGTAAGTTCCGGCTGGATAAGTATAATGCCCAGGTAAAACCCCATAATTATAGCCATTTGTATAAACACATGATGGCGGAGGAGCTGGTAACACTGCGGGTAAAATGTGAGTATGGCCTGCTAAAGGTGGAAAAGAATGATTTGAAGGTAACGTTGGACTAACAACATGAGAAACATGACTATATCTACAATTTGATGGTGAATACTCATTGGCTTCTTGCGAATACGGGCGATGTTGATGATGATCATGGTATTGACGTTGTTGAATTTGATACTTTAAAGCATCAACTGATTTACGCGGGCTGCAAAGATGAGTTTCACGAAACTCTAAAACTTCCAGCCAAGTTATTTTATAAGATGAGGCGCAAACTTCCTCCCAAATCTCTTTTAAAATCTACAAAAACCAATTATTAGTGGACATTTCAATTTATTTTTAATCAAGATAATTACTTGGCATTCTACGTATGCTACCAATGAATCTTGTGAAACATTTGTTACTCTATCAGGGCATATTGGTCCTTCTAACACCATTATACCATTTCCTGCGTGTTTATACCCCATCGCTTCAAACATTATTTCAGCTCCAACTAAATTTGATTCAATTTGATGTTTATAAAAGCCGGAATAAGTCTGAAATTAATAAAAACCGTTTTTGAAAAAGTCAAGAATCATCATGTGGGTTAAAAATCGACGATTTTTTTTTAATCAACGTGAAATGACCCAAAAAACATGTTAGAAACAAAGGAAAGTGCAGAAAAGTGTAGAACCATGCATTTTCCTATTAAACCAGTCAACACCTAATCTACAAATTGTTTATTTTATAGCCACGCATAAAATCAATCTGATAAATCTGAAACATCTTGTTTTTCTTAGGCTTTCAATGCATAACGACTAACTACTTGTCGTTAGATAGACTGTGTATCAATAGACTGTGTGTCAATAGACTATGTATTAATACTAGAACTAACACTAAAGATGTCTCTAAAGATGGTTTGCAAAGGAAGCACATTCCTATTTTATAAAACAATTAATAAATATGGTAATGTGGTGACTTGTGCTTATTGGACAATTATTATTACAAACTGTGAAACTAGATATTAAGTAGTTATTAATTATTGTTAAGTCAACATGTAAACGTCGTACCAATTAAGAAAATATAATAAATATTATTCTTTGAGTTTCATATAAAACACTAAACAATTCATAAATAAAGAGAGTTTATTACAGGCTAAACCCGAATGATTCAAGTTCTAGGTCTTGAGTTAGTTCTAGTGATAGTGTTAGTTCTATTTGCCAAAGAAAACTTCAAGGTATAATTAATGTTTGTAAACAAAACTAACCTTACCTAACATTCCTTCACGCTATAATTGACATTACAAAAGAAAACTTCACGCTATAATTGCCATTACTAATTGCCAAAGAAAACTTCATGGTATAATTAATGTTTGTAAACAAAACTAACCTTACCTAACATTCAGCGTCTGAAGACACAGGGCTAAACCCGAAACTTAAAAATATACAACTTAGCGCTGAATAACAATTAAAACTAGAACTAACACTTGCACTAGAACTATACTCTGTTTTTAAACCAGGAGGAGTAAACGCGAAAGTCAGATTTACACTGGGAAAAATCACCAGAAAATATCACTAGATATTTTGGCGGTAAATTTAAATTAATAATTATTATTATTTATTTATTTACTTATTATTGTATTTATTTTCGTTTGTTATCGTCAACACTAAACATACAAATTAACATTGAAGTTATGAGTGTATTTATTTCAAAATATAATAAAGAAGGGTTTAAGAACACAAAATTTACAATAATGACACGAAACTGTCGAATTGTCAATAACCTAACCTTCAAATTCAAAATCAAAATTCAAAATTGCCTGTGTGTGAACCTTCCTCGCATTCAACCAATCACGTGCAAGGTCAATCTGGTGACAAATTTAAAATACTCCTCCTGGTTTAAAAACAGAGTATAGTTTCAGTGCAATAAAAATATACAACATAGTGATATCTTACGCAAACTAGCGCTACCTACCACTGCCACTAGAACTAACATTAGAGCTTGAACTAGAAACATTCAGGTTTAGCCGTCTTAAGAGACGCAGGGCTAAACGCGAATGATTTTAGTTTTAGGTCTTGTGTTAGTTCTAGAAACATTCGGATTTAGCCACACGTCTCTCAAGACGGCTAAACACGAATGATTCTAGTTCTAGGTCTTGTGTTAGTTTTAGTGATAGTATTAGTGCCAAACTAGAACTAACACTAGACTTAGAACTAGAAAGTATCGGGTACAACACAACCCGAAATTTACAACCCACCCTCTGCTCCATGCCCAACCCGACATTTGAAAAATTCGCAATCTACTTTTGGTGCAATAAAAATACACGACATAGTGATATCTTACGGTAACTAGCGCTACCTACCACTGTCACTAGAAGTAACATTAGAGCCTGAACTAGAAACGTTCAGGTTTAGGTATTCAGGTTTTTCAACCCGAATGTTTCTGGTTCTAGGTATTGTGCTAGTTCTAGTGCTAAACTAGAACTAACACTACACCGAAAACTAGAAACATTCGGATTTAGCCCCACGTCTATCAAGACGGCTAAACCCAAGGTTTATAGAACATAAGGTTACATCATTCCCTATGCCTCTGTAGTATCGATTATTACCCCGCAAATTGACGTCACTGGTTCGATACAGTCAGAATAAAAGATAGCCTATACGTGCCTATAGTGTGGTACAGTCTATATAAAATATTTAAACCTCGCATCGTGTTGTGTTGTTCATAGAACCAGCTACGTCACTGACCCACCCTGCCTCTTGAGGAGGAGAATAGGTATTGGGTAACCTTATGTTCTATAGACCTTGGGCTAAACCCGAATGATTCTAGTTCTAGGTCTTGTGTTAGTTCTAGTGATAGTACTAATGTAAAACTAAAACACTAAAACTAGAAAGTATTGGGTTTAGTACCCTAAATTTACAACCCACTCTCTGCTCCATGCGCAACCCGACATTTGAGAAATTCGCACTGGTTTAAATGTTAATAACCTAACTCAAAGTGGAATTTCTACATAAAATTCTGAAATAAATCAGTAAATTAGGTGGATCCGAATGCAACGTTTAAAGAAGGAGGTATCAGGTATAGATTTTAGAGTATTTTTAGTTTAGATGGTAAACAACAACATTTTAGTCGTTGTGCGTCGAAAACCTAAGAAACAACCGTGTTTCACCCGAAAATATGCGTTTTAACGGTTTTAACCAAATGGGCTGCGAAAATATATGGTTAGCACGGTCGATGACGTCACAAAAAGTGACGTCACGTCGAAACTTTAAAGTGATTTTTTGAGTTTTACACTTTTCCGCACTTTTTTTTATTTGTAACGGCTTACTTGAGTGATTTCCCATCGATTAAAAAAATTGTCGATTTTTAAGCGATATAATTCTTGAGTTATATCTAATTTTTAAACTAATTTTATTTATTTTTACCTTGATTTCTCTATATTCTTGCCTCCAAGGTTGAGCAATTAAATTTCCAGCATACATAGCAATAGCATTCCATCCCATAGCAGCTTTATACCCACTAAAATCTTTCTTACTATTCGCTGATCGATGTAAAACTTCTGCGGCTTCTTTAAACCAAAATTTTTGTCTATGTGGGGCAATACACAAAAATTCTTTGATGCAATCTTCCAAACGTTGTCTGTGTTCTAACTTTTTGGGACTCTCGTCCATTTCTAAATAGCTCAAATGTAATGAATTGATTTGGTTCCATAACTCTGGCAATCTGTCTGGACTACAGTACCCATCCATGACCATATTTTTTCTTTCCTCCTCGGAATTTAACTCTTAACAACGGTTTAATTCTTGTAGTCGAACCGGAAGATACAGAAATGGGGTGTTATTAAAACGGGTGTTTACTAAAATTATCCTTGCGACGGTCGACCTAACCTACATAACCCATTTCACGACGTGTCTTAATATTTAAGTTATTTTTAGAGATGTTGGCACATCAAACGTTTAAACTATGCAATAAGAACGTAGAGAATTTCGGTTTTGTGGTGATTGAAACGAAGAAATCGAATTTTTTTCGATTTGGATGAGTAACGTTACACCTACACAATACAAACACAAATCTGTTTTGGATGTGATGAATATAGCTGCTAAAAAAAGTTTTCGTACTAATTTTATTATTTTTAATTTAATTAATTAATTGTAATGTAAATTAATAGTTTTTTTTTGGTACATCGAAAACAATAAAAATAAATTTTATGTTTAATTAATTATTAATTTAAAATGATTTTTAAAAAAATATTTTTTTTATATAGTACAGTAACCAAAAAAATTTTTTGTACATAGTATCTAGGATATAATTTAATTTTCATTTATTTATATCTATCAAAATTAATTTGTCACACTTATAAAATTTTAAATCTAAATTCTAATTTTTTATTCTAAATTCTTTTAAAATTAATTAGTATTTTCCGCATTCCACAAAAATGGGGGATATAAAACTATCAGATATGAAGGCAACTTATTTTCCGCCGGCATTGCAACCTGTGTTTATGGGGGCCACACCACCGATAAAAACAGGATATGGGTCTTTGTACGGTTCATCGAATATCGGTCATTTCCAAAACTATCGAAATGAAAATTTATCAAAATTTCAAGTTTGCTTTTAATCTAACATAAAAAGTTATTTCTTAATAGCTTTTTTGTAATTTTAGATGCCCCCTTACGAATGGGGATTTATGAACACCCCGTACAGCCCAAGACCGGATATTGCAATAGCTGGAAAAGGAACTAACTGGGATCAAGTACTCCGTATGCCTCGCCCAATTTATTCAATGCTTGATGCTGGAAGACAACAAGAAGTGGACGACTTTTATAAAGTATTTCAAAAATAACGTTTTGATTTATTTTAATAACCATTTTTTAGGCTGCCCAACAACATAGGGATCAATATAAGGATCATAGTGGAAGATTGCATGCTATGCGTTACTTTAAATCTGCCGACTACTCATATCAATGTCCAACAGATCCTACAAGGTTTGTTAAAAAAATTAATTGGAAACTTTGAATAATTTAATTTATTTTTGTTTCAGTACATATTTGACATTCCCACAATATTATGTAAAATACAAGAGTCCTTCAGTTCTACCAACTTCCTACCGAAGAACTGTTATATCTCCATCTTTACCTGCTCGTGCTTTAACTGGAACTTACTCGCCTTACAGCGATATTGCATATAAAAGATAACCTCGTGATATGTTTTATGTATTTTGTCAATATTTTTTTGTGTATCCTGTTTTGTTATCGTTATTTGTGGTCGTTTTTTAAACAATAAATTAATTTCTAACTTATTATAAAATATAAATATCAGTAAAACACCTTTTAATAAATATACACATGCCTAGTGCTGCAAAAAATTTAAAATAACATGAAATAGTCAAATAGAAAATAATAAATATCTATAACTCTGTATCTAATAAAAACCTATAGTCAAACATTGTTAAGAATAAATATCGGTTATTCAATCAATAAAAAACCAGAGGGGTACAATTTTTATCACAATTTTAAGGTTGAGTTGTTTCTCTCTAAACTCTAAATTATTATTTATTAAACACCCGTTATTATGGTTCACAAGTAAAGGCGCTTTCAAAATGACTTAAATTTTTTAAAACATGTTCAAATTCATGACAGCCAATTGAATTGTTATCTTCAACATCCATCTTACTCATAATCTAAAACATTATTTTTTGGTCTTTAACAATCTAGATCTTTCGCGCAGGTGTTCCTAAATTAAAACTATTGTGGCCAAATTTGTGTCAACTTTTTGTATTTTTATTTTGTGCTATCACCTCAATTGATTATTTATGTGTCACTAATGAGTGGCTGTGTGAAGTGGATGTCTAACTTGATGACGAATGTTGAGCTCAAAAATAATCTAAATTTATGACCCATACATAATTTAGGAACACCGTACCATAAATTGTATTACCACTTGTAAAATATTTTCCACATCATCATCAGAAAGTTTTTGATCACTATTAGAACTTGTTAATCTTTTGATTAACACTCTTATATCATCAGGATTTATTTCTTTTTGATTATTAAAATCTGAAGAAAAAAGAATTTTGATTACAGAAAGAATTAACATAAATTAAGTTTACCGAATAATTTATAGGCCCATCTAGCTTTAACCTGAACTGGACATTTATCTGACATAACTGAAAAAAAATCTAAAAGATCTTCAAAAGAAAAACAACCGTCTTGTTTTGAGGAGAATACGATTATGATGCGATCACAAAATATATTATACTAAAAAATAAATTTGTTATAGTCTTATAAATACAAAACTTTATCTTACCTTTATTTGTGGGATTTTTTCAAAAATTTCCTTGACGTGAATACGTTGTTCTAAGATAAAATTTGGATCCCGATTTGTATAAAAACAACTTTCAAATTTTTCGTACAAACTAAAATAAAATATTGCTTAAAAAAGAAATACCTACTAAAAACAAATGTTACGTCAAAATTTCTTTCTCATTCAAATAAGTCCATTTTAAATAATCTTCCATTTTTGATTTGGGTATTTGGATACTTTGAGAAGAGCCCATAATTACAAAAGTTAACACAATCGAGTGTTGTCGACGCCAATTGGAACTGTTTGGTAAAATTTATCGATATCGAAAACGGATTGCTCAATCAAATAATTCCAACTCGAGATAACATTTTTAATAGAATCTAATAAATGAGGTTTAGAGGCTTTATCTTATTAAATGAATGAATTATTTGACATAGATAAAAATATAAATAAACTAAATAAACAAAATATACAATTTATTTTATATTATTTAACCAATTAATAATTTTAAATTTTAAAAGTGAAAGAGTTTCCAAAATCAGACATTTTTCCTATTGCATGTTCAAATTCCAACGGTCCAATACTTCCATTTTGTTCTATATCCATTGCCTCTAACAACTAAAAAAATATTTAACACAAATAAAAATAAATTATACTTGTCAACTTACAATATCGATAATCCTTTTCTTATCGTCATCGATAATCTGTTGATTTTTCATTTGATTTTTAAATGCTTTTCTATCTATATACGTTAATCTATCTATGATTTCTATAAAGTCATCTTTGTTTAATGCTCTTTCATCTTTAAAATCTAAAACGGAACTTGATTTAATTAAAAAGGTTTAAACTAAAAAAAGTTTTTACCAAAAATTCGGAACGCCCACAAAGCCTTAACGTTAGTTGGACAATTTTCGGACATCACAGAACAAAAATCTAATAGATCTTCAAAAGAAAAGCGGTCATCTTTAAGTGATGAAAACACCCAACGAATTCGATCGGCAAATGGGTTACACTTAAAACAAAAATAATATATAAATTAATTAAATCCGTTAACGTCGTGGTCAGTTTTGTACTTGATCTGCATCATGAGTCATGTATCACCATCGATAAAAATGAATGAGCAAGCGGAAATAGGATGATGAAAGTTTTGAACCTAGAAAAAGGTGCATCTATAAACATTTTCACAGACAGTCAAACCGACCTAAAGACAATTCAGGCCTACAGTTATGACTCTGCACTGATCAGAGAGTGTACCAGTAACCTGAGAGAACTCGCTAGGGGCAATAATGTTGCGTTATGGTGGGTTCCAGGTCATAGAGACATTGATGGCAATGAAAAGGTGGACAAGATGGCCAAAGAGGCAGCGAAAACGCCCTTCATTGAACTCCAACCCGGTTGTGGACTACAAAAAAGCCACTTAAAACTAGTAATCAATAGTTGGGAGGCCTCAAAGGTAGTTTTACGCTGCAAAGAGGTTCCAGGTCATAGACAAAACAAAACCAAAGAGGTTTTATGCCTCAGCAAAGCGGATCTAAAGTCGCTCTCAGGCTTCCTGACAGGCCATGCGATGTTATAGGTCGCCCTGACAAGCGTGACCACACCTCTCAGCCCGGCAGCAATAATAATGATAACGATTTGTTGTGGATCACTTTAAACAAAGCCTTTATCCATTCCAATCTTTGGTCATTAATGAAACTTTTATATGCTAAACAATTTGAAACAATGTTAGTATCTTGTATCTCCAGTTTTAAGTCTACTGACAGCATTAAATTATGAAGTTTTGTACCAAAATTAGCCGACCATACCGCGATTGTGTCTAAATAGTCTGTACAAGCAAGAACCGTTTGGGAAGCTGTAGCAGGAAGAAAACTGGTGTTCATTGATGGCAGTATGGACCGATATGAACACAAAAGTATTGGGAATCCTACTTATAAATCCGATTGAACATGTTTGGAAGATTTGGAGCATTGTATTCAGCTGTGTAAAATAACAGATGCCAAAACGTTGAAATCTGCGTTAGTAAAATCATGGAATGAAATAATACCAGATGAGCCAAACAAACTTAGCCTACAAGCAATTATAAAATTTCACCAAAACTCTATGGTTTAGTTAAAAACCACGCTTTTGTACCGCCCTGCATGCTATTTCTGTAAAATTATTTTTCAACAAATAAAATTATTATACTTACCTTTATTTGTGGTAAAATAGTACAAATTTCTTCAAATTCAACTCGACGTTGAAAAATGTTTTCATCATAAGGATATTTTAACTCATTAAATTTATTATATAAACTGAAAACAATAAAATAAGTGATCAAAATAACTTATAATTTATTTATTTACCTCATTATTTCCGATTTATTCAAATAAGTTAATTCGATGTAATCTTGTAACCGTTCTTTGGTCATTAAACTTGTATTTCCACCCATTCTTGTTTATTAAAATTCAACAAAACCAAATTCTTTGTATAAAATTACCTTGTTAAGGATCAATTCGCAGTGATCTCATTAAAAATATACAACTGCAATCGTATTAAATGTTGATACGAAAAATAAAGCTTATCTTATCTTTTTATTAAACACTACAGGAAAGTGACAAAAAGTTGTTGTAAATTTATAAAAATTATAAATATTCGATATTATTAAAATTTATTTATTAAATACAAAAAGATTTTATTTTTTTATAAACACATTGTGATAAATTTTTTATTTTATAAAATAAACCTATGAGGTATTAAAAAATCAATCGGAACGAACAGTAAAATTAAAGATACGTTCTAATATTTGAATTGTAAAGAAACTGAGCACTTACTTATATTTATCAATAAAATTTTTTAAAAATTAATAACCTTCCGAACTTTATCAATTCTATCAACTTTTTTCACCTCTCTATTTACCAAATTTACACCTACACTTTGAACATTAACTCTATCTTTTAAAACGTTATCTCTATCTTTTAAATTAACATCATTTTCTTTTAAAACGTTTTCCTTCGCTTGAGAAACATCCATTTTTTTCACATTTTCAAGAGAAACGTAACCGGACGGCTTTAAAGTTTTTAATCTTCTTTGTTCGTACTCTTGAATGATTTCATCGACCGATTTTCCTTGTAAAACGGCACCTACATGTAAACGGGCTATCTTTAACATTCGTTCACTTGTCCCACCTTCCGGACGCGGAGCATTCGCTGATAAATCCGGAAGATATCTTTTTGTAACTCTGCAAAGGACTCCTGCATATTGTTTGTAATTTGGATGAGACATATTAATTTTTTGAGCACGCAGTGTTTCGTAAATTGCCCAAAGTAATTTCTAAACAAAGAAAATAAATAAAATTATAGTCAAATCTCGATATAACGGATAAAATATTTATCTATTTAAATATACATCAGTATATTTAAATATAAATGTTACAGCTAATAGATAGAATCCAACTTATATACTCATATACACTCATACTAATACATCAGTATGTTTAAATTGTTATTCAGCGCTAGATTGCTGTATATTTTTATTAAACTAACACTAGACCTAGAACTAGAAACATTCAGGTTTACCTGTACGTCGCTTCAAATGGCTAAACCAGACTGTTTCCAGACTCCCTAAAAGGTGTAGGTTTAGTATTAGTTCTAATGCTAGTGTTAGTTCTAGTCCTAATCGTTATTCAGCGTTTGATTGTTGTGTATATCTCATTAAAATAAAACTAGAACCAACACTAGACCTAGAAACATTCGGGTTTAATTAAGTCTCTTCAGTCGAATTTGCGAAATATGCATTAAATAATATAACAAATAAAATAAAAGATGATTGTAAATCACCAATTTTTACCTTTTTGTGTGTTTCACTTAATTCAATTCGTTGTGCGGGACTTCGAATAAAAGCTTCACTTTTAACTCTAACCAAACTGTGGTTAATTTGTTTGTTTTCATTAACTTCACTTAACGAAAACGATCTCGGCAGTTTTGAAGGATGTACAGTTTCCGAATCGGTACGTTTTCGTTTATTTCCAATTTTTGAAGGCGATGATTTCGTCGGGGAAGCAAATAAAACGCATTTTAAATTCGTTCTTCGTCGAAACGGTGAAATCGAATCTTTACTCGTTACGGTTTGACTTAAAACATGATGAACTTGATGGACTTTATTCGTACTTCCACCGCAACTATTCTTCATGCCTTTCTCGGGACTTTGAAATAAAGCGCGCTTTGTATTGGCGATTTTTGAAGATCCAGGCATTTGTTCGGCCATTAAACGTATTTGAAGTGATAATTTTTTCTTTGCCGAACTGGATGGGGTTTTGATTTTTTTCGTTGGACTTTTTTTGGGTGTTTTACGTGGTGATTTCTTTAACGGGCTTCGATTTCGTGATAAAACTTTTAATCGACTGGGATCGACTGCTATTTGTCGCGTTTGCGCTTGGAGAGTTGCGCTGGAAAATGTTATTCTACGTCTTGCTAAATGGCTAAGTCTTTTTCCAGGGGATTTTATTGTCCAACGAAGTTTATTGGATACTTTTGATGGACTAGATGGGAAATTTGTTCGAAATACTGTACAAGATGATTGTGTTTCAGAACCAATATATTTTGAAGCGTATTTCATTGCTAATTGTTCCATTTCTTCCGAAAGTTTACTTCGGTTATAACTAAACAAACAAAAAATTATTATTAAGTTATTTAAAGGACTTTTACACGAAAGTTAATTACTTAATTCTCGATTAGCAAATTCTCTATTTATGAATAATGTTAAATATATCTTTTAAATAAAAAATCATATTTTTTAAACAACAGGGGGCGTTGATATGAAATTATGTCAGAACTCTGGAATCGCGTATTTATATTATTATTTATTACTTTGTGCTCTTCCTAAATGGATCACACTCCACAGATCACATGTTTTAGAATCTGAGAAACCCTACCCGAATTGACGATTACAAGAAAAGTTTAGAATTACTGTGACTTCAAAAAGAATGTTTCAAAATACACTGCTGAGATTCCAAACTTCCAGATATTGTTCCAAATTACATTGACCAATTTCCAAGTAGCAAGAAGAAGAAGCTGGACTTACACTAGTGAATCTCTAAACAACAAGAAAATCTCTGGTATTGCATCGAACAAGCTCTAAACCACGACACTTTCCACATCCAGTACAAGAAACTAATAGCCACTAATCTGATGGGCAAATGGGCAACCATCCATACCACTATACTTCTGTCCAAGCACTTTAAAAAGGCGATCTGGAGCGAAGGATTCAATTTTGCCGTTTCCTTTTAAATGTCGACATTGAAGATGGATATTTCTTGAAAAGAATTTTGTGGACAGATGAATCCACGTTTAATAGAAAAGATATAACAAATCTTGATAATTTACATTATTGGACTGACGGAAATCCGTATCTAACAAAGGAAATGAACAATCAAAGAAAATTTTGCGTGAATGTGTGGAAATAATTTAATTGGTCCTTATTTTTTACCGGATCGTTTAACTAGCGCAGCATACAAGTCCTGGTTGACCACGTACCTTTAGAAAACAGATGTAAAATGGTTTCCAAAACGAAGCATATGTTATAAAAACGTTAATTACAAATAAGATAACAAGATCGGAAATCAGGATAAGAGCTCGTTATGAAGTTATGAGTTCTTTTTAGACAGAATTAGACAATGCGTTGTTTATCATTGGTTATTTATTTTTATAAACGAATTTGTAGTATTTTAACTGGTTTTATTATCGAAAAAAACTTTTTAAGTGTGACTTGTTTCGCCTATAATGGTATCCTCAGAGACTATGTCTAATGATAAATGAACATAACAATATCAAAATTAAACATTAAGTTAATTCTGATGTACATACAGTCGGCACTATATATTAAAATTATTTAAAATATTTACATCTTTTACAGAAAAATCACATTAAACCAGTTAGAAACCAGTTAAAGTACTACAAATTCGTTAATTTAAACTTAATGCATACACTGGTAAAATGGATAATTTTAATTTCCTACTTGTTTTTGTTGGTGTTAATGTGATACATAAAATTGCTTAAGTATTATGGTTTTTTCAATGAAGGTTATTATAAACCTTTTGGCTAACTTTTTCCAGCTATAAAATGAATATTAATGAATTAATGAATGTCAACCTCAGGATTTATTGCAATCATTTAATCAGGAATTAACGTTTTTAGTTTCTATTCGCTAAAATAAATAGTAGGTGCAATCGATTTTGAATTTTTTTAACTTTGGGAGAAGTTGTCAAAATTATACATTCGCCAATGCTTATCTTATTATTAGCTAATTGGAAAGACATTTACCCCTGCTTAATACCTCATTTGAAAGATTATAAAACAGGAAAGTTTTTAACATAATTTGTACGCCAAATGTATTATTGAAATTATGAAATAGACGCTCATAAAAAATTAGTTTGTTTAAAAATTAACTTAAGTCACAACAAGAACAAAATAAAAATGAATAGCGATGAATAACAACAAATAGCAACAAATAACAATGAATAATAACAATTAACACAAGAAACTCCACAATACTACTCAAAATAATCTCATTAACGCACAATAAACTGTTTCAAATTGAATTTTGACACTTGGAAATGTCAAATCAAAACAATTGGTTGCCATGGTTACGCACTGCTACTGCTATTTTCTATATCAAATAAATGGGAAATAATGACATTTAAATTAATTTTTCTCGAAAATTTTCTAATGTAACCGATATTAATATTTATTGTACATAATTCAGAAAAAAATCCTCTTTCAAATTCCGATATAAAAAATGAGGTGTTCCATTTAAAAAAAAATTCGATGACGTCATAACTCGTTTAAAAATGGCGGAAAAAATTTAAAATATACAACAAAAAAATTGCAAAAAATTTAAATCTTTAGACCCGTTTCAGCGATTTTTTCATAAATTGTTTGTAATGATTTTATCGAATTTATCCGTTACTTTTGAAACGCACTGTTGTACAAAGTGAAAATGTACAAAAACCAAAAAATTGAAATAACTCCTAAACTATCCAACTTTGTATAAGGCATATTTGACTTAATCAATTGCAAATGAGCTCTTCTATTATAATGCATTTCAATAAACACATTTATCTGCCAGTTACCTGTATAATTTATGTAATGTAAACACTAACATGTTAAAAACTGCTATTAACAAAAAGTTAGTCATAGTTGGCAAGATTAACAGAGAATTATGTTATATCATGTTTTAAAATATAAATAAACTAATATAAACAATTTGACTTACTGTAGTCCATAATATCTTTCTTCCAAAACACTTGGAAATTCTTTTCTGATAGATTCAAATCCATTTTGGGTGATTAAGAAAGTTGCTTCACAATTTTTTGAGCTGCTTTCACCTTTCAAGTTTTTCTCCTCAACTTCTTTTTTCGTTAAAATTAAATGTTTATTTTCTTCGTATCTTTTTAGCATATCACTGACATTTAAATTAACATGTTGTAAACAAATAGGAGGTGGAACCCCGATTAACATTTCTTTAGCTCTACGATATAATTTTCTATCTTGTCTCAAAATATACTTTTCTTTAAACTCCACTTTTGGAATTGGAGAATTTTGCGAAGTATCTAATTCGTTATCGGAGAATAAATCAGGACTAAAGTTGGGATTTATTGGGTTTTTATACGATTTTTGAGGTGTTTGAATTATATTAAACAACTGTACATTTTTATACGAACTTTTTTGGGGCTCTTCAATAGATTTTTCGACAGATTTTGCTACTTCTTTTTCTTTATTTTTATCAAGTATTGATAAAGATAATAGAGTAGCTGTTCTTGAATGAATATTTAAGTAATTTGCATTATTTTCAGCGTTTGAGTCATTATCACAGTTTTCCGTAATTAAATCTATTTTAGGTACACTTTGAACAATTTTTTCTAATGTTTCCTCGGTTAAAACAATTGGGTCAATATTTGAAATGAAAGGGCTTACATTGGTTTCTTCTGATATTCCAGATTCTTCGTCCATGGAGTCTTTTAAACCGGGAAAACATTCAGTTTCTTCACAACTAACAGAATCTTCAATTCTCGATTGATCAGAACTAATGGGTTTTTCTAATAAAGCGTCCTCATTCATATACACAAATTTATCTTTAGTATTATGAGACATTGTTTCTTGATATATATCTGTTGAATTTGATTCTTGATGATTCGAAATGTAACCGCTATCGTTATCAATAATTTTGGCGGCTGACGCCATCATCTTAAAAGCTTCTTTACAAATATTATCCCAACGAAAATCTTTTCGACCTTTTAATGGGGTACTCGTCCGAATGTTAATCAAACTTTCAACGTTATCAAGAAATAATTTTAACCGTTTACTTCGTTCTAAAGACAACTTAATCGTTTCAATATCGAATCCAATAATTGGCGGGTCAAAGACCTGCTCGCACATTTTTTACTTTTTTCAACAGATAACTGATTTCAAACGTAATTTTCATATTCGCACGCGACGTGAACGCGATTTAATAATACAATTTTACCTTAAATTGATGAAAATTTAAGAGATAACGAACGGAAATTTCTTCGTAAACATGACCTCTAAAAACCTAGTGTGCCAACCGTCATTTTTATTCACTAACAGCTGGTTATTAGGTGGCTCTGCTTAAAGAAAAAAGCTTGGTGGGGGTTCAAATATAAAATGGAAGGGGGAAACTCTAACGTCCCATTGGTCCTAAAAATGACATTAAAATTTGAAATTATTTTTAGGTTATGTTGGTAAAAAATATATATAATCGATTATTATATTTATTTGCGAGTTTAAACCAACTTTATTTATAACATTTTATACTTTATTAACAACCTTTATTATAGATGACGTAATAAATAAGCTTTGTTAATGTATCACATCAAAACAAAAAAATAGATAAACTAAATATATACGTAAGTTATTATTTTTCATTAATCATAAAGTATTTTAACTGAAGTTAATAAAGGAATACAGATTTATAGTTACATATTATTAAGATCATATTATATTTTCAGCCTACATTAAAAACGACATTATTTGAAAACATCTATATCATTAAAAAAATATGTATCATTATTCATTACAAAACTATTTATACAGAGTCGAAAATAAAATTAATATAAACAGCAAATATACAACACATATCTATTCACAACATTATATATTCTTTCGACTCATTTCGACTGGATTTCTATGGGTGTGCATAAAGTTTAAGACATTGTTCCACATGATTCGCTAAAGTTGGATAGTTTGTGAATCTGAAACTGCATTTTGGACACAAATACGTCTAAAACAAAAAATATTAAAATTAAATTTGTAGAAAAAGACTTCGTTTATCACACCAAGTTAAAAACATAATAAAAGTTTGATTAAATGCTGCTTTTAAAATGATGTTAAAATCAATCAAAAAACGTTCATACCATTTCTAATTCTATTTTTAATAATTTTTATCTGATTTATATTTCGCAATATGCTACGTGATCTTCTAATAAAAGGCCAGAACGGAATCTCTGGCCGCAAATTGGACATAAGTAACGCGATGATTGTTCTTGCTGTAAAAAAAATTAAAAATAATGCTCAGAAAATTTGTTCATCCAGATATAATTTAAAGTAAAATTGTTGAAGAAATTCTTGTTAAATAGTTGAAGAAATTTTTTTTCTTTTCACAGCACATATAGTAGGTTAGCGACTTCAAAATATATAAGCAATAGCTGAGAGTAATCAATACAATTTGTTTCATTTTAATTGTTGAGTGATTACTGCCCAAAATAAAGCTCAAATTACACTCTAAAATGAAGGAAAATCGCGATTTTTTTTAATACAGTGAAAGCTCTAATAAGCAGACAGTGGCAGTTAAATTACTTTTGTTCGCTTATGAGAAAAGACTACTCAAATTAAAGTACATACTTATTATGTATAATTATTCGCGAATAACGAATGATTTTAGTTTGCAAATTACATTCAATGCTTCGTTATAAAATGTGATTGCATTTACTTCATCCTTTTTTGCCTTAATTACAACATTTTCTGTCTCTAGCGAAAATTCCAAGTCCTTATCTTCTGTATCGAGGTTTTGGTCAATAGTTAAATATATAAGAGTTTTTATTGTCAACTAAAAGTTTACAATTTTTTCATTACAATATATGACAAACCAAATTCAACTACCCCAATCACCCCTCTTCCTGCCTACCCTCGTCCCAACCACCTCCCTCATCCATCCCCAACCCTCTCCCCCCTCTTCCAGAATCTGACTCCGGTTCCTTTTCTCTTCTCTTAACTCGCTACATCCTCTCAACATATGTTCTAGGGTTTCCCAATCCTCTCCGCAGAGCCGACACCATCGTCCGCCCAGGAATCACCTAACTCCCTTGCTTCATCAAGGATTTTCGAAGCCCCTCCGTCATTATGTCCCCATATCTTTCATTGTATGTTCCCTCTCTTATCTGCATTCTTCTCTCCTGTCTCTGGACGTCCTCCAATCTTCCCAGCAGTATCTTCGCATAAATCTGGTATGAGGAGTTGAGTAGGCTGATTCTCCTTCTTCTACTCCTTCCAACAAATTCATAAAGTGACTTCTCCATTCCGCGGGCTCCTCCTTTTCCTTCCTGAACTTCTTCAAATACCTCCACACATCCCCTTCCCGTCTTATCTCCTTAATTTTTGCTGCCTCCCTCAACCTCAACTCTCTTTTCTTAGTCCCACATACTTCTTTGTACCTTCTTATTGTCTCCTTGTAACTGTACACCAAAACCTCTTCTCTCCGCCACTGCCTCAATCTTCTCCTTGCCTCCCTACATTCTCCATCCCACCATTCATTCCTATACAGAATGCCCAGAAGAATGCTATTTTTACATTATCTATCCCCACTCCTTTACTACATTTAACGTTAATGTTAATAAGCATCTGTTTTTTTACCACCTTTGAAGCCATTTCAACGCAAAGTTACACGCAAACGAACAAAACTAGTAACAGAACTCGTAAAACGAGGAATCCCCGAAAACATGCCGGTAAATATCTATTACAAATTACTTTGATGTGTTCGTCTCATTACCTACGCGTCTGTTTATTAAAAATATTTGCCTGTTATGCAAAAAAAAATAATGTCCGCTTATGGGAAAGAAATTTATACATGAAAATATAAGTTTGGGGTTGGTTTCAAGATTTTTGTTCGCTTATAACACATGTCTGCTTATTAGAGCTGTCTGCAAGGAGAGCTTTTTTTTATCTTAAGAGATTATTTTTAGCTTTAATGCCAGAAATAAAACTTGAATTCTCATAATCCTATAATTTTTTTGAAATTTTAGGATTTTGAGAGACAACCAAAAAATAATGGAGCTGTCCCATGTGAGTTGTTCTTGCACCAATATGCTCAATTACATTCGTATCTAATATTGGCGACAATATCAATATTTTAACTATAAAAATAACTTATAATTTTCAAATTCTAGATTTCCCTTCATTTTAAGTTAGAAGAAATCAAACACACCTAAAAAGATTTGAGGAACAACATATTACACTACAATAAAGTGTCTAAAAATATAATTACTAATACTTACATAGTTATTAACCGGTGGAGGAGCTGAAGCAACATCTTCAGCTCGAACAGGAACGTAACCTCTACGTAATTGATCAACTTCTTCAATCAACTGAATATTACGATGTTGTAACATTTGCAATTCATCCACTACAGCGTTTTTCTCCGTTAAAATAGTTTCCTTAAGAGCACGTTCAGTTTCATAATCTTTTTGGAATAGATCACACTACAAGCAAAAAAATCGTCAACAATGGTAAAATAAAAAAATAATATAAACTAAGTTTTTTTACTTGGGTTCTTAAAGCGGTTATTAAATCATTGCACATTTGATCTTTTCGATCCTGTTTCTTTTGCAAATCAGTTTCGTTCGAGGCTCTTTCCGCAGATTCTTTAGCTTGTTGTTCTTTTAACTCGGTAATATGCATTTGAGAGGCCATTAATTGTTGTTTTGCATTTGCTAAAGCTTCTTGAAGCTCAACAACTCCCGATTGAGCAGTGCTTAAATAAGATTGATTTTCTTCAAGAGTCTGTTTGAGGTCGTTTTGTTTATTATTAGCATCTTGAAGACTTTGTGTTAACTAAAATTTAAATATGAGTCATTTTATAAATTGACATAAACCTTAGAGATAATGTATTTTTAACTACAACGCATTTAAGATAAATCTAAAACCATATCTTAGATAACTTTCACTGATTTTTCAATTTATTTTATTAAATGAGTCATAATAAAAACATGATAATCTCTTTTTATAGCAATGACACATTCAATGTATGATTAAAAAATGTATTAAATTACTCACGTTTAAATTTGCGTTTTTAAGAGTTTCACATTCTAATTTTATGCTCTCTAATTCTTTGTTTAGTTCAGATTCAGTTATAACCCAAATGCTTTTGTCAGAGAAAACCTATTGAAAAACAAAATGAAATAAATGTATTTAAAGTTATATTCAAATTTTACTTTATCATGTGATGCTCTTAAAGTGGAAATTTCTTCTTCATATTTAGCAATTTCTTTCTTATAATCGTTAATTTTTTCGCTTAAATTTTGTTTTTCGTTTATAATAATGTCTAAAGCTTTTTCCATTTCTTTAATTTTTTTCTGACCCGCTTCCCATTCAAATTGTAATATATTATCATTTCGTTTTGTTAAAATCACATTTTCTTCAGTCTTTGCATCAACAACATGAACTTCTTTTACTTTATTCTTCTCTGCCAATTCATCTTTCAACTTTTCATTTTCATTTTTCAGCTATAAAACAAAATAATCAATATTTTTAAACATTATTATTAAATATATTTACATCTTGTATTATGATTTTCATTTCTGCAAACTTTCTTTTATGAGACTCTTGAACTTGTTGAACTTCCTCTTGCCATTTAGTTATTTTGTCCACTTGCACCTTCATCGTAACATTATTTTGCGCCAAAGTATCTTTTAACTGTGTATTCTCAGAAATTAAATTATCAACGTTTCTTTGAATTTCTTCACCACTTATTGAAGCAAATGAATTTGCATTCATTACCATAGATCGTTGTTGTAATGAAATCTCTTTAAAGCTTTCCCCAGAAGACAGAGACTGTTTTGAAACAAGTTCGGTAATAGAATTTAAGGTTTTTTCAATTCCAGATGTTGATATTGGTTCCACTTCCATTTGAAGAGTTCTTGGACCATAACTGTCTAAGACTACAAAAGAATCTTCATCATCTGAATCAGCTGGAGGGTAAGCCTCTTTATCAAGTTGGTGAATTCCGGATGAATTTGGAATAAGTTCTGATGTCGAAGCCATTTTATTTTCTAAATCTAAAATAGGAAAAGTTAATTATTATGAATTAATTGAACCAGTTAACTTAATAACTTAATAATTCGTGCTTATTTGACTTTTTTGAACTTTTTAAGGTTAGGTTCGTAATGACTTACGTCCAATAAACGAAAATTAGTTTATATTAATAATTTCATATATGTAGCACGAATGACGAAAATCCCTTAGGATATGGAGATTTTATAAAAACTCGTTTTAAATTGAGAAATATAAATGATCTTAACAATAACACTTTGACGGTTAAGGTTCAAGTAGCGCCATCTTTATATTTACACAATATTTAAATAGCTGTTGTATAAAAATGTTATTTTTGGTTTCTTAATGTCATTTTAAACATAAATAATAATTTAGCATTGATTTTTAATATCTATTGCATTTCTATGTATTATCTATTTATATTTTTCACAAAACTAACTAGTATATCAGTCCTCTCATTTCTAACAACTAACAACAGATGTCGCCAGTTCAACTAAACTAAAACCAGAATTCATTAAAATTTTATTTAATTGTTGACGAATGTTGATGAAATTTAATAAATAATTAAAAATACACAACAAATTTAAATGAATTTACCACGAAACCTGAAAAATAACTTGAATTTGTAAAATTTCATACGTCAAATTGACACTTGAAATTGCTAATTCATTATTTTTTTAGGTTATACTAAAAATATCTCAATATTAGAACAACTGGCGTAAGATTGTGTTATATCGAAAAAATAATAACTAATCCTAAACATACATAGATAAAATTATAAAAGAAGCCTAGAATCCACAATAGAGAATCGACTTAAAAAAAAGTGAGGTTATGTATTAATGCTTATTTCATTTCGACTCGTGACTTCAAAAATTCAACGTGTTGTCGTTCGAACGTTAAGAAAAATGTCCTTCGAATACCCAAAAGCACGATTAGATGATACAATCAAAGATGATTATCATGGAATTCAAGTTCCAGATCCTTTTCGTTGGCTTGAAAATCCTGATGCGGAAGAAACCAAAGAATTTGTTGATGCTCAAAATGCGGTTACTAGGCCTTACATCGATAGTTATCCCTTAAAGGATAAAATTAATAAGAAAATGACTGATTTGTGGAATTATCCTAAGATTTCACCACCGTATAAACATGGAGATAGATACTTTCAATTCCGAAACACTGGTTTACAAAATCAGAATGTAATCTATGTACAAGAAAATTTAAATGGTGAAGCTAAAGTATTTTTGGATCCCAATCTATTATCAGAAGATGGTACTACAGCTTTATCAGGGGTTGCTTTTTCTGAAAATGGTGCATATTTTGCTTACGGTTTAAGTAAAAATGGTTCCGATTGGTTAGAAATAAAATGTAGAGATGTCAGTACAGGAAAAGATTATGATGAAGTATTAAAAAAAGTCAAATTTACTTCTATGACTTGGACACATGACCATCAAGGATTTTTTTATTCAGCTTATTTGGATAAAGAAGGAAAATCTGATGGTTCAGAAACAGATAGCAATGAAAAACAGAAACTTTATTATCATAAATGGGGAACTGAACAATCTGATGATGTTGTTGTTGTTCAATTTGAAGATCCTCAATTAAGAATAGGTGCTAAAGTTAGTAATTGCGGAAAATATTTGATTGTTACATCTATAAAAGGAACTAAAAATAATTTGTTGTATTTTGCTCGATTGGAAGGTATTGACAAAATTTCTGGATTATTGAAATTACATCCGGTTGTAACCGAATTTGAAGCAGATTATGAATATATTGCTAACACTGATGCTAAATTTGTTTTTCGTACTAACAAAGACGCACCAAATTATAGATTAATCATAATTAATTTCGATAATTTAAATGAACGATGGTTGGATTTAATTCCAGTTCATGAAAACGACGTTTTAGATTGGGCCAAGCCTGTTAATAATGATCAATTAGTTTTATGTTATCTTCGTGACGTCAAAAATGTGATGTCCCTTCATAAATTAGAAACCGGCGAGAAAATTTACGATTTTCCCCTTGAGCTAGGAACAGTGTCTTCTATATCGCAAAAACATAATTCGTCAGAAATGTTTTATGGATTTTGTTCATTTTTAACACCAAACATTATTTACAGAGTCGATTTAAGTCAACTTCCAATTTCACCACAAATCTTTTATGAAACAAAATTGGAAAATTTTGACCCAAATAAATACGAAACCAAACAAGTTTTTTATAAAAGTAAGGATGGAACTGAAATTCCAATGTTTATTGTTAACAAAAAAGGAATGACTTTAAACGGATTAAATCCTTGTCTTTTATATGGATATGGAGGTTTCAATATCACATTAACACCATCGTTTTCGGTTACACGATTAACATTTATTGATTGTTTTGATGGTATATTTGCTTTGGCAAATATACGCGGGGGTGGGGAATACGGTGATAAGTGGCATAATGGGGGACGATTTGAAAACAAACAGAATTGTTTCGATGATTTTCAATACGCAGCCAAGTATTTAATTGGAAATAAATATACAAGCAAAGATAAATTAGTAATTCAAGGTGGATCAAACGGTGGATTATTAGTTGCAGCTTGTATTAATCAAGCACCAGAACTATTTGGTGCGGCAATTTGTCAAGTTGGTGTTTTAGATATGCTAAGATATCATAAATTTACCATCGGTTATGCGTGGAAAACTGATTATGGTTCTTCAGATGAACCCGATCAATTTCAATATCTATACAAATATTCCCCATTGCATAACATAAAAATTCCGGATGACGAAAATATTCAATATCCAGCTACTTTATTGTTAACAGCAGATCATGATGATCGCGTTGTTCCATTACATTCGTTGAAATTTATCGCGGAAATTCAACGGAAAGTTGGGATGTTGTCTCATCAGAAAAATCCCATTATGATTCGAATTGAAACCAGGGCTGGACATGGTGCGGGAAAACCAACATCAAAAATTATCGATGAAGTTACCGATATGTTTAGTTTTATTGCAAAATCACTCGAGTTAAAATGCCAAATTTAAGTTTAATAATGTTAACTGTTTGTTATTTTTCTTATCATAATTGTATGTATTAAAATTTTTAGTTTGTGAGCAAAAATGATTTCTTTTGTAAAGGAAAAATTAATAAACATAATTTGTCTTCAAACAATATACTTTGTAACATGTAAAAACGCACACCAATCCTATGAAAGTATCGTATTCGTTCGAATCTAAGGTGTACTACTTTTACTATATAATCGTTCGGTTTAGATTCGAAGGAATTTTGAATAAATATGATGTAAACACAAAATAGAACAAAATCACAAAAGTAATTAAAACAAACAAACAAAAATAATTCACACAATTATTTTTGTTGTTTATAATAACAAAAATAAGAATTTTATATATATATTTTATATATTATTAACTTACTGTTCGAATTATGTTGGCACGATCTAATTCGCTTGGGTGAATCCCCAGCAGTGTTGCCAAACGTACGATAATTATCGTACATGTACAATTATTTCAATTCGTATACAATAATACATTGATACTCATTATCGTACGATAATTTGGAACATATATAATTTGCAACACAACTTAATTTTTTATGAAATTTGCACAACTTTATAAATGGATTATTTTTTGCGAATTCTACAACTGTTTATACCTATATGTATTGGTTCCCGGCTCGAGCGCTCGTGATTCCCAACTTAATCTATACAGGGATTCCCCTAACCGTTACATGAACGGCTTGTTTGCGATCGTTGAAACGTAAAAAGTTATATGCAGTTCATCGTTTACGGGTTTACGGCAAATACCGTTTTGAAGAAAATGTCTGGCAGTGATAGTAATGCTACATCTTCTAAAATACCTAAAAATGAGATGAGAACATATTTGAAGAACATACCAAAGACCTAATCAGATATGAGACTCCATCTAAAGAATTAAGAGTCTGCTATATTTGCTAAGGTCTTCTTGAATTTTTATATGAATGGAGATATTAAAGATTAATCAATTCAATATGGATCAAATATTTTCGTCCCTGCCAGGCTGGTGAGTAATCAAAATCAAGAAACCATAACTTCTCCTGGAGCATCCAAAAAACTGGACACTATCGACCTATCGTCATTCGTTGATCAAGATCAAAGATCAGCTCCAGACACAGACCTAACCTTATATCTGGACTCGGGTACATTTATATGAATCTCATGCGGATTATGATCAAGTCTGAGTCCGAAGTAGAGAAGCACTCTTATGAATACTTAGGCGCGAGGATCAGATAATTCCTTAGAGGATTTCTCTACCAGGACCTAATTCCACCTCCCCTCAAAAATATCTTTCCCGGTTTTCGGAGACTGGCACTATTTTGATTTGTAGCTAATAGATACTTATAAATCACCTCAGGCTGACATTAAGATGACCAGAAGCATACTAAGATCAGTTTGCAAGTTGTTTTTTACATCAGTTGATTCAACAAAGCAAAAAAGCTATTGGGATGAACTCAGGTGAACTCATGGGATGCATGGCTTTTGAAGGCATGTCTGTAACCATCAATCATATGGATGTTTGTTACGACGTCGTACATCAAATTTAGAAGTAATTCAACTTAGAAAGAAAAAAGTATGAATTTAATCAAATTGTATTGTTAGTCGATAGACCTCGTAATTACACAGTTAATGAGAAGGATCAAAAAGAAATAAAACTGATAACAACTAGTTACGAAAAACAGCCAATTACGGTAATGTTATGTGTTACTCCTGATGGTTAAAAATTACCGCCATATATAATACTCGCTAGAAAAAAAATTTCCCATGTTATAGTTCTAACGCAAAAGATGGAAGATTGGTTGAATGTGATATAGAACAGACGTCGCGGATATCTAAGTAAACCATTAAATATGCTAATACCAGATGGATTTCGAGGTCATTTAATAGAAGATGTAAAAACTAAAGTTAAAAAAAACAACGGTGATTTGGTGATTATAGCTGGAGGTATGACAAGTGTGTTACAGCCATTTGAAGTTTCAATTAATAAGCCCTTCAAGGATTATTTAAGAAAAGTATAAGAATTATGGTTAATAAGTGCCGGCCATCCACTAACATCAACCGGAAAAATTAAAAAAGCTAGTGCATCAACAGTTGCGAAATGGGTTAAATCAGCGTGAAAAGAATCGCAGAAAACATAATCAAGCATTCATTTAAAAAATGTTGTATTATGAACGTCTTAGATCGTTCAGAGGATGATTTTTTATGGGAAGAAGATAGTACTGATTCAGAATCAGGCAGCAATAATAGTGTAAATGAAGTGGTAAATAACTCAGAAATATTGTATACTATAAATAAAGTTAAGTTTGTGTTTTAATCATTATTGTGTAATAATATAATATATTACTTATTTACCATCATTATTTTGAGAATAATTTTTTTTTCGATCTTAGATTCGAACAAATACGGTAATCTAACAATTTAATTCTTTGTAGGTTAAAGTTCGTCGCCTTCACATTCTATGTCAATTTTAAACGTACATACATAATCTATTATCAGGAACGTTACAACCACATTATAAGCAAATGATTAAACAACATTCGTAATTTATTTATCTTGTGGGTAAATGAACAAAAGGCAATGACAACCAAAATGTAGAAATAAAAAAATTAGAGCGCATGCGTATTAAAGTAACTTTTCAATGATAAACGTAATGCTCTACAAATATAATTAACTCACATTTATGATTAATGATTCTATTTTTATTCACAACATGTAATAATGTAATTACTCTAGATCTTACTTGAAATGATTGTTTTAACACACACCTTACACAGGAGATACACGATGGTTACACAACCTTTGTGAGTTAGATAGTGTCGTAGAACGTTCGTCGCCTTTATTTTTTTACATACTAACCCTTAGGGGAATACCCTTTCTTTAAAAAATGGCGATTGTGGCTGGTTTTGGTAATCCTTTATTGGACATTACGATAAAAATACACGACGATAAATTATTACAGAAATATAACCTCAAAATCGACGATCAATCACAAATTAAAGAAAATGAAATGAAAAATTTATTACAAGACATTAAAGAGTATTTAAGTTTTTTAATTTTTATTCAATTTTAATGTTTTTTTAGTTTTTCCAGTGCACATACTTTAGGGGGAAGTGTTTTAAACACATTAAGAGTTTTTCAATGGTTAAATTCTAACAATAATTCTTGTTCCTATATGATTGGAGCGATTGGAAATGATTATGAGGGAAAATGTTTAAAAAGCCTCGCTGAAGAAGATGGAGTGGAAACTTTGTAACTTAAAACAAAAGCAAATGAATCAATTTTATAACAAATTTTTTTAGATTCGCAATTTCTCAAGAAAAATCTACAGGTGTCTCAGTAGCTTTAGTACAAAACGAAACTAGATGTTTAGTGGCTTATGTAGGAGCTGCAGAAACATTTTCAATTAAAAATTTAGAACAAATTACTCAAAATTGGAAACTTATCGAAAATGCAAGTGTCTTTTATATAGAAGGATTCTTTTTAACTGATCGACATGAAGTTACTAAACATATTATGCAATGGACAAGGTCGGAAAAAAAGTTGTTAATGTATAATATGAGTGCTCCATATATTTCTCAAGAAAATTCAAGTATGGTTAAATATATCATTGAAAATTGCGATATTTTAATTGGAAATACCAACGAATTCAAGGCATACTTAGACATCCACGAACCTAATTCAACCCCTTTAGATTATGCCTTAAAATTAAACAAATCTTTCCTTCAACAAACAAATTTTAAATATCGCAAAATGATTTTAATAACAGATGGCCCTAATCCAATAACTTGTATATACGGTGATAATGAAAAAATTATTGTTTCAACTGAAAAACTATCCACAGAAAAAATTAAAGACACCACCGGTGCTGGAGATGCTTTCGCAGCTGGATTTATAAGCGGCTTATTTAAAGATTTTCCACCTGATAAATGCATAAAATATGGTTCATGGGCTGCGTTACAAATAATTCAACAAGTTGGATGTAAAATTCCCGATTACTCACCTGATTTTAATTAGAATCTTCCGTTATTGTTCTTATAACAGCTAAAATACAAATAAAAAATGTTTACATATATTTCTCTGTTCTTTCAACTATATATAACACCTACCACAATACTAACGAATACAACGTTTCAAACGGTTCTTATATATTAAAGTCGCGCAATGACTAAACGTCGTGTGAAATCAATCACAATTTCGTTCTAGAATTGATAAAAATAACGTGGAAATAATCAGCTGAGAAATAAAACCAATACTATTACAATGACATCTGATGGGACTTTTAAAAAGCAAATTTGTTTTTGTGTCAAGTTGTTAATTTCTTATATTCTAATTTCTAATTACTTAAATCAATATCAATTCAAAGTGCAATTTATATTGTAATATTAACATTTTATTCATAAATCAAAACTATATTTTATCATATCTGACAAATACTATATTTAAAATTTTAATACCAACCTCAAATCAAAAATTCCCTAAATTTACTTCAAAAAAACAAAAAAATCACTAAAATATTGTACCAAATTGTTTGACATTTATCATATGTGTAGAAATAACTCTATTTTTTCAGTGTTCCAAGCGAATTTAATCGGGATAAATTATCAGAAAAATACAACAAACGATGGTGAGTCGGTTAATATAAACATACGGTTTAAAATTCTTTTCTAAACCGTTAAAAACCCATATTGAATATATAACCTTAATCGTGAAACGACTTTTTCTTTAAATATTTCATTCATTTTCAAGTCCGTTGCGGAATTTTTAAAAGGTCTGCCGTCGTATAACGAAAGCAACTTCACAAAGTTCCACGTGGACACTAACAATAGGTCTCTAGCGAAAAGGCCGTCTGTTTATGTGCCCACAAAAGATTTTCCTTCAGAACAAGGTAAGTTGCAAAATCTCTTAGATATTTATGTGGATTAAGAGTTTATTGGTTCTTTTAGTGATAGTTACGGAAAAAACAGGAATTTTATTAAGGTACCTTCATCAACATTGGGAGAAAAAGGTAATAAATTGATTTTGTAATGTTATATTAAACTCAACATATCCACTTTGTATCCATCACTTTCCTTTATTAATCAATCAAAGAGATTCAATTTTTGTTTGATATTTGTTGTTTTTTTTTTATTTAGAATACTCAAAAGAAACGTGAGCACAATGATGATGTCTCACAATCAAGGAAGCGACCCAGAACAGACTACATTATGGTCCCTTAAACACAAATAATTAGTTTATAAGTTTCTATGCTACTGAAATTTCCATTTTTCTTCATTTTCTTTGCTTTATTGTTAAGAAAAAGGGTTTCTGTTAAAAAATTATCTCATTTTTTTCATGAAATCATATTCTTTAATTATTAGTATTGCTACATTACTCAATTGTACATAAAACCATAAACACATCCATGTATGAAGAAAAAAAATGATGTATCTCCATGTTTAAATATAAGTTAAGTCTAGGTTTTAACAAGAATTGTAATATTTTTAATTGTTAAGTTGAAGAGCATTTAAGTTATCGACGGTGTGCCTGGCGATCCGACCACGTCTATAATTTCCGGTCCCAGCTGTTTGTTACCTTCCTGTTCATTATTTGAGAGCAGCTGAGGAGGGATCGTCAAAGTCTGAACAAAGAAAACAAGATACAAAATATATAAGGAAAAGAACTCTACAAATAAAGATGAATCAAATAAATCAATCTTTTTTTAATAAAAATTTGTACCTTTCCAGGATTTACAGCTTCATATTGGTGACGCAAACTTTGCAATTCATATTCGCATGTTCCCAAAGCAGCTTTTAATTCCATTAATAAAACCATATCACTACGTAACTCGTTGAAATGTTGACAAACATCTTCTGTTGGTGTCGGATTTAACTCTAAATTCATATCTTGGAGCATTTGTTCGATTCCTTTAGATTTTTTTTGTCCTACATTAGCGGGTAATTTCATTCGTTGAGAACGAAGCGATACACCACTGTTTTTATAATCGGGGAATTTTATACCTGCCGTTTCTACAGCCTGTAAAATATGCTGGATGAAATTTAAAAATAGAATTTAATTAATTAATGCCCTTTTGAATTCTATTACTAAATAATTTGTATAAATTAAGTATAAAAATGTTAAGATGGAATAATATTACCGTTGTATCAATTTTCGATGGTCTTGAAGGATTAGCTATTTTCTTTTTAGGTAATTTTTTATCTGTTTTTCTTGGAGTTTCATTTTGATTATCGGCTTGACTAATTAATTTTTGTAAATCTTGAGTTTTACGTTCACGTTCCTTTTTACGAGCTTCAATCTTTTTGAATTCACCAAGAAGGAATTGTTCTTCATCAATCTGCAATACCATACAAAAGTGTATAATTTAGCATTAATTTTGAATCAAAAATAACCTGTTCTGGCGTTCTTTCATATAATTTTTTCAGCTGCTCCTTCCTCCTTCTTTCATGATCTGCATCATAAGTATAAACCTTCTTTTCCCCATTTAACTTTCCCAAAATCCCACTAATTTTATAATACCTATCCTTGATATCTTCAATAGATCTTTTACTGTATTTCTCGCTATCATATCGATCAGCCATTATTAAGAATCTTACATCAAATCGTTTTGCTAAATCCATCAAATGATCAGTTTCCTCTCTACTCCAACATTCACTTTTTAAATATTGATTATATTCGTTATCGGTGTAAGTTGGAATGTCAGCTTTTTTATTAAATTTTGCAAAGGGGTATTCTTTTGGTTCATCCGATGGACGTCTCCAATGATAAAAAACGGCATTATCATCTCTTGCAGGATTCGAAAATGGCATCCATTCCCATTTTCTTGGTCGTCTCATTCCTAATTTTATTTTGGTTTGTTTATAACCATTACTTGTGTCGGATGGGAATAAAGGCGGGGCATCTTTGTTGTCATTATAAAGAAGGGCGAAAACTTCCCTATGCATTCCTTCGGGTCGTTTTGACATTTTTGTAGTGGTTGTTGGACGTTGTTTGCGTTGGCCTATTATGGTTTCTCTCGAAATTTCTGGAGCTAAAGGTTGATCTAATTCTAAGATATCACGTACATCCGCCATGGTTCTAAAACAATTAATTCTTTTTTATATGTATTTACAAAAAGCAAAGAATTTTTGGATATTTTGAGGTTATGTTATCCAAAAAAAAGATATATTTAATATAAATATGATTAATTCATTACTTACGCTAATTTAGGGCTTATTAACACTCGGAAATATAAAGATTCAACACGAACTTGTGTAATTAATATGGAAATTATAATAATATTTGTATTGACAACTGTCAGATGTCAAGCTGTTTTTTATTGGCAACCTAAATATTATTTTAGATGTTGGTACTATTAATGAAATTAAAGAATATGTGTACTTTTATTATGTTTTACTGATTATTTTTGTTATTAAGTTTTGATACATATGTAAATGATAACATTTTTATTTTTGAAAGTTATTGTTTTTAATTATTACTTAATAGGCAACTTCAGTCACATCGCACAAACGCGCCATCTTTCTTTTAATTTGAAGTTTTAAAACTACAAGAATTATCATAAAATTTTTCTTCAAAGGAAATCTAATTTAGGTAAAAAATAACGTAATAATCCTTATTTAAGTTAATAATAATTAATATTTTGCACATATTCCATTTGGTTTTATTTTTTAAGATTAATTTCGTATAATAGCTAAAAACCGTAAAAGAATTTAACTCTTAACCTTAAAACGGCAACAACAAAGAACCGTACGAATGCAATAACAGCTGGTTAAGGTCCAAGAATTGCAAAATGCGGCGCGATTGTTTTCGGAACAGTCTTTTAAAAGATGTAACGTTCTCGAAGCCTGGACCGTGTGGTATGTGGACCATTTGGTTGTGAATATGGTGGTGGTCGAGGGCGTTTTTGTAGTGGGAGACCATAAAACAGGTGTAAGTCAAGATTGTATTAATCGGGTAAGTTCGGGTTTGGCCATAAGTCAGAAAATAAAATCCATAAAATAGTAATAAACGAAGATTATTGTTATTTCCTGTTAGTTTGAAGGTTTGAGATGGGTTCTTGACGAATAAAGATGTTAAATGAAGTTTCTTCACCTTGAAGCGCTTATAGTCAGATAATTCCGATAAAACCCGATTGTAATCTGATTTTTTCGTATAGGTACGACAGGTGAAGGTAAAACGCCAGGTAAAACGCAAAGACGTAGCGAGAATTGAGCACGATCATCAGTGCAGGACGCAACATGGCCGCGTAAAGTCCGGAAAACGTCCGATGCAGTTAGAAACGTTTTGATGTTATAAAATCGTTCGTATTATAACTTAAAAGAAGTTATAAGTTTTTGAATTTTTCGGTTGTTTCGGAAAGGTCGTAGTATTTTACTTTTTATTAGTTTAGGGTGGATTCTCATCGTTGTGGTCGGTCAAGTTTTAAGTGTTAATTGAAGATCGCCACGGGGCCAGTTGTTTTTGAGTGCGCCACTCGGTTGTTGGATTGAGATAGAGGCGACCATCAACGTTCGCGGAGACCGAGACGGTTTTTTCTTATTTTTATAAATAAGTTCAATGCCGAATGAGGTAATTCTAAACAAAGTATTTCAAGTAATTTCAATGGTGCGTTAGCAAAAGAACTTGTCTTGATTAATACAATACCCAATGAGATATTCTATAAAATAAATTCATTTCAAAAAGGTATTATTAAGATGATTATTCCAAGTTAGTTTCTTTAACACTATCAACCTTAAGACTTTGTAAACCACTATAGGTCTATGAACCATCATAGTGTATTATAGAGTTATAGGTGAGCGCGAATCGCCTTAGATGGCCTTCTTTCATTCAATGAATCGGCGCAATAAAGGAAAAGAGAAAACTGGTTACACGTTGGTATGTGTTCACAATTTCTTGAACACCATCTATATATGTAAAATTAGTTATTTATGTATCAAGGCAATATAAACCGTACTATTTTAATTATTACATACCCTTATTAATTGAGTCATCACCATGTATTAATAGTTTGGGTACATTTTTTTGCAACAAAATTAACGCTAATAAGAACACTATTAGAATGATTTGTGATGTTTTAATATAAATAAATATTAACGTCGTGTTTTTCTTGTGATGTAATTCACTTAATAGCATAAAAAGGCAAAACGCTTTGTGAAACCAATCAAACTCTTACGCAATCTGTTTTTTCACCATTTTTTTTTAGCTCGTTTAAGTCATTAACGATTGCATAAATACCTTTTTTTAAAAAGTTACTAATACTCACTTTGTGATTAAAAAAAATCTGACCCAAGAAAATGAGTTTTTCCCATTACGAAAAATTTTTTGTTGAGAACTGGAACATATTCAAACATTTCCTAATCAATTCTTTTATTGTCCTATTGTTCTCCATCTTAAAAAAAATCATTTTTAAAATTCATTTCAGATCTAGAAATGGATACCTAAACAACGTTAACTTCAAATCATCGTCGTCGAAATTTTCTTTTTAAGTAATAAGTTAGAAAATGATTCAAAGTACGTATAAATCAATGTACAGGCCGAATTTTTATGAGAGCACGTGCCTAAGATGCAACGACACCGTTTACCAAGTGGACCGAGTCGGTCCGTTAAAAGATTTCTCGTTCTTTCATAGCGGATGTTTTAAATGCGCGACGTGCGGTACTAAATTAACGTTAAAAACTTATTATAATAATCAACATCGACAAGAAGATAAAGAAGTTTATTGTAGCAGTCATGTGCCGAAAATTGGACCGGGACATCTTGATGGATCATCCGTTGGGATTCGGTCAGCTTTAAACGTACCAAAATCATCGTTTGTTAATGAACAAATTAGAGGACCTGGACGAGGATCATTTGATGGAGAACGTAAATATTTTTTTATTAATTTTTTATTTAATTAAACATCTTTTCCTTCGGGCTGCTCTGAATAATATTGTGGTAGTTTTTGAGTACCATGTCCTTAAGTTTTTAAATCAAGATCTACCATACTTCTTCCCTGGTCTTCTTCTACTATAGTATACATTTTCCCTTAGAGGATGGCTCTCAGAAGTATCTGTTTCTCACAATATCTCTAAAATATTTCAGTTTTCTTCTCTTGATGGTTTTTATCATTTTTAAATCCTTTCCTATTCGCTCCATCACTGCCCTGTTAATTACTTTATCCACCCATGAGATCTTCAGTACTCTTCTATAGAGCCACATTTCGAAAGCTTCTTTTTTGTGACATAGTATTTGCAATACACGTTGTATAGAACGTTGTGTTTTACTTGGAACTAATTAGATCTTCAAAAATATCTCCATAATTTCTGTACACTTTTTGCACTTCACTCTTTAGTACTTTTTGCCATTCTAATAACCGTTTTAGTATCACTTTGATGGTCTATTACGAGTACTATTAGGTTAATGCCACTAGTACTACTTGGTTTGTATAATAATTATTGTGAATCTGTGAATGGACATACACTCTCGAGTTCGATCTCCTTCTGTGTATTCTTTCAAAAACGACTGTGCTTTCAAAATAACGTCAATAGTACACTGCATGGTATGCATTTAGTGGCATACCATTGAAAGTGTGGTTAAGTGTTTAATAAAGTTTTAGGGGTAGATTACTTTTGTAAGAATATGTTGGGTGTTTAACATGAATTGAGAGAGCAATACGTTTTCTATAACTAGTAGAATTTGTATCTTCATTTTGACTAGGTTGCACGACTTTTTATATAATTTAAGATATACATTTAATTTTGTTTTATTTAATTTTAGAAATTTATATTACATAAGATAATCTGCTAAAGCAGCAAATGGATCAGGATGATTAGGACCATTGTAATTTGAATTGAGCAAATTTGAGAAATCAATAATTTTTTTTTGTCATTGATTCTCTGCATCTTTAAAATTATGTCATACAATCGTGATCATTAAAATGAATCTTGAACCTTTATTGCAAGATTCGTCGTGCAATCCAGGAGCTTATCAAACATCTTGATCAATGACGTAAGATTCAGATCTCTAGGGGAAACAAATTATTATCCAATATTGAGTATTTGATAGGAATTTAGACGCTTTTATATAGATGTCACTTACTAATGTGACTAATGTGATATAATGAAAATTTTTAGTAATTTTAAGCTAAATGTTAAAAATAGTATGATATACGGTGGTGTTTTTCACGATTTAATGCGAGATGTTACGGTTTTGACCTAGTTTTTTATAGTTTTATTCATGAGGAGAACAACTTTACGAAGACAGTTTCAAGATTAATAGCTCTATTATTTCCAAAAACGTTCAATCGTTTGATCTATTACCTTATTCCTAATTCTCGGTGATAATCCTTGACTTTTGCCTGTCATTACTCGATCATGTATATTGCCCATTCTAGCCACGTTTTTCAAAGGGGATAATTAAAAGCTTCATTCGATAAGTTTCTCTGGAAAAGTTTTGAAATCTTGAAAAATTTAAAAATCCTGTAACAAACTCCAGTAACTGTTTGGTTTACTTATCTGGGTATTTTACGATATTTTAACAGAAATATTTAAATGTATTAATAAATATCTTTTCTTATAAATAATATAAAATTTTTGATCTTTGAACTTGAAAGTCATGGAAAAACCGTTACAATTGAGTTGTATCTTTTGTGTTAGATCTTAAATCTAACGTTTTGTGTTATGTATGGGAGAGTCGTGATGTCGTTGAATTTTGTGGAAGCCATAGAAGACTTGAAAGAAGAAGTCGGAATGAGTCAGAAGAAGTCATAAAGGTTCAAATGTCACGGTTATTATTTTTAATAAGAGAAAGATTTATGTTGGCTCAAATGAATAGTGTACGGTTTAGAATTTTAGAATTTAGAAAGTTTTTCTTTTAGCATTATCAAGTGTAGGGAAGTCATTTAAATTTAATTTATGATTTGTTTCACGTTATGTTAAATCATTTTCTATTCGAATCACGCTTTAGTTAGCCTATAAATACACAAAAACACTTCTTAAAATAAAATTTAAGTGGATTAAATTTAACAACAACAAGTTCTGGTTTTATTTATGTTTAAAAGAGATAATCAGTTTTTTAAATTTATATTTTTTTCTTTTAGCTATAAATGTAAAAACTCACATCAATGGAAATTCAAATCTACAAGCTTCACCACCCGGATACGATCGACATGGTCATTATAGCCCCAATTCTTATCCACAAACCAATCACTCGGATTCACCTGGTTACCAATATGGAAGATTCGACGCTTCGGCACTTCACATCGCTCACGCTTTAAAACAAACCGAGTTACAAAAAGCTTATAGGACACATCGAGAGAAACCGATAGACTGTTATTTGGTGAGTTAAAGAAAATATTATTTATATATTATTGCTATGAAATAAAAAAAATGAAAAATCTCTTTATATACCTATTAAAATTAACATTTTCTAATAAATCACGAAGGAATTTAAGAATTGTTTTGTGAAAGTCGTATTGTTGGTTTGTTACTTTTCACGTAGCAAAGTCGATATATACGCAACTTCTTAGAAGTTAACTTACGCAATGAATCCGTTATGTGAAGTCCGGAAGTTGATGGAAAATAATTTTTCGCGTTGTTTAATTATGAAGAGGTTCTAAAAAGTTTTATAGAGGACTTTTTTATAATAAATAAATACATGGAATAAACTTTTACTGACTTGCAAATTCCTGTGTTACCTTCTCATTATTTAAAATGATGAGAAAAGATTTGAGTGTTTCGCGTAAACGGTTAGCTTGAATACTTGAATATTGGTTTAGAATACCAAAAGAGATAATATTTGTACAGTGACAACAGTAATGGCACGACTTATTAGCAATTATAAGCAAGATGTGCCAGTATTGCTTCCGTTGACCGTCTATATTTAAGCTGAAAATGCATTGTACTTGCAAGAGATAACGTTACAAGAGGAAAAATAATGGTTGAACAGTCGGGTTACCAAATATATGGTCAAATATAATAAAGTCAGTGAAACTTTACCGATAGACTTACAAACGACTTCGTTTCAGAACTTTAACCATATATATATGTACTCGTATATGTATTTAGCTACAAAATCAATAGATAAGCTTCTTGATAACTTTTTTTAAATATACTCTAATGAATAAATTGGCACATTTGATTTTTTTTGTAAATTTTTCTTGGAAGTCAAGCCTTTATTTATTTAACATATATGATTATACAAAGTTTCCGTTTTGGTTTGTTGGTTGTGGAAAGTCTTAAACACAAACCGGATTTTAAGTAAAAAGTTTCGTGTTAAACTTGAAATACGAAAAAAATCAAAGAAGGAAAAACCTCTTTAAATAAAGTTGTAATAAAGCACGTACAGGAATTTCATGCTCTAGATATCTACTGTTGGATGATTTAATTGACAGTGAGAAGTTGGTGCAAAAGATTTATCAGTACATGAAGCGTTTCGTGATCTATTTAAGTATTGAAACGTAACGAAAAAGTCAAAAAGAAATGATTTAATTTTACCTTAATTGATTATTTATTATAAAATTAAATACAAAATAGATTTTATTTGAATCAAATCGATTACTTCTTTATAACAGACCGCGCCTGTTAATCAACCATCTGTTTTGAAAATAAAAGAGAAGAAAAAAATATCGTTTAGAGTTGGTACTAATGTCAATCTGGATAAATTGATTTCAAATAACTTTTAATTTTCCTGTTGGGAATCTCTAATGATTTACCTAGCGATATAAATGAGCAGAAGGCGAAAAGTCTTTTTCTTAAAGACGTATTTAAGAAAAGAAATCAGTAAACACATCTGTCAAATAGTGAAAGTCTATGTCTCCTTTTGATCGATTTTATTGTTTTAGAAAACACCTAAGATTAAAAAAGAAGCGCACATAATTTCTTTTTTTATCTCCAGATGCTTATAGAAATTAATTCGAATTTTTTTTTGAGAGGAAACGATTCGAACCCGAAATGAAAATGAGAACAACTTTAGTAAAACGGAAACCGGGCGAGCAAGTCACTTCAACGACCACTTTCACCTCAGAATATGTATGATAATTGATGAGAATTACTCGGGTTCTGGTAGTGAAAGAAAATTAAATTATAATTTTACATCTTTAGTGTTACAGTTGTGAATTTATAGCTGTTCGAAAGAAAAAAATTAACAATAGAATCTGACCGTCAGTTACCGGTTTCTTAACCTATATTATGTTCGGAAAATAGCAAATCAGTGAGATAATTATTGTATTTAAAATTACTGTTGTTTGACACGATTTTAATTTATTGGTTTTACTTTTTGTGGATAAAGAAGAAACAATATGTTTGAAAAAGTTATATTGCAAATAAAACAAACCCTACAAGGATCTTGTTTACGAACCATATCGTGCGTATATGCATAAATACACCGGAAGTAGACTTTGTTTAACTTTATGGATCAACGCAGTTGTTACGTTTCCGTTTTTATCCAGTCGTCCAATGTAAATAATAAATTTAATTTTCTTTATTGAAATTTAAAAAGCGTTAAAAATATATCTTTCAAAGTCTTCCGCCTTGAGCGGAGACAATTTTCAACATCTTAATCGTTTTAGGAAACAACCACATAAAATCGTCAAATTGATTTCTCTTTAACTTCCCATATTTAGCGGCAACATACACTTTTACACCGCAAGTTTCGAACTCTTTTGTAGAGAGACTTTCTATAAGATACTTCCTCTAAACGTGAAAAATTTAAAGACTTTTAGTCGGTTTTTTTTCCTAATTGTAAGTGTTATTTAGGTAGTCGGTATCGTTTCCTATTTAGGGCATTCCACATAAAAATCGTGATTTGAAAATTTCAAGATAATCGTGACGTAATGTGATGACGTCGTCGTGCCGTTCGTTGTCCGTGACTGTATCCATTCTATTTTCGGGTCAAACCTGTGAAGGTGGTTTATGTATGGGGGCGTTACCGCGTCGTTTTGTCGCGAGTCTCGAGACCTTCTTAATAAGACAACAAGACCGCGTAAAACGTAGGTCGGTGATTCTTGAATACTTGTGAAAAACGCCTACAAAATTTTTTTTTTATTATGTCAAATTTTATTTACAGCTATTTAACTACACCGCTTATTATATTTATCGCCAAATACGATATCTAATGATAAATTTATAACGTAATAGCCGTGATGTATAGGCCCTTATATGAAAGACAACAATTCAAAAGAATATTACTTGTTGCAAAAAAAGGAAAATATTAATACGAAATTGGTTGTCTGGGCTGTTAGCTCTCTCAGCATTGTTGACAACTCTCTCATTGTTTCAAGAAGCGCGTCTAGCTAACTATTTTAATTAATAATATTTTAATGTACTACTAATTTATACTAACTTTAACTCGAAGGTTACGAACTATCTCTTAACGAATATTGAATTTATCTATCCGCAAGTTACTTTAAGGCTTCTTCATTATTAAGACCTTTTCGCTTTGAACCCATTGACAAGACACCACTCTAACTAAATACTGAAGAGAAAATTAAAGAAATCATGAAAATATTTCCCAGAAAAAGCGATAAATTTTAGTAGGTATGAAATTTGTTGAGCCAAAACTCTAAGAAATCAGATAACGATGAATTACGTTTTCTCGGAAATACTGGATCTAATATTTGTAAGCAGTGGTGTCTTGGTAGAGGTTCGCGCAACTTTCTAAATAATATTTCAACGTTTTGAGGTACTTCCCAGAAACTAATCGAAGGTTTTATAGCAAGTTTACATGATGGCAAGATGATATATTACAAGAAATAAAGTAAATGTTTCCACACAGATGTCACATTAGTTTGTTGTATAAACTTTTATTAAATTATTTCAATTATAAACTATTAACACATAAACTTACCAGGGATCTTTTACGGTGAAACGACAAATTCGTATAATTGACAAATTGAATTAGAATAATACAAAGTGCCAGATTTTATGTAATTACTTTTATAATTCTAGGAATTACCTAATAATATAAAATTTTTGCAGATATTTAGAAATACCATAATGATTAATACCTATTAACCTATATTAAAAATGTCCAATTATTCGTTTCGATTCAATTCAATTTATAACATTATTTAAATTAATTAGATTTTTTAAATTTATTGCAAGTGGATGTCCACATTTTTAATGTATAATTTTACTCGTCCTAATTCGTCATATTTTTTGTATAATCTTACAACCTAAAACGTATTGATTCAGTTTAATTACTTTAAAATTGATCACAACTCTTTTTTAATCTTACCATACTTTATTTGAGTTTGCGTTAACATATTAATATTCATTTAAATCTTCATCTTCTTCTATGGCTCTATAGCCCATGTCGGGCCTTATCCTCCCTTAATCTTTGTCTCCACTCGCTTTGTCCGACGTTGCTCTTTTCCAACCCGAAAGCCCAGAAGATTCCGTGCATCATCGCTCACTGCGTCTTCTCAGCGTTTCCGTGGCCTTCTCATAGGTCTCTTTTCCTGTCCATTCTCTATTATCACTTAGATCTCCTGCTCACAACCTGTTGAGAATCTTCACTTCAGTCTTTGTATTCTAATGAATTCCAAGAAAGGTGACAGCTTTGGAAAACTGATATATGATCTCGAATTGGTCTCAGGCTCTACGCAATACTTTTCTTTCTAAGATGTCAAGTTTATCACTTGATTTTTTCGACAGTACCCATGTTTTACTACCATATGTCACGATTGCTTTATATGTTATCATCTTTGCCGAAATAAGTCTTATAAGTACGAAGGCTTCCACGACCGGTGTTTATTGCATAAAACTAGAACTAACACTAGACTTCAAACTAGAAACGGATTTAGCCATGCGTCCGTTGACAAAGCGTTTAACGTTTTGGATGTTTCATTTCGAACTTGTGTCTGAAGAAGATTGTAACATGGCATCCGAAACGTTAAACGCTTGGCTAAGTCCGAAAGTTTCTAGTTCTAGCTTTAGTTTGATGTAAGTCTTGTGATCTGAACACATGGAGTGAGCTAGTTTGAAATATGCTCCATTTGTTTGTGTTATTCTTGTATATCGTACAGAAAAGGGAAAATCTGCGGTAGTTCTTGCAGACAAGTTTGTCACCTTTTTTATAAATGGGAGATATGATGCCCAGATCCCAATAGATTGTGAAAGTGTTGTTTTCAAACATCTTTTACGCCTTGTTTGTCACTTATTATTTAGCCCTCCTTATTCTTGCAGAGATAGGTTTGAGGTTTATACCTAGTTCTTAATATCTTTAGGTATTGATACTTCCCTCTTATTCTATTCTTCTTAATATCCTCTTCAATTCTGTCAATCTGTCCGTTTACATATTCCTTTTTCATCTTCCTACTGCTTCGGGTAGTCAGTCTCTGGTTGTAGTCCCTGGAAAGAATTCTAGACTGATTAAGTTACATCTTAGTGTATCATTTCGCTCTTCTGTTATTCCAGATTATTCACCACAATATCATCCTTTCTCTATCATCTATCTAGTCGTTTCGGTACATTTGAAATAAAAGGAAGATAAATTTATCAATATTAGATTCATTTCTGTATTGGTACAAATATTATAAAATGTTTATATTTTTTTAAGAATCATCGAAAAACCTACTGTTTTAAAAAAAATGTTATTTCTCACTGTTACACTTATCTTTTTCATTTTTATTTTTTTTTCCTGGTGTCATTAACAAACCCGGTAATTTAGAATCTATGCCAGCGGACTTCCTTGCACACATAATCTAAGAAAAAGAAGGCAAAACGAAACCGCGCGTTTCAAATTCGAGATAAATAACCGGCGTCTTTCACAGTATTGTCCGTCCGGTCGCGGGACCGTGGGACGGGAAAAGAAAAACGAGGCCTGCGGTTGCTGTTTACCCGCGGCCTCTCGGACTCGAATGGCGTTTTACGTAATATTTTTCACTTCCTGGTGTTTTACCATTTACTACTTAGATACATAATTGGATTTCATCATTTAATTTGCAATCATTAAATTTAACCACTTTTTATCTAATTCTCTATGTTTTTCGTTGTTTATTAAAGGATCGTGATGAACAACGAAGATTAGAAATGAAACATCGAAAAGAAGAAGATGATTTATATAGGAAATTTGCGAGACATAGAGAAGAAGAAGAAAGACGTATTCGAGACGAGATTCATGTAAGTAATCTTTTTATTAAATAAGTGATAATTCGTTGCACACCTTTGATTGTTTTGGTGATCATGTTCGTGTCCTTGACCCGATTTGTTAATCCTACTTTTTTATCTTTTTGAAATCGGTGACAAGCACAAACAACCCGGTGATGTGGTTTATAGAGTGGAACCGTTGTAGCTGCCATACATAACGTAGAAAAGAATAAGAGATAATTGGTAAAACGGAAGGCGCATCCATCGTTTGGACACAACAATGCAAAGGCAGGCCTCCGTGTTGGCTCGCGATTACGGATTAGAAAGCCCTCCTCATATGAAATGCACGTTCTATGACGGATTATTTACCGTTTTACTATGAGAACACAATTTTTTTTTAAGATTTATATTACTACTACTATTACATTTTCTTTCTATCGATAAGTAGATTGTTTTAAAATAATTTTAGTAACACTTTACTTGCATATAGGATGAATGGGAAAAAGAATTAGAACGATTAACGAATCGTTTCGAACGTGAGATGCAGGTGAAGAGGAAACGTGACGAACAGAATATTCTCACGTTGAGGCACCAACAGGAACGCGAAGACCTCGAAAAGAACATGACCTTGCGTAGGGACAAAAAGAAAGAATCGCTTACAAGGAAAATGTTGGAACATGAACGGTACGTTTATATTTTGCGATTTAATTACCTTGTGGTTGTCATGGGTTCAAATATGTTGATCAAACAAAATTGCTATAGTTAGACCACAAGATGATTTTGTTTACTCGCGAAACGTACCTTTCAAGGTGGTTATGTTATACACCACTATAAATTCGTTAAATAAATGTTTGTAAGTTTAGGAATAAATATCGCGTTTTAAATTTACTTAATTTTTTCATTATCTCAAGTAAATTGTTTTTAGAGCTGCAACGGCCGCTTTAGTTGAAAAGCAAAGTCACGAAATGTTGGAATTAATAAACGAAAAACGAAGTGAATACATGATGGCGGAGTCTTTGTATGTCGATGGAAACGAAGATGTCGGATACACGGACGATTTACCTCCGTATCCGAGTCACGCCCCCGTTCCAGCACCTCCAGCTTTAAGCAAATTTCAAATTTATAGTGACCCCATTGAATTTGCTAATGTTGATCAAATTGCTATATCAGTATGATATTAAACACTTCTATTATTCCTTTTTTAACGCGCTATTTTCTTGTTTAGGTTGCTCAAGAAGATCAAAAATCGTTTACAGATTTAGTTCGTCAATTAGTTGGAAGATGCGGTTCTGATATTGAAAAAGCACGAACAATATTCCGATGGATAACTGTTAAAAATTTAAATACAATGTCTTTTGATGATAATTTAAGGGGGGATACACCGATGGGGTTGCTAAGAGGAATTAAAAATGGAACAGAAAGTTATCATGTGCTTTTTAAACGTCTTTGCAGGTAATTAAAATAATTTTTTGTTTTTAATATATTTGTAATTAATTTTTATTGTTCAAAGTTTATGATTAAACGAAATTATTGTATTAAAAAGTAAATTAAATTACATACAGTGAATTTGGCTTAAAATGCAATATACAAAAATATATTTCCATAGAAACTAGGGCGTACCTACTTACTTTGTCCCACATAAAATTCAACATGTCTAAATGTTTCTGTTTGTATGTCTAATGTTAATTCTAGTGATAGTGGTAGGTAGCGCTAGTTAGCATGGGATATCACTATGTTGCATGTTTTTATTGCACTAAAACTAGAACTAACACTAGACCTAGAACTAGAAACAGTTGGGTTACACTAGTACTATCACTAGAACTAACGCCAGACCTAGATCTAGAATTATTCGTGTTTAGCCGTCTTGAGAGACGTGCGGCTAAACGCGAATATTTCTATTTCTATGGCTAGTATTAGTTCTAATTTTACATTAGCCCTATCACTAGAACTAACACAAGACCTAAAACTAGAATGATTCGGGTTTAGCTGTCTTGAGAGACGTGCGGCTAAACCCGAATATTTCTAGTTCTAGGTCTAGTGTTAGTTCTAGTTTCACATTAGCCCTATCACTAGAACTAACACAAGATCTAAAACTAGAATCATTCGGGTTCAGCCGTCTTGAAAGACGTGCGGCTAAACCCGATACTTTCTAGTTCTAGGTCTAGTGCTAGTTCTAGTTTTACACTAGTACTATCACTAGAACTAACGCAAGACCTAGATCTAGAATCATTCGTGTTTAGCAGTCTTGAGAGATGTGCGGCTAAACGCGAATATTTCTAGTTCTAGGTCTAGTGTTAGTTCTAGTATTGTACTAGCACTATCACTAGAACTAACTCAAGTCTTAGAACTAGAATTATTCGGGTTTAGCCGTCTTGAGAGACGTGCGCCTAAACCCGGTATCTTTTATTAACATGTTTCTATATTTTAGTTACGCAGGTTTACACTGCGTTGTTATCAAGGGATATTCAAAATCGGCTGGTTATCAACCCGGAGTTCGTTTCGAGGATAATCGATTTAGAAATTCGTGGAATGCCGTTTATGTTGCTGGTGCTTGGAGATTTGTGCAATGCAATTGGGGCGCCAGGCACTTGGTTAATGCCAAAGAGGCACCTAAAGCTGGAAATAAAACCAAATCAGATAGTTTAAGGTGATTTTTTAGATAATTATAATTTATTAATATTTTTTTTACAATTTTTTTTAGGTATGAATATGATGATCATTATTTCTTAACAGACCCTAAAGAATTTATCTACGAATTTTACCCATTACAACCGGAATGGCAGTTATTAAAACAACAAATATCTCTTCAAGAATTCGAAGAATTACCCTTCGTAAGATCGTTATTTTTCCGATATGGATTATACTTTTCTGATCCAAATACAAAAGCGGTTATGTTTACTGATTCAACTGGAGCAGCAACCGTACGAATAGCAATGCCGGCTCATATGCAAGGAAGTTTAATTTTCCATTATAATTTAAAATTTTATGACAGTGATGGAGATAGTTTCGAGGCGGTTTCACTTAAACGTTTTGTTATGCAATCAGTTGTGGGGAATATGGTAGCTTTCCGCGTCCATGCACCGTGTAGTGGAGCTTTCTTATTAGACATTTTTGCAAACGCTGTGACACCAAAAGAATATTTAACAGGGGAACCAATGAAATTTAAAAGTGTTTGCAAATTTAAAATATGTTGCGAAGATTTGCAAACAGTAATGGTTCCACTTCCTGATTGTGCAAGTGGAGAATGGGGACCAACTAAAGCTACAAGATTATTTGGATTGGTTCCAATAACACATCAAGTAAAAATAATAATATATTACAATAAAATTGATACAAATTTTTATTTTTTTAGGACGCTTTAGTATTTGCAGGAAGAGAATTAGAAATACAATTTCGTATGTCTCGTCCATTAACTGATTTTATGGCCACACTCCATAAAAACGGTGTCGAAGAAAAACGCTTGTCCAAATTTGTAACGCATAACGTTTCAGACGATATTGTTACGTTTAATATAAGTTTTCCTGAAGAGGGTCAGTACGGATTAGATATTTATACAAGAGAAATGGGGCCTATACATGATATAACAGGGGAAAAGCACTTATTGACGCATTGCTGCAAGTATTTAATTAATTCATCGAAACGTAATTAAAAACATAATTTAAAAAAAGATTAATTAAAAAAGGGATTTATGCGCACTTTTTTTTTTGTTTTGTTATCATTTTTATAGATTCTATTATTTTATTTTTATTATTATTTTTTTTGAAGAATATGTATTATTATTATTTCTTTTTTAATAAGACATAGATATTTTGAATTCTTTTTTAAACTTGTCTACTTTCTTTTTATTGAGTGATCAAAAGTTATATTCACAACAATTTTGGATTATAATGACAATTTTTTGATAATATTTTTTTACATTTCTAAATAATATATTGGGTGTCACAAAAGTCCACTAGCACGGTATTTCTGTTAATAAAAAACATAACGAAAGCATATAAAGACATGAAATTTGGTATAAATTTTATTCAAACATTAACAAACAACACTGTATAATCAAAAGTTCGAAGTATCCACCCTTCGCCTTCACACAAGCTCACAAACGCTTGGAGAACGCAGGCTCTGTGACGGAGAGGTCGAGATCGTTCCATGCCTTCTAAAGGGAGCGCTTCAGACTGTCAAGAACTGACCACACGTTCTTCTTATTTTATGTAAGAATATGTCTTGTTTACTCCTGCTTCATCAGGCCTCTTGGGATGTTGAAGTTGTCCATCCTGTCCACGTGGTCTCTTTAACATCTGCGCTTCGACCATATAAGAGGAACCACATCAGGCACCTTCAGTTCCTTCCATATTTGCTGAGCTTCTTATTTGATCCCTCAGGGTTACTTCTTTAATCGTTCTTAGCTACCTCATTTCGGTGGTTCTCAGCATGCTCTTGGTTTTTGAGATATATGTCCGAGTTTCCGCTGCATATATCAGTAACTGCCTCACTCCCGTTTTGTAGATGCGGACTTTGCTCTCCTTGGACATGTATTTGTTTCTCCATATGATGTCTCTTAGATATTCTGGATCCTTTGTTGACTTGTGTTCTAACTTGCTGATGTAAATTTCTGCAGCTAGAGATATCAACACCCAGGTACTTACGGTGCAGGCTGTGTCTAATGGGGCAATCATTCACTATCAATTTACACTTGACAGGTTCTTTCACAATCATCATTACTACATTTTTCTTCTTGGATATATCTCCATTTTTAGTCCTTTCGCTGTGGTTTGGAATCGGTATAGTATTCGTTCTCGTTTTCCGCCATCAAAAGGGCATCATTTGCATAACATGAGATTTTCAAGAATTTCTTGTTCATCTTAATACTATGAAGCCCCAAATGATGCTTGATGATCCTGTGCACAGATTCATGGCTGATTAGCTATTTTTTTGAGACTCCTTCTAGAATTCTGGCGACCTTATCCTGGACACGCTTAATCATGGTGGGAGTCACGATAGTTTTTAGTCTTCTACTTTTGGGACAATCCTCAATGGTATCAGTCTCTTTTAAGTCACCCTGGCCTGGTTCATTACCTGCACAAAGCAATCCTTTGGATTTTTGGTGGAATCTTTAGTAACACTAAAACGAACATGCGAGTAAAATTTCACATTCATACAACAAAAACGAACAGAGTTACAACGTCGCTTTTGTGACACCCTGTAAATCAAAAAGTTTATAACAAATTGCTTTTTAAAAAAGATTTATCTTAACAAGTTTAAAGATTAATTTAATTTGTTTTAAGTCAAATTGAATATAAGTTGATATTGGTGCTCACAATGCTAATAATTATTTATCTAGAAAGGACATGTAGTTTATGTAAAAATTGCTAAAAGACGCTATTAGACGATTAAAACAAAAATAATGCAACACATTTGCCTTTGGTATTTAAAAAAAAATAAATAATGGGGAAAGGAATTTTAAATAAAACGGTGCAATATCAAAAAATTTAAATAAAGATAAAACGAATTTTGTTTGAATTAATATATTTACAAAAAAAATATTTTTATATAGCATAAAAAAATATATTTTTTAAAAAAACATTTATTTTGTAATCAATTATCGATTATTTTTCTAAAAAGCTATATACACTTATTAAAAATATAAAAAAATATAAAATGTTGAATTTATTATTTAATTTTTCTTCTAATATAAAAAAATGTCACTTTGTTAATAATGTATTTTTTTCTTAATGAATAAAGTATATATTTATTATATAATTTCTTTTAATAATTCCCTTTAATCTTTTTATTAGTTCTACCAGCGAAACCAATAAAATCAACAATATTTAAACTTAGGTTCATAAACTTCACCATCATTTTTACCAAAAACGTGAGGTTGAACAGAATTACACCTTGTACTTTCAACGTTATCAATTAACGAAGTTAACATCCCTTCAACTTCAGTTACGGCATTTTTTAATTCGCCGTTATCAATACTTCCTAAAGATTCTAAAAAAAAATGTTTCAAAATAACCACAAACACTCTACAAAAAATTACCATCTAAAGTGAAATTATTTGCAAGTATTTGTTGCAACTTTGCCAAAGCTTCATCTAAATCATTATGCATTTCATAAACAGGTGTTTTATAATCGCTTCTGATACTTGGTTCATTTATAATTGACGGTTTACCTCCAATCCAAGTACTTAAATCGGTTAATGTTGGATTCATTGAAGACGATTGCTCAACAATGTAATTACTTTTACTTTTAAACAAATCATTTTGTTTATCTAAATTTTCGAAACTTTTTGAGATCGTAATCGGACTCAAAGTATCGATCATAATACGACTTTTATAGTTTGGAACCATTGGTGTTGATTCGATGGATATTTTTTGTTGTGGTTTAGGATCAGGGTGAGAATCTTTTAAATGATTCTGCAAAAACAAATTATTATTAATTCGATTAACTACATTTGAAAATATTTACATTTAAAGTTTTTAATTTTTGAATTTGAGCAGCAATATTAACACGATGATTTTCAAGATAATCTTTTAAATCTTTCCCTGGACTCATCTCTAAATGCAATAATTGTTGTAATTCTCTAAAAAGATATTAAATAAAAAAATAAATAAATAAGAAAAGAAATCCTAACTTGTTTTGAGATTCTAATTGTTTAATTATTAATTGTAGTTGTAAGTGAGGTGAGGATACTGGGTCAATATCTCCATTATTTCCTGAATCCGATTGTAATCTTGATAACCAATCTTTATCAATACTAAAAATTAAAATTAAATTTGAATTGTATAAAAGAAATTTAAATAAACCTAATAGGATTTGTTTCAATAATTGTTGAATTATTTCCTTGTGTCGAACATCGTAATAAAGAACATAATTTCTTAACTAATCCATGATTAACTTCTTTTGTATTATCCTCTATGCAATATTCCTTCATATTATGCGTTATCTTATGCATTCGATTAACTCTCGCTGTTAAATAACATTTTTGACATTGAATATAACGTGAACATTTCACACATCGATATTTTAACCCAACAATGGGTGAAATTTTACAAAATGAGCATTTTGCGTTATGAACAGCCGATTCCGACTTTTTTAATCGATGCAAAGTTGGTAACCATATTAAAATTTGTGGGTTATTTTCTAACCAATTAATAAAAATGCTTTCATTTATTCCAACTAAACCGGGAGACTAAAAAAAGAGTAAAGTCTAATTATTATTTTATTTTGTTGATGGCTTTTATACCTTTGCAAAACATTCTTCAACTGACGAATTAATTAAATGATGTCCGAAATTCAAATCTTCGTGTAAATAAGAAATAATATCACTTATTTTCGATAAAATCGTTTGTACTTTTAATCTTGTTATGCAGTTATTATGATCGGCACATAAATTGAATAAATAATGAAAGAAATTGTTTACGTTTGAATTGCACATTAACGATAAAACTAATTTTAAATGTATTACTTGCACTAAACCCTCACGATTTCTATTAAAAAAAAATTTATTATTATTTTAATCATTAAGGGAAACCATCACATAATCCCCAAAACAGAGTCGAAGAGACTGAAGAAGAGTAAAGACTGAAGCAGAAATGGGAATCTGAATAGAAAGAGAAAAAATAAAAACCTATACGAAAATAAACATCCATAAACTAAGGCAAGATGAAGAAGGACTAAAATACCAAGAAAAATTGGAATGGTGGAGAATTTTTAAAGAAATAATGCGAAATAAAGGTATGAAGGTGTGTGGAATGTGAAAATATAATAATCAGACAAAGAGAACACACTGGTGGAATGAAGAGGTAATCAGAATGAGTCATGGAAGAAATATATAAGAACGAATTTGGAAGAGGATAGAGCAAACTATAGAACGAACAGAGCTAAGAATATGGTAAGGGAGGCAAAAAAGAAAAGTTGGGAAGAGTTCGAAAATTCTGGAATCAAATAAGAAAACTGAAGGGAGATCAAAGGAAACAAATAAAAGCCGTCAAAGATAAAAACAACGAGATAAAGACAACTACAACGGAAATTCTGGACATATGGGCGGATTTTTATGCAGAAACGTCCAAGGATAGATATGATAAGGGAAGGTACTACAGACATAGCAACTGAAGAGATAACAATGGAAGAATTAGGAGAGGCAATGATAAAGATGAAAACAGACTAGGCTTGCAGTAAAGATAAGATAGATCCAGAGATGATAAAATATTTGGGAATAAAAGGGAAGGAGTGGCTTCTAAGTGTATAGAAAATCGGATGGGAGTTGGAAACAATCCCAAAAGATTGGGAAGATAATATCTTCTTACTAATACATAAAAAAGGAAGCTATTTCGAACTGTGAAAATTACAGAGCCAAATGCCTATCATCTACTAGTTATAAATTAAACACAAAGATAATAGAAAAAAAGATTAAGAAGAGTAGTACAAGGAAGTCAAGGGCATAGTACAAATGAAGGGAGAAATATCAAAAACTTTTGAAATGAGCAAGGAAATAAAACAAGGCGACAGCCTAAGCCCCTTATTATTTATAATATTAATGGAGTGATAAAAAATACAAGAACAAGAACAAATAAATATCAAACAATAATAGGTTATAAAAGTTTGGAATCAATAAAAATAGATAATAATCCAGGATATAGTAATCCTGACGACAAGCAGAGAACTATAAAAAGGCAAGGAAGTTGGTTGAAATATGGACAGAAGAAATTGAAAAGATGGACACTCCAAAATAAATAAGAAGGAAAGAGCACAGCAACAAGGAAATGAAACTTTTACAGAAAATAGTGAGGAAGACAAAGTGGGATGGGATAAGGAATGAGGAAATAAGACTGGAAATAAATCAAGAGGAGAATCAGCAAAATAAAGAGAAAGCAACTAAATTGATACACCCACATAATTAGAATTGAACATAACACAATAGTAAAACAGGTATTTGAAGCAAAGAATAAGGATAAGAACAAGAGGGGAATACCTTGGAAGAAATGGGAGGAAAGAAGCAGTCTTGGGAAGAAAAGAGGGAAGACTCTTAACAGTATTTCATCATATTAGTCTGTTATATCAAGGTATTAGTATTACTCTACTTACTTATCATAAACATTGTATAAAAAATTTTGCATCAATTCAACAATTAAGTCAATATCAATATTTAAATTGTTTTGTTTATTTACAGCAAAATATATATCTGATAAAATAGCTTCGATGTCATAACTCTCTAAACGTAAAGTATTTTCTGTTGAATTTAATTGATGCCTTTCAAAAATACCAGAAATTAAATTCAAAGGAATAATATCCACTAAAACAAATACCAAATAAAAAAGAGAATAATTAAACAATAAAACGTACTGTATAAAGATTGTTGCAAAAATCTTATTTTAAAAGCCACCCTATATGCAGCATATTTAATCCAATTGCACTCATCTAATTTTTCTTTAATTTCAAGAAACTTTGGATGATCCCATTGTTTAACTTTACTTTGTTCGCTACAACAAAAAATTTGAATAAAAAACAACAAAAGTAACTTTTTAGTATGCAACTCACTGAATGTAATAAGGAAATCCTTTTTCATCTTCAAATTTTCGCCAGGGTGAATTCATTTTATATTTTAAACCTTAAAAAGCTTCGAACTAAAAGAGTATAAGCATAAAAGCTTTTTCCTCCCCCAACCTGTCGTTTCCTTTCAACAGGTGGTTAATTCTAACCTCCGCCTACACTTTATTCTTTTTTTAATCACCAGAAAATTACCGTTTTACGAAGAATTGAAGTATCACGAAAGTGGAAAAGCGTTAAAATTTGAATTTGCGATAAGATTTCATTCATAATTTGACCGGACAAAATTACAATTACGTCATTGTATCAATATAACCGTTTTTTTACATTGGTTTATTTGCCATCTCTTTCTTACTTACATCGCAGATATAGTTTTATCTCCTTTTAAATCTGAGTAAACTTACTTGTTACTTTTTGTGTTTGTTGTGGTGCCTATATTAAGAGAATTTAACAAGAATTTATCTTCATTGATTCAAAATTCAATTTGAATTTAATTAATTTTTTTGTAAATAATTATTTTTAATATTTTAAAACCTTCCTAGATTATTTATTCTTTTTTTCTGTAATACCTATCAAATTATTGTAAAGTTGGTAACAATTTAAAATGAATTTGTGTCATACTGACGTTTGAAGTTTCGTTATTTAAAATGATAAGTAATTTTTTGATTTTTTTAATTGTAATTAAGTAAATAAATATCTATAATTAATTTTTGAATTTATACAGTATGTTTATTATTTAAGACGGATATCCCTATGAGCATGAAACGGAAAGCTCTCAACCAATGTATGCTTCCAGTCTTAACATACGAAGTCGAAACACTATGACTTATTGCGGGGCTAAAATAAAGATGGGCTGAACACGTGGCTAAACTGAGAGATGGTAGGTGGACGAGAAGAATCCTGAAATGGCGATCGAGAGCAGATAAACGTAGTAAAAATTATAAATATAAGCTTCCTAATCTACAATAATTATTGAAAATGACCACCTAAGATGCAAGAATCCAATCTTCTCTTCATTGACTGCCGAACCCTTTCAAAAACACCAGGATCGTTTCTAATTGAATTACAGCCAGCCGTTATACGATTTCACAAGTCTTCCACATTTGGAGTAATGTAAACTAAAGATTTATAATCACCCCATAGAAAAAAATCCTCGGCCAATTCAGCGATCTCCATATGTTACTGTCAAAAACTTACGAGCAACCCTACTAAAATGCGCTGATGTACCATTGTGCATAAACCACATTGAATTTCTTACTGCCAATGGTACATCCTCTAGAAACTGATGTAACGTTTATTCCAAAAAGTTGCAATACACTTCGTTGGTAAGTCTTCTTGGTAAAAATATTGGTCTAACTAGCCAGTTATCCACAATTCCAACCTAAACGTTCATCAGCAAGCCTAAAAATGGTTCTGCTGAAATTTTGTTTTGCCCTATGTCTTTTAAACAAAGCAGATTACCAAAAATTATTAAAAGACAAACTATTCTTAGAATAACCCCTTGAATTGTTGCCACATGTTTAATAAACAGCTTGTATATTAATCTATTCTGTTCTGGTTATTTCTTATTAAATAATGACAGAAAAAAATTATTGTGCAAGAAATCTGGTGACACAAATCATGAAAATACGTCTATTATATAAAATAAATAGGTTGTTCGATTGCGGATGTTATGTTCCCGATCAACTTTCTCGACAATAAACGTTTAGAATATCAAATTGCCGTAGTTGGTGAGTTATGCCGATCGAAACGAAGAGAAAATTTAGTCCAAAGTACTTTTGTCACGTAGAGATTCGCTTTTTTCAGTCGCATTTTCAATTAATTAAATTTAATTAATCCGTATTACAAAAACTGTTTAACATAAAAAAATAAACAATACAATAGCCCCAAAAAAAACACTCTTTGAATATTAATTTTATAAATAAAGAATTAATTCGTTTTAACATTTTTTTCTTTTGGTTGAATACAAAATTTTCACTTCTTCTTTACAAGGTAAAGTGAAATGGTATATATTAAAAGAATATAGAACAATACCAAATAGATATTAAAAAAAAAGTAGTAAATGTTATTAAGTATGGTGATAATAATCGTTGAACGATTGCCCGATGCATGCAAAAGAAGAAAGTAGGACCCCTTCTGACAACATGGAAAACTGGAACATGGTCCACTTGTTAACCACCGACTTATAATTTAATTTTTTGAAATAAAAACGTAACATTATACAACCTATTATTGACATATTTATGACTTAAGTTGCAAAAATATCACAAAGAAGTCTTTTATGCAATAAAAAAAAGTCTTCAAAACAAGTTAAATTGTGCATGAATTATTTACCATTTAATTTTGATTTAATAACTGTGTAAACTGTTTTTTTTTTCGTTTCAATTAAGGTAAGCGGAAATAATTGCTAAAACGTTTTTTTCTCTAATTTTATTTCCCTCATTTATTTATTTATTAAATCCAAATTTGGCGTTTTGGGAAAGATCACTTTCTTTTTTTATATTTCCCCATTACTTCCTGACTTTAAGAGAAAATTATTTCTGTTAAGACCATACCAAGTATTTTTTTGTTGTTGTTTTCTGTTTCTTTTAAATCTCTCTTTAAATACCATCAGGTAGTTGGCCTATATACGGGGATGAAATGCGGTAGATATCAAACGCTTTGGAATCTTTTTTTCTTTTATTTCTTGTTTCCTTTTAAATGAAAAACATTTTCAACAAATTCATGAGTTTTATATAAAATAAAAACTTAAATATTATATTTTTTTTAATTTTAAAGAAGACTGACTTTAATATGAGTTAGATTATATGGATTTATTATATGGAAGATCAGTACATATTAAATCTCATCATAAGTTTGGTCATCGTAGGTATTTTGTTGTTATAATTGTGATTTTTTTAAATTTTTGTAATTACCTGGTGATCAATAACCATTAATATTATTATTATACACTTTTTCTTTATATTGATAATTTTAGTTAATTTTTGTGCAAACCATATCTTAAATAAAAAAAAAATGTTACCCAAAGCTAGCAAGCCTCAAAGTGAAATCAGTAATGTTATTAAAGGAAAAAAACTTGTAATTATCTCTTCATAAAGTTCACCATATACCAGATGTCAGATGACCATAAGAAATTAAAAACAACTCGGAGAGAAATTGTTCTAGCAAACGTGTTACAATTTATATCATAAACAGGTTGCAAGAAAAGTGAAACTGGATTTAAACAGATTTATCGCTTAATTTTAAACAAAATAAATAATCAATATGAGTGATTAAAATTCTTTATGGTGTTATGTTAAAATTATTTATGGGTATTGTGGCACAAAAAAGTAAACATTAGTTTTTTTTTTAGTGGGAGGACCCCCCCAGGTTAGTTCAGAAGACGACTTCTGGTGAAAATCTTCAGCTTACCATTCAGTTCTTACGGTGACACGGCGAGTAAACAGTTCGCGTTGTCCGCTTTCAAAGTAAAGTCGATTAAACGCGTTTAAAACTAGATAATTATTTTTTTTAAAGTGAACTAGTTCAAGAATAAAAAGTTTTTCTTTAAAACAACTTTGATTATTTTTTTAAAATTTTGGAAGTTATTAATTTTAAAGGTAAGTTATTTTTGCGCGGTTGTAATCAAATCTTAACATAATAGTAAGATTAAGTTTCTGTAACATATATTGTTGGATGAAGGTCTTTTTAATTATTTTTTATTTTAAAAGATTGAAATTTCTTTTTCGTTTTATTTCTCATAAACTTTATTGAGTGCTTATTTCAAATATGACATAGAGACATGAAAGTTCTGAAAGCAAAGAAAGTAAAGACCGTTTCTTCTTCCTCTTTAGCGACCGTAAATAATACTTCTTGAACAAATCAAGGTCACGAACGACATATTCTATGGGACACTTTCATCATTTTCATCTTCAATTCTATTCAATTCGACAATGAGTATCACTAACATTAACCACATGTTATCTCTTTTTTAATAAATTAATAGCGCTTTACTACTTTCTTTCGACCTCAATCTTTTAAGAATTTTTAACATTTTTAACACAAAAATAAATCGAGTTATGTAAGCGAGGAAAAAATGGTAACAAAACAATAAAAGAAAATTAAGAAAAGTTCTCACGATTTTTCTTTTGAGTTCATTTCAAAATTTCATGAAAAAAGGAATAAAACAATGCGCAAGATATTAGATAAAATATATAAGATGAATTTAAACTGTGCTTTAATAGTGAATAGAAACTAGATATAACAGAAAACAAGGAGACAAATAATTTCCTTTTTGTTCGTTAAAACAGAAATATCTCAACTTCACAATCTCAACCTCTATTTAAAGTCTTGGTAGAGTTCTCACAGTTTCCTGTGCTACAGACACCGAAACCGTCGACACACCATAACAGATATTTACCAGTGCGTAAGAACCTGATGGTTGGATGGAGATAATGTGATTGTTAGAAACCAACGGAAAAAAAAATCATAAAAAAATTCATATAAGAAACATAAAATGATAATTTTTTTTCTACTCTATGTATTTTAATTTTTTCTTTATTAAAAAATTAATTAATTAAGAAAAAATCCCGTTATATAGTAAATATGCCGGTTGCAAGGTGGAATTTGGGGCCTTTAAAGTGAAAGTGAAACACGGTGTACGCAGCATCCTGCTGTGGCGATGGACAAGTGGATGGACACCGTCGCCGCGAATCTCAAGTCTCGAGTACTTAGCCAGTTGATGTAGAACGAAGAACTGTTATGTGTCTCGAAATTATGTCAGTTCGATTCGAAATAAACGGGTTTAAACGGTTACGAATTGATGTGATGTTTTTATTGTAAAAACCCTTTTTTATTTTTGTGTTTTATCTTCAAATTGCATAGTGTAAGTTGTATTTATATCATTTTATTTTGGCTCGCTAAATACAGTTACTCATAAAAGTCTTCATACACTATGGAAAATATGAATTTAAACTTATACTTTGTTGAACCTCCCTTTCTTTAATCATTACAGACGTCGTAATAGAATTAAATTTTTGCAATTAGTAATCTTGGTTCTCGAATTCTACTAATGCATCGTTTTCGAGTTATTCATAAAAAGATTTAAGTTCGTTTAAAAGAAATCTGTCAAATTATTACTCAACGTAGCACGAAATCTGGATTTTCTTCAGTACAGTTATTCTTCAGCATTATTCGAATTACTGGTTATCTGTAAAAAGTATTTTTCTCAATTGTACATTTTTCCATCATAGTATGGCAATTTGGAATTCTTGTAAGTATTTTTCTCAATTGTACATTTTCCATCATAGTATGGCAATTTTGAATTCTTGTACTCTCGACAAATGGATAGAAACAATTGCTGTTAATGTAGGACATACCTTTAGATATTCTGATATGTCTAAACTGTTGCTATCAACAGTACTAGCAGTACAACGATCTGCCACAAAATCCAAAACTATGCATACTTTTGTCTTAAATTTCTTATCTCACGTAAATATCTTTCGATATTTAGAAATGTTGTTCTATCAGGTTGTCTTTACTTACAATTAGTTTCCATAGGCACCTACGATTAATAAAAACATTCCAAAATTGAGGTTGTATCTTTTTGCAAATATCTCGAAAACGATGCGTCTAATCAAAAATTTCTAAGAGTGAAAATAATTTTAAAATCAAATAGGCTATTAGAATCAGTTGGAAAATTTAAGAGTTTATGACATAAAAAAAAGTTCTAAAGAAATAACCTTTGTGAACATCCTGTATAGCATTGATCCCGTGGTTCGATATCTCCAATAATGATTTCTTATGATAACATTGCACTGTCTGCAAATATTTAAGAAAATTTTTGAAAATTACTTAAATTTGAAAGTCCATATCTTAGCCATTTATGGGTTGGATTGCGTTGTCACCATTTTCACTCTAGTATTTGTGATTAAAATTATGCCATAACTTACAGAAACACCTGTATAATGCCACTTCACATTTGTAGCTGTGTGTAGCGTGAAGGATCAGCGGACTGTCGAAAAATTGGGTTGCTTTGACCTGGGCCTTGGATACGACCCAATCCAGCACCTGGGCTTTGATCTTCAGAAGGGCTGAGGGCTACATTGCTGTAGGTACTGGTGGCTACGAGACTCCAGGTTAATTTTTGTTGCAATCTGGTGTTATTGGAGCTAGGGGTAATGTGCCTCCACAGGCAGAGGACTAAGTGGCTTCAATTTCGGTGTTTGGAAGTCACGAGGTTCTGTCCAACTGCATAGTCTGGGGATTTCTTTATTTTTGTGGTCACCAATGTGAAGGATTAATTTATTAATATCGGAATGAGTTTTAATCAACTACCTTTTAAAACACACTGCACGCTGAAGTTCTTAAGTGTGCGCGTACACAGCATTGTCACGCTGAAAGATATATAAAGATATATTAGATTCTTAGTTCTTGAATTTAAGTAGCCAAACTTAATGTAGTTGTTTTAGGTTTTTCTGTTTTCTTCCCATTTTTTAATAATAGACAGTTACTACGATTTTCAAAATTTTATTACAACTTTTCCCATTATTTTGTAAATTTACAATAACCGCTCATACGTTCATTTTGCTATCCATATTTCTTTTTTGCATAGTCTTAAATGAAACTGTAGATGATGATGATGGAGTTACAGACATCGAAAATGAAGTAAGTAGTAATATTGTTACGATCCACCGGTAGCTCACGATCGATGGCTTGGTGACCGCTGCAGTAAACGTCTTCGAAGTCGGCCAAGGTTATTTCTTATATCACGAACAATACTTAGGGCGGCCGACGTCTTCGAAGTCGGCCGAGATTATTTCTTAAATAAATTACAAGCAGGGTAGATTTGTTTCACGTTCCGAATCCCGAGGGATATCATTAACAACTTGTAATATCTGAGAGTAAAGGTGAAAGAGAGCTCTCAGATGCAAAGATGTCGAGAAATGTATGAAAATTATATGAATACGTATAGTGTATATTACAAAAAACTTTTATATTGAAAGTTGTGGCAAAATTTATTGCTCTCTTTCATTTTTGCACATTTGATGCCTTGTTTTTTTTTTGATATACCAGATAACAAAATATTAAGTGTGGACCAAGTTTACTTCTATAACAATTTTCATATCTCCAACAGTAGTCGAGATATCTGTTGTGACAAGTAAAATCAAACACACTGTATACTTTGAAGCAATTCACAAATAGCAATATCAAACCTCACCATCTTTATGGACAATTAATAATATTATTACTAAAAAATACATGCTTCTGCACTTAAGTTCCTGCATGTAGGCTACGGATACACAGTATATTCGAAGAATGTATGATTGATGGTGTACATTATCTATCTGTACATATCTTTTTCAATACTTTGTATACACGATTTATATCTATATAATTTATCTTTACAAGTTTCCGTTAAAAACATTCTCAAGTATTGGTGATTTCTATCCTAAACAATTAGAAAGAAACGTTTAACATAGAATCCTAAAAGAATGGAAACTGTTTCTGTAGCTTTTGCATCATTAAAATGATTCGATCGAAATGATTGAATCGAATCGATCTTAATAATTATTGATGATAAAAAGTTTAGCGATGACAAAATTGCAATTTATTAGAGAGCCGTCGGCTTTCTAAATGTAAATAAAATTTTCGAAACTGGCGCGCGAAACGGTCTTTATTAGTTGTAGAAGGAGCAGAGTCCGACTCGGACGAACCGTTTATTAGTTTTCTATTCCGAAGTCGACCCAGTTTTATCGCCCAAGGAACCATAATATTAGCCGATTCCTTCATTTTTAATATAGTTTTTAATTTCGAAAATTCGCGTGCCAATCGTCCACGCGTTAACTTCAATTAGTGCTCGCAAATTATCCATCCAATAACACTTCATCACACATTCACATTTTCTTCACTTCAATACAATCACATTTTCTTGCATTATTTATTACATAATAACATTCTATATAAGTTAATAAAATATTCTAGAAGCAAAACTATTTTTTTTTCTCTTCACGTATTCAAAATGTTTCTTAATAAGTAACTTAGAAAAAGTTTTTTTGCGACATCAATGATGTAAGATATATAAAAGTATTCCCCAACAATAAAATATAGTTATTAAACGGTGATAAGGAAGTAAAGATAAATAAATTTTAAATTCAAACAAAAGGTTTGAAGAAACGAACCGTTTCGAGAAATTTTACTTCCTGGTATATTTTTTCGAAATGAGTATAATTTACGGTTTCCGACAAAAAATTATCGTTCCTTCCAGAAGTAAGGCAACGGGGAGGAGTTTTACTGCGGTGAACGAGTAAAATAGTCTACACTAGAGACTCTGGAGAAAGTCTCGATTTAGAAATATTTAATGAGAAGTAAGCGAAAACTGAAACGAAATTATGGAATTGCATGAGAAAGTAATTTAATTATCGTTTAATGAATTAAACACTTTCTTAAAATTAATACAAAACTAATTTTGTAGATTTCAAAGTATTATATTCAATGTTTCTTTTTTTTTATATGTTTCAGACAATGATTCCACCAGAAAGATGGAAGTTAATTGTAACAGGTAAATAAATAAATAGGTTTAACATTAACAAGTGATTTAAAAAGGACGTCTCAAAAGTCCAAAATCTTCTGCTCCACATTTATCATAATGACACAGAAAGATATCAAGAATGTTATTGAAAAATTAAACCATCTCAATAAATTTGTACATATAGTATTTCTAGAGAACTTGCATTTACTTCTCCAACATAAAATTCGAAATACAATCGTCGTTGTCCTCCAAAACGAACAACTTTCCAGCCATAGTCTTAAGATGTGTGCAGAAACGGAAAGTTCAACTCGAAATAGGACACGCACGCATTGATTTATAGCATTTACTCAAACACAGATACAAATACCGGATGTTACTCAACGAGTTTCGTTCTAAATTAATACGAACCTTCAATATTAATCGATTGTTTATTATCCTTTATAGTTATTGCTTTTTGCGTCGTGGAGATATCCTCAAATGAACGTGAAGGAAAATTGCTCGACGACGGTTGGAAACCGATTATTGGTCACGGAAGAATACGAGAGTCTCACTTTTCCAAGGAAAATCCGTTTCGGGTTGAGGAAAATTTAAAAATTAAAGAAAGTTTTAACCGGCTTAAAGAAGAACAAGAACCAACTGAAATCACGCCTAAGCTTTCAAGTAGTACTCCTCATTCAAGTCATCCTAATGGGCAATATCACTTAAGTGAGTTAATAGAAATAAACTGTAGAATTTATTGTAATTAATTGTTATTTTTTGAAGGTAAAGTGCCCTCTTCTCATGGGAAGCATCATCAACTTCATTATTTGACAAACCAATTTATCCAACCAAAACCAGTTCTAACACATCGAAGTCAAAATAAAATCGTAAAATATCCAGTTTTGGGAAAAACTCATGTTTCTTCTAGTAAAAGAACCAAACCGCAAAGAGGCCCGCAAGGAGCTTATAGCCAAAGAGATGAAGTTATTGCAGCAGCACCTTCAAATACGCTAAGTAAGAAAGCTTGTAAGATTTAAAAATAACTAAAATTAATTTATAATGTACTTTTATAGATAATTACGCTTATTACACTCATAATAATCCATCAAGACTTAATCAACACTCATCTTTAGAATATCAAAATCACTTTGGTAACGATTTATATCATTTTCAACGACTTCCCGTGCAGCAATACGTTTTACCAAAACAACCTACAAACGAAGGATACACTTTCCAAGCTCAAAATGATGAGTACACCAGAAATTTAGTTCCCCCACCACCGTCCAAAGAATTTCTAGAACAAGAAAAACAACAAAAAACTAAAGTTTTCGGTGCAAAACAAAAAGAAACAATTACGGAAGCTCCAAAAGTGACAAAATCGCAATCTTCAAACGAGATAATTCTACAAATACCTTCGCCTTATCAACAACAACAAAACTTACATAATCAGTTTTATTTGGTAAATCAAAACGAACAAGCTATTGATGTTCAAGTTACGAAAGAAAATGTTAAAGAAATTCATAATTCAATTCCGATTGGTTTCCAAAATTACCAATTTATTCAAAAACCAAGTAGTCAATCGCCAAATTTGGCTACTTATGAGGTTACTGAGTCAAAAAATTGGTTAGATACCCCATCGTATGATCAATTTCAGCTTCAACATCAACAAGTTTTAAATAACGAACGAAGAAAACCGATTAAACAAGAAATCTTTTTGCCAACACCACTAAAACCCATTCCTACTTTACCAACGCAAAACGAAGTTTCAACAATTTTTACTGAACTATCACAAAAAGTTAAACAAAAACCGGACAGTTTTTTCAACGTTAAAGAAGTTTCAACACATTATCCTATTTTGGGAAAACCAATTATGAATCATTTCGAATTTTCTTTAAGCAGTAATGACCAAGAAAATGAGATTACAACTACACCTAAACCAAGAGGGAATAAATATCGTATTGAAGAACCGGAAATTACCACAGAACCATTTACGACAACAACAACTACTTCGGCGCCTTCAACAGAAACGCAAGAATATCAAATTAAAAGGAGGCCACACCCTAATAGAAGAAGAAAACCGATTCGAACGCAAGCTAAGGAAAATGAAGATGAAGAGGTTCAAATTCGACCAATTAGACGAAGACCGGTACAAAGAGTTAATTATAATAATAATAATCAACAAATTATTATTAATCAAAATGAATCTAATTCGCAAACCAATGAGAAAAATGAAAAAAGAGTTAGATATCGTCAAAGATATCGTCCGCCAGTTAATCAAGAAATAACGATTGAAGAACAGTTTACAAAACCTACGGAAGGGGCCCAAAGAAAACCCACTCTCGCTAATAAAGAAACGAAAGAAGAAATAAAAATTACTGAAGATAACAGCAGAGAAGAAACAATGGAAATGACCGAACAACAAATTTATACTAGTGAAGAGGTGACGAAAAATGACGAAAATGATTTCACCGTTGAAAATAACAAACAAGAAGATGAAAGTAACGAAGAAAAACACGAACCAAAAGATGAAATTACAATACAGGAAATATATCATTACCAAGCCGAAAAAGAAGAAACGACATTAGCTACAACAACTACTACAACGACAACGACAACAACATCAACAACTACTACACCGGAACCACCAACTCTTAAACCAAAATTAAGAAGAAGACCAATTCAATACAACCCTATAAGACCAAGTTTTAGTCTTAAAGATAATAAAAACAGATTCCTATCAACGACTACGACGACGACAACTGAAACGCCAAAACCAACAGAAACATCAAGAACAAGGTTATTGTACCGTACAAGACGACCATACTTAACCAAACCTGTTGAAATTAAAGAAGAAACACTTCCTCCGGTACAAGAAATAACTGAACCGGCAGTACAAAGAAAAAAATTTATACCGAAAGATCCGCGACATGGTACGAATGATGAAGAAATACGAAAACGACCGTTAGGAAGATTTCGATCGACTACTCAAGCACCTCCGCAACAAAAAGTTTCAATAAAACCAAACATTTTTAATAATTTAAGAAGACCGATTCATTCATCTTTAAGGGAACGAATTCAAAATCGAACTAAAATTGAAAAAACTACTTTACCACCGGAAGAAATTACCGAAATTGAAGATGTAACGGATATAATAACAGAACAAAATCAAATGAATGAAACTCCAAAAATTCCATCTACAACCACAACAACAACTACTACTACTCCAATTCCGGATGTAACTCGCGGAAATGACGAAAGAAAAGAATCGGAAGGGGACGAATATGAGGAAAGCGAAGATGTTGAGATGGATATTATGAAAAATGATGCATTTTTGCAATCGCAAAGGGTGTCTGATTTGACTTCTTCGGCGCAAAATGATTATAACGTACCGGGTATTTTTAAATCGGTTAATTCGAATGTAAGAAGAGTACCGAGTTATTTTACATTATCAACTGAAGATCCTATTTTACCCATTGAGGCGTTTTTCACTAATATAAATAAAGATAGGCATTAATATATTAAAAATTAAGATGAAATAAATTTTAATTAAAAAAATCTCAAAAAGACGTTTTAGCTTCGTATTTTAGCTCTCTAACACCAAAATTATAATGTAAATATGTTTAAATTGGTTTTTATATTAAGAATAATAAAGTGTTTATGATGATATAGAATGTACCAATGATTATATTTTCAAAAAAAAAAACTTTTGCAATATTTTTAATGTGATTAATTTTTTTAGCAAATAAATTATTTATTTATTTTTAATAATATTTCCAGAATGAATTCTAGAATTAGATTGTAAATGAATTAGGTAAATAAAATATTATGTAAAAAATGTTTCATTCTTTCATCCAAAATTAAACCCATTTAGAAGACATCAAAGCGGCTTTGGCAGTTTTGTGTAATTCCTTTGGTAAAGAAACTAAAAAAAAATGTGTTAAGATTAAATCCAAGAAATTTATCTAATTAAATAATTACAAATTTTATGTTGACCTTGCATTGGATAAAATACAGGCAAAATAACCGGATTGGAACAAATGAAAACGTAAGGACTTCCACTTTCTCCATTTGGAAATTTTTCTTGGTATTCTCCTTGTTCTAAACAATCATCAACAAAAACGCAACCCAAAAGACAACCGGTTGGGTATTTTTTTGGAAACTCCAAACTTGGATCTGAAAAGTTATGTATCAAATAATGACCAAGACATTTACAAAAAAAAATTACCGTTATATAAATCACGATACATTTGTTCGCAAGCTAAAATTTCATCATCTTCCGGTTCTTTAGATGCTGCTGCTATCCATAAACGTCCACGATGGTTTGTTTTCCAAGTTCTACCTTCATGACTAAAATTTAAATAAAATTTATTTTAGAAAAGAATTAAACTTAAATTTTATTTTCCAACTTACATTTTAATACCTGAAACTAATAAACTAGCCCAAGGTTGATGCATACTAAGACATAATCCTTGATCAACAGATTCCAAAAAATCATTATTAGCTATTCTATAAACTCTTTTTGTGACATTCTGTTGATTTTTCTCAGTTTTTTTCTCACTTTCACTTGAGTCATTCAACGATTGGGCATCCATCTAAAACAATTCAACTAAGCATCAATTCATAATCAAATAAAAAAATAACTATACCAATCTAAAAATTTCTGTGATCAATTCTCCTTTCTCCCCACTAAATAAATTCTTGGGAAACCTTCTTTCAGTACTATCCAACAACTTATTAACACCAACCATAAGTTTTTTCTTGTTTTTAAGATGTTCATCATTGTCTAAAGTAACGGTACGGCTAGCAAAATCCAAAGCAAGTTTCATATCACGCCTATTTTTATGAATACTTGAATGCATCGAAGCGTGTTTTTTCCTCAAATTTGATTTGTCATCTTCTGATAACCACTTTGAATTTAAATCAAAGTAATCATTTTGGTCATCAAAAATTTTATTTTTAATTGAATCACTTAATAAGGACAAAAGGTTTTATTAATTTTGAATATATACAAGAATTTTTAAAGAATAATTATTTACCCCATTTGATCTGTTTTTAATAACCTATTTCTTGTTTCAAGAGCTTTTTTCCATTCTTTCGATTTTTTCTGTTCAACTAAATGGTTATAAAGTTTATCTGATTCTTTCGTATTTTTATTTAACACCTCCATTTCATAACGGGTACAAACCTAAACAAAATAATTTATAAATCATAAATGTAATTAAAAAATAATGTTACCATATTATCACAGAAAAAACAAGGTCCAGATCCTTCTTGAGCACAAACAATCCTCCCACATTTAGTGCAATTATTAATTAGATCATGCTTAGTTGCTTGACAATCGCATGGATGCCTTCCTTTAAGCAAGCCTGGTTTATGATCATGTGTATAAAAGTTGGTGTATCTCTTTTTTCCTTTTCCACCTGAAGATGGAGTATTTGAAGATGAGCTGAGTTGACTAGTTGATAGTTGAGGACTATTAATCGCCTTATTATCATTTTTTAAGGATTGTTTTAGTGCTTTTTTATTCGTCAGCTTTTTATGAGGAATCCCAAATTGATGTTGTTTTAAAGCTTCATACACAGTAACATGTTCCGCATTATTTAAATCGACGATATTTTCCATAAACTCTTCGTAATCATCGAGTTGCTTTATTGTAGTTATGTATCTAAAGGTGAAATTATAAGTGAGGTTATGTGAAGGTTTTTTTTTAATTCTTTTGAGCACTTACTCTAAAATATCGTCGGAAATATCGTTTCCTAAGATCGGTATTAAACAATCTCGAATAAATTCAGTCATTTTATTAATTTTATATGAATAAAACCCACTCAAGACAATCTAATATAAATTGGTAAAATTATGACAACTAAATAATCAAAATTGTAATAATAGATGGCGCTGCAAACACAAATTTATTTTGAATTTAAAAAATAATATATATCGTTGGAAATATCATTTCCTAAGATTCGTATTAAACAATCTCGAATAAATTCAGTCATTTTATTAATTTAATATAAATAAAACCCACTCAAGACAATCTAATATAAATTGGTGAAATTATGACAACTAATTAATCAAAATTGTAATAATAGATGGCGCTGCAAACGCAAATTAATTTTAAATAAAAAAAAAAACTTTAATTTTAAAGGTTTTTATTCCATAATTGAAGATTAGGAGTAAATAGGAGTAATTGACTTGCACGATACCAAAAATCATTCTCTCAACACCAACACCGCGTTTAGCTGTACTCTGGAGAGAAAAATTGATACTTCCTCCAGCAATACACTGATTTGTAAAACTATTGATTAAGTAATTACGCACTCATAAAGTAAAATGTGATATTATGCATGTACCATAGCTGTTTTCTTATTTTATAACTTCACTAAAATTATTTAAGTAGTCTTCAATAAAAAAATTCTTCAGATAACCTATGCTGCAAAAAAAAATTTGTTGCAACTAAATAATCATCAACTACATAGCTTAATCCATATGTTCAAAATTCATATCGTTGTAGCATTTCTGTATTTTGAAGATACAGCAATTAGTATCTTTAAAACACTTTGAAGATTTAGAACCTAAATTAAAAATTAATCTTCAAAATTAAAAGAAAGATGTTCTTAAATAAGCATATTTCAGCCGTCCCGGGATTTTATACAAGCCAGGTGTAATTATGAACAAATTGTGTTCAACATATGAGTATTTTATAGAAATTGTTACCCAATTGTAAATGTAATAAATTCAAATTCTTTTTCGTTAGGATCATTGTCACAATCACTATTTATTTTCATCATCTATGTTAAGTAAATATTAAGCCTAAAGTAATATATGATAAAGCAAAAAGCTTTAGAACATTCTAAGATTTCATTTTCATAATTTCTTTCGACATAACCTACAAATATCACTCAATACAAATAAAAATAATGTATTTATTAAGTTTTTCATTTTTCTGATTAACAACTATAAGCAATGAGTACACCTTTATTCATATTGCGAATAAACTGTTGCACAGTTAAAATTAAAACAGATTTATTGAAAATATAACCACACTTTTTCTATTTAATACTAATTTAATTAATAACACACCAAACCTCGAATTAAAAAAGAATTTATTTCTCAATTAAGCATAAACAGATTAAATAAGGAATAAATACATATGCAGTAAATTCACACAAACATTTTTTTAATCATAGCATTAACCTTAGCATTATTCTTCTTAACCTTAATTTGAACGGAATTAAATTTTTCTCCAGCAGCTTTATTTTGAGGATCTAATTCGAGTAATTCTTTTAAAACATCGAAGGCTTTATCAATATTATGCACACCATCGAGAGCAACAGCTAATTTATACATAGCTTTTAAATTTTTTGGATCAACCGATAAAACACGATCGCAAAGAACGATAACGTGCTCGTAATTTTGATTTCGCAACTGACACGAAGCTAAATTGTTGTACAAGTTTGATTTTAAAGTTTCGATTTCTTCGATTTTAACGTTGTCTATTTCGTTCGGTTTTAACTCGACGTCAATCGGGATTGAAGACAATAGTTTGGTAGCTTTGCTAAATCGGTGGGAAGCGTCGATATAACGGTTTTCTTTGAAAAGTTCAACGCCACGCGTTTTATGTTTTAAAGACAAATCGAATTTCGTTTTTGCGTTCCACTCAAAAATAAATCCGTTCGATTTAAATTCGATTAAGTGTAGAGTTAAAGTTACGGTATTATTTTTATTGAGTAAAAACGAAACGTTTGCTAATTCATTAATTTTCATCATCGTTAAAACTATATCTAACAATCTTTCGAAACTATCATCACTTTGACCCACAACCACAGGATAATTATTGTATTTTTCCACATTGAAATCACAATTTGTTATATTAATTTTACATTCACAATTTTCGGTTGGTTTTAAACCATGTTCACCTTCTTTTATTATTATTTTTTTTATTCTTTCATCAGGGGATATCCATATCATATTTTTACCCATTTTTTAACACTCAGATTCAGTTAAAAACTTATTTCCTAATAATTCTAAAGTAAATTCGTAGTATTCTCTTGAAAGATGATCGTCTAATGCTATTGGTGATGGTAAACACAATTTACAATCACTATAATATTGTCCGGTTGATCGATTTGATGTTAATAAAGAGTGTAGAATGGTTTGAGCACCTTGAATTGGGCTCTTTACCACTATTTTTCTTATCGGCCACTGAAGAGCAAATAACCAAGGATTTGATAAAGGGGGGAAATTTCTATAAATTGGTGTTTCAACGTTTCCCGGATTTGCAGCGTTTACAATAATATTAGTACCTTAAAGAAAGAAAAAATGACTTTTTGAGGTTATGTTAGCTTTATAAACACTTACATTTAAGTTTTTTAGCTAATTCCTTTGTAAATAACAATACACCAAGTTTAGAAACACCATAAGCTGTAAAATGTGAACGAAACTCAGCTTGACAATTTGATACAGCTTTCAAATCATAAACATTCACGTTACGATGCGCTTCAGATGTAACGTTAATAATTCGAGAGTGTTCTGAACGTTTTAATATTTTTAACAAGTAATGAGTTAATATAAATGGTCCTAAAACGTGATTATAAATGTATTAAAGAAATTTTAAACTTTATCCAATTTACCCAAATAATTTGTTTGATATGTAACATCAAATTTATCTTTAGTTAATTTTTGTGGGTGATAAAATACTCCGGCGTTATTCACTAGGGCGTAAATTTCATGAAATTCCTCATTAATACTTTGAGAAAATTTATAAATGCTATCAAATGAATTTAAATCAAGAGATTTAACGTAAATTTGGAAAACATTTAAATAACCACTGTTAATTATTTCTTGTTTGAGGTCAATGCCTTTTTGAATGTCACGGCAGGCAAGGATTAATGTAGCACCTTCAACAAAACATTAATTGTAACGAATATTTTAAAAGGAATTAATGGTATATACCTCTTTTAGCCAATTCTTTAGATAATGCTTTTCCAATACCAGAATTAGCCCCTGTTATAATAATCACCAAACCATCTAATCTTGCTTTACAATTGCAAACTCCACCAGCGAAGTATTTACTAAAAAATTTAAACTTAGCGATACTTCACTACAAAAGAGAACCCATAAAATACATTAAAGTTGAGATAAACTTACATTACACCATAACTAACTGTACCAATTACTATGCCACCAATGACTAATTTCCACATTATTAACAATCAAATTAAAAATAAACGCTAACAACTTTACTTACATACAAGAATACGTTTTCTTTAGCAAATACTGAAACTACAATACTTTTATTGTAAATATCTAGAGGATTATACCAGCAAACAACGATAATTTGACAGCATGATATCTAACCCAATTTTAATCAAACGTTAAACGAATTTGTAAATGTAAATAGAAATTAGAATTTAAAATTAGCTTTTATTGATTCTATAAAAGGAATTGATCCGAATTTTAAATTGGATGGAAAATGCATTTTCTTAAAAACTACATATTCATACAAACCTAATAAAAATAAAGTTCCCGAATTATTAAAACTTGTTTTAACCGGTAGATGGAGCTGAAATCAACGTTGGAAGATCATATACAGTACTCAACAAAAGTATTAGAATAAGAAACAAGAAATCATTAAATTCGTTAGCTTACACTCGTTCATGTACGCGTCCACGACTAATTCACGACTTTCTTTGAGCATGTTCGTCGTTAAATCGTTAACACTGTTGAAACGGATTGATACTTGTAGGCACTAAGGTCTATAAAGCGTATTGTACAAGGTTGGCTAGACGAAGGATTTCAACGTATGAAAAGTGAACCCCTAATCGTGACGTCACGTGATACAGATGCTGATGTTTTAAGAAAAAAGTATTCTATTAAAGTATATAAATTATGTAATTAAATAATAAGAAAAGAAAAATACATAACTTTCATAATCAGAGTGTTTAATTAGAAAAAGCAGTATATTTGAGATAAGTCACTTCGTTTCAATCTCTTGCTCCCACTGCTTCGTAACTCGTGACGTCACCCCCTCCTTTCCCTTCAAAACGCGTTTTAGTTCTGCTGTCTCTTGCCAACCTTGGTAGGCACGGTTCGTAACCAACTCTGCTTAGAATTGACGCTGCAAGCACAATTTACCATTTCAAACGAAATCTATTTACTCATTTTTTTACTAACGTTCTACTAACAAGCCTTGTGCTAACTAACCTTTTAATAACTAACCTCGTGCAAACTAACCTTCTGCTAACCAACGTCGTGCTAACTAAACAAGTTCTAACTAACGTTCTGCTAACTAACTCCGTGCTAACCAGCCTTTTGCTAAGTAACCGTCTACCAACTCGCCTTGTGCTAACTAACCTTCTAGTAACTAACGTGAGTTAATAATAAAGTTATTAACACATAACATATATTTTTACATTTTTAATGCCTCCACGCCTTAACCTAGTTCTTTCCACTCATGTCCTTGACTATCTTGAAGTGGTTGTGCTGTTGCCAACCTAAACATATCTAACAACCTCGTGCTAACTAACCTTCTGCTAACGAATGTGAATTAATAATAAAGTTATAAGTACGAAAGCTTCCACGGCCGGTGTTAATTAAACTAAAACTAGAACTAATAGTAGCACTATCACTAGAACTAACTCTAGACCTTGAACTGGAAATTTTCGGATTAAGTCGTGCATCTTTTGAAAAAGTATTTGACGTTTCTGATGCCATGCTGCAACCTTCTTCAGAAACAGGTTCGAAATCACTTCGAACTATTAGTCCTAGTTTAAATAATAAAGTTATTAACAATACATTTCTAATGCCTCCATGATACCTTAAGCAAGTTCTTGTCAGTCATGTCCTTGACTATCTTGAAGTTGATTGCGCTGTTGCCAACCTAACATACATATCTTTATAAAACATCATGTAAGCCTGTAATATTACAGTGTATGTAGTGCATATTTTTGGCGAGCGCTATATCTACGATCGGTGACGTCACGAGTTCGCCTATCCCACTGTCGCACAATAAAGGTTATGTGAGGTTATGTCTATTTTGTTATTTTAATAATAATACAATATCAATAACAATGCAAAGAGCATCGCGACAAGAAATTTCTTCATATTTTAACACGCTTGCATGTGTTGTAAAAGGTCTTGAGGGTCACTATACTATAATTGATTTGAGGGGTGAATCTTGTGTTAGCGGAAAAATTATCCATGTTGACGGATTTATGAATATTGATATGAAAGATTGTGTTTATTATAATTCTAGGGGTAGGCTAACGAAGTTTATTATTTTTTTAAGTAATTGTCTTTTTTTTAATTCTTCAGGAGATGCATATCCCTTTGAAACATTTTTTGTTAAGAAAAGGAATATAATCTACGTTCATATACCCAAAGGATTATCCGCGAGAGATTTGGCGGAGAAACAATTAAACCAACTCACTTTTAAGAAACCTCATTCAAATCAACGAGAAAAACCAACGTTTAAAAAGAAGAGAGCCGAAAAATACCAAAAAGAAATTGTTCAAGAAATCGCTTCAACTTCAAAATCTTAATTTTAAGGTGTAAAAAAATAAATAAATAAAATAAAGTTTTAAATCATGAATTGTGTATCTTTATTTACTTTCATTTCATTTTCAAATATGAAACCTTACAAAGCCTTAATTATAAAAAAAGAACAGCCTTTTATTGAAATTAAATAAAAATTTATTATTATTATTATGAGTCGAAAATGGAAAAAAGTTAATTTCCACCACGTAGGCGAAGAACTAAATGCAGAGTGGATTCCTTTTGGATATTGTAATCTGAAAGGGTACGTCCATCTTCCAATTGTTTACCAGCGAAAATCAAACGCTGTTGATCTGGTGGGATTCCTTCCTTGTCTTGGATTTTAGCTTTAACATTTTCAATAGTATCAGAAGGTTCCACTTCTAAGGTGATGGTTTTTCCAGTTAATGTTTTTACGAAGATTTGCATTCCACCTCTTAACCTCAATACTAAATGGAGGGTTGATTCTTTTTGAATGTTGTAATCAGAAAGAGTACGACCATCTTCTAATTGTTTACCGGCGAAGATTAAACGTTGTTGATCTGGTGGGATTCCTTCCTTGTCTTGGATTTTAGCTTTAACATTTTCAATGGTATCAGAAGGTTCCACTTCTAGGGTGATGGTTTTTCCAGTTAATGTTTTTACGAAGATTTGCATTCCACCTCTTAACCTCAATACTAAATGGAGGGTTGATTCTTTTTGGATGTTGTAATCAGAAAGAGTACGACCATCTTCAAGTTGTTTACCGGCGAAGATCAAACGTTGTTGATCTGGTGGGATTCCTTCCTTGTCTTGGATTTTAGCTTTAACATTCTCAATGGTATCAGATGGCTCAACTTCCAATGTAATAGTTTTTCCAGTCAAAGTTTTGACAAAGATCTGCATTCCACCTCTCAATCTCAATACCAAGTGGAGAGTAGATTCCTTTTGGATATTGTAATCAGAAAGAGTGCGCCCATCTTCAAGTTGTTTACCGGCGAAGATTAAACGTTGTTGATCTGGAGGAATTCCTTCCTTATCCTGGATTTTAGCTTTAACATTTTCAATGGTATCAGATGGCTCAACTTCTAAAGTAATAGTTTTTCCAGTCAAAGTTTTGACAAAAATCTGCATTCCACCTCTCAATCTCAATACTAAATGGAGAGTTGATTCTTTTTGGATGTTGTAGTCAGAAAGAGTACGCCCATCTTCAAGTTGTTTACCAGCAAAGATTAAACGTTGTTGATCTGGAGGAATTCCTTCTTTATCCTGGATCTTAGCTTTAACATTTTCAATTGTATCAGAAGGTTCAACTTCCAAGGTGATGGTTTTACCGGTTAAGGTCTTAACAAAAATTTGCATACCACCTCGCAATCTCAACACTAAATGGAGGGTGGATTCTTTTTGGATGTTATAATCCGAAAGAGTACGTCCATCTTCAAGTTGTTTACCGGCGAAGATTAAACGTTGTTGGTCTGGTGGGATCCCTTCTTTATCCTGGATTTTAGCTTTAACGTTTTCAATAGTATCAGAAGGTTCGACTTCCAATGTGATGGTTTTACCAGTTAAGGTCTTAACAAAAATTTGCATTCCTCCTCTCAATCTCAATACTAAATGAAGGGTGGATTCTTTCTGGATGTTGTAATCAGAAAGAGTGCGCCCATCTTCTAATTGTTTACCAGCAAAGATTAATCGTTGTTGATCTGGTGGGATTCCTTCCTTATCTTGGATCTTAGCTTTAACATTTTCAATGGTGTCGGATGGTTCGACTTCCAATGTGATGGTTTTACCAGTTAAGGTCTTAACAAAAATTTGCATTCCTCCTCTCAATCTCAACACCAAATGGAGGGTTGATTCTTTTTGGATGTTGTAATCAGAAAGAGTGCGTCCGTCTTCTAATTGTTTACCAGCAAAGATTAATCGTTGTTGATCTGGAGGAATTCCTTCTTTATCCTGGATTTTAGCTTTAACATTTTCAATGGTATCAGATGGCTCAACTTCCAAAGTAATAGTTTTTCCAGTCAATGTTTTGACAAAGATCTGCATTCCACCTCTCAATCTCAATACCAAATGAAGAGTTGATTCCTTTTGGATATTGTAATCAGAAAGAGTACGTCCATCTTCCAATTGTTTTCCAGCAAAGATCAAACGTTGTTGATCTGGTGGGATTCCTTCCTTATCTTGAATCTTAGCTTTAACATTTTCTATGGTGTCGGATGGCTCAACTTCCAATGTAATAGTCTTTCCAGTCAAAGTTTTGACGAAGATCTGCATTCCACCCCTCAATCTCAATACCAAGTGGAGAGTTGATTCCTTTTGGATATTGTAATCGGAAAGGGTACGTCCATCTTCTAATTGTTTTCCGGCAAAGATCAACCGTTGTTGGTCTGGTGGGATCCCCTCTTTGTCCTGGATTTTCGCCTTCACATTTTCAATAGTGTCAGATGGCTCGACCTCTAACGTGATGGTTTTACCAGTCAAGGTTTTCACGAAAATCTGCATCTGTTAATCGAAATAAATCGATTTAGTTTCATTAATTAGAAATAATTTTGAATAAAAAACCGTTAAAGCGGAAGTTCGCGCAACTAACGAGGAGTCAACAAAATGGCGGATGAAGAAATGATAACGGGCGGATATGAATAGCGAACAATACCGAAATATCGCCTAAAAATGGGTTTAGAACACACGCAGAGTATTAAATTACGGTCTTACCTCTATATTCGGGGAATGATATATGACAGAACAATAAAAATTTTGTTAAAATTAAACAAAACAAATGAAAATGACACAATGGCGAAATGTCGGAATAATATTTACACGTCATTGATACTTTATAATTAAATAAAATCAATCAAATCATCTATAGCACGAATTACGTTATTTAATAATTACCGAAATTCAAATTATTTAAATAAATTTAATACTTACAATTATAATCTTTGTAGAACAGCACGAATTATCACTACGTTCAAGTTGAATATTCACAAACGAATGATCCGCTTGCAGTGAAATCCCGCTTATATAGGTTTGTCAATCCCCACCACTTTTAATCTCGTACCCAAAGCGCCCGTTTTCTAGATTTTTACAAATAATCTGTTTTTAAATGCACTATTGATACTAATCGATAGATAAAATGAAATGGAAGTGTAGCGTAAAAAAAGTTTTTAAATTAGAATAATAAAAATTTAGAAAAATTCGGTTGAAACGTAACGAAAAATGGGGATTAAGTTGGCAGCACGGGTACCAACTTACTAAATTTTTCTAGAACTTTCCGTATGATCGATCAAAACACACCGAACAAAGCGGATATGTTTACAAAATTATTGCTTTGATGACGTCGAATTTAACTTATTTTGCACATTCACACAAAATACGAAAACATTTAAACGCAAAAAAAATAACGTATAATTGTAAACAACTTTATTTTGTTTATTTTTTACGTGTTTTTATAAGGCACCATCATTACAAATAGTAAATATCACAAAGAATTACATAGAACTTAACGATTTCCTTTGTAACAAGTACATATAAAATATAAATATCTCAGAATAAAAAGAAATAAAGTACCGAAACAATATGCGTTACAAAAATATATAAATAAAGCTCCCTAAAAATACATCTATAATTTTTCGTTTACTTTAAAATCGACAGAAACAAACTTAATTAGGTATACAATATAGGAAAATTTCTTTCTATGTTGTGAAATACAAAATGATTCACCGCTACATGATAACAAAAAGGATTTGGCAAGTCAGGACGTGTACATAACCTCTAAAACATAGATGTTAAAAAATTGCAATAATTAAAAATAAATATAGAGTTCACAATTATTACAAATTATAGAGAAACAACAAAGCTAAGGCAATTGGTATTTATAAAATTAATCCTATTAACTCTTAACTAACATCATACCTCGTATGGTGTCAGTTACGTTTGTAAAATGTATGATGTTAATTAAGGGTTAAAAATCATAAATAATTATTGAGACAACCCAAATAGTTTTAGGGCATTGAAGGCTGTTGCTAAAGCAACTTCTTCCGGTTTCTTATTCATAAAAGCCGCAATCATTTCTACTATTGCTGGCAAGGAACATGGCTCGTTCCTTTGAAACGTACAGTACCGATATAGGAACGTCATTGATCTGTAAAAGAAAATGATTTAAAATTTCCTCAAAATTATGAATAATTTTAAGGCACATGTACTTTGTATATGTCTAGATAATTCACGATAAGTTTTATCTTGTTTATAAGATAAGATTGTTTAATAATGATGATAAAGTATTTTTCCGTTGATTTACATTGAATTGGTCATTCATTGCTTTTTAATTAAATTCAAACATGTGCCTTTGCTGATGCAATATTGGTGAAATATCAAATTAAGGCAAAGTTCACGTAATAAATTAATTATAAAGCATTAATTTAACTTAATTTAATTTTTTGAATGCTAAGTTGTTAATGATTAAGCAATGACGCATGATTACTTGGAATGTATTGAAATAACTAGAAATCTAATAATAGCTAATATTTAATAATGCTAGAAAACTCTAGAAATAGCAACAAAAGTTAAATTAACAACTTTTATTAAATGAAGACTAAAAAGAATAAATTATAATGAAATCATATTGAACAATGAAGTAATAAAAACAACTTCCTTCTCCTTGTTCTTTACAAATAACTTTCTAACTCAGTGAGAAAAATGTAAAATGAAAGGAGAATTTTTATAACGAACAGAACGTAATTATTTCCTAATGCATGAACCAGAACAAAATTGTTTATTTAATGAGAGCATTTCATTTTAAAGTAAATAGATAAAACAATACTCTAATTTTATTAACAATTCCAAAGCTTTATCAAATGCACTTAGATAATAATTATTTAAATGATAAAAATGATGTTACAAAGGTGTTTTTAAAGAAATTATAAGATAAGGTCAGCACTTGAAATAAATGTTTTTTTAGTTCAAATGAATTGACGCGAACTGTAGGAAGCTATTTTTAAATAGGATTATTGCGGTCGAAATAAAATGACCTTGGGATGGTATCCAAAAAGGACTGTATCAAATTAAAAATTTGTGTGCCTCATTTCTACGTACATTAACACGTAATTTACATTTTATTTACCTCTCTGTTAGACCATCTTTAACATGAACGGGCAACTTGGAAGCACGAGTATTCGGGTACATAAAAGGCGAATCAGTTTCAACTAAAAGTCTATCTAACGGTATTAATCCGTCGACTAGTAGTTTACGAACACCTGTATCTGATTTATCCTTACATAAGTATCCTAAAAAAAAAATTTTTATACAAATAAAAAAATAATTTATCATTTATTTACCTGTTAGTCCTATGTAATATCCCCTATCAAGATAATTGAGTGCTTGTTCAACGGTCCCCGTGAAACAATGTACCAAAACGGCGGGTAAATCAGATTTGTAATCGTTGAGGATTTTTAAAAGATCATCATGAGCGTCACGTTCGTGTACAAATAGGGGTTTTTTTAATTTACACGCTAATTCAATCTTTAAAAAAGCGTTAATTTTTTAAATAACACTTAAAACTAATAATGTAATTTTATAATAACCTGTTTACGAAAAACGAATTTTTGCTCATCAGGTTCGGAAAAATTTCTGTTATAATCTAAACCGCATTCTCCAATAGCAACACATTCCGGATTATCAGCTATTGAAACTAATTCCTCCCAGGATTCTTCCGTGTATGATTTTGCATCATGTGGATGTATACCTAAATGTTTTAAGATTAAATTAAGCTTTATTAAAACAATTTTTAATCTTATTCCCTCAAATTTGACATTTTAGGTTAACCTCAAAAACAGAAAAATTATTTTTTTTCTATACAAATTAGATAGCGTAAAAATATTACAACACGCTTTTTACAAAAAGAATTTCACTTTATAACTATGAAATAATAATAAATTAATAAAACCCATAATTTAATTATTTTAAATTTTGAATCTGTCAAATTTGACATGTGTACAACATAACCTCCAAATAAAAAGTCAAAAATAACCTGCTGTTGAATACAATACGCCTGGATAAATCCTGGTTAATCTCAAAGCTTCTTTACTAGTTTTAACTGAGGTACCTGTAACCATTATTTTTTGGACACCTAAAAATCAAAATAAATTTTTTTTATCTTAAAAATCTTATTTTTAGGTTACACTTTTATTACCTGAATCTTTAGCCCTTTGTATAACAGAATCGAGATCCCTACTGTACTTTTTATTAGTTAAATTCGCGCCGACGTCGACAACAATTAAATTTTCATAACACTGTTCCATAATTTTACCAATTTCTTCAACGCTGGGTACATTTTCAACTTCTTGATTTCCACTCATTTTTGAAAAACTAACACTTTCTTTTTAGTAAATAACTTTTCTTAAGAGAATTTCGTTTAATTCTATTTGACGATTTTAACTTAATTTACAAATATAACCCCATTACGTGTACCCCGAAACGTCCGTACGTCGGTCGCGCGATGTAAAAATAAAACGTAAACAGCTGGTGAACTTGAAGAAGTTCACGTACCAACTGAAAGAGAGACAACGAAAACGAACTAACGTCACCCCGTTGAAGAAATCTGATAATACTCGATGATACTTATCGTTTGGATTAAATTGGATCTCGTTACGCCAAATAAACTCTTTAATTGTTATTAAAATAATACTATTTTATGCGGTTATTATTGGTTCATGAATAATTTAAATAATAGTAATTTATGTTTTTTGTTGAAATTATTTATGAAAACATAAATATTTTGTAATTTGTTTATAAATTGTTCTAAAACATAGGGATCTGTAATTAACTGATATTAAAATATGTAGATGGCGTAATCGATAAGTAATAAAAAGCATAAACATAAAATTAAATTTATTGATTTGTACATCTTAAAGTCTAATTAACAAAAATAATATTTCACTACATCTATAGATAGGCCAAGGATCAGTTTCATAAGCAAATATATTTAATAAATTAATTTGTTTGGTTATGAAATCGAATCTTAGCTTGGTGATAACTTAAGCTTTTTAGAAACGTATAAGGTCATTGCTTAGTTATTATTTTCCTTGTTCTAAATAATAAAATTAATATTAAATATTTTTTTTGATTTTTGGTTTTGTATAAATAAAACTGATTAAAATCATTTAAAAAATAATATTAATAAAAATTAATGTACTTTTTCTTTAAATCTGTTGTAGAAAAATCATAGATTTACATGCAATTAAAAAAAAATAGGGTACTACTTTTTCATCTTACATAAAAAAATAACTTCTTATAACAGATTGAAGATGTCGCTTTTGATTGAGTGGTAATTCTTAAGGTGCTGTCAGTCCGAATAACCTTAAAAATAAAAAGTTAAATACAATAATTATCACTTATCACCAAGCTAACATAAAATTTATAATTATTTTTAGTTTTTACCAGTTTTTAATTTTTTCGATCTTCTGTGATTTTGAGTAACAACAGCTTCTACTTCAGAGGATTCAGATTCAGAATCAATAAAATCTTCTCTTCCATCCGGATCAGATGTTACAGAATTAGCAGATTTAGCCTTTTCCAAAGTGCGAACTAAAAGAAAGAATCTCAATAAAATTAAGCCTTACTTTATCTGTATGCATTTACTTTGAGCTTCTAACAAAGAATTTTGTTTCCGAAGATTATCAATGTCTTGTTGATGAGAAAAGTTTTTCTTTCTCATAGTTTGAATGTATTCAGCGGCTTTTTTCAAAATTTGCGCCCGACTCGCCTGTAATTCAAATAAGAAACAGTCGCTCGCGAGTTGTATCCTGTTAAAAACGGGATAACTGAAAATAAATTGGAAGTGCATACCACTTTTTCCCCATTTAATTCTGGTACCGCATCTCTTAAACTGCTAAAACTATCTTTTATGTGGTCCCTTCGTTTACGTTCCAATGCATTGTGGTGTGCCCTTTTTTCAGCCTAATAAAAAAAATGACGTTTACTTCAAATTTCCCGCAATTTTTATGTTGACAACCAATAATTTATCAAATTACCTGTGAAAAATATTGGTTATTTGAGTTTCTAGGGGTTGGTTGCCGTGAATCCGAGTCATCTCCATCCTAAATAATTAAAAAAAATGTTATTATTGTTATTAATTATATCTTTCATCACGTTTTATTTTAATCTTATTATTTTACTCACGTCACTGTCGACGTCGATATCCCTATCGTCGTCGCTCATTTCGCTTTTGTGACCCGTTTTTGCGAAAGTTTAAACACCTCTCTCAAAAACCAAGAATCAAATTTACGGGGCCCCCCCGATACGAATTAAAAGAAAAGGTCCAAGGTGACCTGTCACTAAAAGTAAACTAAAAGTTGGATTTTCTACGCGTATTTACTTTTGGGCGTTTTTCACTTGGGAACTATTGGCACTTCCTTTTCTAACTTTCCATGCCAATATGAGGTTGGCTATTAGGAACTAAGGGAAGGACGTTGCCACAAAAGAAATTATCATGAACCAACCTCAATTACCAGCAACGAACACGCTTGATACTTCCCAGTTATCGATCGAGGCTGTGATACACGTGTGTTAAAACACGTGACCCTCATACAAGAATTACAGTGACATCTGTTAATAGAAAAATATAAATTAGATAAAGATTACAGTTTTCTGTAGTATATTATAAAATTATTTTTTATTTCATTACAAAAAAAAGAATGAGATCAACTAATTTATTCTTGGTTTCTTCTCAGGTGGTGGTTTAATTTTGTCTTGTTTCTCTAATTTAATATCTTTGTTCTCTGTAGCTCCATTTTCGGCTTCTATTTTAGGATGTGGCGCCGTTTTGATTTGGGGTGGAATCGGAAGAGGAAATTTTTTGATTAATTCACCCAAAAGCATATCAACCCTTTGGCGTTGAAATAATGAACTCGGTTCTTCTCTTGGTTTTTCTTCTTTAGCTTTTGGTTTATCATTATTTCCTCTTTGTGATTTAAAATCCCACGAATATCCTTTACTTGCATGATATCTAGAAAAACTGGATGCTTCTTCGAATGCTCCTTGCAAATGATGAACTGCAGACAACTGAAAAGTGTGTGTTTGAAATATTTTTGTTTACAATACATTTTTAAACTGACCAATCGAGAATTTAAGACACTAGCTAAATCGGGAGCTTGATAAATAACACCAGCAATAATGTAATAATCAGCTAAAGGGGTCACTTGTTGAACACTGTGTCTATGTTGTTTTCTAATAACATATAAAATTGGTTCTTGGACGTGCAATAAAGTGTATTCTAAACCAACCATGTTACTAAAGAAAAAAATGTTTTAATACAATTTTAAACAAAGAAAGCAATTTACTTCAAGTGATCAGGATTTAGCCGTTGCATTTTAACAATCTCATTATTACAAGTTCGATCAAAAAATGGATTAGACCGCTCTGAAAAGTAATCCATAACATTTTGAGTATTTAAATTTGGAATCCAAGCGGAATCATGCCATGAAATACTTAAAGGATTATCTGTAAGGCTTCCTGGTACTCCCATACGTTGCATTTTCTTAAAAATAAAGATATTTTTAGAGAAACTCTAGCTTTGCCACAGAATATTTTTAGGTTATTTTTAGCATATTAAAGATATTTCAATAAAAACTCACGTTCTAGTTTGAAAACGAAAAAGGTAATGTTTGCTTAATCAAAATTCACCGTTAATTCAATAAAAATAGTTTTTATTTTCGTTATGCTTTCGCTTTTTACGAATGTTTACTTCACTCAACTTTCAACACAGCTGATAATGCATTCCATTTCATGTGAAATTATGTTGTAGATGTGATTAAACGGTGTTGTTAATATTAAAATATACATTCCACGATGCATTTGGAAAGTTTCATTTGTATAAAAAGCGAAAAAAAATGAGAATTGCTCGAAAATTCTTTTTAGGTTATGTTTCATCTAGTTATATTTTAACGTATAAAAAGAGTAATATTAACTAAACTTTTTGTAAAACACACTTATAATCAATTTAATTCATTTTAGAAATGGATTTTCCTGTAGTGCCCATACATAAACACCCAAAATACAAATTAGAATGTTGTAAGTTAATTAACGATGAGTGGAAACGAAGCGAAACTGCCCGGATGCGAAGTTTAGACTGTTCCAGTGATAAATTACCGACTTCTTTAATATTATTAGACGAAAACGACCGTGTTATTGGGCATTGTAAACTTTCACCCATCCCGAGTATACCAGGAAGTTGTTATATTGAATCAGTGGTTATTTTAAAAGATTTAAGAGGAAAAGGTTATGGAACGTATTTAATGAAACGAGCGGAAGAATACTGTAAAAATGTTTTAAAATTAAAAGTAATTTATTTATCAACAAAGGGGCAAGAACCATTTTACACCAAGTTAGGTTACCTTATATGTCAACCTGTTTCAATTTATGGCTCTTTTATTTCTAATAATACAATAAATGTAAAAAACGAGAATAGTATAAATGTAAATAATAATTGTAATATTAATACTGTAAATGGTAAAACTTATATGTGTAAATATATAGCGTGATTTTTAAATTTAAACTTGTTTTTTTTCTTTATAGAGGTCGCTTACATCAATTTGATTTTAAAGGTAAAAGAAATCGTTTGATTTTTTTATTTTAAAATATAAATAAATATAATGAATGTAGAAATAATCTAAATTGAGAATCTATTATTTTATGTATATGATTCGTAATTTAAAATTTTAAGCGGTAACCAATAAAGATCCCTAATTTATCAACAAAATCTAAACCATATCTAAAACGTCAAATTGTAGTCATGTTTGAAAATTGCAATTAAGGTATTATTCGACTAATCAACGCACAAAATGGAAAGAATTGTGATTTTTGGTTCGACCGGAATGACTGGGTTATGTGCAGTCGAAGCGGCTGTCCAAAAAGGTAAAATTTACATTATATTTGAATATTTACATTACATTTATAGGTTATGTTCATCATTTTGTAACTTTAATCTCGATTTTATCCAATTTCTTAATGTTTGTTAGGATTAAACGTTCGCGCATTTGTTCGAAATCCATCTCTTCTACCTGATCATTTACGCGACAGCGTCGAAGTTGTTAAAGGAGACGTGCTCGATTACAAAGATGTTTTGAATGCTATTAAAGGAGTTACTGCTGTGGTAGTTGTCTTGGGTACACGAAATGATTTGAAAGCCACCACAGTTCTTAGTGAGGGTACCAAAAACATAGTACAAGCTATGAAGGAGTTGAATGTTGAGATCATCTCAATTTGTTTATCTGCATTTTTATTTTATGAACCTGAAAAGGTTCCCCCGGTTTTTAAGGAGATAAATTCTGATCATCAGAGACAAATGGATATTGTTAAAGGTTCTGGATTAAAATTTATTATTGTTAATCCACCGCATATAGCAGGTATAATAAATTGTGTTATTTATCTATAAAATAATTAATTTTTTGTTATTGATTATGAAATGTTTTAGATATGCCTGGCTTAGAGTACACTATTTCGCAAGATACTCCAGGAAAATCACGTGTTATTACCAAGTTTGCATTGGGAAAATTTTTAATTGATTCCATATTATTACCTGAACGTTACGGGCATGTTTATGGAATTTGTAATAAAGCGCAATGTGCATAATAGAATTTTTAGTGTTTTTAACAGTTATTTAGTTTTGATTTTTTTTATGCTTCTTGTTTTGTAGATGTTTTTTTTTTCATAAGAATTAGAAGAATTGATTATTTCAAAGTTGTTGTTTAGGTATGAGGTTTCCAAAAAGTTCTTTAATTACAAAAATATTATAAGATGGAATGTGTATAAGGTGTTTAATGAATGTTTTTATGTTTGAAGTAAAAATCTTGAGTTAATAAATGTAATTTTAAATAATTAATTCGTATTTATTTTAATTCATTGGGTTTTTGGCAGTTTGAACTTATCAGTTAAGTGGCTGACATGTGAAGGATTCGAGTTTCTTTTGAGTTATAAACATTAATCATCAAATATGGATCTTAAATTTAGTAGTAGCTCATAACATCACAACATCAGTATTTAAGAATTGTTCAAAACTGTTGATGTTAAGGCTGGACTTTTTAACTTCAAAAGCGCATCATCAGAAGAAGAACTGGAAAGATACAAACAAATAAGAAATAAAATTTCCTGTCTAGGAATGTTTAAGCATTAATTTTATAATTTCAATAGTTGTTTGGCCTCTTTGTCTAAACATTTCGAATAAAAAGCTAGATTTCCGCGCGAATAATACAAAAAAGTCAATTAGGGAATTCCCCTTGTCTACTGTCAAAGCTTCTACATGAAATTGTTTTTAATTTTTACTTATGGCTGCCTTTTTAATAGATAATAAGTAAAAAAGTAAAGGTCGATAATTTAAATAAAACTTTCTTCAACATTTTTATATGGCATTGATAAATTGGCAATACAAGGGCAATACCTTTTAGCGCATTACATGAGGTATTGTATTAATTTAAGCTTGCATTTTATAATTTTGATGATTTAGGTTGGTATTTTTGAGTCAACTCGAGTCAACTTCAGGTTGGTTAGGTTAAATTAAAATATTGCCTTTATAGGAAGATTTTATTTATTTAAAAAGAAAATTCGTTATGAATATGAAGAAATATTTATTTATTATGTAACCTTTCAACATTAATTTCAATAAAATTTTTATTGTTAAAGATACATTCTAATCTCACTTTGCAGGTATCTATACTTAACCTAAAATTTTCACTTTAACTATTTGATTATTTTAAATAAAATTTTAATAACAATTAATGTTTTTTATGTATCTTTTTATGATACATAAGTCTTGTTTTATTTATAAAGAGAATGTTAATTAATTTAAGTAAAGGTAGTGATTTTATATTTTTAGGTTACTTTAAGTTGGTATTTCGTGGAACTCCACTCTGTTCGGTCATCGTTTAAAAATTTTAGTGCCATATTCGTAAGCATTAAATTTGCTTATTCACTGCGGGGAATTTCATTTTGGAGTAGAAAAAGAAATTTGCGAAAATGTACACGTATTTTACTGTTGAAGAAAAATCTTTTGATTTATACATTTCTTTGAAAGGTAACCTAAAATGTCAACATCACATATTAACTTAAAATGTCAACATTTTTGGTTAGTTTTTGTCAGCATAGCAACGACAATCTGGATTACCTAGTTACCAAAAAAAATAAAATTTGTTATTATAAATAATTTCGTGGTATTCTACGTGATCATTTTCCAGATCTCTATGAACCAGGAAGCATAGCAAATGTGATCNTTTTATTTATAAAGAGAATGTTAATTAATTTAAGTAAAGGTAGTGATTTTATATTTTTAGGTTACTTTAAGTTGGTATTTCGTGGAACTCCACTCTGTTCGGTCATCGTTTAAAAATTTTAGTGCCATATTCGTAAGCATTAAATTTGCTTATTCACTGCGGGGAATTTCATTTTGGAGTAGAAAAAGAAATTTGCGAAAATGTACACGTATTTTACTGTTGAAGAAAAATCTTTTGATTTATATATTTCTTTGAAAGGTAACCTAAAATGTCAACATCACATATTAACTTAAAATGTCAAAATTTTTGGTTAGTTTTCGTCAACATAGCAACGACAATCTGGATTACCTAGTTACCAAAAAAAATAAAATTTGTTATTATAAATAATTTCGTGGTATTCTACGTGATCATTTTCCAGATCTCTATGAACCAGGAAGCATAGCAAATGTGATCGTTGAGCCCAATTCGGATCATCTAGTTGCATTGAAGATGAACGCAAGTGATTTATCTTTTATAAACGTTCATCAAATGGTCCCTGATACAACGGTGAGTACTCTAGAGTACGAAATCGACAATATGTCACAAGAATGCATCATGAAAACGCCGGTAAGTCCGGATGTATCACCGAATTCTCATTTTCAAAGTGAAAAATTACATTTTAAACTCCCAATGGTAAATGTTGATAATTCTTCGATAAGAGTGATTAAAATCGGAAGCTTGGATGAAAATGTACTATCCGAAACTGACTCAATGGATTGTAAACCTACAGTTAATTCTCAGCATAATCAGAAAAGGGAATCTAAGATACCTAATATTCCAACTATGATAGCTTGCCAGAATTGCGACACGAATTTCCCAACGAAATATCAATATCAAAGACACCAGTGCGAATTTAACGCTGAAAAAGTTGTCTTAAAACCGAATGTTGATATAAAAGATATCGATAAAGGGATGAGAATGAAATTTGATTGTTCAACGTGTGGAAAACAGTTTGTAAGTAAAAATAATTTAGAACGTCATCAGACAAGTCATGATGAAACAAATATTAATGTATGTGAACATTGTAACAAACAGTTTGTTAGTGAGAATCGTTTAAGAATACATAAAGAAAATCATTGTAAAAAAGCAGGTGATATTTCAAAGTTTTATAGAAGCGATGTTACAGTTTGGAAATGCGAAAATTGTTATCAAGTTTTTGCCACACCAGCATCAGCTAATAAACACGTAGAAAATTGTGCAGAAAATTTACATATCAATAAAAACGGTGTCGATAAAACTGATGATGACAACGAAGATTGCAAAGCTTTAAACGACGAAATTAAAAATGTATCAACAGTAGCACCCGATTTATTAGAGCAAAGTGGTGGGTTTCAAGAAAAAGATACACCATCGAATAAAAACGTTCAAAAATTCTTAACCGAACAATTATTACAATGTGAATATTGCAACCGAACTTACGCCGATAAAAGATGGTTATTAGCTCACCAAAAACAACACACCACCGATGTTAATTACGAATGCATAACATGTTGCGAAACTTTTGATTCGTACGTTTTCGCTTCAAAGCATTGGTTAACAAAGTGTACGGACCAAGCGAATTTGTTCTATCTCCCAAAATTAACGTATTGCGAATATTGCGATCGTACATTTAAGTCACACGAAATTCTTTATACCCATAAATATAAAAAGAAACATTATACGCCAAAAGTTTACGTTTCGTTAACTAAAGATAAGAACAAAGAAGCAATCGTTAAATTAATCGAAGACGTATTGTTTTCGATGAACACCGAAGAAGAGGACAAAGAAAACGATGATGGTAATCAAAGTAGTAGTAACAAAGAAAATGGCGATGACAATAGCGATATTGTTATTAAATCGGAAATATGCAGCGAATCGAGTGGATTCAGTAAATCGGATGGGAACGGTGGCGAAAATGAAAAGAAACGACGCGGCCGGAAACGGAAATGTTCCAGGCAAATAAGTAAAAATAAACGTTTGAATGCTGTTGTTGATGATGGGTATAAATATCAATGTGAACGTTGCGTAACCGTTTGGAATAGTATTGCTGATTTGGAGAATCATAGAGAATTGGAACATCCCGCTAAGTTTAAATGTGAAGAATGTGGACAAGTATGAATTTTTAATTTAATTTTTTCTTCAAACGTTAAACTTAGTATTCAAATAGTTTTTAATTTCTATACTTTGTTAATTATGCGTTTATATGTCTCATTGCATTTATAACATCACGAAATTACTTGTATACGCCACTAAAAGAAGCTTCTATTTTGGATTATGTTTTAGTCTAATCCATTCCGTTTCTCCGGAAAGTTCTTTCTCGTCCGTGTAGTCCTATCGAGATATCGGAAAGATTTGTCTTGTTGATCCTAGTCTTGTCCCATTTCTAGCAAATTACGTTGCTGCCCTTGATTGCAGGTCCGTTTTAATTTTATTGATTTGCTTTCTCATTGTTGAAAACTTTTTCTTTCCATATACTTGGGAAGTATTTCGGTTTAAAAGCAGCATTAATTATGTGTCATAATTTTGTAATCGCCCGTTTTGGTAGGTGTTTCAATGTTTCTCCATTAATTGGTCATAGTCTACTGATTTCTTTATATTAAGTTTTTGTATTTCATAATACAGTTCTTTCATTCTTACACATAGTATATTATACTGCTGATCACTTTGAATTACGCTGGAACACTATTTAACATAGTTGTTCAGATGTTCAGCAAACAAATTAACTTTTTCTGGATTGCTCTTAGCCCAATTTCCATTACTATTTCGAATTGGAGGTGTATGTGTTTTTGGAACTTTAACCTTCCTTCTTGGCTTCCACAAAGAATAATCAGTACTGGCATCGTCAGTAAAATCTTTCAAGTAATTTTGAATATTACATTGTTTATGGCTATCTGTTAATGCTCTTAATTCGGCTGTTATTTTATTTAATTTAGTTTTATCACTAGGAGTTCTATTGGTTTGCCATTTCTTTCTCGCTTTCCGTTTTTCTGCAATTTTGTCTCTTTTTTTTTTCTTGAAAGCTTGGTTAGCTTTCAAAATGAAGGTGCATCTTCTACATAGCTCTTTGTATAGTCGGTGATGAGCCTCAGCCTGGCTATCACACTTCATAGTGATATTTTATTATTTTTTCTATGTATGAATGAAATTATTCATAAACACGTTTTGTATGACTTTTAGGATAAAGAAAGTAAATAGTCAAAAACAAGTGCTAGTTGTTTAACGAAATTTGTGATTTCTCAATTAATTACTCTATTAATATTCTGTCATTCCAACGTTTGAAGAAAAATATTAACCACATAAAAATTTACATTTATTTCATATTGTAATATAATTAAATTATTTTTTTAAGGTTGTTCATAGTGCAAAAGCTTTATTAATCCATAGTAGAGCTCATCAAAGTTTAAAACCGTACGTTTGTGAAATTTGTAAAAGATGTTATTCACAAACTTCCCATTTATGGCAACATATGAGATTTCATCAAGGTAATATATAATTTTTTTTTATGAAAATCTTTTTATGTTTCCTTTTAGGTATAAAACCTTTTGCATGTCCCCACGAAGGTTGCGAAGCTCGTTATACGATCCGACCAGATTTAAAAGATCACATTAGAAAAGTCCACACCCGAGAACGTCCTTTTAAATGTTCCGTCTGTGATAAATGTTTCCTAACCGGTTCCGTTTATTATCAGCACCGTTTAATCCACACAAATGATCGTAGATATGGTTGTGATGTAAGAAAAAATAAGATCATATCCCTTCTATTCCTTATTTTTCATTAAATCATTTAATAAAATCCTTTTTATAATAACCTTCTTATAAAATCCTTTTAGATTTGTCAAAAGCGATTCTTCCGAGCTGACGCACTCAACAATCATCGTAGAATTCACACCGATGAACGTCCGTATCCTTGTGATATTTGTGGGAGACAATTTCGACAAAAAGGTGATAGGAATAAACATGTTCGTACCCAACATCCGTCTTAAATTTAAATTAAATTTTTTTGTTAATAATAAAGGTAAGTTAAAAATGTTTAAGAAATATAAATTGTTTTGGTTGTATTAATTTTTGAGTTCTAATTAAGATGCATGTACCGATCTAATTTATTTAACTTAAATACAAAATAAAAAACACTGAATGTTGTAATAATAAATTCTAATTATTTGTGTATAGTATTTATATGCAATAGAAAAATAACTAAAAAAATCATTCTATTTATTGTTACTAATAGAACCAGTTCCATTTAGTCTTTATAATGAAGTCAGGAAAGAAGAATTCCTTTCAGTACACGTGCTTACACAGTTATATTTATGTGACCAGAAATCAAAAACAAAAATTATTCCCGTCATATATTTAATGTCTAAATCTAAATGACATAACATTTATCACCAAGTTTGAAAGTACAAAACGAGCGAAAAAATGGTTGTGTATAGAATTTATTATGTAATGGTTGATAAACCAAGTAAAGACGTGAATATAGTTTGGAAAGGTAATCAAAAAGATTTTTTTCAAGAAATATTTTTCACCAATAATTTTTTAGTTCTTCATTTGGTAATTCAAATTTTGGCCGCTATTAGTGGAATAGTAAATGCCGCCCAATTTTATGTTGTATTGCTGGGATATCACCACAAATGTCCTTTATACGCCAATTTATATTTTTTCCGTATTCACGAAAAACACTACGACGTTAACCACGTATTACCACATAATGTATGCATCAGTTTATCTGAAACGAAATGGGGTAAAGATTCTTATTGTGAGTATACGTTTAGTGTGTGGCTGATTAGTTTCATAAGCGGTTTTATATTGGCGGTATTTTTTTACTGGAGTAGATCCGGAGGAGCTGGAGAAGAAAGCGATTCGTAATTTAAAAGACTTTAATTTTCCATATTTACTTTTATGTCAATATATTTTAGATTTGTCCAACCGTGGAAACATGTTTTTCCAACTTTTATTGTATCAATTATAATGACTATTGTAATCACAACTGCAGCTTTATTACAATTGGATGGTTTAACCGTATTTTGTAATCAATTTGAACCTTATCTTCATACGAAAAAGTAAAAAATAAAATATTTATTTGTTACTTATATACAAGATTTTTCATTTTAGATGTAACCAGGATATGAATGCCTTTTCTGTACCATGGACTAAAAAAACTGTCAATATTTATTTGGCAATTGTGATTTTACGAATTTCAATTCCATTATGTGTTTTTGCCTGGGTTGCGCATACAGCTGTCCTTTTATTAAGAATGTGTATTTCACCAGATTTTTATGTCCAAATAATTAAAATAACCGGAATATCAAAAACGGTCCGGGAAAAACATGTTTCCGGTGGCGACTATTTTCCAAAACCCCACGCTGGAATTCATGGATCTGTGCAATCTCTTCACAACCTCTATTTTGAGAGGCACCCACATTCGCCACATGTAAAATTTGCAGAAGAAATACCAAGAAAACGAAGAAAATATGAATCGTCCATTAACGATGATGATGATCAAAATAGTAGTGATCATAACATTTATGAATTTAAGCCTGTTCTACCTGAATTCTTGAGTGCATCTAATCTAGATTTAGATGATAATCTTCGATATTTATTTGATGAAAAGTCGGGCGCAAACCTTGATGTTGATAATCAAAGTGAACTTAGTGGACCAAGTGGATATAGTATTAAAGAGAAATTTGGATATTTCAGTGTAGGTAAAGTTGATACAGATGAATATAAAATTGACGAGAAAAAGATTATTCCACCTAAAGTTGCGGTTGATAAGTTGCTTGGTGCTGCTGGTGGGGTAAAAGAAATTCCTTTGGATGTTATAAAACAATTAATTCAAAACAATCAGATGGGTATAAACAAAGGCAATGAAGATTTTAAAAGTCCTAGTGAGCAAATTCCTGGTAGCAACGAATATGCAGATGATGAAAATAGAATATTTAATGAAATGGGCCAAGATTCATTCTTCACAAGAAACATTTCTGACTGGCACGAAAAGTCACCACAAGAGTCATTAAAAAAATCTGATTTAGAAAGTCCAAAAACTTTAGGACTAACACATCACAGTGCGGGAACTCCAACGCAAGTCGACCCAACCCAACGAAATCAAATTGATAATGAATATGCAGATGATGAAGATAGAATATTTAATGAAATGGGCCAAGATTCATTCTTCACGAGAAACATTTCTGATTGGTACGAAAAGTCACCACTTGAAGAGTCACAAAAAAAATCTGATTTAGAAAGTCCAAACACTTTGGGACTAATACATCATAGTACGGGAACTCCAGCGCAAGTTGAGCCAACCCAACGACATCAAAATGTTGGTAATGAATATGCAAATGATGAAGATAAAATATTTAATGAAATGGGCCAAGATTCATTCTTCACGAGAAACATTTCTGATTTATACGAGAAGTCACCACTTGAAGAGTCATTAAAAAAATCTGATTTAGAAAGTCCAAAACCGTTAGGAGTAGCACATCATAGTACGGGAACTCCAGCGCAAGTTGAGCCAATCCAACGAAATCAAATTGCATCCACTTCTTCGGAAAAAAATATTTCAAGCTCTAGTACATCTGTGTTAATAAGTACTACCGAAAAACGAAGTTTGCATACTGTAGCAAGAATTCTTTCTGACATGGATCGAGATCCATTCTTTGCTGAAAAAGTTTCTGAATGGTATAATAGAATAAAACCTATTGATGCCAGAGGAATTGATAGTCTTAATGAAAGTAGATTTAAAGGTATTTTACCAAGGAAATTATCACCAATAAAAGAAGAGCAACTAGAAGAGTTACCAATAAAATCTCCAAAACCACATCTTCAAGAAAATCTTGGTCAAAAAAGTATGTTAAGTACTTTTTCGGATCAAGATGAAGCGGAGCAGAAAGTATCCACAATATTTTCTGAAATGCGTCATGACCCGTTTTTCTCAGAAAAAATGTCTGAATGGTACGGTGAATTACCAAGTGATAATGTATCACAAAAGCTACCATCAATAAAAGAAGAAAAAATAGAAGAAATACCAACAAAATCTTCTGATATAGAAAAACATGATTTGCAAACTCCAAAATTGGAAAATTTGTCAACAACAACTTCTAAATTAAATGAGGTACCAACAGTTATTTCTTTTGAGCAAAAATCTGAATTGCAAATTCCTAAACAACAAGAGATACCAACATCTTTAGTTGCACTAGAAGAGCCTCCAATGTCGGAAGAGTTACCCATAAAATCCATTGACTTACAACAACCTGGTTTACAAATACCAATGCCGGAACCGTTACCAAAGAAATCTTCTAAGAAACAAAAAAATGAAGGGAAAACTCCAAAACTGAAAAAGATACCAACAAAATCTTTTATAGGACGAAAACATGATTCGCAAACTCCAATTGACGAAGAGTTACCAACAAAATCTTCTGAAGAACAGAAACAAGATTTGCAATCTCCAAAGCATGAAGAATTACCATCGAAAATTGCTGACATACAAAAACATGATATAGAAAGTATAAAATTGGAAGAGTCACCAACAAAACCTTCTGGTACACAAAAGCAAGATTTGAAAACAGCAAATCTTGAAGAGTTTCCAACAAAAAGTCCGGATATACAAAAACTTGGTGCATTAAGTACAAAACCAGAAAATCTGCCAATAAAAACTTCTGGCATACAAGAAGGTGATTTAAAATCTCCAAAACTGGAAGAGGTACCAACAAAAAGTTTTGATATGAAAAAACAAGACTTACAAACTACAAAGCTTCAGGCGTTACCAACGAACATTCCTGACATACAAAAAGATGATTTAAAAAGTACAAAGCTAGAACAGTCACCAACAAAATCTTCAGACTTAGAGAAACATGACTTGGAACCTTCAAAACTTGAGGAGTATCCAACAACTCGTTCTGACACACAGAAACATGATTTACCAAGTACGAAACTAGAAGATTTGCCAACAAAAACTTCAGATACACAAAAACAACATTTGCAAACTCCAAAGCATGAAGAGTTACCATCAAAAATTGCTGACACACAAAAACATGATACAGAAAGTACAAAATTGGAAGAGTCACCAACAATACCTTCTGGTACACAAAAGCAAGATTTGAAAACAGCAAAGCTTGAAGATTTTCCAACAAGAAGTGCGGATATACAAAAACTTGGTTCATTAAGTATAAAACCAGAAGATCTGCCAATAAAACCTTCTGGCATACAAGACGGTGATTTGAAATATCCAAAACTGGAAGAGGCACCAACAAAAAATTCTGATATGGAAAAACAAGACTTACAATCTCCAAAGCTTCAGGCGTTACCAACGAATATTCTTGACATACAAAGAGATGATTTAAAAAGTACAAAGCCAACAGAATCTTCAGACATAGAGAAACTTGACTTGGAACCTTCAAAACTTGAGGAGTATCCAACAACTCGTTCTGACACACAGAAACATGATTTACCAAGTACGAAACTAGAAGATTTTCCAACTAAAACTTCTGACATACAAGAAGGTGATTTGAAATCTCCAAAAGTGGAAGACTCACCGACAAGAATTTCTGAAATGGAAAAACAAGACTTACAATCTCCAAAGCTTCAGGCGTTACCAACGAATATTCTTGACATACAAAGAGATGATTTAAAAAGTACAAAGCCAACAGAATCTTCAGACATAGAGAAACTTGACTTGGAACCTTCAAAACTTGAGGAGTATCCAACAACTCGTTCTGACACACAGAAACATGATTTACCAAGTACGAAACTAGAAGATTTTCCAACTAAAACTTCTGACATACAAGAAGGTGATTTAAAATCTCCAAAAGTGGAAGAGTTACCAACAAGAATTTCTGAAATGGAAAAAGATGACTTACAAGCTTCAAAGCTTGAGGCGTCACCAACAAACGTTTTTGATACACAAAAAGATGATTTAGAAAGTACAAAACTTGAACAGTTACCAACAAAAACTTCAGACATACAGAAACACGACTTGGAACCTCCAAAGCTTGAAGAGTACCCAACAAGTCCTTCTGACATACAGAAACACGATTTGCCAAGGACAAATCTAGAAGATTTTCCAACAAAAACTTCTGACATACAAGAGCGTGGTTCGCAATATCCAAAACTCGAAGAGTCAGCAGCAAACATTTCTAGCATGGAAAAAGATGACTTACAAACTGCAAAGTTTCAGGCTTTACCAACAAACATTTCCGACATACAAAAAGATGATGTAGAAATTACAAAACTGGAACAGTTACCAACAAAAACATCAGATATACAAGAACGTGATTCGCAATCTCTAAAACTGGAAGAATCAGCAACAAGAGTTTCTGACGTGGAAAAAGATGACTTACAACCTCCAAAGCTTCAGGTCTTACCAACAAACATTTCTGACATACAGAAAAGAGATTTGCAACCTCCAAAACTGGAACAGTCACCAACTAAAATTTCTGACATACAAGAACATGAATCAGAATCTTTAAAACGAGAACAGTCACCATCAAAAATTTCGGAAGAAATGAAAGTAATACACCTGAATACATCTTTAGGAAACGTTACAGAACTTCCATTAATTGTTCCAAAATTGTCATCAGAAGTAAAACCAGTTGAAACAGCGGAGATTCAGTCAGAACCAACATTAGATAAATCAAAAATACAGATAGCAGAATCACCTGATGAAGTTGCAGAATCATCAGTAATTGCAACCAAACAACATCAGGATACGTTTCCTGAAGAAATTGAAACAACCAAAATTGATATTGATTATCCATTCCGGGATTTAGATTTACCGGAAACAACTTCACAGATGTTAGATTCATTTCAACAAACAACTGGTTACGATTTAAAACAAACTTCACACCAATCTCAAAATGAGATACCAAAAGAAATTAGTGTAGCTCCATTAAGTACTACTTCAAAATTGAGTGCTTCTAAAGATTCAGTAACAAATCTGCCTTTACGTGAATCAAAATTACCTTTAGGGTCTAAGCTGATTGTATCAGAAGAGCAAAAAGAAATCAAATCAGAAGAAACTTTATTAGATGATTCAAAACCTTTATATCAAAAGCAGCCATCAGATAAAATTCCAGAAGTAGTTGGAGCATCATTAGATAATAATAGTGAAAATCTTTTAAAATCAAATATAATATCACAAGGTATGGTTCAAGATGATTCAAATTTACCTTCCGAAAGTGTATCAGTTAAACCAGAAGAAATTTCAATGAAATCATCGAATTTATCTCTTAGAGCGGTTGAGAAAAATTTAGGAACACCAACACTCTCCGAACCACACTTAAAAGAATTACCAGAAACAGGACATTTTGATATCCTTTCACCATCAACGTCTCCACTAGAAACAAAACGTTCAAGATCTCCAATTGAAAATCGTAGCCAAGACACTCCCTTTGAAGTTGAAAATCGTTCAGAACCCCATTCCAGATTTTCAGTAGAAAATGAATTACCAACAAGAGAAGATCATTTCGTACATCCAGAGATTCAATTATCTCCAACTCAACTTCCACCAATAAACGAAAATACAGTACGTGAAGATTCGAATACTGTGTTAAACATAAATCCATTTTATCCAAGCACTCGGTCACCATCTATTCTTCTTCCACCGCCAACTGTTCAAATAAGTCAAGGAGAAAGTCTACATGATTTTATTTCTCATCGTGTCCCACCAGTTGCAGACGTCTTTAATCCGACTCCTCCACCATTATTTGGTGGACGCGGATTACTAACTGGTACTATTGGTCAACCACCTAGAAATAGACATCCGATACCCCCTGCTCAATTACCACCAAATGTACGACGTCGAAATAACTATGGGGTACATTTCAATTATAGAACAACTGTAACAGAAGCAAATAATGAAAACGACAATGATGACCAAGAATCTAGAGATTTAAATGCCAGAAGTAGCCGAAGAGGTCGACATAATGAAAGAGAACGAAGAGGCAATTGAAAAAAATTTGGATTTTTAAAAGTTTTAGAAGTGAATTTTTTATTTTGTATTCGTTTAATTTAATTAAAGAATTTTGCCTTTAAAATGTATATGTGTCATATAATTATAATATGAATAAAAGAATATCTGGAATAGACTTGCACCATGCAAGGTCTGATAAAAGGCTAATCAGCCTACTAAGTATATATCAACTTGGGGATTTATTCTTCATGTAAAATCCAACCCAACCCAAAGAGGATTAAGGTGAGGTGAGTTATCTAGATGTTGCCGCACTACCAACGAAAAATGTGGTGGAGCACCATCTTGGAGAAACTACATAGTTGTCTAACATCAAGACCAACATCTGCGAGCAATCCTGGTAAATTATCGCGTAAAGATTGTAAACTGCACCAGTTAATTGATTTTCCAGAATGAAATGGCTAATAAGTAGTGAAAGTGGTAGAATTCGTTTATTCAGTTGCTCAAGACACTATAGGTCACCACAAATAATGTGGAAATGAATATGATGATGAGTGTAGAAATAATGGAAGGAATGAATGCCACAAAAAGAAAATGCCTACAACAAAACATAAGTATGAAGAGAGTTGAGTATGAAAAATATCGAAGAGAGGCCAACAAAACTTGCCCAAACATCAGGAGAGAACAATCAATTAGTACAGAAAATATGGAGAATTGAACAAATTCCAGCAGAATGGAAGGTTCCATGGAATCCAAAATGAATCTATCAACTCTTGTAAACTCTATCCACAACATCTCGAAGAAAGACCCAGACTCCAAACTCAAGATCTATCGCATTATTACAAGATCAAGAACAGAATATGGATGCGAAGCAGTAAAATATATGGACTGATACAAGTTTGTGCAGGAATATGGAGACTAAGAGTGAAACACTAATTGACATGGTGCAGACATAAAAAAATATAAAACGACACATAAATTATGACAAACAACTCTAGTTTATATTTAAATTTAATGTAGTATTTTAGTATAGTATATCGCACTAATTACAATAAAAAAGAATTATTTTCACCGTCCTTAGAATATCTGACCACAGTCTTCTACTTGGAGATTATCGTTATAAATGACCATATCCGAATGAAGCCGGTATTAACCCCATCGAATATCTTCAAGAAATGCGAAAATGTCGTCAATGTATCCAACACATAAAAGCAAAATTTATGGCAATACCAACTTAAATCCATGCAAAACTAATTCATTATTTAAATATTTAATTAGAATGTACATATTTTATCGTCTTCCTTCTCTATTCCTTCGAACCCATCGACCCCTTTCGTTTAAATGTATCAATTGTTGTTCGTTGTTTTCATTTCTCGTTTCTGCTAAAGCTGCTCTATACGAGAAACGAACCATTCCCAAGGTTTGAGATTCTTCTGCCAATTCAACAGCTGGTGATTGATATCTGTTTCTAGAAGATTGAGGTAGTGAACCAGTATATAAACCACTATCATCGAATAACGGCGGAGGAGTTGGAGTTGGTAAACACATAATTGCTCTGCGTCTTGAATGATGTCTTCTTTCTTGTAAACGATTCATTGGATTTGATGGGTTTAAACTGGTATTTAAATGATTCGGTCTATGTTCCGTTAGTAGTGGGAGTAAAGTTGGAGACAGTTGAATTTCTGGGTATGCGAAATCATCTTTTCTTATTAATGCAGATGTAGATGGCATGGATTGTTCAGTTGTTGATGGGATTTCTTTTTTCAATTTCGTTTCTTTTAAGTACATTTTTGAATGATTTTCAATGTTTTGACGCTTTGTTTGTGACGGAGACGTTGTTGGTTCATATTTTGAAACTGACGAAACAGATGGATTAGTTGAACTATCTTCTGATTGGATTTCCGGTGATAATTTTGAGTCATTTAATAAATTTAAATCGTTGTCTTTTCCATTACGTAGGGATGCTGTATTCAACTGGGTTGAAACATTTTTTTTTAGAATTTCATCGCGGGAATGTTTTAATCTTGATTTTAATAGATTTTTAGTTTTACTTTTTAAATTACTCTTATCTACTAATTTTAATAATTTTGAGGGCGATGTTGAAGGTAATTTTGAATCCATTAATGAAAATTGACTGTTATTGAGTTTTATATTCTTCTTTTTCTTCTTTGGAAATTCATTCTGATAATATTGGTGATTTACCTTCGATTTGCCTTTTTTATAGATAACACTGAAATGATTTGAGATGGTTCATCTTGCACGGCTTTTATTGAGCCATAAAATAATATGGTTCTGTAAGATTTTGTTTCTATTTCTAGATTTTGTCATTTTTAAGAGAATATTGATGTCAAAATGTCAAAGAAATGATTTATACAGTTGTTCATGAAATATTAGACATACACGAGCTAGGACGATCTTTTGTTGGTTGTTTCAAATGACAGTACTCAAATATGAATATAAACATTCGATATTATTGACAGGTATAATAACAACTGTAATAAATATTAATATTTATGATTTGTTTGTTTAATATCTGACGGATCTTACTACAAATCTTAAATATATCATACTTAAACATCACATTAAAAAAATCCTTTGTTGCATTTTATTCATTGATCATTTTCAAGTGACCTTATTTTCACTTTTCAACATGACATCCGCATTGTAGTTTCCAGTCGATCAGGATATATCCTTCCGCCAGCAGGATTCGCGACGCCACCAAACGGCGCAAGTCCCTTATTTACCATAGACATGCGCAATCATGCAACCCTCCAAAAAACAAAAAATTAAAAACATGCGCCCTAACAACGTCGTCGTCGTTCGAAACGTTCAACATCCATCGCAGAAGACCGTGGACCGAACTGCGTGAAACATACGCAACGCGTTTAATATAAAATTGATAAATTTTTTTTAATCGTGCACCAAAAACATAAAAGAAAATAACAGCTGGTTTTTATTGAATTTAGTGATTGTGGTGCGTTCTTCCCTTCAAGTTAGTAAACGAAAAATTTGTTTCCAATGTTTGTTGGCGTGGAATTATTTTTTTGGACGTAGTGTTTTTTATATACAGTTCTTTTTGTTACACTCTATTTAAGTGATTGGTTACTTGAAGACGATCACAATGCTGAATATGATCGGTAAGAATTAAGAATGAATTTTAAAGGGTAGTTGATTTGAATGGGGGCGAATGTAGGTCACGTTGCTCAACGTTTCGGCGGAATGGGGGATAAAGTTTTTCATTTTTGTATCAGTTTTCATCGAAACTGAAATACACGGAGCATTGAAACATAAATTTCATACAAGAAAAATATTGTTTTTTAAGATACAAATGAAATTCCAAAAAGATACGACATTTCAGTTTTATTCATATTCTAAATTGAATCAAAAATCTTATTTTCATTTTTTGAAAGTATGAGGAGGGTAACGACCACTTGCTGGAGTCCCTTTTCACGCTAGACGCCTTCCCACGCAAAAGTGGGACTTCCTCGTGGTCGCGTTTCCCCCCTTTCCCTCCTCGGCTTCGTTGGTTTCCGAGAGTTGTTGGCGCCCTACTAGTATCGATCAAGCGTCGCGTCCCCTTTCCACAGTGGCCCATTCAGGGAATATCTGCATCCTGCATGAACTCGCTGCGGGGAGGCTGTAGGATAAATAGAATCTCGTCGCAGGAAAGAGAACATTTTCAAAACAATTTTTAACTTTCCTTTTCTAAGCTTTTATTGATTTCTAAATTTTACCAACATTTTGCCCAGTTATAATCAATTTCCAAATGTCACTTGGTGTGCATAAGAATAATGTTATACACTAACTTTATAACTGTGATGAAACAGACTTAAATTTAAAAGTGTTACCTAATTCAATTTTAGCTCCCAAAGAAGAAACAACAGCTCCAGGATTCAAAAGAAGTAAAGAGTGTGTAACTATTTTGGCTTGTAGTAATGTTGCTCGGCGTCATAAACCAAGACAAATGTTACTAGGAAAGTCTGCTAAACCAACAGCATTCAAAAATTTAGTTATGAATACGCTGCCTGTTTATTACAAGAGTCAAAGAAGTGCATATTTATTTCATGATTGGCTTTATGAGGAATTCGTTCCTAGCGTGGCAAAATTTTTACATGATGAAGGTTTGTCCAAAAAACCCTTATTCATTATTGATAATGCTCCATTCCATTATAAAGAGGACGACCTTCAAAGTGGAGATATTAAAGTATATCTATTATGCAGCCTATGGATCAGGGAGTATTAGAGACATTTATTTAGCCTAATAATAGTAGTAGTGTTACTTAAGTGATAATCTTTGCCTTAGCCGCTTCGACGAGGTTCCTATCACATTTAAGACAACGTGGTACCTATCCTAGTCGAACCAGTTCGTCTTTGTGTAAATGGGTCAATTTAATGTTGTCGCCATTTACCTCATGATTTCTATCATGCATTGCTGATGCGGTACGAAGACGTTATTCAGTCTCAGTTGATAAAAATAAGTTAAAAACCGAGATTTAGTATATTAGTGTTAGGACTGTTAGGGGTTAACACATTACGTTTAGTGTTGTCATGTTGAATAAAAATAGATGTAGGACTATTAGACCGAGACCATTTAGCTTCAAGTGCAGGCAGGAGTTTATCCACTATCATGTTTCTGTATTCACCTTGGTCACAGATTCAATGACCTCCCTGATTCTTGTTTTATTAATGGCCATCGTTGATGAGCAACAACAGTCAAAAACATAACCTTTGTGTTATTTTTGCATGTTTGATAAGGTTCTATATTGTCGTCGTAAGCGAAGTAGTTTTCTTTAAATAAAACCATTTCTCATCAGCACGAATGAAGTTTGTCATATTCTTAAAAATAATTGCACCAACAGCGATGCTATCAGAATTAAGCATTGCAAAGCAGTTTTCCAAACGATGAAATGTGTTGCGATCTGTAAGGTGTGGTTTAATTGCGTCGGAGTGGGGCTTAATCAATCCAGATTTAATACTTCTACTTCATCTACGGTTTTTCACTTCTTGCCAACTTATCTAGATATCCGCGAATTTACATTTGCACATATTGACCCTTCACGTAAGGACGCTGTCCTCGATGCCAAATTCGACCTATATTCTTTTCTAACACAAAATATCCAGCTGCTGCATTTTTTTTTATCGTATCTTACTTCAGTTTACCATTTATACTTGCCTCTAGTAAATAATGGTACACATTTTGACGCATATACTGCAGCACAAAGAAAAGGACTCTTTGTGCTGGAGTATCTACAACATCTTCACGTTCCATTATGTGGCCACACCGGTATTTTTACAAATAGTATGACGACACAAGATTTTTAACTATCTACCTAAACGTCAGACTGATGCGTTAAAATTTGGACACTTATTATTTGACACTTTTTGATCTAATATGAAGATTTTTTATTATTATTTATACTTGCTTAGCGCAGAAGAATTTTTCTTTTGTGAACAAAATATTGAGCTACGCCATATACAGCGTGTCCCGTATCTTCCGCATCAGAGCATTATACGGTTGTAGGATACATTATTCTGAAGCGATCTTTCTAATAAAATTTTTTCGAAATGTTTATAATAACCGCACGGGAACTGTTTAAAGGAACTGTTTTTCGTCCAATCAGCAGATCGCAAATCAGACTCAGGTAATCGGTGTCACCCTCGGCCGGTTCGCTACGCCGATGATAACTCGTTTCCCACGTGTACTCACCAATAGATTCGTCATGGAAAGAGAAATAAACTTTTTCGATGAATCAAAGTCGTCCGTTATTGGTCGTCGTTAAACAGTTCCCGTGCGGTTATTATAAACATTTCGAAAAAATTTTATTAGAAAGATCGCTTCAGAATAATGTATCCTACAACCGTATAATGCTCTGATGCGGAAGATACGGGACACGCTGTATACATACAACACAGAATTCTATGTCTAGAAAAGGATCGTATCAATCAAGATGTGAAGCATTTGTGTTATCAATCATTTAATGGTCTTGGATCATATTATGAAATATATACATATATACAGATCTTTGTTGGAAAACCCAACCGCCTCTGTTTTAATAGCGAACCATGAATCAATAATCCTTTATCCGTATATAAAAAAATAATCGAAACAAATATTGGAAACTGACAACAAAAATAAGGAAAGACCTCTATGTTAAACTAAAACTAGAACTAACACTAGTACTATCACTGGAACAAACACTAGACCTAGAACTAAAATCTTTCAGGTTAAGCCGTGCGTTTTCTGAAAAAATGTCTAACGTTTCGAATACCATGTTACAATCTTCTTCAGAAACAACTTATTTCTGAAGAAGAACACCCGGTGAGGACTAAAATAAGATTCTAGTTGTAGTTCTAGTGATACTACTAGTATTAGTCTAGTGCTAGCCTTCGTACTTATAGACCTCCATGTTATTTGTTTGTGAAAAGAAAAATAAATTAAATCTTATTTAAGTTTGAAGTTAGAAGTAATAATAATTCTGTGAAAGCAAAAAAAGACGGAGATGTTAATATTAATAACCACGGGGTACAAAACAGTAATTACACAGCGTTTATAATTTACGACCAAGCCCCCATATATCCGGAAGAAAACGGTTTGCGGCGTTTGATGTCGGAAACTCGGGATTCCCCGAGACTTACACCCGGTGGGGACTAAGATAAGGGGCCTAATTAAAACGAAATTAGACTCGGAAAGGAACAAAGCAGTCAATTTCTTTCTTTTACAAAGTGAGCAAATAAAGTCGGATATAAATTCTTAACTCTGTCACGGAAAAGTCGAGAAAAAAGAGGAGTGGAAAATGTTAACAGCGACGACCACGAATTCTCATGGTGCAATGCAGCAAAGTAACTCATTTACGCATGTTGATTTTATTTTATGATAAAAATGAAATATACCTTCGTTTGTGATTCTGTCTTTTAGATTTGTTTTAATTAATGAATTATTCACGACGTAAATGATTGTTTGATGTAAAATTAAAATTAATTAAAACTTAAAATTATATTTTTATTAAAAGTTATCTTGTTATTAAAGAAGCGGAACATATTTTCTGAAAAAAGAAACAATAAATCTCGTTTTTCCTGCATAAACAACCACTCAAAATGTAAAATCCACCATCTAGCTCATGAAGCATTTCCTTTTTGCTTTCTTTATTTTTCCGTTTTTTCATCCCCAGCATCACCCAAGAAATCGATATCTTATCCCCAAGGCTCCTCCAACTTGACTCCACGTGCTGTCGAGGGTAAAAAAAATTCCCAACTACGCTTTCAATATTCTTTTTTCTTCCATTATTTTTTCTTTTAACTTTACACTCGCTCGTTCTCTTATTAAGGTCTCCTCATCTTATTTTTGGAACCCCAACTTTAAAGAAGTAATGCGCAACTTCACTTAATTGGATTAAAACGCGACGAAACGTAAATAAAGGCCTCTTCATCGTCGTGGCGATCGTTACAACGTCGTCGTTGCCGTTACCGGCTGATCACCGCCCACGTTTAGTAGAATCAGCTGTACCCTGCCCCCCATCAATGGACCTAAGCGTGGGCGCGACCACTTGTTCGATTCTACGTGTCTAGATGGTAGTGGTTTTGTTTTCAGTTTATACGACCCAAATTTCTTTGTCACTTTCAAAATCTTATTTGTAAACAAACTTGAAAGGATTTTAAAATTATGTTAAAACAAGTACCTAACAAATGAAACAATTACACAACGATTATAGAACGAACCAAAATAAGGTAGCTGCACCCTGGTACTCCAGAGATAGTGATATAGTAAAATTGGAAATGGAAACAATGAATGAAATTATTACAAGTTCTGCTAATGGACAAGAAGAGAGACTTCATCATCATGTGAATAGTGAGGCTATCAAATTCCTGGACAATTCACAGTTAGTGAGAAGACAGGAGTCAGCAAAAAACTAATAGAAAGAAATAGTGCAAGAGTATATATTATAACCTTAGTATACTTCAGATAATGATGACAGAACAAATAAAACTCGACTAACACTAGACCTAAAACAATAAATATTCCGTTTAGCCGTACCTCTCTTAAGACGGCTGGTAGGTGCTAGGTAGCGCTAGTTAGCATAAAATATCACTATGTTGCACGTTTTTATTGAACTAACACTAGACATAGAACTAGAATCATTCGGCTTTAGACGTCTTATGAGACGCATGACTAAACCCCATTGTTGCTAGTTCTAGGCCTATTGCTAGTTCTAGTTTCACATTAGCACTATCACTAAAACTAACACAAGACCTACAACTAGAATCATTCGGGTTTAGCCGTCTTGAGAGACGTGCGGCTAAATCCGAATGTTTCTAGTTCTCGGTCTAGTGTTAGTTCTAGTTTTGCACTAGCACTATCACTAGAACTAATACAAAACCAAGAACTAGAATCATTCGGGTTTAGCCGTCTTGAAAGACGTGCGGCTAAATCCGAATGTTTCTAGTTCTAGGTTTAGTGTTAGTTTTAGTGTTAATTGTTATTTAGCGTTAGATTGTGGTATATTTTTATTGAACGAAAAGTAGAACTAACACTAGACCTATAACCAGAAACATTTAGTTTAGCACGCATGGCTAAACTAAATGTTAAGACGGAAACTTAGGGTTATCATAAGGACGTTACCTTTTCCAAGCAAAACTTTTTCTTTGCAAAATTACCCAATTTCTGTACTATTGAGCTAAATTGCATTTTATGTGGGACAATGCAAATGCATAGTTATATGAAATTCCTGTTATTTGACCCTTTTGGCAACATTATTCCATTGGCAAACGTTTCCCATAAAGTAATTTTTAAGGATTTCGAAAGGGCACGTTGCGTAGATACGAAATGAATAAAATATTTGCGGTGACAATCGATAAGGTGCCGCTACACGAACAACGATGCTATATCGGAATGTACGGGATTTGGGGCCTGAGTCAAGGTCGGTTTGGTGTTTCTGGTCGTTGGCTGTGAGGGTGCGTATTTACCACGATTATCCGTAGCCGACCGGCAGTGCAAACGACTCCAACAGGGGCAAAAATCGATAACGTTGCAACGCTTTTCCACTATTGCCGCGGGGACAACCTCGCTTTTCTATTCCCAAACGGAAAATAACTGCGAAAAACCGATTCTATACCTGAACCGTTAAGGTTTTATCTTTAAATTTGTTACGCTACTTCTAAATCCTTTCAAAAAGAAGCAAATAAGAAAATACTTTAGACATCCTTTATCTTTAACCATATAGATAATTTATTATAAATTGTATTTAATGTTTGAATTTTTGTTTTGTTTTAGGATCTGAAGGTAGCACATTGTTGGGTGCTTTTGCCGGTGTAGGCGCTCTTTTCTTGGTGTTTCTCCTTTACATTAATAAAAGATGGTGGTTGAATACTGTAAGTGGTATGAGTTGTTGCGAAGAAGCCTGCCCGACAGTAAGCAGCGGCAATCATCTATCGTCAACACCCGTGCCTTCTGCAACATCGCCAAACAGCAACAAGCACAAATTACGTAAGAACTTTTCTGTAAATATTTAACATTGTAAGGTAAAAAAGAAATCTTGTGGAATCCAAACCATATGACGGACGGCGAAACCTGTTATTAACAACCCCAGAAATAGAAAATATAATGACAATGGATCGATTCTGATGTTGATTAAAAATTTAATACACTTTCGTGACGCATTAAGCCGTCACTCTTTAAAGGGGGTTTTCGATCGCGTCCGGTTCGATTTGGCTTTAGTTTCAGGTGTCTATTCGCGAAGTCTATATGAATTTTCGAGTGTGGGTCTCGCAATTCTGTAAGTTGATCCTGTGCTTAAAAAGGGTCGTAAAAGTTGAAGTGTATACCGGAGAAGGCTTTCAATGAGGAATAAATCGATTTTTACACGCACATGATACAATTTTCTGATCGTAGGTTGAAATTCCCAAGACACGGGTTTTAAAACCGCTTTTTTTTTATTTTCAGCAAAAGGATACTCCTTCGACGTCGTCGATTCTAGCTCCGATTCGGAGTTGGGTGGTACGAAAGAGGAGCAAACATGTGCTATTCCGACGGTCGCCGTCGCTACGGTGCAATATTATCCGCCGAAGCAGCAGGATTTGATTTCCCTAGTGGAAAAAGGAAGGGTCGGCATGAGTAGTAATAGCTCTTGCTGTAGCTCAACCACTAGTTCCGTTGGTGAAAAACATGGTGTACCAGCTACCAAAATCACTAATCAAATAACCCCAAACAATAAAAAGTAAGAATTCATTATTTTAAATTATAAAAATTGTAATTTTTAGTGAATAGGCGATTAAAATCACCACATTCAAATCAAATAATTTTAGCATTTCCTGTTTAAAAGATATCCACATCCTGTTAATTAATGTTTTTATTATTTTTAGTACATTCAGGCCGCAAAATTCCCTTCGAGAAACCAAAATCGACAATCAAGTCGACTTAGTCGCATATGAAAAGCCGGAAAATGTAACCACAACTGAACACATGGATATCAACAGTAACCGAGATGTAAGTTACGTTAGATTACTTTTGAGTATGTATTTTTGTTGTAATTAACGTATTGATTCATTTTTTAGTGCATAGTTGTGATGACAACCGAGAGCGAGAACAGCGAGCTCATTTCCTGCGTTGGATCCGAACCGGAAGTGGGAGTCGCAGCTTCGAGCAAATGCGGTCATTTAGAGATTGCGCTTCTTTATGATGCGCCGATGCGGAAAATGACCGTGCATGTGCTTCAAGCAAGAGATATTCCCAGTAGGGATAGAGGTCAACCTACACACACTCAAGTAAGAAAAATGACAATCAATTAACTTTTAATTGATTAAATTTTTTCTGGGGTGGCATAATTTTATGATTCGGCAATTATTTTTTTTTAGGTACGTTTGATTTTGTTACCCAGTAAGAAGCAAAAGCACAAAACTAAGATACGTTCTGGTGATAATCCACAGTATATGGAAAGTTTTCTATTACATAGAGTAAACCCAGGTGAGTAAAAAAATAGTAGAGTTATTATTTTCCGCTTACGGTACAGATATTATGCCTATCAGTTGACGTGTGTTAGAGTGAAATGGCTTATTATGAATGCGGTGAGTCATTCGCATTTCTGGTGGTATGGACTATATTAGTGATGGAACGGATAGTGATTTTGCAAAAAACCGGATATTCGGCATCTCCTTCGGCCGGATATCCGATTATCCAGCAAATCTATCCGGCCATTATGGTTAAAATTTCTAGTGCATTTCCGAAATGATACTATATTGCTACACTAAAGCGATATTTAAATAAAAGTGAAATCAATAAGAAAGCTAATAAGATATGTCAACTTATTTGATGCTAACTAACGAAGCAACTCTAAAAAGAGGATACTTTCAGTAATAATTAGTGATATTTCCACAAGGATCCTTCAAGAAATTAATTTTATAGCGAATTTTGAAAATTTTCGATGAAAATTGCAACATCGAAAATTTTATCAAAATTTTAAATATTATTTTCTCAAAAACTAAAAGCTATTTTTCAAAACGGGTTGGTTCATTGAAAAGAAGACATTTTTATTAACACTTTAGGAAATTTTCATACTCATATTCCAAGAACTGGATTTTATACGAATTTTTAAAACTTAATCGGCGAATATGGCAAAATTCGAAAAAATTCTCGATTACTTCAAAAATTTATTTCTTAAGAACTAAAAGTGATTTTTCAAAACGGCTCTTTGCATTAAAAAGAGGATACTATAATTAATAATAGGTGATATTTCCAGCAGGATCCTTCAAGAAATGAATATTTTGGCGAATTTTGAAACTTATCGATGAAAATTGCAACATCGAAAATTTTATCGAAACTTCAAATATTGTTTTCTCAAAAACTAAGAGCTATTTTGCAAAACGGCTTGATTTATTGGAAAGAAGACACTTTTATTAACACTTTGGGAAATTTTCATACTCATATTCCAAGAACTGGATTTTATACGAATTTTTAAAACTTAATCGGCGAAAATTGCAAAATTCGAAAAAATTGTCGATTACTTCAAAAATTTATTTCTTAAGAACTAAAAGTGATTTTTCAAAACGGCTCTTTGCATTAAAAAGAGGATACTTTAATTAATTATCGAACAAACCTGATATAAATAAAGTTGTATTCAATGAAAAAAGTTGAACTTGATTATTATCTGCAGTGTCCAACACCTAAAAGAGATACTAATTCCTGTGAATGGTAGAGTACTAAGTAATACGTTTTTAATATCCGACCAAAGCCGGATATTTGGTAACTATCCAGCTACAAGTTTTACTTTAAAATTTAAAGTCTAGTTTCATTTCATTTCGCTTGATGAAATGTTTTTTTATTTAAATTTTTGATTGACTCTTAAATTCGTTTCTTGAGTAATAAATCAGTTTAGTCATTCAAAAAGACGTCTTTTCCCCTACGAATCATATTATCGGTTAAAATTGACGTTCTTTCCTAAATGTAACAGGTTTTCCACGTATTCAATTACGATTTATCGACGTGAATCTGGTACAGAAAGGTCCCCATTGTCGTCGCGTTAAGCCGATTGGAAATTTTACGCTTCAACGCCATCATTCCAAACCTTATTCATCACGGTTTCGTATATTATATCTGGCGTAGGGGGCAGTAAATTACGTAGAAAATTGGAAATTGAAAGGAGTTAAAAGGAAAAATATAGTTTACTGGAAAATTTCCAAACCAATAAATAAAATTTTATTACATTACATTCCATAAATTATGTATCTGGTAGGCGGACCAACCAATCTTGCACCGCGACCTTAAAGATCTATTGTACCCTGATTGACACCCTGATAACATTATTAAATTTCACCGTGCTCATTCAAAAGCAGCGAATGGTTTAAAACCATAAGTAACTTATCTTTATTTATCTAAAAACTCCAGTTACTCATTAAATGAATATAAAAGTATGTATTGTATTTTCTATTATTGTAGAGGATGTAAATTCAATGGGTGTTAGACTTCGTTTATACGGCTGTGAACGAATGCGAAGAGAACGTTTAATTGGTGAGGCAGTGGTCAGTTTCGCAAATATCAATTTAGAATTAGAGAACAACTTTTGGTTAACGTTAGAATCAAGAGCAAATGCCACGGTGAGAATTAATTTTTGTTCTTGTATCCAATTTTAACAAATTTGATTTTTTCAAGTTAAATGGTTGCACTGGCGAATTAATGAGCCTTGCCCGATCCGATAGCACTGGATCAACTCATTCTATGCAACACGGCGGGGTTCCCGAATTATTACTCGGTTTAAGTTATAACGCAACTACTGGAAGACTCAGTGTAGAAGTTGTTAAAGGTTCACACTTTAGGTAATTTAAAATAACTTTTTATTTATGTGTTTGTATTATGTGTTAATGTGTTTTTCAGGAACTTAGCTATAAACAGAGCTCCAGATACTTACGTAAAACTTTTACTCGTCAGTAGTACAGGTCAAGAATTAGCCCATAGTAAAACAACGGTTAGAAGGGGTCAACCTAACCCTCTCTTCAAAGAAACGTTTGTATTTCAAGTAAGTATCATGTATTAATTCAAAGAGGGAAGTGTACAAGGTTTATTTGAAGGTTGCTTTATTCCAATTGGCCGATGTAACATTGATGGTTTCGGTTTATAACCGAAAAGGAGTAACGAAAAAGAAGGAAATGGTGGGTTGGTTTAGTTTGGGTTTGAATTCAAGTGGTGCCGAAGAATTAGCCCATTGGATGGATATGAAGGAGTTTCAACAAGAACAAATTTGTCGATGGCACGTGCTGTTGCATTCATAGCCTCAAATTCATACATATCATTCATGATTTTTCTTAACAAGCGCTTAATCTTGATATTTCTCTAATTATTCATCGTTTCTCATTGTAACTGTTTATGTCACTTATTTTAAGGAAAAAATACTGGAGAAAGAAAAGGAGATGAAAAATATAATTTTTTTTAAAGATCTTTTGATCTTAAAAGGTAATCAAAAAAAATGAGAGCGGTAAGCAGCACAAGTAGAATAAAATTATTTAGATTTCAACTTTTAAAATCTATTTCATAAAATGAACCAAGTTAAATTATTTCGATTAAATTTAAGCGTTTAAGAGAAACAATTTAATTTGGTTTTAATTTTTATTAAAAATATAAGATATCTTTCTTCAAATTCGTCTAGCTTCTAAGCTGTAAAAGTAAAAAGAAATTCAAGAGAAACTATGTATGCCTTATTATTATAACTTATATTAAAAAAAAATATTTAACTATGATCGCGTTTTTTACTATTCGAGCGGAGTTTAAGGGTTAAAACTAGTTTTTCCAACTCATAATTAAAAAAAAATTATTTTAGAACGATTCATAAACTGCTGGTCGGTTCTTTTGTGGGTTGAGCGCAACTTTTATTGTGATATTACAAACGAATTTGTTCGAAAAAATGATAAATATGATAAAAACTAGAACGATTTTGATATAAAATGCTAAGAGAGAAAAGAAAATTAAGAGAAATTGAGATAAAAATGCTCATAATTTTTTCGTTCAAAAATATTTTTCTTAAATTAAATCTCTTTCTCTATGACGTCATGAAAAGTCTACTCTTTATTGGAGACAAAAAAAGGAAGCACAAATTATCTGTAAGATTTAACAATTTTGTATATAATAATTTTAAATACGGCAAATTTAAAGAAAGTTAAAGTATACAAAAAGAAACAAGGAGAAAGGAAAATTTATTAAAAAAAATTTAATAGAGCGTTTTTGTAAATTTACAACAAAAAAAAAACTTGTGTTCGATCGTTAAGAATTGATCATACCAAGACGAATTATTTAATTTTTTTGTGTCTTGATACGTTGTGGAGCAATTCTGGACGGTCGAAAAATTCATTTTTTCTATAAGAAAGCGTAATCATCGTTTTAAAGTGACGTATAATTAATAGAGAATAAGTCCTCGAGAATTTATTGTGATTTTGCATTGCCGTGAAACATTTTTTTCAGTTATTATTCTTTCCCCAAAAAAGGAGATAAAAAAATCAAGAAAAAAACCTTTATAAATAATCAGTCAATTGAATGTGTTCACCTATGACCTTTTTATGTAAAGGAAATTGTTAGGATTTAAAAATGTATTTGGGAAACGTTGGAAGCGCTTAATGCTAAAAAAAATTTAAGAAAAAGGAGCGCATTTTATAGATTTATCAAGTTATTTTGTGTTAAAATTTAAGTAATTTTTAAATACAACTTAAAAAACTATTTGTTATTAAAATATGCACAAATCTTTAACAAAAAAAATGCTTATTTTGGTAATGATTTTTAAATGATGAAATAATATATTCCTATGGCGTTATGTTTATAGTAATAAATTCGTTAAATTATATACAGATGTTTTAAAAATAATGTTATTTTAGAAAAAATCATTTTTCTGTTAACTTTTAAAACATCTGTATATGTTTAATTTTAAGTAATTTTTGAGAAAACTTTTTGAAAACTAACGGGACGAAAAGAATGTATTAAAAAAAATATATATGAAAAAGTTGTATTTGTAATATTAAGATTATTAATGAAAAAGAAATTCACATAACTAAATCGAAAAGAAATAATAAAAAAAAAACGTTTATATACTGTTATTAATCGTCGATATATTCTATTTAAGTGTAAAAACATTTATCGTCTTAAAAATCACTCGCTCTCAACCAAAATAAAAAAAATTCTTAAAAGTTGTCACATTTTATCAGTCGAATATAATATTGCCTTTTTAAAATATTATCAAAGATAAAAGAAAAATTCAAGATGTTTAAACTACCAGGAATTTCATATAACTCGCAATATATGAATGCAATAACCATAGTTACGAAACTACTGTGCACTTGCATTGTCCCACATAAAATGTAACATAACTTAATAGTACAGGTATTGGGTAGTTTTGCAAAGGAAAAGTTTAGTTGGGAAGAAGGTAATGTTGTTATGACAACCCTGAGACGGCTAAACCCGAATGGTTCTAGTTCTAGGTCTTGTGTTAGTTCTAGTGATAGTGGTAGTGCAAAACTAGAACTAACACTAGACCTAAGACTAGAAAAATCAGGTTTAGCCGTGCGTCTGAAGACATGTTGCATTTTATATGAGACAAAGTAAGTAGGTCTACTTTGGGTACGCCCTGGTTTCTATGGAAATATATTTTTCTATATTGCATCTTAAGTGAAATTCACTGTATATACCTTTCTCGAAAGAATGCTAAATAAAACTAAAATTTAAAAAAATCTTTTGATATAGGTGGTAAGGGTCGAAAGAATTATTATTCAATGATCTAATCTTAACTATTTAATTAAAAGCGAAATTCAAATTAAAAAAAAAGAACGCATATATTATACCAAATTTTGTACTATGTCTGTTTTATATGGTAAATTAAAAAGAAATAATAAAGTAAATATCTAATTACTAATATTGTACCTTTTAAACTGGTGCAAAATGGTTTCATTAAGAAACAGTAAAAAAAAAATTAAACAAAAACAAAAATAAAAACAGTATTAATGCATGAATATAATTGCACGGCTGAACACAAAACGCACTAAGTACATTTATTATTATTGTATCTTGTACCTTTTTAATAAACGTTTAATGATGATTTATTTTTATTTCTTATATTAATATCCTATTATTTATCCCATTAAATTCGATGTGACAAAGAAGTTATAGAAACTTTAGAAAAAATTATAATTAGATAACTTAGTTATAATACTTTGTTAAAATCGTCTAAAACAAGTCAAAACAACTTTAATATAAGATTTGTTCGTAAAATAGCTTTTAATTGATTGTAAACTTGTTTTATAGTCTTCATGGCAAATAAAATACATGTTGATGGAACACGACAAATAGGTTCTAACATGGCTGAGCACTTTAGGATCGTACTGCACGACTGCCCAGCCCGAAATAAATGCTAAGAATATAGTAGCTAATGTGATCAGCGACTCCAAAAAAGTTGGCAGAAACGTTGTAATCAGCACTGATAGCAGACTTTTAAAACAGCATCAAAGCTGATCAAGTCCCATCGAGCTTTTTGCGATAGATGAGATGAGACTTCAGTAGGTGTTTTTGCAAAGATAACTCTGCTCTACCCTGATCGGAAGAGATCAACTCAGTTCCTAGGAAAATGTATTGTGAAAGGTCTTGTTCTTGTTTTACACTTCTTAATTATTTGATCCATAAAAATCACAAATAGTAGTGGGCTCAATAAGCTGCCTCCCTCCAGAGCTATATTATCTTTTCAATTTTTCATTGTCTTTAGGACCTCCCCTACTTCTTCCATCCCTATCTCCTCTTCCGCCATTCTCTCCTCATTGTCTTGCTCTCCCACTTCTCTTTCATGTAGCGTTTGTATCCCTTCCTCTTCCTTAAATTTTATGCTGTAATGTTCTTTCCATGCATTTAATATTTCTTTATTTGATGTTCCTTATCTATTTTCTTTGGCTTCCCTTCAATCTCTTAATCGTATTCCAGAATTGTTTCTGATTACCTATGTAATCTCCTCCGATCTTTTTGCAAAATTTCTTCCAATAATCTACCTTTGCTTGCTTTATAATTCCCCTTTCCCCTTTCGTTTCTTCAAAAAATTTACAAGTGTTTTTTACATCAAGCTTGTAACCAAAAATAAATAAAATAACAAACATTGAAATAAAAAAGAATAAATAAAATATTAATAAATTTAAATTTTCCTCCAAAATAATGTAAGGTAATAAAATTGTCATTTAGCGCCATCTATGATCGTGTAATCAAAATTATTAATTTATTTCGATAAATTTACCAAGACGCAATATCCACATCGCAAAAACGTCTCACTATAAAAATAAACAACAGTAGAAAAATTACTGATTAAAAAACGCTAATTAATATATTTATTTATAAAAATTGAAATGACGTAGACATAATAAACAGCTGATCGTTGTTGTTTTTTTTTCTAACCATACTAAATCAAAGAAGATGACGTCACGGTGAATTTGACGTTTTGGTGTGTGTTTATTTAAAGATAAGAGGAACGCCTCTCAGGTGAACCCACTTATTTTGGTTTCGTGTCGACCGCGAAAGTTGTCAGTTTTACGTCCGCGCACCTCGGGTCCCGATATATATTCCAAAGTTCAAGAAAAATCGTTCGTATCGTAAACGTCGACAACGTCGACGTCCTTTAATTTTTTTTCCAGAGATGTGTAAAGTACGGATTTTGATTTTGGCGTGTCTTTAATCTCTAAAATATTAATAAGTGTAATACGGTTGTTGTTGTTGAAAAGAGAGGGAGAAAGGCGACAAGAAATCCTTTTGGCTCGAGGACACCTGGTTAGATTTTTAGGGGAATTTTCCGAATTATTTAACGCTCACTTCACCACGTACGCTCTAAACGCACGTAATAATTTTTCAAGATGTCGGAATCATTAAGACAACGTAAACAACAGTTCAATAGCTACAATACTTCTTCAACAGAAGGTACGAAAAGTATTTCATTAAATGATTATTTTGTTAAACCTTAGCACGATTTTTATTTTTAAATAATTACGTTTAATCAGGCGACAATCTTTTTTTTTGTGACATTGAAAACCAGATGTGACAGTGACAGTAGGGGATCAAAATTTTTGATTTCATCTCGTGCGAAAATTACCCCCAATATTAATATTGACAATCACCCATATAATTAAAAAAAATAATCAAAAATTCATTAATACTAACTTAATTACATAGCAATTTTTTTAATAGTAACTAAAAAAAAAGTTAAATTTCAACTTGACAGCTCAACTGTCAACATTTATAAAAAAAATAAAATACGTAAAAAACGATACACGAGGAAGGTCGTCTCGAGTGTCACGGACACTTACGTAGAAAATTGCTGCTTAAATTCAAATTAAAACAGGAACATTTGCTATGACTTTACAAAAAAATGAGTATGTAAAAATCGTAATTTTTATAGGTTATGTTTTCTTTTATTTTTTAATTTAGATATACCAACAAGTTCCAGCAACACCAAAATGGATAATATGGAATTTCCTCGTTCCATACAGATCGTCCTGGCGAATAATGACCATACATTCAGTTTAGATGAAGAAGCCCTTGCAAAAGTGTTAATGAGGGACGAAATTAAAGATCGCTATGTGGTAGTTGTTTCAGTAGCTGGAGCATTTAGAAAAGGAAAATCGTTTATATTGGACTTTTTCTTACGTTATATGAAGGCTAAGGTAAACGCAATATTAATTTGTAATCACTTAGAAATTATTTTAAAAAATGTGTAAGTGATGATGATGAAATGTATTTTTCGTTATTAATAGGATTTTGTTGTAATATCAGTTTTTTTGGTGCATAAACAGCTATAAGTTTTCGAATGTTATCAAGGAGTTGAGTAATTAAAATTGATTTTGATAGAAATGCTTAAAATTCCTGATTAGTTTAGTTAATGTACCTAATTCTTTAGAATTTTTGCAAATTTTGAGTCTTGCAATTGTACTGTTAATTTAAAAGCGACATTAAACAAATTATTTTGTGATGTAATGTTTTTGGAATAATTTTTAATAAATATAATTTTATTTATTGATTAGAACAACTGTAATTAAAGATGAAACTGTTTTATTTTTCTATTTATAATCACCAGATTTTTAATTAAAAACGAACAGGTGTTGTAATTAATTTATGAATTAACCTAGACCCATTTGGCAAACAAGCAATTATGATATAAATACCCAAAAATTACTCAACAATCCATTTTTGTTTAAGTTTAAATTAACTAATTACAACTTTTGTTTACTTTTTTCTTTAGTATCAACAGTCGGAAGGTACAGTTGATTGGTTAGGTCCCGATAATGCCCCATTAGATGGCTTTTCATGGCGTGGGGGTTCAGAAAGGGACACAACAGGTATCTTAATGTGGTCTGAGATTTTTTTATCTCAATTATCAACAGGAGAAAAGGTGTTTTTCTGACATTTTAATTTTTCGTATGTCTACTGTTGTTTTTTTTAGGTTGCAATAATTCTCTTGGATACTCAAGGGGCCTTCGATAGTGAAAGTACCGTTAAAGACTGTGCCACAGTATTCGCTTTAAGTACCATGATTAGCTCTGTACAGATTTATAATTTATCCCAAAATATACAAGAGGATGATTTACAACATTTACAGGTAACAAAAAAATAAATTTTATTTTTTTTTAATAAATTTTAATCAATTTTTAATTTATCCTTTAAGTTATTTACCGAGTATGGTAGGTTAGCTTTAGAAGATTCAGGTAAAGCTCCATTTCAAAGGTTACAATTTCTTGTGAGAGATTGGAGTTTTCCATACGAGGCGGAATATGGGGCTGTTGGTGGTAAAAAATTATTGGACCGTCGGTTGCAGGTCAATGACAAACAACATCCGGAATTGCAAAGTCTTAGGCGTCACATCCAATCGTGTTTTAGCGAAATTGCATGTTTTTTAATGCCTCATCCGGGTTTGAAGGTTGCTACAAATCCAAACTTTGATGGAAGACTCTCTGGTAACACAAATTAAACAAATTTGATCTTATTTTAATATAAATATGATTTAATTTTTTTTAGATATTGATCCTGAATTTAAACAAAACCTTCAAATTTTGGTGCCAATGATTTTAGCTCCTGAAAATTTAGTTTTGAAAAGTATTAGTGGTCAAAAAGTGAAAGCTAGGGATTTGGTGCAATATTTTAAGTCTTACATACAGATTTATAGTGGTAATGAGCTTCCTGAACCCAAATCCATGCTTGTGGTTCGTACACATCTAAATTACTTTTATTATCACAAGAAAAAATCGTTTTGTTTATGTTTAGGCTACTGCAGAAGCAAATAATTTATCGGCTGTAGCTGATGCTAAAGAACTTTATATTCGAATGATGGACGATATTTGCGGCGGCACAAAACCGTATTTAAACACCAACACCATCGAATCGGAACATCGGCGGGTTAAAGAAAAGGCTTTACATCAATTTCAAAGTAAAAGAAAAATGGGTGGAGAAGAATTCAGTGAACGATACAAGGAACAATTAGAAAGAGTACGTTTTATAGGTTTAATAATTAAAATGTAATCTTATTTATTAATTCGATTTAAAAATTTTGATAATCTTAATATAGAGGGTGATTCACATAAGAACCGACACAGAGCAGAGACATGTAGAGGACGTTAAATTAAGATGATTTAACGCAACTTACCTCTATACTAAGTTGTACCCCTGAGGAGTTACAGGCCTTTAAAGTTGAGTCTTAAATGTTTAAAACATTCAATATCTTTGTAATATATTAATCTAGAAAAGCCAAATTTGGTATACATTGTGAGTGTACCTAGGGTATTAATTGGTAGCAAACTGAGATCAATTGAGGCATTTCAAAGGGTTGATTAAGGGTGATGGTACCCTAATTTTAGACAGATTTTTTTAACCTTTCGACGTATTTAATACATTTTTACTTCATTTCATGTGGAATTTAATTCTAAACCTTTTTTTACTCTTATTATTTTTTAAAAATCTTTGACGTTTTCATAAAAAACTCAAATAACTAAAGACATGTATTTCGTTAATGTTGCTTAATATCAGCGAAAATTCAGTAGTTGGCTATGAAATTGTACGTCAAAATTGACATAGGTTAGAAAGTTATTTGATTTTTTAGTTATTGCCATAGAAAATATTTATATTATACTTACATATATAAAAGCATTACTTCGGACTATTTTACCGACCAAATTGAACGCAGCACTGCCAAGGGGATTGTAATAGAAGTAATTTTCATAAATCGCGAAATTTGAATGTTTGAATATACAGGATGATTCAAAAAACCGCTGACAGACTTCTAGGGCAGGTAATACATCAAAAATTAAGATGAAAAGTCTTAATATAAATGGGGTCGCAAATGCCTCCTTAACGAGGTATAGCGGGTCAAAGTTTCTTTAAAATTTAACATTATATACTATAAAAAGCCGTTTTTAAAAAATATTTTCAACGCCATTGCTAATTTTGTTAAACGGGCAGTATTTTCGTGTAAAGTGATCAATTATCTATCAATTAGTCTCTTAAAAAACCTTGCTTTAATCAAAGTTTTGTAAGTTTTGTATATTAAGATTATTCATCTTAATTTTTCTTGTATTATCTGCTCTAGAAGTCTGTCAGCGGTTTTTTGAATCACCTGTATATGCATGATAAAGTTCAATTATACTCAGGTTTCCACTTCTTAGGTTAATTGATAAATAGAACACAATAGTTTTTTAAATAAATTTATTTTATTCTCTTTAAAAAAATATGGCTTGAACAGCCAATGTGTTCTTAGAGTTTACTTTTCTTATTTTACCTTTTATATGTTATTTATTCTTTTACAAAAGTTGAACAAAATTAATTTTATAAACATATTTATAATAAAATATATAATGTCTTCTTTATGGCAAAGAAATGTGAAGTTAACATTATGCCTGACATTATGACACTGACGTCGATTTCTGGTATATTATTTATGATATATATAAAAATTATACTTATTATAATTATTATTATTTATATATTTATTTTTTAATATTATCCAAAATATTATCATAATATTTCTTCTGGTTCACGAACTATTTCGGAATTTTGGTTGATAACGTAGATTGCAAATTGTGTACAGCAGCGCCCTCTAGTGGATTGTTATAGTAAATAAAATCCCGTCTTTATTTTATACCTATCAAGAAATCATACCCGTTATTGCTTACTATTTATGTAAATGACAAGGCTTTGAAGGCCTATAACTCCTCAGGGGTACAACTTAGTATAGAGATAAATTGCGTTAAATCATCTTAATTTATTGTACTCTACACCTCTACTGTGTGGTGGTTCTTATGTGAATCACCCTGTATAATGCACAATCTTAATTGATTTTTTTTTCTGTTTTTAGGATTTGGAAGATACTTTTGAACAATTTAAGGCGCACAATGAAAGCAAAAACATTTTTAAAGCCGCCCGAACACCAGCTGTATTCTTTGCTGTCGCTGTTATTTGTTATATACTTTCTGGGGTTTTCGGACTATTTGGTGCTTACACAATTGCTAACCTCTTTAATTTAATTATGGGGTTGTCGTTACTAACATTAGCACTGTGGGCATACATAAGGTAATTAGAAATAGAAGAATTATTTTTTTTTGGATATGGGTTTTTAATTCGGTTCTTTTTTGGGGCGGATTGTTTTCTAATTTAGATATAGCGGCGAATTGCGAGAAATTGGTGTTCAAATCGACGAATTGGCCACGTTCATTTGGGAAAATGTAAGCATATTTTTTTTACATTTTTTTTTTGTTGATTGGGTTGAGATCGGTTGAGACCGGATGTGGATTCGTTTTTTGATAGGCTGCCGAGTGAAGACGACGGACGAAAGATGGAGTAAAAAATAGTTTCTTTTTGATGATTTTGATTCAAATTCGATCAACAATCAAATTAATAAAAAAAATTTATACCATAAAATTGTCCGTTGTCTTCTTATTATTTTTATTTTTTTGATATTGTAATATTTAATACTTTTTTTTTACATCAACAGTTGAGGCAATTAGAGCAAAAGTGAATTAATCTCAAACCTTTTTTGAGTAACAACTTCAAATCTCACTGTAAATAATATCAAGTTTATGATGATTAGAATGGTTATGTCACAACTAGGTCACGGATTTTATACAGCCAAATTGACTTTTAAGTTAGACTTTATTAATTTTAGTTTGGAAAAACTGCGTTCTCCAATTGTAACTGTTACTGGTATTGTTGACAGAATCGTTTCCAGATATCAGCGTTTATAGCTTTTTATTTGAAATATGCAAAAAATATTTAGAAATTAATATACTTAAAATATATTTAAGTAAGATATCTTGCAATTATTTGGTATAAAGGAAATTTGTGGGTTAATCCACTTTTGGTCTCATTGCCTGAGTTAATCAAGATAAATGAAGAACATTTTTAATAACAATCTTTTTATTTCTTTAGCATGCTTACTTTAAAAAGAGAAAACAAAAAAAGAGTAGGTATTAGTTATAGTGATAATAAACACTTTAAAATATCCTCATTTTTCTAACTTTAATTATCACTTCAAAGTCATTTTGGATACGTTGAAGGGTTAATAAAAGCATTCTTTTCTTCAATATTAATGCGTATTTTATTTTTAAGCCACAGGTTTAATTTTAAAATTAAAAAAAAAATTTAATTCTCCTAAATAATTCATTTAGATCTTTTTTTGTCACTAAATGGTTTATTAATAATAATTTTTGTTGTGCAATTTTTTTAGTTCCTGAAACCCGTGTACCAAAGCTTTATAGAGAAAGGTATGCAGGAAATGGCTGTACGAGCAGCTGAGGCGGCCATCAATAATACGGGGAACGCGACGACCACGTTAAACGGAAAGGTGCATCAATCGTGATGGTCCCCGCTAAGCCACTTACTCAACAAGGGCATCCTACACTCACGCCAAATAAAAATTCAAAACAAAACCCTCGACTACGTCACCCGTCTTTTACGTAAGCCAAAAAAATAATAAATTTTAAAATCAAAAACAATTTTTTGAACTAAAAACTAATCCACAATAGATTGTATGTGTAAAGTAAAATGTTAATTTTTATGAAAATACTTTATGCGTGGCATTTTGTTGTTTCAAATTTTTTTAACAGCTGTCATAAGATTTTTGTAATTGTTCTAGGCGATTAAAATTTAGGTTAAATTAATATCGTTTATACCTAAGTGTGAAGTATGGCAGCTGTTGAAATATATATTTTAGAACATTCAAGGAAACGAAGTTTAAAATTTTAATAATTAATAAATTAACTTTCCAAAATCGATTTTTAAATATTTTATGTGGTAAACGCTGATGGTTCTATATACTCTTCTTTTCAATATTTAAGTTAATTCTTGTGTCGGGATGAAAATGTGCCAGATAGAGATTTTAAATAAATACGGTGGAAGTAGATTTTTTTCGACATATTTTCACTAATTTTTCTCTGCACAAATTATCGATTAAACAAACAAAATTTGTATTTTTATTTTGGTGTTTTTTTGTTATGTTATTTTTAATTGAGTGTAGTAGTGGTGGGATTAAAATCTAACTTGTGATAATTTATTTTTTATTTTCAAATTTTTTCGTCTTTGGGTTGGTATTATTATTTCTCTCTATTACATTTCGATTTTTTCAAATTGATGCAGATATGTTTACTTAAAATGTTGATTACAAGCCAAGAAACGATAACTTAAATATATAGTTTAAAGAATAATTAGGTAAATTTTTCTTTTTTTTTTGTATTTTTACTTTTTTATGTTTTTTATTTTCTACCACAGTTGTGTATAGTTTTGCATTGGTTAACGTTTTATTTGTTTTGTTAGATTTCTAGATTGTAAAATAGAACAGATAAAAAGTTTGTATCAAAATTTACTAAATTAAAGAAGGGGACATCATCAATTATTTTTTTGATATTCATTTTAAAAGTTTATTATTATTTGTTAGTGTATTCATGTTTTAAATTTAAATTATAGATTGTTGTTAAATTAAATTAATTAAAAAGGGTGGATGATAAAAAATTAATATGAATGATAATCCCTGAGCATATTTAATAATCACCAAAGTGCCTAAAATATGTTTGAAATTTGTTTTGCTGTATAATCGATAATAATAATAATGAATTAACGGTTCAATGATTTTTCTTTCTTCGCCAATATTAATATCTTTAAAAAAATCTAATCCTTATTATATTTTATGTAAATAGTTTTTATTGAGTCCCTTAATTAAAAATTCTTAAAAATAATAACAAGTAAAAAGTTGTATGTTGATAACTATTGTTAAAAGTCGAAAATTAAATAAAAAAAGTTGTACGAATTTGTAAAAATAAAATGAAAACAGTGTACATAATCTGTAGGAAAAATGCACATACTAACAAGAAAATGATAAAAATATCTGTAAATACAGTAGTGGTTTTTTGCTTAATATATGTCCGTATGTTTATAAAAAAATTAACAAAAAACAAACGATATCAGAAAAGGAAGTAAAAATAAACAAGATACAAAGGTGAAAAAGAAAATTCAAAAATTAAAATCATTTTCGGAGTGCATGTGTGTTATTTATTATTACTTGTACAAAAAAAAATAATGACGTTATTGTAAAATTAACGAGGAAAAATGATTAGGGCTCAAAAATAAAAACGCAATCCGTACATTTAAAAAAAAAATTTAATAATCTGTTAGTTTAAAACGTTATTTCGATTTAAAATTATTATCATCAATGTATTTTTTGTTGTACTTTATTTTTTTTTCTTTGGGATTTTGAATAAATTAATATTTTTATATTGTATATTTATTGCTTTCACTTCATAAATATAAACATTCCAGTAATTAATAATTACATTCTTTTTATTAATGTTTTTCTTCAAACTAATACAGTTAGCCATCATTTTTTAGGTTCAAATAGAAAACAACATCATTATTTATAATCTGTAACACATTTCAGGAATTTTGGTCCAATAGTTTTTGAGAAAACAGATTTTTTACTATTTCCAATGACTTGCCTGTTAGACAAACCAGGATCATATGAAGTGTGTAAATTAAGAAATGAGACTGGCAATATTCAGAGGAGCGACAGGTGAACATGTGATACACTTTCAGTACGAGTTTGAACTCGCTAAAGTCATTTGCTTGTCTGTAGCGATTTTTTTTCGTGAAACAGTTTGTTCTAGTGCGTTTTAAAAATGAGTTCTAAAAACTGTGAGCAAAACTTCAGCAGGTCTACGAAGACTGTTTTGCCAAAAGCCCAGGTTTTTCGGTAGCTTAAGGCATTTCCAGAAGAAAGATAGTCGATTGAAGATGAACCACGAAGCGGAAGGCCTTTATCTTCAAGAACCGATGATAATGTGGAACGATACCCATTTTCTGGAACGTGTCATTACTGGAGACGAGTCTTGGGTGTTTAAGCATGAAGTGGCACACTTCAATCTCTCCAAGGCCAAAAATAGCAAGAATGAGCAAGTCGAAGATCAAATGCATGTTGATTTGTTTTTTCGATGTCCATGGAATCATCCCCAAACAGTATGTGCCTCAAGGTCAAACGGTCAAAATCAATACTTTTATCAAGAGGTTCTTGAAAAACTTCGAAAAAGGGTCATTTAAAGGATATTCAAATGACGATATTTAGCTGAAGGATATTTCAGTATCGCAGTCTAGCACTGTTATGAGGATTGGAAGAACCATCTCCAGCGCTGTGTAGCTTCAGAAGGAAGTTATTTAGGGAGACAATATTGAATTGTAATTCCTTGTTACGATGATTGACATTTGTAAACAAAACTGACTCTACTTAACATTTCTTCTCGGTATAATTGATAATATAAAAGAAAACTGACCTAGCTCAACATTCCTTCACGGTATAATTGAGGTTTCTTCACGCTTTAATTGGGGGTTCAAAAGAAAACTGACCCAGCTCAACATTCCTTCACGGTATAATTGACGTTTCTTCACGCTTTAATTGGGGTTTCAAAAGAAAACTGACCTACCCTAACATTCCTTCACGGTATAATTGACATTACAAAATAAAACTGACCTCGCTCAACATTCCTTCACGGTATAATTGGCATTACAATAGAAAACTAGCCTTACCCAACATTCTTTCTTAGGTTGGTTGAAATTTATAAATAAAATTAACCTTGCATAATATTCCTTAGCTGGAAACTAAACTAATCTTACCCAATATGTATTTCTACTGGCTGATAAAATGAATTTTTCATCCCCACCTGTTCTTTCCGTACTTTTATGGATATTGCATTTTCGCCAATAACAATATTAAATGAATTCATTATTTCTAAAACAATAGTGTGTCCTTCATTAAACAGGCTTTTCGCAATAAAAGCAAAAATTTCGACTATTTTCAAGCCAGAATGTAAAAAGAAAAAATGAAAAGAATTATTCGAACAGCAGAGATGAGGGACTTTATGATCCATAACAGACCAGGCTACACCCTGAGGGACCATAAGAGAAGCGAAGACATCAGAGAACTCTGCGGTGTCCAAGATATAGTCCGATGGTCCCGAACCAGACGTCACAGCAGATTGCCGAAAATTGCAAAGAACGGTATGCTAAGATATTTGATATTGGGACTTCCTCATTCATTATCCCAGCCACGTCTCTAGATTATAGAGCACAAGGCAAAGGCCTTAAAAAGTGGAGGAAGAAGAAGAATGTAAGTGCTTTGGGGTCAATCGCCAAACCGTCGAGTTAAAATTTTCTGATTATCAGATTATCTTGAGATAGATCTTTATAAATTACCATTACAAGTTTTAGTACATCTGGATGAAGTAGTACATGATGCTTCACTAAATGAACCGATCCAGTTGCTTTAGCTTTTTGCCACTCACACCAACTCTGAGCTCCTAGCAGTCAGTAATGAAGTGGCCGTTATCACCTTATTCATATTCTTTGTATTGTCTATATTTCTGCAAATAGCCAGACCAAGATAATTTTTCGTCATCTCTGTCTTCTTATGTTTCAGAGTCAAGAGCCTATTCTATTTTTAACAATTTTTGCTCTTAAGAATCCCTACGAAATAACATACACATTGTAAAAGGAAAGCTAAATGTATGAAGAGTAAAAGTATTCATGCTTTGTGGTTCTTCTTCCATGGTATAATTACCAAAAAAAAAGTTTAAGTTTAAAAATACACGACTGAAAGGGTTAAATTGGAGACAGCCTTTAGGGGGGAAACTGCAATGGGGCGGGCTCCCAATACAAAATTATTTGTCCTTCACTGTTGTCAATAAGTTAAACTTAATGTTACACTTTAAAACTGAAATTAACTTACCTCATGTTTGATTTAACGAATAAAATTAAAAAATTAATTTAAAGGTATAAAATAACATAAAAGTTAGTTGTTATAGATTTATTAAAAACACAATAATTTATTTTCCAATTACTTATATTTCTCAACTGTTCAGTTTTCATTGAATAAATAATAAAAACATTAAGGTACAACAACCTATACATCTTAAATATATTTCCTTTTTCACAGTCTCTTCGGGCATTTTTTTATTTATTTTTTTAGAATCAACTATTAAATTATTTAAACTATCGGCACAGACACTTCCGTTAAGAGTAGTCGGGAATGGATTGTTACTTTAAATTTTTTTGCTGTATACAATTCCGTTTTGTACTATGTCTACGCGGTGTTGAAAAAATAGTCGCGCATTTGTGATTATCGTTTTGTATTGGGGATCGTATTAGATTTGAAAGGCTGGATTTTTGTAATAATGGGTGGAGTTGATAGATATCAAGGTTTTTTTTTGGATTAACAGAAACAACGTCACCGATGAATATCACAAGATACCTTCAACACAATTTTTCTTACAAATCACTCGTTCTATTATACATATAGGCGATTAGAGAGTTCGATTAAAGGCACGTTCCTGGATTTTGGGTACAGTACTGAGGCCACATAGCCTCGACGGATATCCCTCGGGAAATCAGTCTTTCACGGTGAGTTGACAATCTTGTGTAAACACTTTCAGATATCCCATAAGAATCAACCTCGAGTTTTGGATCCGTCCATATTCTCTCTGCGAATGCGGCAGCTCTCGGCCACAATCGCGTGTCTAGCGAGACTTCATCCACTTGTTCACTCCATAAACAAACTTCAGCACCTAATGTTTGAGTTTTATATGATGTGTCGTAACCCCAGGGTTGGTGGGAATAAACTGTTTGCCATGGTCTGTATGGATCACAAGCTGCATCACCCCGTTCCCTCCATTTACCAAATCCGCAATCGAGATACCAAGCGTTTACATGAGATAGTATTAATTTGTATCCATCTGTTAATAACTCTTTATTTTCATACCATTCGCTAGCCCCCCAAGATTGTACTACAATATCCCGTTTATCTAAATATTTCGAGCTATATGGTCGTCTACTTAAATTACTCGACCAAGTTATCGTGTATGGAATTTTTTTGCCACCATTCGCTTTTTGTAATCTTGATAGTATCTTTAAAGTAAATTCTCCCCATAAATTATGTAAATCTGTGTAATTAGCGGCGCTCATGTTCCTATTCATATGTTGTTCCCAACAATCCAAATTCACCTCATCCCCGCCGATGTGGAAGATTTCATCTTCCTGAGTCATTTCTAAGATGTCGGTGTATATTTTTTCAAGAATGTCGTAAACGTACGGATTCTCAGGATTTAATTGCCCGCATGGTGGTTCTCCACAATATAAATACCAAGGTTGGGCGTTTACACATACCGCTAAATCACCTAATCCTTTTATTGGACCCCATGTCCACCCATTTCCCGCGTGAGCAGGTGTATCAACTTCAATAACAACCCGAACTCCTCTTAATCTCGCGTATTCCACGAGTTCTTTTACATCTTGAACTGAATAATAAGAATCGTCATTATAAGCTCCGTATTCATGTATTTCTGGTACGCTCGGAATCTCTAACGGAAAACTTTGAGAATCCGATATGTGCCAATGGAATACATTTAATTTATTTGCTGACATTGCGGATATTGATCTTTTTAAACTAGTTAGCGACATAAAATTTCTTGCGGTGTCTATCATAACGCCTCTGTAAGAAAATTTCGGCACGTCTTGTATATAAACGTTCGATATTATCCTTAAATTTCCATCGTCCCACCAAATTAATTGAGATAAAGTTTCCAATCCGTGTCTAGCCCCAAAAAAAGTGTTCGCGTGTACGGCGCAAATTACATCATTCCCTTGATGATTTACGGTTAAATTGTAACTTTCATCCGTGGAAAGTTTTAATCTAACAATTTCTGAATGATTGACAATTACTTTAACCCGAAATCTATTAACATTAGCGGCGGCGTTCTCGGAGTACGGCTGTCGAAGGATGGTGACCAAGTTTTCATTGAATATCCCGTACGATTGTTCCAATAGACTTAAGGCTGGATCTTTGGCGTGCGATTCAAATTCGACTTGTTGGAACGAAAAGGTAACCGTCTCGGAGCTCGTCTTGATTGGTCCCGATGGTAAAGGCCACAGTTGTACTTCCGAGCAAAGCATATTGCACGTTGCGAGCGATTGTGATTTAGCAGAAGACCACTCGGACATTAGTATTTTTTCGCAACGGTGATTTATGCATTTCCATGTCCACCGTACATCCGTTTTTCTGAAAATAAATACAATAACAATTTTAAAAAATTTTATAATATACTATATTTATGTAATTATGTGTTACTATCTATATATTGAAACAAAGAGCATATTACTAAAGTTCATATTATAAAGATAGTAATTGTATATAAAGAATTATCGGCGATATTATATTCGGCAATATATTTTATATATATTATGATGGTCATATCGCGCGAATCTAGAATGAACAGTGGACAAAACTGTTCTAAAAGAAAACGGACTAAACTTCAAAAAAAGATCGTTACCAACACGAACCGTCAAAATAACTGTGACACTCTTAGTTATTTTTTTTTTAACCAACCTAACGTCATTTTGACATAAAGATTTTTTTGAACGGATTATAATTGACGTTTAAAAACGTCAAAAAATTTTCTAACTACTTTTCTGTAAAATGATTAAGCCCAAAAACAAAATAATAATTCTAGCAATACAAAAAGCATTACTTATCAGTTAATTTTGCTGTATTATAATTATCAGTCTTGTAATTAAAGTCGTTGATTTTTTTGAATTGTTGTTCTCTGGGAAATAATAGATTTCTTAATTTCCTATTCAATAAAAATTCGTTGAATACAGTTTGATATTATATTTGGAATTAATTAATTTACTTTATTTCTTCGGCTAGTCTTGGTTGTGAAACTTTTCTTGTAACAAATTTCTCCAAATCAGAACGAAAAGTTCCCAACCTATTATAAAATGAAAATAATATAATTGTGCAATTCTTGCAACCAATTAATAAGTTTATTCATTGTATTTAGGGAAACAATCCTTAATTAATTTTCAAAGATTAAAACTTACTTATCTGTTTTTGGAAGTGTAGCAGCTTGTTGTTCGTTAAACGATGGAATGTTGAGAGTAGTTGGTTGTTGGAACAAAAAATATACCATTAGCCCGCCACAGAAAAGCAGCAGCACAAAAAGGGTCCGTCGTATATCGGCTGCCTTCATTACTCTTACCCTCTGCAAAAAAATAAAATCGTTATCGTTTTAAACTGAAAAATATTTTAGTTTATTAGATGATATCATTTCTACGGCTCAATTGTGATGTATCTAATTGAAGAATGTTTTTCGCTAATAAAACTATGAAACGGGTAATTGTGCCGGAAAAGTCTTTATTCGGGAAGCGCAGATGACGCCGTATTAATTATAAAAGGAGCCATTTTATAATATCGCATATAAATAGGATAACCTTGCTTTAAAATCTGTACAAGATATTTTTGAACACAATTTGCGTAATAGATTCAAAAATTATTAAGTTGAATTTAATAATTATTGAGTATTTTGAATTATTTTAATAATCACCTTGGAAGTTATAAACAATTCGCTCGTTTGATAGACTTTTGTGGTAAGTAGTTAATCATATGTGATAAAGACTCGGAGAAAGAGTAGTTTTATAGAAATGAAAACTAAGGAGTTGAGTAATAATAATTATATTTGCCCACGTACTTGTTCGTTTATATTATTAGCCATTAACTCATAAATGCAACATTTATGAGGCACCCATTAAAATTATCATTAAGACTCCTTTAAATTATATAGCACTTTTGAAAACAATAATGATGAAAACATATTTTTTTTTAATTCTATATCAACATAAACATGAATGTTACCTTTGAAAATCTAACAATATCATTTCCTCTATTTCTCAGCAGCCTTCTCAGCCAATAATATCCAATTAACAAACACAGTTTTAACCGATTAAAGCCCGCCTTCTCGATCTAAAAATATTTCGCAAAAGCGAAAAATAATGTATAGATTTAAAAATCGCGGAAGATGTCCGATCGTTCAAAGTGACGAGCTATTACTAAACGAAAACTACCGTGGTTAAAATCAAAATGCAGCTAGGATCTATTCTCAGAGTTCGAGGCTTCTGTTATTATTGTTGCTTCTCACTTGGCTACGACAACGACCCATTCGATTCTGTATACTGTACTTTACATACGTATACAGGATGTTAAGTTCCGCATTCACCATTCAGATCTATAAACAGAGATACGTGGAGATAAACAGTAAGGAATACCAGGAAGGTTAAATTGGTGAATACTACTTATTTAAATTCGTTATCGTTATTTTTATACTAATTCTAAAACTGTATAAAGATAAATAAACTTTAATTGCCACCAATTACTTTTATCGTCATCGTTGTTTTGGGAAATATCGTAAATATCATTACGTTAAAGGAATTTGAGAAATTAGCGAATGGTTTAAATTCTTCGAAAAATAGCGAACCTCGAAATATGCAGTGACGAATGTATTACAAATTACATGATGAAACAACTAAAAATGTACATACACAAATATTGAAAAAATTTTGCTAAAATGGTGTTAATTGAAGATTCCTTGTGTGCCAAATTCAGTGCTTTAGCTGTTGATTAGACTTTACTTCTCTATAAAGACAGATTGTTAACTTTCGCTAACATGAAACTTTTTGAAGTGTGGGAATTTTTAGACGCTTGATAATAGTTTTTTTGTAATTCGCGACGGTAATGAAAGCTGTAACAGTACTCAAACGGGTGCTGTAATGAGATTCCTTACAGTATTCGATGCTGTAATGAGATTTTAGTAACATTTTATGGGACTAGTTCAAGTTGGTGACATTAGGTCATTAATTTTTCTAGTTGTCAATGTGACAATTTTTGTCTATGGATGTTTAAACACGTTCTTAGCATCGAATACAAGGTCCACATGGGAAATGAAACATTTTTTTCAGGTAAATACATTTTGTGTTTTGACAGTTTCTAATTGTCAATTCAAATTTCTATTTTCAAGTGTTACGGTGTTACCAACTGCTACATACCTATTTAGCTACATTGTCAAAATTTATTTTATTTTTGTTAAAAAAAAAGGATAAAAAAGCGAATTACAAAAAAAAGGATAAAAAACACGTTTCATAAGACTTAAAGCACTCATTCATTAGGCCTGTTTTGGTTCTGGACTTCTGTAGTTCCCAACAGTTCTAAACCTTTCTGCGCATACGTATAACATGTAATATGTATATTGGGTTGGATATGGTTACTATTTCGGATTAGTTTGAGAAATAGAGGTTAGGGTGAGTACATTAGGTAGAACCGAAGATCTTCAATCTCTCATAAATTACAAAAACGTATGAAAAGGACGCAACCCGAAGCAAACCTAAGTCGAAGAATTTCCATATATATGTAAATGCATAAAAAGAGTCGAGTTTAGTTTAGTTTAGTCAGTTGAATTGTTATAAAAATTGCGGAAAATTCGAATTGGAACTTTCCTTTATAACTTTTCTTTATTCCCAATAAGATGCAAAAAAACTCGAAGATGTCAGATAATTAAATGCATTTTCGCAGTCATAACTAATAACTAGTAATCAGTTCAAATTTAGCTAAATTACAGTTTAACGAATGTTGAATTTCATTGTTAACAAATTGTAGGGCTTCAGTATGTAGTCATTTTTAGATGATTAGATTGTTAATTGACTTTTATTCAACCATTAAATTGAAGGATACAAGCAGTGTTTTAAGTACTCTCATTGACTAATGTTTGTATCTCTCTCGCCAATTTAAGTTCTTATTGTTGAGGTAATGTTAAAGTTATTTTTACGTTTAAATTCTATGTTTATTTATATGTATGTAAATTTATTAGTAAATAAATAGATTACATTCAAATAAACATAAAATTTAAATACGCTTGTCTATAATAGATGGCATTCCACTTTCTATGATATTTGTTCAAATAACACTGCAAATGGATTAAAAGGATTTACTTTTATCATAAACATCAAACAAGATTAAAAATATTACTTGAAATAATAAATATTTACTTATAAGTAAATCAATTAAGTTTCTTTATTATCGCATACTTTCTGAGAAGGCAACGGTGAGGATGAAATTTAAAACAGCCTGTATCGTGTACAGTTCTCTTCTCTTCAAAGACCCGCATCCGATCCCAGGGTTAAAGAACCTCTTCGTCTACCTGACATTGTCTGTGAGATTATTATAAAAACTTTCATCTTTTACAGTTTTTTTCCATAGATGAATTTCTTTAAAATTTTTAGCACCACTCTTTATTTAACTCAATAGATTTTTTCAACAGATAATAAACACACGAATATTGAAGAATGTTATCTAACCAGAAGCCTTCCGTTTTGTGGTTTAATCTCAATACGCGTTTGTTACGGGGAAAAGATGTCGTTAAGATAATTACAAAAACTTTTTTATCATATTTTTTTTTTTCAATTTAATTGATATTTTATCTGTGTCATAAACCTTACCTTAAATAAAAGCCCGATTTAAAAATATACATATTCATATTGTAACAAAATAACACGTCCACTAAAATGCAAATACACACATACACACGCGATTTACAACATATCGAAATCTTTCAAAACTTCATACAATTCAACGTTTATTAATGTTGATGACGATCAACTAGTGTATAAAATACAATTTCATTTGTAACCTTGGTGAGGTGAAAACTTAACGTTCTTCCTGCTGCTGGTGTTAACAGCACGAAGCGCGCAGAGCATACCAACACGAAAACGAACGAACTGAACCTAAAAGTAGCAACTGCGGCTGCTATTGCCGTAGGAGGAAAAGTGGTGGAGGAAAACAGGAAGAATATATTGAGTAAAAAGAAATCAAAACATTTAATTCTATTTAAATGTTATAAAATATCCCGTTCTTTAAATTTATATTTCCGACGAGATAATTTTAATTTTTTTAAAAAGTATTTTAGCAAAAAGTTTTTTATTTTATTTTTAGAGAGAAAAGGTCAACAGATGAGTATAACAGTGGCGACAGCAACAGCTCAACATCCAAACATTTATAATCTATTTAAGTGAGGTTAATTGACTCGAACGAGAAGGTCAAATCGCGTTTATAGTAGTTATATGTTGAAGGTATTAATTAGAGAATGTGAAATTAAAAAACTAACATCAATAATTATCCATTTATCTCAACATTAAAAAGATAAATATAAACGAAAAGAATTTAAACATATCTAAAGTATTGCAGCGAACATTCTTTACAATCGTTTTTAAAACAAAGTATTTTTCTAAAGTTACCTAACAAGTCGTGATTTATTTTTTTTATGTTGTATGGTATCAATTTTTGAATATACAGAGTGATTTAGTTAAGAAATAAAAATATCTATTGTTATAATACAAAGTAGGTTTAAAGCTATACACATAGCTTCATCATGATATTTTTTGAAATTAATACGACATCGTTTAGGCCAAAACTTGGCTTTTATTTACTTATACTTTGGAATTTAAACAATGAACCTGGAGCAAACCTTAGCTACATGTTTTTAATCGGCCGTGCCCAGTAAAGACACCCATTAGAACTTTAATGCTGCTACGAGCAAGTCCTAAAATATTTCCAGTGAGGGTTTGACAGTGACCATGTTGATAAACAACTTAGCGTGTCTCATTCCTGCAGAACTGATCCACAGTAGGCGAAGTCTGTTTTTAGTCCACAGTCCAATCCTATGGTTGGCCATCGCAAATTATATACCAACTGATGACTCTGCGATTTAGGCAGTACAATCTGGCATCGAGCATTAATCACTCGTAGTGATCCTGTGAAATCGGACGGCATTGATAGCACAATATCAATGTTTATAGTGTCTTCCACAACCCATTGGTAGCACATGTCGGAGCAGTTTTGGGCATATTGCTTAAACCTGTACATGGTAATTCTGGCCACTTTCTTTATATGCAAATGCAAAGGAGATAGGCCAAGCAGAACATCCAAAAGTTGCAGACCCTAACTGATATACTCAATAGTCAATCAATTTGGTTAACTGACAATAGTACGCAGTCAACAATTGTTAACGGCGGGAATTTTTTAATGGCGCTTTTTAGCATTCTTTCAGTTACTCTTTTTTGTCTTGAATGGCATTCGTCTCTGTTGGTTTTTTGAAGAGAACAAAATTCACACGATGCATTCTTTTCTTTTGTGCAATCAATACACATTACTACTTCTGGGGACTCGTTTATTTTATCTTGCAGACCAGAAAAAGGCATTACTTCAAAGTTTGTACTTTCGATTACTTCTATTGCAGTATTTTCAGGTATCTCCAAAACAACTAATATTTTCTATTACTGTTCATTTTGTTCTTCTGCTACATCGTCATCGAACTCAGCAGCTTTCCTCCGCTCTTGACAGTATTTCGTTAATATTCTCTTTTGTTTGTAAATTTTTAATTATGTCACTTGATAAAGTTGTTGACTATAAACCAATCTTTGGATTTGTTCCATATAATGCCCTGTATGGACTACGACCAATAATTCTATAATGGAAGCAGTTTTTTTGAAACTGAACGAAGTAGCAGCCAATTGACCAACTGGTGGAATTGTTATCAAACATCCAAGCCCTCAAGATATTCTCCACATCCTGATTACATCGTTCTATGACTGTGGTTGTCGTCGTCGTCGTCCATGAATAATTTTCAATTATTAAAAAAGTCAGTTTCCAGTAAGATAACCTATTGCCACTGCAAAATTGTAATAAGAACCACAACTAAGTTTTTGGTTTAAATGAAAGAAGAAATTTATTTATATCATCAGCATATGCTGCAGTGGATGGAACTATCCCTATAGAGGACTAATAATAAAACTATTTTCAAAAGCAATTGGAAAAGATAACTACTACATTCAGACAAAACTTTCACTTCGCACGAAGCATGATTCAAAATGTTAATGATTAATTAAGAACATTAAAAAATTCATCTAAAAACTCCACATAAAACACTTTTTTTCATATTATTAAACAGAACTATAATAATAGTGTCCTCTAAAGCTGTGAAATGTTTATAAGAGATTTAATAATCTTTCTGATTCAGCCTGTACAAACGGAAAGTTACAACATTATATATATTAATGCATTTATAGTGAGAATACGTTTTTAGAAATAAGAATAAATCATTCTTACCTAAAACATTAGACTAATTTGATTAATATCTTGGAATAAACCAAATGGATTTTTGATTACAATTATTTGTTGTCACTGAATCGATTTTTTAGTTACTAACAAATATACCAATCTCAACGTTATTTTCGGTTATCTTACTCTGTCAATATATACTCGCAGTACAATGATAAGATAAGTAAAAACGACGACATATTGCCCTTGTAAATTTTAAAACATTTATCTTATGTCGTCTTACTTGTACTAGTTGTACTACAAAAGCAAATTTATGTCACTATTTCGAAACATCCTATTAAAAAAAAGTTGATTAATTATAATCTAACATTTCAACTGGTGATGGGGTTCTAATTTTTACAATTTAGAATCCTTTGTTTTTATTCATAACTACTCAAGTATACTCCATCATCTGGTTGTCGTAAACTAAAGCGTATATTAACTTTACAATCAATTCCATGGAAACAAATAACATTCTTGAACTTTATGGTATTTTAGTAATTTGTGTTAACTCAATACTTTTAAAACAAACAATTTTAATGAGTAAAAATTTGAAATTTTTTAAATTGATTTCGTAATACCATTTCTTAATCATTTATAAATGTTAAAGATTTGCGAAATAAATAGAAATCGTTTTATTTTGTTAAGATGAAATGATAATTGTTGAAATAAATTTAAATAAGTTGCTGATTTGACTTAAACTTTCTGATAAAATTGTGTATACAAAAAATAAAGTTATCTTCAAATTTTAATAACAATTTTTACTTGTATATAAAGATTACTTAATGAAATTTGTATTAATAACTATATATTTTTTTAAATTAAATTAAAGTAAATAAATTTTGTGAAAAATTTCATCTAAATTGATTGCTGATTTGACCTTAATTAAAAAAAAATTATTAGGAATTTGTCGTATTTTTAGCTTTTATTCAAAAATTTATAGAGATTATTAATAAATAATCAATTAAATAATTATAAATAAAAATAAATATAATCCATGACTTGTTACAATGACGTTAGGTTGGTTAAACATAAAATCACTAGGAGTATCACAGTTATTTTGACTGTTCGTATTGGTAACAATTTTTTTTAAAGTTTAATTGTCATTATTGTCATCAACAATCATGGAATAATGGTTATTCATGTGTTAAGGGCATAATGAAGTCGTTTGTGGCCCGCAACATAACACGCTAAGAGCCAGAAACGCTAATTATGCCCGTGGTACATACAAAATTTTATGGAATAGGTGGAATAAGCCAATTATTGTTATTACCGCAATAACGGCATAAATAAGGGTAGTCATTGTTAATTTAGTGCGAGTTTAGTTTTTGTAGTGAAATATTTAATGGAAAAACTCTAGAAAAATAGAAATAGCAGAGGTATTTTCTGGAGGAGAAGGAGAAGTGGTCGTTTTAGAAGAAATAGTTCAAGCAGCCAAAATAGCTAAGTTTTATGGACTGGTCTCAAACTCAGAAAATTACTGGCAAGTGTTCCGAAGACGTTCTCTTTGTCTATTTCTAGGAAAAATCAGAAAAATATTCAGCAGCTTTTCTGTGGACATTTTACACAATGGTGAAAAGTATCCTTGTAATAAAACCTAAGAAATCGAAAGTTTTGTCAAGACAACAAATCGAAGAATTCGTTCAGAAGAAGTTCTAAATGAAATGTATTTAATAGTTAATAAGTAAGCAAAAATCACCCGACCGGACATAAAAGTCCGTTATAAAAAATCTATTTCGTCCGTGATCCTAACAATGCACATAGAAAATCTTGTAACACCAGAAAGTTAGGTTAAATAACAAGACTAATTCTTAAGAGGGGTCATTTGATTAAAAAACATTCCTAATTTTCGTATAAATTGTCTATGTTATATTACTTTTACAGTGATATACTTTGTGTGATTTAATGAACTTAGCTCTTAATTTTTGGAAGAAATATCACCGGTTGTTGTAAAATCTCAAAAATACGATTTAATGCAAGTGGATACCGTTAGATGGGGTAAGCAACTGTTTCAAAAAAAATATTCTTCAAAGATTTAAAATTAACTAAAGTGGTCTACAGCGGTATAAGTGGTTTAAGCTTTCGCACAACTTTTATAGGCACTGGTGGAATAACAACAACTGCAAAACCTTCATCCATTGATGATATATAACAAAAATAACTAAGTATTTACTAATTAACTAAGTAATTTAAGAAAAATATGTTTATTTGAGAAACTTCCTACACGAATTGAGTAGGTCACGGTCAACTAAACGAGTAGGGCACCTATAATATAATCATTGATTCGGCGCTTGCGTCTTCTCGCGGAACTTAACCTCATCGAAAACCAATTACTTTAATATTAGCTTTCGCTTATTAAAGAAAAATAAATAAATAAGAAAATAAAAAAAAGGCAATTTGCGTTTTACTTACCCACATATCTCGTGTTTTCGGCTACATTAGTCTCGGGGAAAAGGATAATGAGTTGCTTCGTCCGCGCCCCGCAAGGCTGTCGTCAGCACATTTTCACGACGCGCAATTCCTGAAATCTGAAAAGAATGATGTCTGCTTCTTCGGTGAAGCGATCGGATGGTAGTCGTTTAAACGCGCATGAAACCGCCTGAAAGAGCCGCTGAAGCGGCATAGCTCCTTCCTGGTTACGTGCCGTCGATACACTGACGCCCGACAAAACCTTCCTGTTCATTGGTGAACGACTACGTTAAGTTAAATCGTAGAGGTTACTTGGTACTGTAACTAGTAGAAAGTTTACAACGTTTCTGTGCTCCTTTTCTTTTGTCGGACAAGAAAGTGTTTATTGAAATAAATGGTAACTTTCAGATAACAACTATATTTAATAATTATTTTAGCGAAATTTAGCGGTTCAGGACCCCAACATTGAAAGTCTTCAGATCGATAAAAATAAATATACAGCGTGAATATAAATAACACCAACAAACTTAAGATATTATTTTTTTTTAATAATCATTTTTAGTTTTATTTTCTGTTTTTTAACACAGTATCTTTGCGTGGGCGGAGAAGCAAAAGATCTGGTGCTAAATGATAACACCTTAATTAAAGGATACGTGTCTCCGTACTTTATTGTGAAGCAGAAATACGAAGCCGGCTACAACGGAGCAAAAACATAACAAAAGCCATAAACTTCCTTCTTTGGTCAAAAAAGATCTCAAAATAAAACTATATTCCACTATCTTCATTCCCTTGGTGCTATACCTGGCAATTAAATAAACAAATAGAGAATGCGCTGCTTGCAGTTGAAATGGATTTCTGGAGAAGAGCTAAACTAGATCGAGTACGAAATGTCGACATACGTGAGATAATGAGGGCGGAAGCCCGGTACCACCACGTTCAAAGAATGGGTCCAGGAAGAATCGCGAAGAAAATCAAGCAATGGAGTCCAACCGAAAAAAGAAGTAGGGGATGCCCAAAACGACATGGGCATCGGGGATAAAGAAGGCGATGTCCGAAAGATACCTGGCACCAGGGGACTGGAAAGACCACAAAGGCTGGAGATTTGAATTAATTAATTTTGTACTTTGATGTAAACTGCATGCTCAATTATTAGAGATTTAAATAACTTTTAAGGTTAATTAAACATTCTTACTCAAAAAAGACTAAAGACGAAAGAGTAAAATTTAATAAAAAATAAGATATTCGGTTCATTCAATTGTCAAGATAAATTCATTTGATTTTTAATGATAATAGACAAGCTGTTAGAAGTTTACTCTGAAAACTTGTACCATCATTTTGACATCATACCAAATTCCATGGCTATGATATGTTTTTGATTGATACTTCAGGAGTATTCAGGACTGACCAAGAGCAGCAATTTATGCTTCAAGACTTGTAGCCTATCTTTGAAAGCTGGAATTCAGAATCCCAGTCGAGACAATGAACACTTGAAGTAAGATATAGCCGAGCCACTTACTATAAGACAGCGAAGGACATAAAAGAAAGTTTATTAAAAAAAACCGTTAATTAAACAGAAGGAAGTCGCATGTGAAGATAAGATCAATATTACACAATGCTTCCGAGAAATAACTGAGCAAAACTGGTGCAAATGCAATTACGTTGGGCATATGGAGCTATATGGGATTGTACAAACAGAGATTAATTTATTATTATGTTAATTATTACACAGTGGAATTAAATGTAATATTAGATTATTTATTAAATTAGTGTGTTATTTATGTTGGACAGTGCTACTGCATAGTAGTTTCGCTGCATTCATATATTACGAGTTATATGAAATTCCCGGTATATAATATAGTTAATATTATATAGATCATAAAGTAATAAGTGGGTTTACATACAACATCTCTGAAATAGTAATTTTGGTTAAATAATTTAAGGTAATTTTTAGTTTTGATATTCAAAGGTTAACAAACTGCAAGGACCAAACGTAGAACATTGTTATACATTTAATACATTTTTAATCAAATCTCAATGCTTTTACATCCTTTATTTGTATTATGATCTATTTACGATCAGGATTATTCCAATTCCCTGCAGGACACGGTGGTGGAACAGGTTTTCGCGACGGACAGTGATCGACCTCCACCTGTGCCCCACAGCACGGTTTTGTTGCGGTGACCTTAACTTCTTTGGGAACATATGACGGGATATATTTCCGTTCCAACTGGTACGCACAAGGATTGCATTTCTTTTCCCGTACTGTCTTTGCTGTTTGAGGTATTGGAATTTTTTTCGGTTCGCACGGCGGACACGGCTTCGTACTTGGTTTCACCCTTTTTGTATATGCACGTTTAATCAAATGTTGCACGCCTCCCGATCGCCATCGTAGCAATATCCCGTACAAGTTTTGCATTTCGCCTCTTCTTCGCGAACGGTCCAGATTTTTTCTTTTCTTTTTTATTTATGAATTTAAAATCCAATTTTGAAGGGTTAATTCCGAATGAAGAGGCGACACTTCTAGAAGAAGTGCGTTGACAACTCGATTATCATACAAGTGTAATTTTAATTGATTTGATTAATTGACAATGACGTTTTTTTTGTTTGTTTTGTAAAACTATACAACGCAATTTTGTACGAATCATTTATTTAAAAATGATTTTAATGTCAATATATAATATAAAGATAATTTTGGTAATATAAAGGTATATTTTGATGCGAAAGATTCAACTGAAGCACAAAACGAGATAACTATATAAACAAAGATTAAGTATAAAAATAAAATGGTATCTAATCTCCACTATGTCGGATCCTACAGAAGCTAAAACTAATACTGTATAAAACTACTAAGTTCTTTTAAATATAAATGTCTCAATCTCTCAATTACCAACAAATTTGCAATAATAATGTTTTAAAATTCAACAAATCAAGGGTATAAATAGTTAAAAACCAATTTCGTTACTTCTTAATACTTAACAATTCATTGTTTCGACGTGTTAACACGATGATTACCTTGACCTCAATAGCATAATTATCATTTGATGACGAACTAAAAAAAACAAAATAAGTGGGAGTTCAGCTTCAACATTCTGCTTCTACATGTAAAGCTTAACGGGTGTCGGTTTATATTCTATTTTGTTTAGTGAATTTAGCTAAATATTATTTATTATAATAACTATACCAATTAAAGAGTTATGTAACGCGCGCTTAATGCGTAATTATCAATAGGTATGATAGCAACAAAATTACGTTATCTGAAATTGGGGCTTAGTAACGGTTCATCCGTATTTTATAACGGTGTTGGAACACAAACTAGAGATATGGCTGCGAATACAGGCAAGTAAATAAGATTTTTATAAATAGTATCTATTTTTATTCAACTAAATTAGTAAATATTTGAATTTAACCTAGCACTTTTTAAGTTAACAAAAAACTTAATTCAAATTCTTTAGAATCACCCTTAGTACCAGTAAAGGAAGCAAATCGATTTGTCAAAGAATGTCTTGAAGCTTGTGGTACTCCGGAAGATCACGCGAAAGCTATGGCCGATTTACTCATCGAAGCAGATTACAGAGGACATTATAGTCATGGAATGAATAGATTAGGTATAGAGAGTGTATCTGAATTGTTTGGCCAAACTTCGCTAAACAGATATAACGAATAAAATTGCAAACAAATTCTTATAAACATGTGTCTAGAAATGCTTCCTTAAAAAGTTACGCACGAACTCCAAAATTAAGTTTAATCAGTAACAATTTTTATTAAAACAACATGAACAAATTGTTTTCAAAATGTCCTCCTTCGGTAGCAATACAGGCTTGACATTATGGAACATTTTGATTGTTGAACTCTTTCAAAAATTCTTCTCCTTAGTAACAAGATTAAAGTGTGGTGAAGCACCGTTATCATTTTCCAAAGAAATTCTGTAATTTTGCCCATTTAATCTGTTTGGTAAAAACATTGGTCCTATTACATAATCGCCACTAATGCCAGCCCAAGTGTTACATGAAAAAGTTTGATGTCTTGATTATCTAATCGCGTGAGGATTTTCTGCAGTCCATTGATGAAGATTATAAAAATTCTTCTGTTCTGATGCTTCTTGGAACTTCACAATCAGAATTCTTCTTCTTCCTCAGCCAGTATTCACCCACTGCTCGTAAGTCTCTTTCAAATGTCTCCATTTAATTCTGTCTTTTGCTGTTCTTTTCGGTTCTTTCGCCGCCACACCACATCATCAATCCACGTCTTTTGCAGTCTTCCTGCACCTCTTCTAGTTTCTTGTAGTCTTCAAAAGATTAAGCCAAATAAGCCTCGAGTCATTCCATGTGTCACTTGTATTCTTCTGCGACTATTTCAAATTTTGTCTCTCACAGTGATTCCCAGTATCGCTCTTTAGGTTACACTAAATCTAATTTATTCCATACATCGGTTGGTGAAGTTTGACAAAGCAATTTAGATACACCCTGCATTTCACATTGAGACTTAATTTTGTGGTAAAATTAGAATTTTGACGAAGTAACGAAGTTTGCTAATAAAGGGAATATTATACTGTTATTAGAAATGTACGTAAACGACGTGTGTTCTGGAAGTTGCGACGCTAAAGCAATCCCGAAAATTTTGAACGAAACATCAGCCACGGCCTGGGTGGACGGTCAAAACGGATTAGGAGCTGTTGTGGGAAATTATTGCATGTCTTTGGCCATGAAAAAAGCCGAAGAAGCAGGAATTGGTTGGGTTACTTGTAAAGGATCAAATCATTATGGTATTGCTGGAATGTATGCTTTGAAAGCTATTAATAATGGTTTGCTAGGGATGAGTTTTACCAATACTTCACCTTTCATGGCACCAACAAGAAGTAAAAAGGTATGTATGTAATAAACAAATGATTATTTTAGTTCATCAATTAAAATTTTCAAATTTTAGGCTGCACTTGGTACGAATCCTCTTGCATTGGGAGCACCCGGTGCCGAAGGCGACAGTTTTCTCTTAGATATGGCAACAACTGCTGTAGCTGTGGGAAAGGTAAAATGTTTATAAAAGGCTACGCTTAATAATACATACTTAGATGCTTAAACAAACAGATAGAAATCCAAAGAAGAAAAAATCAACCAATTCCTGAAGGATGGGCACAAGACACAGAAGGACACTCAACCACCGATGCTGAATTAGCGTACAAATCAGGTTGTTTAATGCCGTTAGGAGGAAGCGAAATACATTCCGGATACAAAGGATTCGGATTAGGAATGCTTGTTGAAATTTTTTGTGGTATTTTAGCCGGTGCTAATTATGGGCCGAATATTCGAAAATGGGGCACATTCGCAAAGGAAGCCAACCTAGGTCAAACATTTGTTGCAATCAATCCAAATTGTTTTGCTCCAGGATTTGAAGATCGTTTAAGCGAATTAATGAGTGGTATCCGACAAATGGAGCCGGTAAATAACATGTTATTCTAAATGTTAAGTATTGGTTAAAACATTTTGTAGGTGGATCCATGTAAACCTGTTCTAATTCCCGGTGATCCGGAAAAATTACATATGAAAAGTGTTGATGAAGCAGGTGGATTAAAGTATTTACCAAATCAATGGAAAACGTGTGAACAATTATCGGAAAGGTTGAAGGTAAAGCGTTTGGAACCTATAAAATGAATTTTTATGTATGTACAAAATAAAAACGATTTTTTATAAAAATATTTCAATTATTATCTTATTACAATAATTAAGATTATTATTTTTTTAAGTTTATGTTTTCATCAACTAGTTAAAATTCTTGCCATAAATACTTATCGAAATTAATCAATTTCAATAACATCTTCACTTTTTTCTGAAAACAAACAATCAGATTATTCAAAACAAATTATATAATTTACCTTTTTTGTCTCCTTCGCCTAAACCCAATGAAATGGATTTCCGCGTATTATTTCTACCCATATCTGTAAGTTTTTCCCTTATATGAAAGGAAGATTTCATAGACGAATTTACAACATCTTTTACAACAATATGCGAATCAACTATATTTTTATTAATCTGTATAGGAACACTCTTTCTTCGTTTCGTAATTGAAGCGATTGAGTGAAATGTTTGTCCTGCTGGTGATTCAACGCTTACTTTCTAGATAATAAGAACAAAAAATGTTAATTTTTATACAGTGAATTTCACTTAAGATGTAATATACAAAAATATATTTCCATAGAAACTAAGGCGTACCAACTTACTTTGTCCCACATAAAATGTAACATATTAATATAATTTTACATTACAGTAAAACCTCGATATAACGGATTAATACGGGAAAGGCAGTGTCTATTATAGCTCAATAAAAATACAGTGTTAATAATAATAATCTAGTGTTGAATAATAAATAAAACTAGACTAACACTAGCACTAAAACTAACACTAGACCTAGAGCTAGAAACACTCGGGTTTAGCCGCACGTCTTTCAAGAGGGCTAAACATGAATGATTCTAGTTCTAGGTCTTGTGTTCGTTTTAGTGATAGTGCTAGTGCAAAACTTGAACTAACACTAGATCGAGAACTAGAAACATTCGGATTTAGCCGTACGTCTCTCAAAACGGCTAAACCCGAAACTTTCTAGTTCTAGGTCTAGTGTTAGTTCTAGTTTTAATTATTGTTATGCAGCGCTAGATTGTTGTATATTTTTATTGAACTAAAAGTAGAACTAACACTAGACCAAGAACTAGAATCATTCGGGTTTAGCCGTCTTGAGGGACGTGTGGTTAAACTCGAATGATTCTAGTTCTCGGTCTAGTGTTTGTTCTAGTATTGCACTCGCACTATCATTAGAACTAACACAAGACCTAGAACTAGAATCATTCAGGTTTAGCCGTCTTGAGAGACGTGCGGCTTTCGTAACTATGGTTACTGCATTCATATATTATGAGTTATATGAAATTCCCGGTATTGTTGTTGAATATTGTTAATAAAATAACGTTTACCTTATTATTATCCATTCTCGACCCTGAAGGAGTTTGCGGGAGTGAAACCGTTTCGGAGGATTTATTATTATATATTACTTTGTAATCAGTTGTAGAGATTGGGACAATCGTTAAAGCATCTTCCGTTCGATTGACAATTTCAGCACGATTCGTCACCTAAATCAACAAGAACAAATCAAAATCAATCAGCAAAGAATACAAATAAACATTAATTAATTGTTAATTCATCAAATGCGTACATTTACGTCTTCCAGTTGATTCATTACTTGGTCATTAACCATAAGAACACATTCTTCCTTGTTATCAGAACTGTTTTTAGTGTGTTCCATAAAGGAAGATATATTTGTGGTTTGTGCTGATGAAGTAACTTCATTTATAAGCGTTATTTCTGGATCAACACTAATAAATATTAAATGAATTAATTTTATTAAACAATTCAATACTATGTGATAATTACTTTAAATTAACTGCACATTGAAATTGACCTAAAATTTCATTGGGGGGTGTGATCTGTTCTGGTAGTGTGGGGTTGATGTAATTTTGTTGTAAATTTGCTGCTGCTGTATTTTGTTGAATTTGTATTAAATTTGCTACAAAATGTAAATACGTAAATGAAGTTATAAATATTATTATTGAAAGACTTGCCATTTTCTTGTTCGATTTTAAATTCTTCCCAAGCAGCTTGTTGTTCTGATTCATTCAGCTGTTCATGCGGTTGATTTGCCAATAATGAATGATAATCGTGGTATTGGAAAATCTCTTTATGCTTTTGTAGCACTTTAGATAATACAGCGTCTTGTGGTTCGTTCATGTTTGGTCGATCAGTAGGAATTTGACTAGCCCTTATAACGTAAAAACACTATACAATAATTTTATAAACTTATTTAACAACTTTTCCTACTTTACCTGTACATTATCTCGAGATCATGTCGTTTAAAATAGCGTTTAATTTGTTTGACGTCTACCACGCGAGCGGAAATCGATGCTTTTGTTACTGAACGTTCATAAACGGTTTCTTCCATTGTACACTAATTAAAATATAAATGCCAATTAACTTATAAAACATTAAAAAAAAATTTTACCTTTGAAACGAGTCTATAGATATAACATTTCCTCGTTTGTCCGAATCTAACAATTCTGTAAACACTTTGATTATCCATGGCTGGATTAAAATGGACATCCATTAAAATAAGCCTATTAGCGGCGACAAAATTTAAACCCATACCGCCAACTTTTTGTGATAACAAAAATACTCTGAAATAATAAATTAGTCTATACTCATTCTATTTTTTTATGACAATGATAAAGTTATGGGAAAATACGAGCGCTTATTTCAAAATACTCTTATAAAGAAAATTGTTATGCGAAAATGATTAGAAATTATTATCGTCATCTTTTTCATAAACGATAAAGGAGGATGGTTTGCTCACATATTCACAAACTAAAGTACGTGCTAATATACACAACATTTAAAAAAGGCGACGAACTAAGTAACATCTTTTTGGAAGCTCAATGCCAAGGCCACTGTATGGTTGATAATTTGATTAATGACTTTGGTAAGGCAAAATTTAGCCCTGGTGTTTTCACATTTAAGTTGGTGTCCGAAAGTGATATTTTAACTTAATTACATAACATACGATTAAATGCTATGGGTTGGGTTGGTATTGCTATTAAATTTATAAAAATTGCTTCTCTTGTAATCTTACCTCAAATAACAAATATTATTAATACTTGTCTATTAGAAGGTTTTTCCCTTCAATATGGAAAATATTGAATATGGAAAATATTATACCAGTACCAAAGGTACCAAGTCCAAACGAATACTCATGCCTAGGACCCATAAGCATTTTGTGATCCTTATCAAAAGTTTTGGAAAAAATAGTTAACAGATGACAACTGACAGAGTTTCTGAACGCTGGGCGCATTGTTCCAGTGAATCAGTGTGGTTTCAGGGAAGGACATAGCTGTGAAAATGCTATGAACAATATAATGGATATATTATAAAAGATTGACTCGCCTGGAGATGTTGGATTTCTCCAGAGCATTTGATACTCTAAACCAAGACTTGTTAATATCATTCTTGACCATATCGGGCTTGATTCTGTCGCATTAGCTTTTTCAAAAATTACTTTAAAGGCGTAATTTAAGGCGTTATTTAACATCTATTTAAAATTTACACGATAAATTTCAAGAGCTTTGTTGATTTCTACAGTGTACACTATTATGCTGACGATACGCAGATTTATTTATTTTTTTCTGAAGGCCACATTGATAAAAGCTTCAATAAGTTTAATCGTGACTTACATGGCATTATCGATGGGGGTCGGGAATATTGCTTAAAGATAAACGCTAATAACACCCAGATCATTCTGTTTGGGCCCCGAAGTTAAATGAAAAATTTATTGATGGGTTTTATCACCTGTCGATAGGAAATACTCCTATTCTATTGAGTAAGTCTGTCAAAAACCTCGACTGACACACAAAAAAGCTTTTATGCGACTCTCTGGTATTGTCACACTTTAATAACTGTGACAGCATATATAGGGCTTTTTTCGATTCCAGGCATCGGAAAAAAAATTAAAAATTCGTGCATCCGTTTAATTTTCGGTCTGAGGAAATATGATCATGTGTCTTTTGGTTTTAATCAGTAAATTAGCTGAACAGTTAGAACCTCGCAGATACATCCACAAGGCCTGATTATGTTATAGGGTCATGCAGCAGGGTCAACCATCACAAAGGAGCAACAACAGGAGTATATTACATAAATGAAAGAATCCTTAAAGTATCATCAGACATAGGAATAGGAAACCTCTAAGTGTGTACTCCAAACATTAGTAAAAGCAGAGAAGAAATAAGCTACATATATAAAAGTATTTTGAATTAGACGTGCGCATTACCTCCGACTTAATTTTACCAACCTAACGTTTTTATCAGTGGCGAATCTGTTGCAGGATTCATTCCTTACTTCCAAAGGTACGCTCCCATCCATACGAACATAATCGACATTTGGCACCCAAGATTTGCAACGGGTCGTTCCTTTTGTTTTCAAAAAATGTTCCACACAATTTAAATTCAATAGAGACGACGCAAATATCACACTAATACAAATTAAATAAATAAATAATATAAGTAAAGAAAAAAAACAACAAACATTTTATCTCCAATAGATTCGCACTCTTCTATTATACTCATCACAATGGCTAGTTTTGGACCATAATCCAAAAGGTCGATATCATCTGGATATGCGGAATGGTACCAATTGTTTGGGACGCGATGCACGTTATTGGTTATAATCACATCATCGTCAGTTCCTCTATTAATTTCTTTATTTCTTATCGCCTAAAACAAATAAAGTATAAAATCTAATAATTTTAATGATATAACAAAGCAGAACAACTTACTTCTCGTTCTTTTAGTAACTTTGGGTGCGACCAAATATGTCTTAACATCGTATAATCAAGTAGAAACCGGTTATTGTTGATTCCAGTTAAGCTTTTTACCAAAGATAAATATTTATTATACAATTCAACCTGAGTTGGATGCAAAGAAATTAGTAGAGTAAAATCATATTTATCTGGTATGTACTTTATTAATTCGGTTGCTTCGTATCGCTAAAAAGAATCGAATTAAATGTTCTCTATGATTATTGAATTGATTAATTTTATTACCTGAACGGTTCTTTTTAAGTATGTGTGCAAAACGTGACTACGTTTTTGCATAAGTTTAATGTCAGCTTCTGTTGAATCAAAATAACCACCGTTAATTATAGGATTACCAAATCTGTTCATAAATTCTTCTTTTGTTCCTAAGAAATTCGGTTTAACAAAGTTAACCATGTAATACACTAAAACAAAGAAATACTTTTTCTTAAAATTTTTTCTAATTTTTAAAAATTAGACTTCACTTACTCTCTTCCAAATTATTTTGGAAAGGTGTTCCAGTCAATATAATTCTTCGCTTTGTTTTAACCTGATGTAAACATAACGATCTGTTATTTGTTTTGTTCCTTATTGAATGTCCTTCATCACAAATAATTAAATCGGGACCTTGTGATATGACTTGTCAATTACAGGTAAAATTCAAATAAAAAAATACTTACCTGGGTTCAATAAGGCTCTATATCTTATATTGGATGTGTCAAAAGTTGTCCCTACAAAGTCTTTAACCAACGATACAAAGCTTTCATATCCCAATATTAAAACTCCACCGTCACCGTGCCAAGCAGCGACAACCTGCTCTTTTTTAACTTTTGATAGGTTTTTGCTAAAAAAAAAATTGATTATAAATAATCTAATTGTTTGAAAATTAAAAACATACCCCATTAATCGAACATTAACATTGACAGATTCAACATCTTGTAACATTTTTTTAAATTCATTTTTCCAATTTTGAGCCGTTGATAAAGGACACACTATTAAAACATGGTTGGTTCTTGTTAATTCTTTGTATTTGAAAAGAGTGTGTATCAAGGTAATTGCCTTTAAAAACAACAAACGACAAAATAATTAATTATCTATGTAACATATTATTAATGTTTTTTACTTGAAATGATTTTCCAAGGCCCATACAATGAGCTAGAATACAACCTGTTCCATTTGATGATTCAATACTCTCAACACTCTCAAAGCAATTGGCCCACATAAAGTATACACCATGCTTTTGATGATCCTTTAATTTAGTTGATAGTTGTCTATCAATAACAATCAATGGCTTAAAGTCCTTGTCAACATCTAAGATAAGATCCATGTTTGTTAAATCATTACTTTGTGACTTAGAGTATTCTAGCCTTTTGCTTAGTTGGCTCACCCGTTCGATATGTTCCATTTCGCTCTGTTGCGCTTTCTGAGTAATTTCAGCTAACTCTTTATTTGTTTTAATCTAAAAATCATTTATTTTTTCCTTATTTATTTAGATTTTATAAAAAATAATTATTGTAATTCTTACAGCTCGAATGTTTTTACGTCCTTTGTCGCGCATTTCGCTATTTCCTATACTAAAATTTAAATAGTATATTTAATAAAATACTAATTATTTATTATTAATTAACATGACTTTATAACTTTACATAACAGCATGGAGTTTTTTATTGAACACATGATACTTACAATTCACAGTCAGATTCATTAGTTGAATCTAATAACACAAATTCAGTTGGTGATGTACTAAAAGATAGTTAATCATTCATTATTCAGTCATTTAATTTTTTTAATGTTTATAATATACCTATCCAGTTCTGTTTTTGTGAGTGAAGTCTTATTATCTACTATTTCTTTGGAAAGAACTTTAAGTAAATTATCCTCATCACACCCCTCTTCCCCCGAATCATCTACTACTGGTGATAATCTAGCAGTTAACAATGGATCTCTTTGCCAATCCTGTTTTGTACTATCTGAGTCATCACTTGAACTTGATAGAAGTCTTGTAACTCGTCGCTAATTGTAATTGAGATATAGTGAGCAAAGTGTAAGAAAGAAATATATATATACAACTTTACTTTATATATTCGTTTTGTTTTATGTTTATTCTTGTCACTTTGTGAACCTAAGGATTCATTTCTTTCATCTTCTTCTTCTCCATCGGATTCACCCAAGCCAAATAGGAGTTGATGTTGCAGGAATATACCATCAGATACATTATTGCACGAATCTTCCAAACCCAGTGCCTGCTCTAAATCTACCATTGCTTCATAATCTTCTTCCACAATTGGGACAGTGCTAGCTTCGGAATCTTCATCCGATTCCACCATCGATTCCAAACGTCTTCGTTTTTTAGCTGGTGTATCATTCCTGATAATAGTTGGTGGATTTTCTAATGTTGTCATATTTGTCAGGCTTAAAGAAACACATTATTAAGACCACTAATTAAGATAAAATTGGAAAACTAACCGATTAATTTCACGCTTTGCTTTTTCTTCTTCACTAATTGTGACTTTACGTTTCCTAGAGCCAATGTCAGTTAATAATACATAACATGGTTTAACCCCATTAATTTCACAATAATCCTCATCTGTATATTTATAATTTTCAGCCTCACTATCAATTGTTGAGGGAGAAGAATTAGTACTTAACGAGTCTTCAAGGTCAGAAAATGAATCAGACAATGTTAAATTGACATCATTTATATTTAGGTTGCTACTAAAAGAAAAATAATTAACACACTAAATATGTATATACCGGGTGTTCTGATAAGGATATGGAGCGGCTGTATATTAAAAATGGCAAGATCTAAAGGTAACTGATATAAAGACACATAAATCCCCATTATCTCAGAAAGTTAGATGATGAGGTATAACTTTGACATCATTTGATAGTAGGTACTTTAAGGCCTTACTATTTTTGAGATACAGCTGTTCCATACCCTTATTGGGACACCCGGTAGAACCATTTAAACAGTACTTTGATGTATTTTCTTCGCCTTCATCATTTTCACCAAGTCTGTTCAAGGTTTTTATTAAATCTGCTTCATTGTCTTCGTCTCTATTTTCAATCTCAGAACAATATGTCTCATCACTATCTGTGATATTTGATGCATTAGGTTCCTTGGTATCATTATCGATCATTTGAATATCATCTTTAGCTGTAATTTATAAATTATTATTTTTAATATAAATTATTCACAACCAAACACTTTAATAATGTTAAGGGTAACAAATAAGTAAACATACATTGTTCATGTTTTGTATGTTCAACTTGAAATTGAGAACTTTCAAGGAAATCATCATCTGTATATTCTTCTATGCTCCTTTTTCTCTTTAAGCTCAAGCAATTAAAATCTAAATAAGATTTATTTAGATATCAAAAAATAAGATTTTAAATGTACTAATACCTTTTTTGATGTCCAGCATATCGGTAATAATAGTACTAGGGGAAGAGGTTGAATTGCTTAAAGTATCCGAAGAAGTTGTAGGTAACGTTACTGTAGACAGTTTAGCCATATCACTAGCATACATCGTTAATTTTTGTTGTAAAGTTTCAATCAACTTGGTAGTGGTACTATATAGGATATTTATCTTGTTTGGTTCACAGGCTAAACTATCTGTAATTTGATCTGAGGCGTATTCCCCCATAAATTTCAAATAAGAATAAATCGAAAAGCATTTCGATTTTATGTTTTCAACATTTTCCATGTTGAATTACCGAGATATATCACAAAATTGCTATCCTTCAAACTAACAGGTTATGTTATGGTTATCCTGATATACTAATTTGCCACCAGAGGGCACATATTTGAACTTACCGGGTAATTCAAAATTTTCTTGTATTTTAATAGGTTAAAGCATTAAAAATAATAATAAAAGACTCATTTCGATGAGAAATCAAATAAACAATTATTAAAGTTATTATATTTACAAATATTTAACATAGCCTATAATCTTATAGCAATCTGTACATCTTATTTATAATACATATAGAGGTATTGCTACCAATCATCCTGTCTTAATCTATAAGTCCAGTTATCACTACGAATAATTTTTAATTGAGGACCATAATATGGCATAATATACCCAGACCCATCAGCCGGTCCTGTTACTTGAGTCGATATTAAAATGATGTCAATTAATTGACCAACAAACATAAATCCTAATGTGCAAAACTTAGCTAGGCCCATTGCTGGATAACCCAAATAAAAACGGTCTACTCCAAACATTCCCAAGAATACAGATAACAACAAAGCCGTTTCAAATGAATAACCATTCCTGTAATTATAATGATAATGTATATAATGAACTAATAAAGAAATTAATACAAACATACGTCCATTTACAAGGCAAATCCTTTGTAAATGAGGAATTACTAGTTTCTTTACAAATAATTCCCTCCACAGCTATACACAACACTAGAACAGAAAATAATTAGTTGAAAAATTGTGTTTGTTTGTAATCTTTTACCTTTCGCTTTATTTTCTTTGGTGCATCCTTTGAATTGTTGCGTTTTAGGGTCGATTTGATTTAATTTGGGATCGGGACATAAATACTGTCCCATTCTTAATGTATTGCAATCCATCTGTGAATCCACCATAGTTGTAACAGGTATCTTAGCAATTAAATGTTGTGAAGTACTAGTGAATTTAAATAATAAAAGAAATAAACTTGCTTTAAACGAAGAAAAATACATTTTTGATAATCCACAAGTTTGGTTTGATTAGTGAAGTTAAGATAGCAATGTTCGGTTAAATATATTTCAATAATGATTTCGATATTTAATTAATATATTAACATCGTCAGTTAATAATCGATTTATTTAAGAATATTATATCAATAAAATGTAATAATTTAAAATATATTCAACCAATGTGATTAGATAATATGATTTCATGGAAAGGTTATTTATGGTATAATCGAAACACGCTTTATGCAAGGAAATATAACCTATAATGTTGTAAGCGCATGTCAAACATACATCAGTTTTCATAAAATTATTAAGAATAGCGGTAAAAATAATAATTTCACTATGGAATATGCAATTGGTAATTTAGCGGATTTTATATCTGGTTCAAACACCCCAAATAAACCCAATGTGGTTGTAAAAAAATGTAAATTGAAGTCAAAAAAGGTTACAAAAGATAATGTTAATGATAAGAATTCAATGAAAAATCAAGAAGAATCAAAAAAGAAGCGTAAATCAGATGATACAGAGGCACCACAAAAAATAAATTTAAAAAAAGTTAAGAAAAACAAAATTAAACTGAATAAACCTACCGCTGGTGATGCCATTAATGAAAATAAGAATCACACGATAAATAATAATAAAGAGGTTGATGATGAAATATCAACAATAAATAAAGAAAATAACAAACGAACATTGTTTGTTGGTAATTTACCGATTAATGTAAACAAAAACATTTTAAAACGTCGATTTGAAAAATTTGGTACAGTTGATAGTGTTAGATTACGCAGTGCTCCTATAGCTGATGAGAGAACACCAAAAAAAGTTGCAATCATTAAGAAACAATTTCATAAAAATAGGAATAGTATTAATGCTTATATTAGGTATTCATTTAATTAGATAATTTTAGTATATTTTTATTAAATAAAAAACTTGATAGATTTATGGATCGTAAAGATGCAATAAGAGCAACCAAATTGAATGGAAGCCAATACAAAGATCATCATATTCGTGTTAAACTTTGTGATGATGTAGAAAAGCCTGATCAGAATAAAGCTATATTTTTAGGAAATGTTTGTTTTGGTAAGTAAATTGTTTTAAGAATATTTTTCATTAAAATGTGTATTATATCTTAAAGTGTATATCAAGATACAAATTATACATGTACATGTGTAATAGTTACAATAATGATTAAAAATATTTAATTTATTGTATAAAAGATAAACAATAACACATTTAACATTTATTGAAGTTCTATAATATATTCAATATAATGTTCACTTGAAAAATATGGATGACACTCTGTCATGGTTAAGTCGTCCTCGTTAGAATATAATACATTTACAATTAACACAACTGATCCCTTTGAAATTTTTTTGTTTACACTTTCTTGTAGTAGCATTTCGATATTCGTTATTCTTTCATCCAAATTATACTCAAGGGCATCATGTAGGTAGTCCTTTGGTAATACAAGCAACATTCGACGCTATAACAAGAAAAACACAAAGCAATAAAAATAAAAGTTTATTATAGAACCATTATTTACCATATAGGTTGGAAATTCGTACGAAGCCAGTTGTTGTTTTCTCAAGAAGAATTTTCCATAGAATTCAACATTCTGTATCCTCTTAATATTCTTAATATTATAGTTGTAATAATTAGATTTGATACAATCATAAAAGACTTCTTCTACCTTTCTGTATTCTTCACACCATGGAGATAAGGTAAATTTTCCATAATAACTCCCGCCATTGGGACACCAATACGCAGGTAAAGGCAATGAATTAATAAAGCTTTGTTGAGACATTTTTTAATCACTTCGACTGTACAATTGTACTAATGACTGCAGACACTGTTCTAATTATTTAAGTGTTAATACCAACAATATTAAGTAACAACACGAAATCTAAAGTTGTGTGCTAAGCAAAAGAGTGTATCAATTGTGAAGCGATCGACGTTGCCAAGTCGTTAACTTCGTTATAAATACGTAGAAATTTGGGAATCAGGGGAACAACTAATTGTACCGTTTATCTAGGTCGATAAAATAGTATTCAATGTACTTGAAACATTTTTATTATTGATTTGATATGTATGAATTTATTTACTGCTAAAAACATATTAGTAATCGGAATAAAAAAATACGTATAGACCATAAATAAACGTATGAACTAAGATTTGGATGTATAGACAACCAAACATACTTACATAGCTGTTCTATTAGCTATTAGTTCTCTGACTATAAATATACAGGTGTCCCGTATTTAGCGATCTTTCTAATAAAATTTTTCCGAAATGTTTATAATAACCGCCAATGTTGTCTAATAGCGATTCTCCGTGAATCACAGAAAAAGTTTATTTCTCATTCCATGTCGAATCTATTGGTGAGTACATGTGCGAAACTAGTTTAGAACGGCCGGTGGACCGGCCGGGGGTGAGACCGATTGCCTGACTATGATTTACTATCTCCGAAGGCGTTTCTCTAAGCTTTTGTTGAATTGCTATTGGACGAAAAACAGTTCGTTTAAACAGTTACCGTGCGGTTATTATAAACATTTCGGAATGGAATGTCCTGTATACAATTTGCGGTCTTATGATGTTTGAGGCGAACTTTTTAACTCAAATATTTTCTGAATCCGGGTACTTGTGGTTACACCGGAAGTCGTGACAATTTTCATATTTCAAATGGAACAACCTGTATTTTATTAAATTTTTGCAATGTTTGTTTAATTTTAGGCCAATTGTATGTTACATATCCTATGCCTAAGTTGAGTCATTTTTGTGATATTAATTTTTTTTTAAAGATGACAGCTGCATTGTTACAATAATTTATCATCTACTCTGACCGCCGGAAATCTATTATCTATTATTTATCTATTATCAGGGGATTAGTAAGGTTCTTCGAAATGCTATACAGGCTGTTCAAATTATAATATCAAAGTTAACCATAAGAAAAGCCCTAAAAGTCAATTTTTTTAAATGGCAACCCTAACATATGTATTGATTTCTGAATTTTATGAAAAGTTTTGGATCAACTTTATGTAAATTGTCCTATTCTTAAAATGTATGTTTACCGTATTACAACGATTCTTAAACGGAATCACAAGAAATATCAACACAAGAACGACGGAAAAAAATAAACAGTTTAACATTTGCTAAGGCTATGGTTTATTTCTGTTGCTGTGATGACTTGGTTACTTTTTGTAGTGGTCCGTTCTCAAATAATGCTACGTTTGGGATTTAGTAATGAAGATTATATGAATCTGATAATAATTTATGGAGAGTACAACCAAATAATTGCGTGTACGTGTCGGCTGTTTGTCATTTTTTGGCAATATTTGCTTGTTTACATTGTTTTTGTATCGTTGCTATGGCAACCAACATTGTTATTTTAAATGGGATGCATATGTTTTTTTTGCATATTTTGATACAGGATAAATCCCTCTACGCAACGAACATATCAAATTATATGATTGTATAAAAAAAAAATTGAGAAAAAATGCGTTCTCTGAAAATATTAAATCAGCAAATTACAATCAAAGTAGGCACCCTCTATCAAAGTATGCAAAAAAAACATATGCATCGCATTTAAAATGACAATGCTGGTTGCCATAGCTACGAAACAAAAAACAATGGAAATATGCAAATATCGCCAAAAAATACGCCACGATAAATAAAGAAACTTGTATTTGAAACAATTTTCTTTAAAACTACAAATGGCGAAGTTATTGGCTATATTCCAGACATTTAACACAGCCTGTATATACATATTAAACGATATATTATATTATAGTAAATTGTCTTGAGATAGATCTTTATAAATTGGTACATATTTTTGTACATCTGGATGAAGTGGTGGAGGTTCACTAAATGATCCTATCCAGTTGTTTTAGTTTTTTGCCACTCGCACCAACTCTCAGCTCCTAGCAGGCAGTACTGATAATTTGTTAAACTGATAAGTTTTGCGAGAAACCGTTCACCCCTCTCTCAAGAAGGATTTTAACACCTAAGTCAATAGCAAATACATCCGCCTGGAATACTATGTATACCCAGGCTGTAAGCTTGCTTGAACCGAAGTGTCTGCAGTATACTCCTGCCCCGACCCCTTCCGGCGTTTGTGATTCATCTGTGAACATGCAAATATCTGCCTGAACCAGAGAATTTTCGATCTAGGACTGCCGTTCGGGCAGTACAAACTGGTTTCGAACATTAGTCACTGATAGTGATCCCGTCAAATCTGACGGCATTGATAGCACAATATCAGTGGTTATAGTGTCTTCCGCAGTCCATTGGTAGGACATGTCGGAGCAGTTTTGAGCATATTACTTAAACCTGAAAATGGTAGTCCGCCAACTCGATATTTAATTTATGTAATGTAATGTAAGTGTTTTATACTATAAAATTTTATTTTAGATGCTGAAGAAGATGAATTGTGGAATTTATTTCAAGAATGTGGCGAAATCGAAAGCGTTCGATTAGTACGTGATGGTAAAACAAATGTAGGTAAAGGTTTTGGTTACGTGAACTTTAAATCGGCCGATTCCGTTGAATTGGCATTGCAAATGGAAAATGTTAAGATGAGAAATCGGGAACTAAGAATATCTGCATGTGTTTCTAAGAAATCTAAGAATCCCACAACAAATGTCAACAAACCTTCTGATGCAACAAAAATTGTTAAGACGTATAAAAGTGGACAAGATTATCAAGGAAAAAAAATTGTTAACAAAAAGGTATTTGAAACGACTTTTTAATGTAATTTTGTTTTAATTTAATTTTCTTTTATTAGAAAAAATTTAATAAGGGTGATGTGCAGAAGAAGAAATTGATTAAGAAAATTGCACCGAAATAACAAATTTTTTTCATCCAACCTCAAATTAAAAAATGTGGATTTAAATTTAATCTTAGATCGATCATTTAAACAAAATAAACGTATTGTTGTACAAATATCACTGTTCTTTTATTACATACATATCTAGTTACAAAAAGTATTCGCGTGACAAACCCTAACATATAATATACATTTAAATTAAATGTGATAGGTCATAATTCATTTTAAAAATTTTTAATTTATTTTAGTTGGTGTTTCATATCAAATTAATGTAGTGATTTGCTGCCATCAATTCTTGCATGGCATATCATCCCCTGCCGTGATATACGGATCATTACTTGTACGATGCCCAAATGAGAAACCAGGTGCAAGGGTGCAACGTCCCAATTTCGGCAAGTAAGCGGCCGGTCCTGGACCGCACGGCTTGACAACCGCTTGCGTCTTAACACCCATTGTATATCTTGGTGGGGCAGGTTTGTATATGGTTGCCCTCGTTTCTCCATATCGAGCGGGTCCAGGTGATTGCTCTGATCCTTTGAAACCAAATTTTCCAGCACTAAACGGAAATACGAAAACATAATATCTCTTTGAGTGAGTTATGTTAAAACTTACATAGTATAAGCTGCAGATGCTCGTAGATTTGGTACTTTAGGCCCAAGCGTACTGGGCAATGGATATTGGTTAGCACCTGGTGTATTAAACGGTTGGAAACCTTTAGTCCTTGCTGCTATACTATATGCTGGAGGTCTAGGTTCTTTCATGCGCGGACAAAGTTCTGGGCTATATGCTCCCGGGCCAGGTGGCTTAAAAGCACCTATAAATATTTTGTTACTAAATAATGGATAATACATAAAAATAATTGAACTTTAATTACCCTGCGTTTTCAGCTTCATACCAATACTGTATGCTGGATCCGTTATTTTTCCATATTTTGTAACCTTTGATATTTCATATTTTGGACCAGGACCGATTGCTTGTTTATTTCCGCCCAAACGTATTCCCATACTGTATTCGGGATTGCGATACCGTGATGCATCGTGATGTGGGTAACCAACCGTTGGTGGGAGCATGTAAGCTCCAGGTCCGGGTCCTCAAAAAAAAAAGGTAAACTCGAAAACTCACCAATCTTTTAATAATCAAATTGAGATACTTACCTATATTTTTCGGCATTATTACTGTGTACTTAAAATTTCACAAAATGACCATTAATATTTGAATAAAAATGTTAAAACGAAATTTTCATTTAAAAGGATTATGACATGATACTTCCACCCAAAACAAATTACTGACAATTCATAGATATTTAGATTGTCAATAAATTTTTCTACAATATTTGACGTCTGCGGATATAGATAACTCAATAGTGGTAGATTTCTGGAAAAAGGATTGAGTATAAAATAAAATTTAAATAAAATGTGTCCCATTTATTTTAATCATCACTGTTTTGACCCATGATTCTAACGTAGTTAAACACTAAATACAACTCTAACTAGTTGAAAGTGAATAAGGAAATACAATGCTTAAACAGCAACTTTGGTACCAATTTGATTGTAATCAGAAGAGCAATATTACGGCGGCATCAACTCAGGGATGAAAAAATCTGGCGTATACTGAGTAGAAAGTAGAAACAAGGAAGCCACTAAGAGATAGACAGACCAAATTAATCAAACAAATGTACAAGACGTGGTCAAGTAGTCCAAGACAAAAAAAAGAAATGGAAGGACCATGTGGAGAAAATGGACGCAGGCTGGCTTGTGTAAACTAGTCCCTGTTTGTACAAGAAGAATCTTCCAACGTTCTTTACAAGAAGAAATTGTTCTGCGCAAAATTTAATGAAACCCAAATATGGGTGAAGCGATGACGAACGTTGATCCAAAATTTTACTAATTACTACGAAACTTGCCTAAGATTAGGAGCGTGGTAAGGGAAAAGCTCACATGAACTTTGACTATTGAATGTTTTCACACATTTCTTATTGTCAGTAACCCCAAAATAAACAAAAAATAAATAATAAATGCATGTATTTTAATATAGTAATAAATTGTAAATGTATGAGTAAAGAAAAAAATTAAGAATTAATAAGTTATGAAATAAAAAAAAAACAGCGTAGTGTATATCTCAGTATCAACAAAGCTGGTAAAAACAGGAAAGTTACAGACACTAGAACGTGTTGGGTAATTTCATTTGGCTTTGTTATTTTGAGTTGTTATTTTTCCTCCCTTCCCAGTCCATTCTTCCTTAAAGTTCACATCACAGCCCAAATCTCTCAACGCTGCTTTTGTATCATATTCGGATTTTGGAAAAGTTTTTAAATTCGCTTTTAATATTTCCTCTACACCCAATGATAAAAATTTTTCGTTTTGATATCGACTTCTAGACACCATATTGCGAATTGCCCAACTGCTATGTTTTTGAACGGCTTCGTTATCTCTATGCAATTTCATTACATCTACAATAGCGTTTGGCGCACCATGGTCGTAAAATGCTTTACTATTTTCGGGGCAACGCAATGTTAAAGCAGCGATACAAGCTAATGCGAATGTGGCAGTAGAGGCATTTTTATTATTCCTCTCCAAACATTCGACAATTGTCAATGAAAATCCGAATTGAATAATATGTGCTTTGCATTCATCGTTTCCTGCCAAAGCTTTTAACACTTTAAGACTGTATCTAATAATTTTTTCGTTTGCAGGAAATTGTTCCATCGCATATTTAACTAAAGGTAAGCCACCAGCATCCTCTACTTTCTTACAGAATTCCGTGCGAACGAGAAGGGTGGAAATTGTCAACAATAAGTCCATTACAAATAGTTCTTCCGTTTTAAATTTTTCTAACAAGCGCATAATTGCGCAAAGAGTATCACTGGCTATTACACGAGCATGTTCGTGCGCTTTTCCGAAATCTACTCTTACATCATCGTCAAGTACTAAAGCTCGTAACACAGCGAGTATATCTCTTAATAAATTTGCATTTGCTTCATTAAGACGAGTCTTTAAACGTCCTAGAATTTCAGCGTTAAATATGGATTGTCTAAAACAAATAAATATATCAATATTAATGTTATTTAGAGTAAGATTATTAGACCGAGTTATGTAATCACATGACTACTGTAATTATGCTCTAGCTCACATGTGATATACAACATTTTATCTATGACTGCTAAAAATTACTTAAAAATCAATTTCTTTAAAAATGTCTATTTTGACATTTATAAAAATATTTTGAAATGATTGTTGACAATTTTGAATTAATGTCAGTTTCAATAACATGTTTACTCATCTGGAATAAGTGTTTCTAAATCTAAAAACATAACAATTAATGTTTATAATAAATAGTATTGTTTCTCTTTAAATAGGTAGCAGTTTTTCTTTTGTGTTGGTGCTCGTTTCAATAAATTATGTAAGTCTGTTTTGATTGGGCTCAAAATGCGTTACGTAATGAAACCAGTGCGGTAATGAACTTACTTATTTGATTACGTAACTCAAATCACCTCAAATGAGTGTGGTAACGACTTATCCAATCAGTCATAGATAATAATATATTATTATACGAGCATATAATGAGGGCTATTATTCACTAAGGTTAAGTACATAATTAACCTGAGTGAATAATAGCTCATTATATGTGAGATACTTTGTCCATGACTATTGAAATTGATTCCATAAATTTATTTTTTAAATAAATTTTGGAATAAAGTTTAAACGTCAATGTGACACAAATTCAATGTCACCAACTGTAACCAACTTCACAACAATTTGTCCAAATTAAATGGCAATTTTATGGAACGTAGTTTTTTTTACGAAAATTAATTAACTTATGCTTAAATCATAGGAAAAAAGGAATTAGTATTTTTAATGTCAAACCTTTAGAAAGTCGGAAAAAATTTAATTAAATTGACGTTTCTTGAAATTTTGACGTTTCAAATAATTATTATTAGTCTGTCAAGTTGATTACCCGTGAATAATGATTATTATTCACCGTTATTATTCACTCTGTGAAAAATGGCTACCCTTTAGTTTTAGAAAACTCATTCATAAGGTATATATTATAAGGTAGTCTTGGACAAATTTATTTTTTTAAATAAATTTTTGAATAAGTTTAAACGTCAATGTCACACAAATTCAATGTTACCAACTGTAACCAACTTCACAACAATTTGTCAAAATTAAATGGCAATTTTATGAAACGTAATGTTTTTTTTTACGAAAATTAATTAACTTATGCTTAAATCATAGGAAAAAAGGAATTTGTTTAAGTTTTTTTAATATCAAACCTTTAGAAAGTCCTAAAAAATTAAATTGTTTTTTGAAATTTTGACGTTTCAAATAATAATTATTAGTCTGTCAAGTTGTTTACCTGTGAATAATGATTATTATTCACCACTATTATTGACTCCATGAAAAATGACTACCCTTTTGTTTTAGAAACTCATTTATAAGGTATATATAAGGTAGTTGTGGATAAAATTGATTACCTATTTTGTTCATGCATTATGCAGCATACTTTAGTCCATTTCAAAACCAAACTCATAATATCCTGATTACCACTTTTATCCAAGTATTTTATAATCATTTGGATACCCACATCATCTAACAAATCTGGTTGTTTATCCATTAATTTTATAAGCGTTGTAAAACAACTGTTTATAACAACATTATCCGATTCATAGTTCTGTAGAATTTCCATTAATAAAGGATATGTATCTAATTTTCCTATAAATATTCCAAAATACTTATTAATGAGTAAGTCATAATTTCTTTAATTACCAGCATAAACTTGATATTGTAAACCTTTCTTGCATTCTGCTTGAATGATATCAAGTTGACCAGTAATGTACGATGGCTCTGCATGTTTCTGTACAAGACATTTTAATGAAATTAGTGCCTCCTGTAATTCTGGTGATAAATCCTCATTGTTGGTAGCCATATCAGTAATGATATTGCTCAAATCAACACCCTTTCAATATAAGAAAGCAAAATTATTATGACAAATATGTCAAATAATACAAATGTCAAATTATTACCTGAGATTTGAGTTGTTCGATTGTTTCCTTGATAGCATCCTCTTGAGACAGCTCAAAATCAGACATGTTTTGGTGCACAATTTCTTCGTAACAATCTTGAGTTATTACAAGATCCATTTTGTTTCTATAAAAAAAGTGTTTGATTCATAAAAGGGGGTTGTTCACCTTGATTAACTGTTTAAGGAGAGACCAAGATTTCTTGATATGAATCATAATCAATGGATAACTGTATTTAATTATAAATTTAACCTTTAAGGCATTACATTTTAGAATACACTATATTTCTTAATTTATATTTTTTTTTAATATGAAAATGTAACATACCTAGTTTTTTTTAATTAAACCTTTTGTTGTACGGAATAGATATCTACACTGACAGACAACACAAGTGTCAACATGTAGATACCAACAGTCAAGATTAAAATTAAACTTACACTAAATCTCTCATAAATTTAATAAATACATTTTAATTTTATACTTTTGTATACAAATTTTATTTTAAATTATCCCAAAGTTTAGATATTACTTATAATTTTGATTAATGTAAATGTAGTAATAAGGAAAAATGATGTTTATACGTTTTGGCTACGTTCATAGTTGTGTTATTGAAACTTTTCTTTCACACTCGTGTATGTGTATGTGTTGTCTACGCAACATGCCCTGATTCTCGTAAACTTTTAACAACATTAATTTCAGAAAAACACAAAGATCTATAATAATTTTATTCTTAATATAAGCCACAAAAAAGACTATACGTTTAGTTTTACTTATTTTTGTTTTTTTTTAAAGAATACGTAATTTTACGTTTGTTTTTATTTGATCACTGTTAAACATTGAAATGGCTCAGTGGACTGGATACATGGTTTCAGTGGAATGCGGTAATAATTTAGGCACATTTCAGGGAGAAATACTATCTGTGACAGATTCAAAATTGTCCCTCGCAAAAGCTTTCTGCAACGGTATTCCATGTGATAATCCAGAAGTTCTTATAAGGTAAAATTTATTTTTATATAACAACACATACTTACAACAATGATAATACAAAATTTTTAGAACGAGTGATATAATTGATTTAAAATTAATAGACAAACAATCAAGTCCAACAGGAAGGAGTACAATAACAGTAGCAAAACCGATTGCAAAACGTGAAAATAAAAGCCAGAGTAACATAACAGAAACTAATACAACATCAAATAAATCAGTGTTCAATCAAAACGGCTCCCATCAGCAACAGCACTCGAATGATACCGCAAAATCAAAACCAATTGACATAAACAATTCAAAAATGACAATGTCGGAAGCACCTAAAGGAACGCCTATTAAAAAGGAACGAGGAGGAAAGGGTAAATGGAGTAGAAGTTGGAAAGATGAGGCTTGTTTTGGTTCACCTTTAGGTGACGCAATAACGAAAGACTTTGATTTTGAGAAAATGCTTGCTCTATTTGACAAACAAGCCGTGTGGGATGAGATCAACTCAAAACGACCTGATAATATTAAAAGTTCCGAACAAAATAAGAAACAAACAAAATATAGACATGATGAAAATGTAATATCATCTACCCCGGCGTCATTAAGACAAATTATTGTACCTCAACAAGAAAAGTGTGAATATGTAACTGATGATGGCCTCATTGTACCAAGCATATCTAGATTATTAAGAACTCGGCTATTTTTAATGGGTGAAAGAGCGGGAATTTCTTGGGAACGTCGTACTGAATTGATGGGGAGAGCCACTACCGAGATGGCTTTACAACTTCTTGGCGGTGCTCACAGACTAAATCCAAATAATATTCATCAAATGCCCACTGTTGTATTTTTATGTGGATCAAACAGGTAAAAATTTTATATTTTACTAATTTTTTTTATATAATCATTTTCATTTTAGACCTGGTTCTGTTGGATTAAATGCAGCAAGACAACTGGCAAGCCATGGTGTGCACACAATAGTTTTCGTTCCAAATCTAGATTCAGGTTTAATCCACAAAGAATTGGAATTATACAAATTGACAAGAAACAAAGTTGTAACTGATGTGTCTCAACTCCCAGAATTAACCGACCTCATAATAGTATCTTTGTGTGAAGAATCAGATAATTTAAAATTGTATATTGCGTTAGCAGAATGGACGTTAAAAAATAAAGCGTCGGTGTTGGCAATTGATCCGCCTGCTTCTGGTACCCCTGGCATTATTGCTAAATATTCTTTAGCGCCTGTATTGCCACTACCACATTCGACAGAGAATGGAAAAATTTATTTATGTAACTTGGGCTTTCCCGTGGACGTTTTTAAACATGTTGATATTATGTATCGCTCGCCATTTGGTTCAAAATTTGTTATACCCTTACATCCTAATGATGGTGTTTAAAAAAAGAAATTTTAATGATACATAACGGAACTGATACTAATTGAAAAAATATTTTAATAAAGTTGTCATGAACTAAAATGTTTTCTTTTCAAATAATTTCCTATTTTTAGTAACACATGGTTATGTTAGTAATAATGTAACAAAAATCAACTTGATGCTTGAATTAACATAACTATACTATATAATAGCCATTTATGGCATTAAAGAAGATTTAAAGTGACACTACAAGTTGTGTCGCAACTCCAGCGCGTGGAAAAGCTTTGCAAGAACCAGAATATCCAGAAATGCAAGATAAATTGTATAAATGGTTTTATTTGCAGCAAGAAAAACATGCTACAGTCACAACTAACTTTTCATGAGAAAAAGCTCTGTAAATTTTTACTAAATGTTATAAACACAAAACGTTTATTGCAAACAGAGGAAGGATCAATCGATTTAAAAATAGACGTGGTATTCGTCAATTAAAAGTGGTTGGAGAGAAACTCTCTAGCGACTCATCTACGGTGCAACCGTTTTTACGAAAATTCACTAAAAAATGACTGAACTGAATATATTACATAGTCAAATATACAACGCAGATGAGTCTGCATTATTCTGGAAATTACTTACCGGAAAAGTCTCTTAGAACACGTTCTATCTATGGAGGAAGACGATATTTCCAAAGCACTGAAGAACATTTCTATTAAGGATGCTGTGTTCATGCTTGGGACAAAATGTCGGCTAATTTAATAGAAAAATTCTAGAAAAATGTATTCCATTGACAATTCTAAAAAATAAATGGATCTCGGTTCAAAAAACAGAGCAAGGTGAACAAGAATTAAAAGAAATCGGTGTTATGTTTCAACAAATAAGCAATGATTATCATCTTTCTCAATCAGAAGTTAACGATTGGATTGTTTTGGTAAAGATCATGTTCCGCTGGATAGTGACAGCAGTTCTGTCCATGAAGACGCTGGGACAAACGAAAACGAAAGGTATTAAAAGCTTCAGTAAGGATATTCAAAGGTCTCCAGGTGACCCTAGATATCATTTGCACTTGGTGTAAGTGAGAGAATCTCTCGATAATCCCGCAAAATACAATTGTGCCCTTCACCAGGAGAGGAAAGTTTGATGGACTAATCCGTCTAACTATCCAAGGTGAAGAAATTACTTTCTCAAAGGAAGTCAAATATCTAGGAGTAATCCTAGACAAAACCCTCTCATGGAATGGACATTTGCAGGGAGTTTTGCACAAAGCTAGACTATCCTTGTGGACTTGTCGCAGTCTTTGTGGAAAAAATTGGGGTCTTACCCCTGAAAGACTGTACTGGCTCTATGCCTGGTATAGGAGAGTCCAACAGACTTCAGTTATCAGTAAACTTTCACGAATTCAAGGAGTAGCTAGATTGGCAATCTCTGGTGTGATAAGCACAACGCCAACTCTAGCAATGGATGTTCTGCTTGGCCTATCTCCTTTGCATTTGCATATAGAGAAAATGGTTAGAACTACCATTTACAGATTTAAGCAATATGCTCATAACTGTTCCGATATGTCCTACCAGTTGGTGTATTATTTGCGATGGCCAAACATAGGATTGGACTGTGGGCTGAAGAGAGACTTCGACTACTGTGGACCAGTTCTCCTGGAATGAGACATGCTAAGTTTAGAAAGAAGAAATTTAAACAAGACTATTTATTTATAAGATTTTTTTTATAATATTTAAATATGGCTTCAATAATCTAAATAGAGCTGGTTTTAATTGATTCGGATTAGCGAAGATTTACTGTACTACCTTTCTCGATATAAACTACCTTCTAAACACATAACTCCATCTCCCATTTCAGTCTAGCGCTAGATGGTACTTTCGATCTTTGTTTCATTATTTTGAGAAGGGTTCTTTATATGATTTCTCCCTTACTTTAGTTTAGAACGGAACATTATCAGTGGTTCGAGTTTGTTTCGACCATTGTTTAGAATAAGAGCGTTCGAAGCGAATGATTTAAAATCTCGGACGAAAAAAAAAGGCGACAGAATTCCCATGAGCAAAGTTCGGACGAAAGAAGCTTAGAATTGAGAAATGTGTGACAAATTTGCATTTGTTCAATACGGAATTACACTCCTACACGTCTATGTAAAAGCCGCTCCTTACATTTCTCATAAATCAGCTAGTTAGATCATTAAAATTTACTCAATCGTCAACTATGATAATGAGATAAGTGATTTTCTATATAACACTTGAAACTGTAGTATTCTTATCGATAAATTCAATCTTTAAACGTTTGACAAACTTGGAATGTGATTAGATTTAACTTTTTTAATGAATCATTTTTCCCAAAATTAATGGAATCATCTAAAATTATTAATTTTTACCACGATTTTTTATTCACAACCATATATTATTATATCATTGAATCCAATAAAATTGTTAAGTTTTACTTATATCATGATGTGAATCATGACGACATTTTTTCACCAATATAAAAATTTATAGTGTTACAAAGTTTAAATTTATTTATTTTTTGTTATGAATGATTGAAATAACTTACATTTGATACTAATTCTATCATTATTTAATAAAATATATCAAATATATATTATATTTTAACAAATGATTAACAACAATAAGCTAAGTCTTTGAAATAAATTATAAGAATTATTTAGAATTTGTTCCATATTGATTTCTTTCCTCATTCAATCCTTTTACTAATTCCTGAATTAAAGGATGTTCAAATTGTCCCTCCATATGATCGAAGAAATCTTGAAATTCTCTTGGTTTGTTCCTTTTCTTTTCAAGGTCAAATGCGGTGAATATAAAATCAAATCGATCTAAATCTTTAACAAACTTTGCTTCGGGTGTGGCTTTGGTTTCATATTCCTTATAAAGTTCCTGCATTAATTGTCCCTGTTCACCACCAACTAATTCACAAATATCTTTCATAGCTTCATCTTCTCTTCTGTGTTTCTCTTCTTCCGGAATACCATCATGAGGAGTTATATCTCCAACTATGCACTCAGCCAAATCGTGTATTACTGTTAATTGCAAACACTTTAATCTGTCCAAATTGGAGTTGTTCGGTAAAAGAAATGTCATCATAGCCATGGCGTACATATGCCCAGAAATAGTTTCAGCCCCTTCTACACCCCTTCTTTCCCATCCTCTTCTCACAGAATATTTTAATTCATGCACTAAATTCAGAAATTTTAATACACTTTTTACGTTTTGTAATGACTCGTTTTCCAGCGATTTGTTATCCATTTTGTCGATATTTGTCTTTTCTAGTCACGTAAACTAAAATATGTAATATTTATAGGTTAGATAAGAAAAAACTTAATAGAAAATTACTTGGTAAAATGATAAGATAATTTTCATTATCTATCAATGTATCGATAACAGCGATTTATAGGAATATATTTTTCAAAAATATTTCTCAAATTTAAAATATATTTTGAAAAATTGATAACATAACCTCTCACGATATTAATGACATCAAACTATTGAGAGATAACAGGAAGAAGCACAGGAAAGAAGTGACTATAAATACTGTATATTGAGAAGTTGGTTTAATTATATTGTAAATTTTAAAAAGAAATATATTATAAAATCATATAAGATTTAAATAAAAATTTTTATTGTTATCGTAGCCTAGGAATTATGGTCATTATTTATGACAAAGCAATCAATCAATCATATAAAATTACCCACATCACATATAATCCATACAATTCCTTCCCATGGCGTTTTATGTAATCAGTGGAAAACCGGATTGCATAGATTTTGTTCAAGTAAAATACGTATGTTCCTATTTAGCCGATAAATTACCTACTTTTGAATATAAAATGATTGAGCAACCAAAAGGTCAATGGGAGTTCTTTCTTCACGAACAAAACCAAAAGAACAACTGGAATCACAGGACGTCTCCTTTAATTTGGAAAGAAGTAGCCCGTAGAGGCGGAAAAGCGTTTCTTATTGGCGGAATTAGTGAATTTTGGGAATACGTGTACGATTATTACGGTTTGGAAGCCGTTTTACCTAAAGATGATTTAGACGCGTTAATCCAAGATAACATGGCGTTCTATCAAAATAAATTAGATGAAGAAGCTAGTGAAGCACAGAAAATTTTTAGAATAACCATTAATGGAATAAAAAATCCTATTTTCAGCTTAATCGTCCCGTCTTTACTTAATATACCTAATATTAGACCTCCAGCTGGTTTGCTTATAAGACTATTTGATATGGAGATAGAGATGACTCAAGATTTTGGTGCTTTGCTCGAGGTAATGGAAGCAACGTCAGATATGACTGATAAAGTAGAAGTTGTCGGTAGCTTGCAACATGCTTTTGACGATTGCGATTTGTTTATTGATATTGATCAAGACTATGCCCGTAAAGAAGATGAATGTATGGATATGTGGTTGATTAGAAACATGTCATTAATGGCTGCATTTGGGGACGCTGTAAATGGCCACGCAAAAAGAGACTTAAAAATAATATTGGCACACCCAGGACCTTGCTGTTTCAACGGAACCTTGTTAGCTGAATATTGCACTGCTATAAAACCCTCGAATATAATTGCAATATCAGCTGATAAAGGTTCATTACCATTAAGTATTATTTCAAAATTATGTAAAGTACCTTTAGACCAATTAAGCGCTCCCCCGGTTTGGGGCTTGTGGCTAACACCTTTCATTGATGTTGGGTCAGTATTGAAAAGATGTGATATTCAGAGGCCATATCAAAGGGCAATTAAAACCGACGGAGGATCTACCCTTCCGTTAGGACGAATTACTCCAGAACTGCATTACATTCATTATATGTCCGACGAATTCGAAGAAGAATTGTGGAATAGGGTAAACGAAACCAAAGAGACCGTTCCTAGAATTTTAGGAAGACCATTAACTTATGCAAAAGCTATGGCAACAATAAAAGTTTTGGAGATTTGGTTCTCTGGTAAACCAAGCGATGAAATTATATCATTAGGAATCATATCAAACGGCAGTTTTGGATTTCCAGCTGGTCTTTGTCTTTCTCAACCAGCTAATTTTGATGGAAACTCTTGGTCACCTTTTAAAAATTTTCCAATCAGTGATCATGCGAAGATAAAAGTTGACGAACTTGTTTCCAGTTTGGAAGAGTTATTCACAAATTATCATATTAGCAGCAGTTTCTATATTCAATCTGCTTGTCGATTAATGATATGATGCTGAATAAATTGTTATTAAATAACAGCTTTGTTCAAATTTGATTTATAGATATCTACATTAACGGCACAGTTTAATTGACCGCTAGATACGGTAGACACAATATACATCGATTAAAGGAATATCATTAACTTATAAAAACTTTAATAACAAATAAATATTAACATTAGTTTTTATTTTTTTAATTATTTCGTTACCATCTTGCTATTACAAACTAATAAAGTCAAATGTTACTATAACTGACAGGTGATTTGAATACAACTTCACTCTATTGGTTACCTAACTTCTGATATTGTCAATTTCATAAAGAAATTCCTTAAAAATGGCTTTATTCCACGTTCAAAGAAGATTAATGAGCAGTGGCTTACAAAAGTTTTGTTATAATTTGGCCGGTTTCAATAAATTGGGCTTGATGCGAGATGATTTGCTTTTTGAAGATGATGATGTAAAAGAGGCTCTCAAGAGGTTGTCCCAAGCGAAAATCGACGAACGTAATTATCGTATTTTGAGAGCGACTCAATTAGACATCCAAAAATCGATTTTGCCCAAAGATAAGTGGACAAAACTTGAAGAAGACGAATTATATTTAACACCTCTCGTCAATCAAGTTATTAAGGAGAGAGAAGAACGTGAAGAATGGAGCAAAAATTATTAAAGATTGAGTGCTTAGTTCTTGGAAATTGTAAAGATGAAGTAGCTTTCTTTGTTATTTAATACATTTATTAATAAATTTAATCTAGTCTTCTTTTATTTAATTTATTATGTTAATCAGAACTTAAACAGATTAAAAACTACCTTAATATGTATATATTTGAAAAGAAGTTGTTACAATACGCTAAACATTAATATAACGGCTTAAATTAAGGCACAAATGTGTTTTAATACTAATAAATACAGTTACAAAGATTTTAATTTTCATCATCTTCAATTTTTGGTGCTAAATAATATCGAATTTGGCCCAAATCCGGGATTTCATATTCAACAACTAATGGCACATTATCAGACATGGAAAGTTGTACTTGAGCAGATAAAGGAGTTGCTTTTGTAAATGAATTTAAATATTTACAAGCAAACGTAAGTGTAACTGGCTCTTGCATTTCAATTGTAATTTGCTCCTCTTCATTATCGATATTATTAGTTTGAGCCAATTTAATATTAGCCGATCCAATGTCACCAGCCGCAGAGAATTGCACCCCTTCTTTTGTACAAGAAATCACAACAGATTCACCAAATTGAGATAAATCCCTACAAATTCGCGCAAATTCTGCTGATGGCATATGAATTTTACAAGAAAATTCAGTATCAGGAATGCCCAAATGTTCTTGATCTAAATTCATTAATTTCAAATCAAACTCAGCAATTTTTTCATGTTTTTTTGATTCAAACATAAATGTTACTTTGTCGGCATCATCATGGGCTTTAATAGTTACGGTATCATCGTTATTTGCACACTTTAAAATCTTGGTCATACTAAAAATAAATTCGTTGAAGATGTTGCAATAAAAAAAATAACATCTACCTTGCCAAATTCATTCCCATAGTTAAGTTTCTGTCGCATCTATACTTATCAAATCCATCGGCTCTTAAAGTTAAAGAAACCAAACTAACGTGAGAATTATCCATGGCTTGGAGCTGAATGCCGGAATCGGAACAATCGAAAGAGGCATCGTTTAGGAGGTCTTTAACCGCTTCCAAAACTTTCTTTAACGTTGCACTCGCTAATAAACGTGCTTCGAACATTTTTAAAAAAGTTTGAGATGTTAATTGTAAATTAGCGAATTTGGAAACGCACAAAAACGAAGCGTGTTAGATCTAGAACGTTAGTAAAATCCCGCCAGAAATATAACTTGAAATTAGCTTTGAATAACCTATAAGCTGTCAAATGTCAGTTAACTTGGCGCTATTTTTGATTTAAATAAAAAGTAAGGTTATTTTATATAAAACATAAATCACCATAAATATGTGTAAATGGAAAAGGACTGTACATAAAAATAATTGATCAATAACATCTCTTTGACCTATACTCAGAGGACATAATAAAGCACTTGGTGAAGCAGATATAGGCATTAATATCTATTATTACTTTTATGATTAAGAAGAAAGGTTAAAAAAAAGTCTATTAAGTTGCTTAAAAAGCTGATTAAGTATTTCATTATGTTTATTACTATTTGATAGCAGTAAGGTAATATGTATTTATTTATGTATATTATGTTGTGGTTGTAAAATAGTTTAAAAAATGTAAAAATATGGACATGTAATAACACTTACTTACTAAGAAAGTCAATTTATCAATCAAAATATAATAATAAAAATTCATGGAAAGTCGTCGTGTTCCAATATTGGTATAATAGAATAATAAAATCGCAATACAATTTTACATTATAAAATACGTAAGTATATACAAGAGTACAGGATAATAAAATAACAAAGAATATATGTATATATAATAGGTCGATAGTTTGGAAAAATTTACATACAACAAACGTAACAATATTCAAGATTCAATACAGAGTTATCTCAAAGTTGGCGTCTTATCTTTAATTCTACTCAGAACGCAGTAAAAATACAGATAATTTTTTCAAATAGTTTTTTAATTGATTAAAAATATTTGAAACAATTATTATCTATAGTTATACAATTAAAAATAAAGAATATCAAGTTTGAAATGACCCTGTATAAGAAAGTATATAAGTATTTTTTCTTTACTTTTCATTCATTATTAAAAAGGCAGATAATCTTAACATATAATGGACAGAATACCTGTTGTTATAAATCTCATAAAAATATATATTATATTATATTGTTTTAATTATTCTAATCGACACCAGCAAAACCTTGCGAACCTTCTATTGCTTTGATTAATTTTTCTCTTAGTTGTTGGTAACTCTCGTATGGTGGTAAATCCAATCTATTAAAACTACAAAAAAATAATTATTTTAAATAATATCTAATTATATTAATTAATCTCACCAAGTATGAGCTCTAGGGTAATTGCCCACTGTACCCCATTTTTCGATGGTGAATAATTGCGGACCGTTACTACCATAAAGCTCTTTAAAACCATTCATGGGAACGCGAGACGTGCCGGTAACGAATTGAAGTAAACGTGCTCGCATTTCATTCGAAAAAGAAAGTACAACGCGCCAGAACCATTGAACGACAATGTGATTTCCGTGATAATCGCCTTTGTACAATGTATTCTGTTTCCAGTCCTTTACATCAATGTTTTGAATACCGCACATTAAGAGTTCCAATTCGTTTTCATCAAATATTTTCACCAGATTTAATTGGACTAAATCGCTGAAACCTGTCAGGAATGCGTCCATTTGTTTTTGTACACGGCTTACAAAGCGCCACTTTATCACGCAACTATAAAATAAATAAATAAAATAGAAATTATACATTCATTAATGAAATATCGTTTTAACCTACCTAATATATTCGTCTTTATTAGAATTATCAACAGGAATGTTAGCTCCACCCGGTTTTAACTCAACTAGGGATGTTTGTCCAAATGAGTCTTCATCAACCGAAAACGTAAGATCAAGTCCAGAGGGATCGTTTTCTTTTATCCATAATAACGACTTGTAATACTCGCTGTCTACTGATTCCATATCTTTCAAGTCAATGCTTTTACCAAGCATCATTTTATAAAACGGTCTAATGAAAAACGCTGAAACGAAACGATACGTTAAAAATTAGGCTAAAAAAATAAAGCAAAATTTTTACCGTCTAGTAATTTTCCGTGATAAACTGCTAATCCAGCAACGCGACCTATAAATTTAAAATAATTCAAATGCTCCTCGTTACACATACCGGAAGCAGGGTTTATTTGTAATGTATAGTTGTCCCTGAAAACATTAAAAAGTACTAATTACTTTACCTATATATATTTATTTTAAGTCTATTGTTGTGGTCTAGTTTTAATGTAATAAAAATATACAACGTTGAATAAAAACCAAAGCTAACATTAACACTAGATGTAGAATTAGAAACATTCGGGTTTAGTCATGCGTCTCTCAAGACCCAAAAGATTCTAGTTCAAGGTCAAGTGTTAGTTCTCATTTTATAAATTACTGGCTGGACAGGCAGGTTTTAGGAAGGGTAGATAACGTTTACATCTTAAAACATCTGGTGGATAGAGAGTTGGATAAGAAGGGAGGAAAGCCCTATTCATAGATGTTGAGGCGGCATTCGATAAGGTAGATGGGGAGAAGTTGTGGGAGGAGATGGTGGTTGTGGCGAAGAATTCGGCGGAAATGAGAGGGATGGTGAGACACTTGGAGAGGTATTTCAGGACCCCCTTCGCCTTGGAGGTAAATGTAGCAAAGGCACAGATGATGAAGTTTTGCAAAGAGGGAGGAATGGAGATTGAGGAGGTGAGATAATTCACATATCTGGGGTAAAGGTTCAGGGAGGACAGCAAGGACGCGACGCATGTGAGGGGGGTGGCTAAAAAGGCTAATAAGGTGATGAGGCAGGTCTGAGGATGGGGTGCGGGAGTGTTTGAAAGGGACATCAAAAAGAGAAAGATTATGTTTGATGGGTTGGTGAGGAGTGCAATGACGTACGGGGCGGAAGTTTGGTGATGGAAGAGGCAGAATCGGTACTAGAGGTGGGTTCTAGATCTGGCGAGGGAAACACTGCAGTATATTGTGAGGGAACAATTGAAGGTTGATGAAATGAGGGTGGTGGCGGGCAGAAGAGCAGTTAAATATGAAGAAATGATAGATGGATGACCATACTGCGGGAGTGTTGAAAGGAAGTTATGGAGGGAAAGATTAGATATGGTAAAGGAGAGAGGAGGGAATATTACAAAAGGACGGGTTATTACGAGGCATGGATAAATAACAGAATAAAATGTAAATTTTTGGTTCAACTTTGACAGCTCATAGCTCGACAACAAAAGAGTTGCGACCCTATGATTATATAAAAAACTTGTGTTATTTTGGCAAGCATTACCTCCTAGTAAAGTTTTCCAATTAAAATCTGAACCACCCTGTATAGTTCAATTAACACTGGCCCTGAAAGCCTTCGTACTTTTTTTGAATTTCTACTTTAAATACATTAATCGGAGTTAGTTAAGATGATTCATTATCCCGTTCGGAAATAATATAAAAAAATCAACGTCAGTTTTGAAATTTCATTGGTGAACTCAGTTTAAATGAAGAAATAAATGTGAGTCATTATAGTAGAAAGTGAGTTGGTTATTAGTGTATGATGTATTAAACATCTAACAGTACATACATGTAGTGTTCTTAGAATCTTTTATCCTCAAATTAAAGATAAAGAATTACTCTTCTTCGCCGGTGTAATGAAACATTTAAAATTTTTAAATTCATCATTACAAGGTAAGAGCATTTTTGCAGATCATATTAATCATATTTTTTCTATCTCCTAAAACTTCGTTTCTTATTGCTTAAAGTAATATAAATTAAGCTCTATATCAAATAAAAAATCCCAAAATCAAAATTGATTTAGTATTTAATCTATTGCATTTACAGTTTTTCACTGAAACTGTACATGTCATCTCTGTAAGACACCTATATAAATATTAATTAATACGTACATTGCTGAATATTCATATAATCCATAATAAGGATTAAACATTTCTTTTGATAATAGAAAAAACCATTCTCGAGCTAGTCCGCCATAATCTAAACCAACTTCTGCCTCAAACTCCACCCACAACTTGGTCTTTAAATTATCTGGTCTAGAAACTGAACTAATAACCCTGTATGAATCTTCTAGGATATGTGTCCTTCTCACTTTAATTTCAAATTTATTAGGTACATTACTCTAAAAAAAAAAAACAATTATTAAGATAGACCCATTACAAAAACTATCCAATTAAGAACGTCCAGCATATTTTCAAAATAAATACATTAATGTCACTTTCTACCAACAACTCCAAGAAAGCTAACGTTTCTATTTCGTGAATAAACAATTTTTTATAATCCTAAGACGTTCTTGTTTAGATTCCTACATAATCAAACTGACCGGTTTTTTCAATTGTCCTTTCATATACTCGTATTTTCTTTTATAATCTCTAGAATATGGAATAGCTGGACCTGCAATTGATGGACAAGACATTCTTGGGTCTTCCCATTGAGTTGTTCTTGTATCTTAATTTAAAAAAAACCAAATGAAAATTTGTAAGTTTTAATTTAATCATATTTTTACTATGATCAATGAAAAAAATTCGTCCATCACTGTGTTGTCTCTCTTCCCAGCCTTCCGGTAACGGACCCAAATCGTCTTCTACATTCTTGTTCGTCACTTGAACTGTTTGATTGGGCATAGGAGAAGCGCGCCCTGTTCTTGGATCAACCCACGATGTCGTACGCTCATTGTGATCGATGAAAAAGATGCGTCCGTTTGGAGCCACCTGCATGGACCAACCTGCGGGCAGACCTTCACTCTGCAAATTTTGTTGACTAACATTGCTATTGGAAGATGTCGTCGAATCACGTCTAGATGTATTCGAACTATCCGTTGTGTCATCCGTCTATAATTACAGAAAAGTATCATTTTTATCTTATTTTTGTACACTTGTGTTACACAAGATAGATTAAAGTGACTGTAAAAGTAAAAAATTGTGGCAATACAAAAATGGAAATTTTTTGGTTGTTAAAAAAGTTGGTCCACTATTGTTTACAATTACGGAAATTTTAATATAATTTCATGTTTACAAAAATTAAGCGAAATAGGATTGCTTTCCAATTTATTTTTCCATAACCTGATATACAACCCAAAGTTAACTTAACAACTAAAATCTAAATTTGTGATTATGCAAACGACGCTGTAAAATAAAAACACACACACAAACACAAACAGGACATCATTGATACAATATACAATAGATGATGATTATATGATTAAAAAGCTGTGAAGCATGTGTGGAAATTTACAAGAAGCTGCGGTTTTTAAGCCAGGTCCACATCGAATCGAGTGCGGGACACCAACCTCATCGCTACAATCGCTGCGAGCATACATTCGTCTACGGGCAATTGAAGATCCCAATAAAGCGTTGGGAAACCCAGCGACTTCGTTAACGTCATCTACGGCTGAGTCTCTAGCACTACCGCCGTAATCGCTTTCGGCGCTCGCATAATAATCAGATGAATCGTTTCTTACTGAATTTGTCTCGGAGATGATGCTCAAACGATTCGACGCCGAACGACGACTTTCATCATCATTACTAATTATTTCTGCCGTTTCGGACTGCTGTTCTTCGATTATTATCCGATTGTTGTCGTTCGATTCGTTTAGTTGACTCTCTGTAGAAGGTGTCATGCATCCCTAAGCACCGTGCAAAACAAGATCACCACATGCGCAGCTCGTACGCTTAATTAATTCATTGTTATGATAATGTTTTTCAGTTAAAAAAAAAACAGATTGAATTACGAATTCATAATTAACGTAATTATATGATTAGTAATGTTACGAATATGTAGTTTAAGATGATTTTAGTAAATTTCTTACCCGTGTAGTTGCGTTCGAATGTTCATGTTGGTTCTCATCGTCAACACTAATATGGAAACGACGGTCAAATTCTACAGCTAATTCCAATACCCTTTGTTCTTGAAGTTGGTTATCCACATTTAAACTGCAAAAAATTAAGTTAAAGTAATACTTTGTCCCACATAAAATGCAACACTAACCCTAAACCTAAAACTAGAAACATTCTGTTTAGTCGTGCGTCTCTTAAGACGGCTAAACCCGAATGTTTCTAGTTCTAGGTCTTGTGTTAGTTCTAGTGATAATGCAAAACTAAGAAAACTGACCTATCCTAACATTACCCCATATTTTTATCAGCGTTGATTGACATTTGTAACATTTCTAAATAAAACTAACCTAACTCAACTTTTCTTTTCTGGAAGTTATTGTTCTTTTTAATCTTACTATATTAAAACACACTCTTTGATATTTTGCTGGAACTGCGTAGAACAGGTACAATAAATTATTTGCATCCACTTAAAAAGATTATTTTCCATCATAATACACAATATAATGGAATACAAAGCAATGTTTGTGCTACATAAAGAAAAAATCAAAAACTACCTGTATTTACAGATAAAACCGTTTTGTTTGCGTTTCCTTACATGATAACATTATTGTTGAATAAACAGTTTCTACAAACCTAACGTTTATCTTTCAACCTGATTTTTTAAATATATTTAAAACTAATTTACTTAAAACTTTGTAATATAAAAACTATAGACTAATAAGTTAATAGATATAAAAATTACTTACGTTAAGGTCGGTCTTTCCCACTGAGTGGTTCTTGCTATGTGATTAACATAGTACGTCCTACCGTTCGCATCTTGCCGTTCCTCCCATCCTTGCGGAAGCTCTGCTGTTGATTCCGTCGACGGTGAATTAAATATGGATGGCTAAAAAGCAATATTAAATTTGTAATAATTTATAATCACTCATGAGGGTACCTACGTACTGCATCATCTCCCACAGAATTATTTACAATCTGCCAATCGTTGTCGGGTCTTTCTTCTTCCGGCACGTCATCGATGGTGTTGTTACGCAGGAATGCATGATAAATCTCCAAATACCCGCGCACTCTCGACCGTGAACTGTAATCACTACATACAGCACCACAGGTACTGTCAACATGCAATACTCAAGCAGAAGGCAGAATGCGTAGATAGATGAAGAAGTACTTTTATTGTAGATGAGAAGAAGTATTTATCATATTATGTTATCTGTTATCAATCGCTTATTTACAAATGTTTTCACTCTGTGTATGAGCCGTTTAATTTGTAAGAGATATAAGTCCATTTATGTCAATATCAACGTGACTTAACATGCTACTCAAACAACTCGACTTAAAAGCAATGGGTCAAGCCAAAATCAGAAGGATTTCTGGTTCCAAAATGAACACTTTTCCAGACCGTTTGATTTCTCGATAAGAGAATTTGGTTTGCTAACGACTTTTTTTTTGAGTTACTTAAAGGGGTTGGTCTACGTAAACAACCCACAGTTCGCTTTCAAGAACAACATTCGTAAAGAAATCGACAATCTAACGCCGGAATTAAAATAATAATTGCAAAAATATATACAACATACAATATATTTTTTATGGCAGCTAAGTTTAAGTGTAAACACAACTAAAATAATTGATAAATAGACTTAGATCACATTCAAAATAAATGACTCATATAATTTACAAGCTCATGCGAGATATTACAATACTCAATAGATGTTGAAAACAAAAAGTGTAAAAATATGTTTTTAAATGATCAAGGTATATACGTTATATCGTAATTTTATAGCTCCTATCCCCTGTTGGTAAATAATATATCTCTTAAATACTAAGCCATTAAAGAAAAAAAAGAATCGAAAGCCATGCTTGCAATATCTACAGTTATAAGAAATTTAAGAATGTACATCTATAAAAATCCGTTTTGTAATATGATTATTGAAAAAATAATATGAAATGTTAGTAAAATAATTAATACTCTGTGTTTAATGAACCAAAAATTGATACATAACAATTATGCTTCATACAATATTTAAATTTTTTTAAACACAAAAAATCGTCTGCGTTATTCTAGTAACGGCCATGACCCGAGAAAAATAAATTTATAATTTCCGCCTCGATAAGTACTAGTTTTATCTGTGTACTTTATGAAACACTATATTTTTTTTAGATAAAAAGTTGCTGCAACAAGTCCCACGAAAGCGACGTAACTCTTTTGCAGTGTGACATTTTTTTTAACCCAATTTTTAATGCAATATAGATAAAACATCATACTTTAAAATGTATGACATGGTTGTTCAATAACATTCAATTTTATACACAAAAACAATTTTAATCACAAACGCACATAAACATATTGAGTTCAAAATATTGATTGGTCTTGCTGTTTTTACAATTTGTATTCAAAATGCTCAAAGCATGCGCAAAGCAGGAATAAGTATATGTAGATTGGCTTCTTAAAGTATCATGTTAAATCCAATACAACATATGTTCAGTACGTTTAAATCCGAAATGAAACTGAATTTAGATTATTTTTTATTGAAATTATTGCCAATAGTGAACAGGGAAGGATTCATGTAATATATATCTTCAAGTGTACAATCACATACAATGATATTACTCAGCTGCTATGTGGAGAGAAGATATGACCACATAATAGTTATTTAATTTGTTAATTGTGCTTGTTATTTAATTTATAAATGTAAATGTGTTAATGTTAAGAATTAAAAAGTAAGTCATGTAACTCTTTGTTTTGAAAATTGAATCTAATATTTTAATCCACCCAATTATGCAGATTCCTTAAATTTATTATTCCATCTTTCGAAGATGGAATATATTTGTTGTTGCATGTTCTAGCAATATTCCAATCTTATTGGATAATGAGTCAGCTTACTTCTGAAACCTAATCAGTAAAATGAGTAAAGATACCCCTCTTGAAGAACATGAGACACAATCTATTACTCATAAAATTCTGTTAAACTTCAAGTAGTATGATGTTTGCAAGACATTCACCCAAAATCGAAAATTTTTGTAGTAAAAGATTTTCTGTTTTATAGATATCCGTGATATTTACTTTCAAATCAAGAATTCATAGAACATTTTAAAGTAACAGCACAGCAAATGTTTGAAGTTATTTCCCAAACTTTTTATCAATTGGGCTCCATGAATTCACGATCTCCCACTAGCGCGGCCTAAACCAGGGTGTTAGCAGATTGTCTGGGTAGCACCATGTATCTGATTTTGCAATATTTGCTCAGTATTAACTTTCGTGGCGTACACTATGCTTTTTAAGTGACCCGAAAAGTAAAAATCAAGAGGACTGAGGCTGGGCGATCATCATGGTCAGGCCATAGGACCATCTCAACCTATCCATCTTCCAAACAACTCATTATCTACATGTCGCCGATTATATCTAGGAAACTGAAAAACTTTTACTACATTTTTTTCATCTGTTAGTCATTATTTGTCATGAGGGATAAATCTCAAAGTTTGTGGGCATAGGTTGAGAATCATCCTGTATAATTCTCATTTAGAACTTAAATTATTATTGAAATTGAAGCTTTACATTTCATCAAAACTATCTCAGAAAAAATTAAATATAAATATGTCTGGTACAACTTATTAATTGCATAATGATTTAATATTGGTTTACACTGTACCAAATTTCATCACTTTATCATTAACAATATTTTCACTCCAGTATGATTAATATGTTCCCTAAGTTGCCAAAACACAACAGTATAACTATACATTCATTAAACACAGAATATTTATATATAATTCACTTCAAAACCCAAATAATCCTTAACAGACATCAAATTTTTGAAAACTTCATCCATGATGTCGTTTAAGCATTAAACAAATTAATAAAATAAATAAAACATCATATACCTTCTTGGTTTTAAAACATATTTTGTTGGTAAAATAGCTCGTCCCTCTTGTTCTTTAGGTAAGCTGATTAACGTCAACTCAACCATGCCCAAAAAATCATCTCTTGTTAATCTGTTCTCATCGAATACTTGGAATATAAGTTTATGTTCTGCTGGCTTAACCCTAAATACAAATTCTTCGTTCCAATTAGGATTCAATGTCTTCTTTTTTGTTTTAGTTAATACAGAGTCAATAGTTTCATCCCCATTTATAGTATTTAGGTCAATCCGTACATATGGATCACTAAAATTTAAATTGTATTAAATTTTTGGAAATTTAACAGTATTGATGGAGTCACCTGGCTCCGAAAATGTCTTTCTTTGCAAGTCCTATTCCCTTTATTACTTTTATTCGTAAGTTGCTTGTTGGTTCCTCGTTCTGAAACAAAAAAGAAAATAACTACAATCATTATTTCTAGGTTATGTCCGTAAATTAATTGATAATAAAAATCGGCATAATTTAGAGGTGTGTATATTATATCGATGTAATCGCATTTAACTGAGTATTATATTACTTACATATCCATCTATTCCTATCCTGGGCACGTACCCGTACAGATTATCAGATGCCATGAAAATATTATGGTTTTTTTTCTTGTAGTAGAAGTATGAAGGTTAACTACAAGCCCAAGCGAACATTTACACTAAAATGAATTTTTCGTTTCACAGCCGCGAAGGATTACGATATTTATTTAGACGAAAAAATTAGATTTAAAAGAAAATTACGAACGAACGATATAACGAGTAAATACAACGACGAACATTGTGTGTGATGTCAGAAACGTCAAAATTACAGTCGATGTTCGTCTCTCTTTCACTTTTGCAAATTCCGATTGAATGATTATCATTCTGTTTCTTTTCCCAACTCGCCGATAATCCCCTTCGGGATGTTTCATATTATCACAATCTATTTTTTTATAAAGTAATAAATAATTAGTACCTTAATGTTTTATTGAAAAATATTAATTTTAATAAAATTATAAATAATTAATTCAGAATATGATTTTTTAGATCGTGTGTACAAATAACGTGATCGAGAATATAGTTTTTTTCTTGTTTTAAAATTGGCACCCTTGAAATTATTGGGGAATATTTCCGACACATATAGATTGACATTTATATAGATTTTTAGATCTATATGTATATAATCTAGAATATTTCCAATTTTGAATTAAAATTCAAATCTATAAAAAAGACGACTTAGTGCCACCTATCGATCTTGACATTAAACGACTGAACGTCTCACATTGGCCACATTATATGTCGGTATTGTCGTTATCTGTGATTCAAACAAATTTGATATTTGATTTTAAGAAAATCTAATAAAGTGTGATTAATACATTATTTTGATTCTTGTTTTACAACTAGTTACAGTTTTTAGAACTCCTAATCATTTCTATGATATGTACTTATACATTGTTCTAAAGTGTAAATCATTAAGATAAGATACGTGATCAAAATTAACATGGTTCATAAATATCAATTTAATTTTTTTATCATATTATAATTAATTTACCGTTTCAATTACACATAGCGATCTTCTTGGAGCTCTTGGCACTTGGGCGGTAGAAGGTCCTCCGCTACCCCAAGTGTTGCTCCTTTGACGATGCTGGAACGCTCGCATGAATAAAATTAAACTTTACAACTTGTAAAATATCACTATATCACCACAACCATTATAAATACTATTATAAAATGAAAATACGTTTGTTTAAACCATTCACGAACTACTTAGCTATGTATATATATACATTCTTTGGGATACTTAATAAGTTTGATCGTCATTCATCTGCAAACTGACTTATCTACAAAGATTAGATCGTAGTCATAATAGAATAATAAAGACGGTGCGCGTTACAGCAACCAGTTGCGTTCATTTCGCTCTAACTTGCAAGGTCGACACTGTAACGTATGCGTGTATCGCGTATTAATGCAAATGGACCAATTGTAATTTAATTACAAACGATTATGAACAGGAATTGTCGATTTCATGATATACATAACATATAAAAAATTGTTTGAAACAAATTATGACACGACTATTTTATTATAGATCATAAATAAACGAGTTATAGGTGAGTCTGTCGATTAACGAGGGTTAATTCTTTTGCCATTGTGTTAATTGCAATAAAATTAGAAAATTGGGCGAAGAGATCCATTTTATGTATTACCTGTAATATATCATCTTATTAATACTTTCTACCTACCTGCTATGCATATCTAAGTTACCATGACTGGTTATATGGTTGCCTAACCTACACAACTATCTACCGAGTATTCAATTTTGAGAGAAATTCAATAACTTTAATTTGCTCGAAGTATTTGATGGCTGGAACAATTGTCCAGCCAAAATGTTTTGTAAGACACAACACAAAGATGCAGATACATAACAGTCCGTAAGAAGTACAACTAAAATATAAAATTTTATATCCAATTTGGGTAGAACTCCAAAGCTTGGGATGCTAAATCAAAGAAGTCTTCTTCTGCCCTAATCTTATAGGGTAGTCCCCTACAATGTGTTGGATAGATTGTTTTGAAGTTACCTCATAATTATAAAGGTTAATTAGTAGGATAAATATTTGGCATAATAATATTGAAATGTGTTAAGAATGAAAAACACGTTTTATTTTACAAATACTTGATAAAATACAGATATAGTATGAAATACAGAAAAAGTAACGGCTATGTTATAACTGGTAGAATAAATTTTTATAAAAATACTATTGAACTAAGTAGTCTCAAAATAAATAATCTAAGTATTATTACAATTAAATGTTGTCATCTTCATTTTTTCATATTTTTTTCAATAAATTTCATTAAATTCTTTTGGAGGGTATTCATTTGTTCCATCATATGAGAATCAAGTTCGGGAACTTGGGAATCATTTAACATTCCGAACGGTTGAATGGAGACAACTTGACCATTCTTCAAAGGAATATTAATATTTGCATTTTTTGGTTGAGTATCAGACGTCATTAATGGACTTCCTTGTACAGAAAACGCCATTTCTCCCATATCTGGTCTCCGTAAAAGGGCTTGTGGTGTGTTTAATTTAACTTTTGGTGTAATATAACCAAAATTTTGTGGTTTATTGGATGGTGTTGTATAATTAATTACAGGACCATTGTTGTTTGAACAAGATTTTGATCTGCGAGTATTTTTCTTCACCGTCATTGTTTTCTTGGTTTTTGATTCACGTGTTAAAGAACTTGTACGACTTCCAGCTGTAAGATAACCTAAGTAACCGTAAAGGTTTAACATGTTAGAAATGTAATGATGGAGTTATTGCATATAAATATTAAACAATTAAATAAGAAAAAAGATAGTATTATAAAAAGAACCCAACACAAAAGCATGAATTTAACAAATTTAAATGAAAAGTATATTTGTAAATCAAACCTTCATCGTCTTTAGATTTATTTCGTAATCTACTGCTTCTTCCTTGATTACCATTTGATTTTTTAACTGTGCTAATTGCAGCACCTGCTAAATTCGAAGTAGTAGACAAACTATTTAAATTTGAAAGTGAAAGAAAACCAGTTGCTATCTACAAATTACAAAAAAAGAATTGTTGAATATAAAAAAATAACATGGATTAATTTTAAAACTCACCATTTCTTCTACCGTTTTATTTAAACATGATGATTTTTGCATCTTCACTCCTTGAAAGAAAATTTGTATTTGGGCTATCTCTTTTTCAAGTCTGGCGTCTATATGCTCCAAAATCATGTCAGCTAAAATTCAATCCCGTTTTTTATACAACTCTTTAAAACACATCTGTTTAAAATTTACCTCCTTCCATAAATGATTCATTAAAGGCTCTTAGTGAGGACTTTGGCAGCTTTATGCTTGTAGTGGACTTAGTAGAAGTAGATTTTCCACGTTTTGTTCTTGGCATCTTAATTATTTGATGTTATTTCTTACCCCAAGATGTGAATTAGATCATAAAAAACAGTCCTTGAGGTAACTTTTAGTGAAAAAACTCACATTAACGACAATTTTATTCAATCGTAAACTATATTGTTTTCTTATCTTTTGGTTTTCTTTCTAAATTACACGCAGAAATAAGTTCAGAAAAATTCCGGAAGTTTTTGTAACGTTCTTTTATGACACTAAAACTTTTGTATGTACCGCCAACCTTAAAAAATTAAACTTCTTATTTTTAACGGACAAATTGTTTCGACACAAATTTTAATTGTATTTTTAATCGATTTATGTTTTACATATAAGAATAAATATATTGCATATAAATTAGCGATTTTTACATTATTATTCTATAAATATTTACAATTCATGTATAGGAACTTTTATGTTTTTGTGGTTGTGTATTACGCTATGGTAGCTGGCTTTAATAAAAATAAATGTGTACCTTGGTAAATGGATAATAGATGGTGCGACTAAAAATTTCAATTTTATTTAAAACCTGTTGAATTTATACCGATTTGTACAATATAGCGATTCCCAGTCTCGTTTGAACCGATTTGAAAGTATCGTCATAATTTATATGGTAAATATATGAAGTTGAACGGTATTTTGAGTTCGCATTTGCCAATACAAACTTTAGTTGAACAAAAGGTGGCGCTACATAGAAGTTATTACGCTTAAAATTTATTATCCGAATTTTATTAGTCTTTCTACGCCACACATTTACTTTACAGATACATTAAACTATTAATAGTTTATAGTGTAATATTATTATATTAGAAATCTTTAAATATGTATAATTTTTCTTTGATATTTTTGAACTAACTTCACTTAAGACTTCTAGAATGACAGTTGTAAATCAATATGGCCGTTTGTTGTTCTGTGCCCAAGTTCATCGAAAGGAACTCTGTTTAAATATTTGTCGAACAGGTTCTGCCAAATAAATAACCTTATCGTATTTATTGAACCATTTATACCCCCGCCTTGGACCTGACTAAATAGTTGCAGTTACACGTTTATTCGGTAAACAAGAAATTCGTTGTTACTTATTAAAATTATACAGGTAGGTAAGTAATAACAACTATCTTTAGTCCAAAAAAAACATTTTTACGTTTCAACTTTAGCGATTATTCTTATCACCTAATTAAGTAATTGCTTTACAACGTTTTAAAAACGTTTTTATTGTTAGTGTTCTATAAAATTGAGTATAGATTGGTTTTAGATGTCTAATATAATTCCACCATTAGTAAGCAATTCTCCACCTCCTATGGTACTTACGTTGGATGAAGATGAAGATGAATTTGGCGATTTTACCTCTGCAGGTGATGGAACCTATGCTTACGATAGTAAGTGTTTTGTTTGCCTCCATATGTTACCAATAATCTTTTTCTTAAATATTTTGTAGATTATTCATTGCCGACCACTCCTCAACACACAAAATCTTCTTCACCTGAATTGTTCCTGACACCCAATAATAATCATAACAAAAACATTGTTCAAGATGAAAATAATTGTGATTTAAAGTCCATAAGTGCGCCAACAACAACTAACAAAGTCAATTTAATTGAAAGTCGAGATTCTTCATTTCCTAATAATATAAATAATGTATATAGCGATAAAGATGATATTTATTATAATAATAGTAAAAATATGATTAAAAATGAGTTTGAAACGGTTTCCGTGCCAATTAAGGACATACATAAGAATAAAGAAAACATTGGTGGTGGTTTAAACGTGCCTTTTGTAGTTGACGATAAAGAATTATCCGTAAACGATATTGAATTGGATGTTAATGGTGATGATTTAGGGATAAATGATGTAATTAGTGATGAGACTAATTTATCAAATGATGAAGAACCGCCCGATCTTCATGTTGTTGATGATAAATACGATAATGAATCGCCTGAAATTGATGATCTTAGTTATTATGATGATTATGAATATAAAAATGATTATAATAAGAAATCAAAAAGTGGGGATGGGAGGGATTTTAATGAAAATACCGTTAATATTAGTTCTAATTTAAAAAATAAAGAAAAATCTAATGAAAATAATGAAGAAGTTTGTGGGGATTGTTTAAGTAATAATGATAATAACGTTTTGAAAATTGATTCAATAAATGAATTAGAAAATAAAGAAATTCAAGAGGATTTTGAAATATGTTTAGAGAAAAGTGTCAATGAAGAAGAAATCCTAAGGAGGTGTAATGCTCAAATTGATTCTTCGATAGATACAGATAAAAGTAGTACACCAATTGAAGAAAACGACGCTTTTGTTGATGCTGTAGAAGAAATAAATGAAATTATTAATGCTAATGAATCAAATGATTTAAAAGTTAATGATGAAACATTAAATGAATCTTTTTTTAATAAAGAATATGAATTACTAGAAGAAAATACAAATTTAGACTTTCAAGAAGATTTTGGTGATTTTGCAAATTTCTCAGATTTTTCATCTTCCCACGAATTAAAAGAAGATAATCAAAATATTAATCCCACAATTTCCAAGACACCCAACGAAATTTCTAGTCTCTCCGAACAACTTAAAGACACCCAATTAGACGATTTTGACGATGATTTTGGTGATTTTTCAATAGCAACTTCCGCCGTCGACGTTGATGAATCTTCATTGTCAACGCAAGATGAATTAGCTGAATGCGCATCGTCAAATCGTGAATTTATTGATAAAAGTCAAGTATTGGAACGCATGGGTAATATTTTAAAAGAGTCATTTCCTGTTGGTTCACCTGAAGGTGTCGATGCGCAACTTTTAATGAACGATTATCTTATGACAAACCAAGTTTTTAACCAGATGAAAAATATCACTGAAACTAATGCGTTGAGTTACCAATGGGCTAAATCTGTTAGTCAGGAGAAAATGTTGAACGCTTTAAATATTGATACTAGAAATATTGTAAGTTTAAAAAAAATTTTTAATACAGGGTCATCCATAATGACCATTAGAACTATATAGAGAACCAAATGAAGTGGGGGTTTGAAAATTTGCGGAATTATGACGTTTGATGCGATTTTTTTAATTAAAATATTTTCAGTTCCCAATTACTTGTGGTTACACTGGAAGTGATGTCAATTTTTACATTTCAAATGGAACACTGTATATTATTACATTTTTGAAATTTTTGTTCAATTTTAAGCCACTTGTATGTTACATACCCTATACCTAAGTTTCATCATTTTAGAGATATTAATTTTTTTTTTAAGATGACAGCTGCAATGTTTTATTCAATAATTTATAACTCATCTACTCTGATCATTGGTTCTTTAACCACAAAATAATAAAATTGAAAACATCCAGAGCGCATTGGATACCAAATAAGCAGTTAGAGCAAACAACACTTTATTCTTCAGATGTAATTTTAAACGAAACTTTAGTACCTAAATGAGAAAATGTAAAAAGTAAAATAACTATTTAATTAAATGTTCAAAAACACTACCATTTTCTCCTAAACATGATTCAATTCTTGTTAACATGTGACGGTTGGTGGCCTCTCAGATAGAGTTGCCAGGTAATGAATTGAATGCAGCTTAAATTCTGTTTTGCATATTATTTTAGTCGCTTACAGGATTTGCATACACTTGGTCTTTAATAGAACCCCAAATAAAAAAATCTAGTGGAGTTAAGTTAATTCGTTAATTCCAATCCATCTATCTTCAAGTATAGCATTGGTCCTATGTGCAAATCATGGAAGAAATCGCAACACATTGCGTAAAATTCCTTGGTATCTCTCTAAATAAAATGAATTCATATGATAGGGTTACAATTTGAAAAAATGGCCTTTTCTCAAATTCAACTTTGATATTATAATTTGAACAGCCTCTATAACATTTTGAAGAACCTTACTGATCCTTCATAATGCATTACTATCACAACACTGATTTCTAGCGAGCATTTCAGCGATTCCAGCTGGCATTTTATATTGAAAATATTAATATCTCAAAAATGACTCAACTTAGGTATAGGGTATGTAACATACAATTGGCCTAAAATTGAACAAAGATTTCAAAAATATAATAAAATAATAAAAAACCCCGCTTCATTTGGTTCTCTATATAGTTCTAATGCATGGTCGTCGTGGATGACCCTGTATAAGTATGAAAAGTTATAAAACTTTTTGATTTTGTAGTTGTATGGTCCGGGTTGGAATCCTTTAATGCCAAAATTTGCAGCAAATCTCCGTACGACACCCTTGGAACCAATTAGATCTGATTTGTTATTGACACCTTTAAAACCGAACTCATCTGAGTGCTTAACACCCTCTGAATCAAGTTCCGCGGAAGTTCCAAGCGTGCAGTTTGATTGGAACGTTGCCGGATTAATAAACCCATTAGACTGTAAGTAATTTAATTTTATTTCCTTTTTTTAATATTATAAGATGTATTCAGTAAAACAAAACGATAATAACACTTGATTTATCTTTTCCATGCTTGCTTTAAACGGACATTTTTCTGTATTTGTGGTAATAAATAACCCATTTTCTTATTTTAACTTTTTTGTGTGTGTGTTGATGAAATTGTTGTTAATTTATCTGAATGATTATGAAAAAAGCTGCTCAAAATGGTACGATGTTGCTTGATTTAGAGCAATTAACAGCTTCGTTAGATATTTCTTGTATTAAAAGTACTACCAATGGTGATTGTCAAAATGTTATTGAGGATGAATGGGAGTATTGGTTAAAATGTAAGTACATTAAACGAAATATATTAAATCCAACTGGTTAATGGCTATAGCGCATCACGCACTTGAATTATTTTTTTATTATAGATTTAAATAAATAAATAAAAAAAAACAGATTTAATAGACATAAAAATATTTAGTCTATCAAATAGTCAAATATAAATTTTAATATTTTATTTATACAATTAATATAGAGTTCTAGACTTCACTAGAATGCCATTTGGATTAATAAATGCAGCTCAAACATTTCAACGCTTTATTAACGAAGTAATTTCCAGTTTAAGTTTCATTTGTGTCTCCTTGGATGATATTGTTACTGCTAATAAAGACAAAAATGAACACTTAATTCACCTTTAACGACTTTTTGAAAAATTAGATAGTTTTGGAATCAACATTAAAGCGTCTAAATGTGTTATTGGAGTAAGTTCAATAGACATTTTAAGCCATCATATATCTTCCATAGGTTAATCTTTAAATAATTTTCCTCAACCGCAAAATCTGAAAGAATTCCAGAGATTTCTTGGATTAATCAATTTCTATCACAGATTTGTTCCCAATTTTTCTGAAATTCTTGCGCCCTTACATTTTCTTTCGACCACTGTTTGCAAAAATAATCAGAAGCACATTACTGTGTTGACAGATGAGCACACTGACTCTTTTTCACGTGCTAAAGATCTGTTATCTCAGTCCGTATATATCGCGCATAATATACAGGTATAGGTGCAGTTTTGTCTCAGGCTATTAATAATACAACCCAACCCGTCGTTTTCTTTTCAAAAGCGTTATTACCTAGTCAAATGAATTATTCAACTTTTGATAGGGAATTTTTAGCTATTTATTCATTCTAAATCAGATAAAACTCCAAGACAAACACGTTATCTTCATTATATATCTCAATTTACTTCAGACATCAGGTATATTAAAGGAGATTCTAACATTAATATAGAATCCCTCAACTTTTCTTATCTTGATTTAAAACAGTTTAAACATGCACAATCTAATACAACATCTTTTATAAGCCCAATCTCGAAGTAATAATAATTTTACACCCGTTGAAGAAAAGTCAACTTTTCCTGATAAAACTCTTTGGTGTGATGTATCCATTCCTAAAATTTATATTCCCGAAAAACTCTGCAAACAAATTTTTCAAAAATTTCATTATGTTTCATATCTTGGCATATCATGGTATACGTGGAACTCGTCATTTATTAAAGACGCTCTTCTTTTGACCTCACATGAGTAAAGTCTCTTTGGAAAATCTTCTATTCAGCATATAAATGTTTCACAAGGCAGATTGGAACATATACATATAGATCTTGTTGGACCTCTTACTCATTCTTCTGGTTATTCATACATTTTAACAGTTATTGAACGTTTTACTCGATGGCCAGAAACATTTCCAATTATAGACACTTCAGCGACCACCATGGCAAATACTTGGTTCTACACAAATTAGCACTTCTGTTTATCATCCAGAAAGCAATGAAATATTGAAGAGAATTCATCGTATATTCAAAAATTCCATTGTTGCACGTGGAAGTAGCAACAGTTGGTTTCATGATCTTCCAATAATTTTATTAGGACTCAGATCTTCTTTAAAAGAAGATCTGGGATGTTTTGCTGCTGACCTTGTGTTTGGACAACCTCTTCGTCTTCCAGGCGAATTCTTTCTTAAATCAAACTGTTTGATAGACACAGATCAACTTCTTCTTAGTCTGCGTGAATCTTTTGCAAATTTGAGACCAACTCAGACTAACTTTCATTTAAAATTAAAACCATTTATACACAAAGAATTGTTTAAATCAATACATATTGATCATTTACAACCAGCATTTTTATTGAATGAAACCTTACATGATATTAATACTGTTAAAGAAAATCCTAAAGAAGTAAAATTAATACTCCAATATAAATTTTAATCTTTTATATATACAATTAATATAGAGTTACTAATAAATGAACTCTATAAAGGCCATTGACTATTGGTTATTTATATTTCGGTGATATTACTATCATTGCCAAAAGTTAATTTAAAATCTAAAGTGTTTCTATTATTTGGCACAGATAGTAATTTCCTATATATTTTTGCATATTAAAACAAATTTGATCTGAATTTTTGTTGTAATCCATTATAATAGTAATAATAATAATTTTTATTAATTGTTAATAGCATTACCACCAGAATTGAAAGATGAAAAAGCCGAAAAATCTCACGATTTTATTTCACATCGAAGAAGTCACAGCGATAACGAATCAGTCAAATCTCTCCAATTGATAACCGACACCGAAATAAGGTCTGAAACAAACGTTTCGAATCAAAACGTTGAAGATTTCGACGATTTCATCGGCGGGCAGTCATCTTCATCTACGTCGTTTGCCTGGCAAAAAACGATACCTTTAAAAGAAACTTACATCTCAACTGATTTAATTGAAAGTAAAACAACGCCAGATGTTTTAACAAAAAATATTTTAACAAATACTATCGAAAACGATTTTGAAATAATGAACGTTGAAACGTTAGATGTTAGAAAATCGTTGGAAGTGAATAAAATTAATGAAAATATTAGTATAATTAATGAAGATGATGAATTTACGGATTTCCAAATGAGTTTACCAGAAAAAACGATCAACGTCGCGGTTATTGAGGAAAGAAAAACGTCGCTTGAGAATATTTTGCAACCAATTCGAGCATCGTCCGAAATTTTAAAACCAGAAACGAAAACCGTTTCTGAACAACCCGTAATTTTATGGCCAGATCCGGGAGTTACGTCTGATGAGTTATTACATATTGAGTTAAGTTATAGTCGAAAAAATGCTTGTGATAACGTTGTAGTTGAAAATAACGCGGTTACATTAAATTTAAATGATAGCGGCTCTAAAGAAAATATCGAATCAAATCAAAAAAATGTTATCGTTAACGGTAACTTTGATTTTAACACAAAAAATGTTGTTAATAACGAAAATAGTGTGAGCAAAGACCCTAAAAATATTAAACAAAGCGAAAAAACTTGTTTAGATGATGAATGGACTGATTTTGTTTCAAATCAAGAACCTTTAAAACCGTCATTTCAACAGCTTTCAGTACCCCAATTATCACAATTACAACCCCCTAAGCAACCAATTCCTGTGATAACTCCCATGGGTTTGATTCAAACGAAAATACCATCTAACACAACTTCTTTAAGACCACACCAACAACAACACTCTCAAATTCTTTCTTCACATAAAAACGTGCATCAACAACCATTAACAATCAGCCAACAATATCAAAATCATTTAAACGGACCGATATTTCCTAAATTAGCTCAAAATATATATTTGCCGAACCATTTTCAACCGGCCAAATTGAATTTGGAACCGTATCAATCATTCGGGGATAAAACAGCTACAAATGACGATGATGATTGGACGGAGTTTGTATCCAGTGCACCGGTTCAACAACAACAATTTCATGATGTGGGGAAAATTCAACAAAGAAACGGAGGATTTACGCCGAATATAATAACGAATCCGGGTCATTTTGATATTAATTATGGAGTGGGTAAAACGCAAAATAACGTTAGTTCTTCGAAAAATATTCCGAGTATTTCTGCTTTACCCGAACTTGATTTTGCTGCTTCTAAAAATAAAAGTTTTAAAAGAAAATGACTACAGGAGGATGTCATGCTCTAAAAACCTAATCTTTGAAAGGGCTGGAATTCTTGATTTGTTTAAATTCGTCTGGTTAAATAAGATGTTTTATTAACATCTTTATTTGTTATATCTGCAGGGGTCGTACAAAGGTGTCCCATAAATTTGATAAGTTAATTGTATATCAAATAATTCTGACCTAAAATAAAATTATGGTACTTTTGTGGTTTAGGATATAATTATTATGACGACTAATGTGTAGTACCTTTATGGAACACCTTTACCAGATGCTCTGCATAATTAGATAAATATTTTTTCTGTGATTACACATTGTTTATTATAATTTTTTTTTCTTTACAATTTTGAATTTGAATATTTTGTGAAATAATCGAATTTGATTTTTTACGTTCAGTATTCGATTTATTACTCTTATTGTAATATTATTACGTTAATTTGCACTATAATAATTACTTACATTTTATAATTACCACAAGATGAATTTTATTGCAAAATTTATTCTACTAGGTATAATAAGTTATAACGTACTAATTAAAATAAAACAAAATACAATTGTAAAATTCCAATAAATTTGTTATTGCGAATAAAATTCAATCGGTTTGGGGCAATTTTAAAAAAATGCAAAAAAGTGTACTGCGAATTGTACTTAATCACAATGATTTTATTCGTCCATTGTAAATATATACTTGTTCAAAAAAACATTCCAGTTGTATCTGTCAAATAAATAAATTATGATTATTAATTTAATTGTTTTTCTGTTCTTTTATATTATCAATGCAAATTTATATTGCGTAATCTTATTTATTACTTATAAAAGAAATAAGATTAATTGGCTATATCCCAATTAAACTGATTACAAGTCAAATTGATTCTAAATTAAATGAAATCAGAGAGGTGACTGGCTGAAGAGTTTCATAGAGGATAATTAGTAGCGTTAAATAGATTCTATAAATTACGACCAAGGAGATTATACAAATGAAAATCGGCAGCAGATAAACCAGGAGATACCGATATTAAGAGATATTAATCAATAGTAGATATAGAAACTCTTTCATATTAGTTAGAACTTATCTGGGAGCATATATTGAATCAGACTACACATCCTTGATAGGAGTCATGAAGGTGAAATTGAAGAAAATGGCTGTAATTAAATATGATATGACAATTTTTCAACATCTCCCAGTAAAGCAAAAGGTAGGTGATTTCATCATTGAAAAGGTCAAGCGGATAAAACAAGAGAACGTCATACAAGAGGAAATCATAATTTAAAGAAAATAGAAACAGCAAAGAAGTTCTTACAACCAGATAAAAAACGAAAAGGAAATCATGGATGACAGATGAGATATCTTAAACCTGATGGAGCAAAGAGGAATACAAAAAGAAATAGAGACAGATTAGGAGAAGGATCAGACAAGCCAGCGGCAGAGAGATGTGCAGAAATAGAAATGAGTTGAAATAAATAATATGGTGAAATAATTAGATATGGTGATGACAGATAGCATAGAGGGATTAGCAAAGTTAGTAGATCGAATCTCACATTGCCGTAAGCAATATACCTGGCAACTATATATGAGCAATAGAACAATGAACAAGAAATAAAATGCCGTATAGGAAAAACGGGGGAAGTTTTTAATAAAATAAGCAAAACTGTCAAAAGTCATGACATCTAAGAATTCAAGAGAATCATCAACAATCTAAGAGTCCTCAGGAATCCTGGATTTTAATAGAAGCCACAACTAAAACACTGAAAGTATTTGAGACATGGTTGAATAGACGAATGCACAAAATACTATGGACAGTGCTACAAAGAATGAACAAGGAATCGGATATCATGTATACCATCAAACGCATAAAATCGAGTACCTAGGACATTTCTTGAGAAATCAACACCGATATCGCTTACTCCAATCCATAATGTCAGGAAAGTCAAAAGAAAAAGACGACTCGGCAAAAGAAGGCTTTCTGAAGAAGGCTGCGAAACCGTGGACTGGGTTTGAGAAAACATCAGCAAAATTGTTTCGAGCTGCTGTCAAAATTATAATTGCCAACATTCGAATCGGATAGACACCTCAACAAGAAAATTTGAGTTCTTATTCTTTCTATTGTTGCAGAAGGTGACAATAACCTGTTAAGAAATGTCAATTTTCCAAGCAGAGAATGCTTGCGGATATCAAATCGATGAAAATCCAGGAGTTGAGGATTCTATAAACTTAAATAATTTGCTTCGAACACAATTTCCAACTCCAATAGAAAGAAATTTACGAAATAATGACAATTTTTCTTCAGTCGACGAAATTCCTGCTTCAGTTTTGAGAATAAAGCTGGCAAGGGTTGAACAAATACGACAAAAAATGTTAATCCTGAAAAACCTGACAATAGAATTTTTCATAGTCAAGCTGATGACATTTCACGCCCCCGTATTTGGTCGATGAAGCTATGCGCAAGAAGTGGTTAAAGCTGAAACAGAGCGAATGGGAGAGAAGATGTATGGGGAACGAATGATGTTATTGCGAGGTAGCCGAAGACGATCAAGATAATGAGGGGGAAGTTGTGAGAGGTGGCCATGTCCAGTAAAGGCATTCTGCTGATGACGGGATATTGTCCATTTAATATATATTTTAAAAGATTTCGAATGAGGGAGATGAACCGGATGTGTGTGTGTTTGGGGCGAGTGAGGACCCTGCAGCATATCTTGCAGGAGTGGCCGGAAGTGAGGAGAGAGTAGGCTAGGTGGAAATATCGATGACAACGATATGGGTGATTAGAAATGGTTAGTAGGCGAAGCCAGTGAGTGGCCTTGGGAGTAGTTGGCTTGAAGAGGAAGATGCAACCGAAAGGTAGGTGGGTTGTCATCATGTTTTATTCATGATGACGGGATGAAAAATTTCTGCCTAAACGTGAAGTGCTTCCTTATGTTTCATACTCATACACAAACTAACAATAAATTCGTTACTGCTTAAATGCCCACCGTAGGAATTTACTATTTTCAAAATAAATATTTAATTATGTTATTATTTATTTAAGTTTATATTTAAACACTAATAACCACCAAATTTCTATAGGCATATTGGATTTATATCATATCTTCTACAAAATAATATGGGATATGGGCCCTATTGAAAATTATTTATTTTTGCATTAATTTTATTAAAAAAATATCAAATACAATAAGATAATTCCAAATCGAAGTATATTTTAAGTTTTACATTATCGTCCACAACAACATCTCATCATATAATCGAATCTCTCACATAGTTCATATCCATTTAAAGGACAATGAACACTTGATGAACATCTTATAGGTAGGTATTCTAGAAAAATATAATTAACTAATATACTTAACAAAAAAAATTATTTACGATAGAATTGGGCGCAACCACAACAATAGCCATAGATAACAGCGGGATCGTCGTCACAAAAATGCGGTGGGCAACCAGTACACGGAGGATCTCCACCAAATAAAGATCCAACTAAAAACAAAATACACAAAAAAATAATTCCAAATCAAAAACAAAAAGATTTAAAATAAAATTACATAGTCTTGCCGTTTTATTTTTACCAACAACTTCACAATGAGAAATTCGAAAACTCCAAAAAAGCACCAACGCACAAAATAGATTAACAAACTTGTAGTTGTTCATCGTTTGGTTGTTTTGAAGCGAATTCTTTAGGAATAGACAAACTGGTTCGTTTAAATACTTGGGATTTATCTCAACTTGGGTTGGTTTTGCTTTAATGTTAGTTGGAGATAAAAATATTTTACAAGGTAATGCTTACATTTTCTGTATAAAACGTATTGTTTTACTGTTTTAAAAACAAGATTGTTAATCCGTTTTGACCATGTTCTATTTTACTAAAATCAAATAAAATTGTTATGACGATTTAAATGATCAATTTTGGGTTCTAGTCAATTTATCTTTTATAGGGATTTTTCTAAATCAATTTATTATTCAATTCAAATTGATGCAAAAACAAGTTCTAAATATTAATAAACAAGTTTGTTTTAACTTTTGAAAAGGAAATGACGCATCGTACGTTCTGATACGATTTTATTTTACGGTGTCTTTGGCGTCAGGTAAAATTTAAAGGTATACGTGATGAGCGAGGTGTTTTCCTTTGTAAATGCGCCTTACGGTTATCGTTGTCGTCGTCGTCGTTGAAAAGAGGGGAATATCTGGGGATCTTATTGACTTGCGCCCTCCCTTCATTACAAGCTGCAAAAAAGCGTTCGTTTGCAAGCGGTCTTTATAACGAACGACATACACAACACACACACTAATACCTAACCTGCGCTCAGTACTCATCGTATTACGTTTGGCTTTAAACGTATTTTATACGATTTCAGTGGTGACAAAAAATTTTAAAAAAATATATAGATTGTTGAAGAATTTATTGGCCACGTGGTTTTGTTTTATTTTCTTGACGCAAAAAATAAGTTTTAATTCAGGTTTTGTTAAAATTTTAAGAAGTGAAATATAACACCTGGTGATTAGGCTTTATAAAGAAATTAGGTAATAATGTAATAAATAGATATGGTGTTTTAAATGTTACTAATTGATATTGTATTACTACTAAACAACATCGAAGTGAATCATCGCTTAAATTATTATATCGATTTTCTTTGGTAAGTTATTTTTTTTGTGTTTCAATGGTATTCATAATTCGTCTAATAAAACTAGTTTTTAAAGTTATTAAGTCAACAATTTAACTTTGTCATTATTTTTTTTTACCTAGAATACCGGATGAGGATGGTGACAAATTATTACCTGCCTAGCGTATAAATATTTTTTCGCACGATTAATTGCGATTATCGCGTGATTAGTTTATTAATACATATTAACGATTACCTTTAAAAGACTATGTAATATAAATTTTGAAATTGAAGTGGAAAATTTTAAATTTAGCGGATGATTTATTAAAGAAAATTCTAAATTTGCAAAAACTATTAAACCGGCCGTTACTAAACAGCAATGAATAAATGTTTTCTGTGGTGGTGTTTTACCTCACGGGCACGTTTTATTATCGGGTCTTTTCTATTTTTGAAACCTTTACGAGCCCAACAATTTAAAGTAAACGACAATTCTAGGACGAATTCACGTGGAATTTCATTGTTCCTCCGACCTACATAGACACGAACATAAAAGTTTAATTTTAATTGAAATTTCTTGTAACTTTTTTTTATTGATATCGATTTGTTATCAAAAAGCTCAGTAATATCTTATTCCAAATCTTAATCCTTGTCCCAATACGAAAGAGGAAATGCCAGATTCGAAACGCCAAAATATTGAGGAGGTAACACAAAAATTACCTTTTTTGGGTAATCATAACTTGTAAACGATGTATTCGATTATCAGGATCTATACGTTATTCGATTCCACATAGTTTCTTCTATTGAAATCACAAAATGCCCGTTCTTAATTCTTTCTCATTAACCTTGTACAGCACTTAGAACAACACCGTGTTTAGCTCGCTGTTTATACATTAGACATCCGAAAGTTTAGCTCACAATTCGGAATATTTTGGACAAAAGTTTTAATATAAAAGTTGTAGCAAATTTTATTCTTAACAATATTGCTCTTTTACTCTTTTGCTCCCAGATGCATAAATATCGAGATAAATTCGAATAGGTGATAATTAGATAAAATCGTGGTTTTACATCTTGCTTTTGGTAGAGCACTGGAATCGGAACGTTGTAGAAAAAAAGTTTTGGTATGAAAGTTGTAGCAAATTTTATTCGTAACAATATTGCTCTTTTACTCTTTTGCTCCCAGATGCATAAATATCGAGATAAATTCGAATAGGTGATAGTTAGATAAAATCGTGGTTTCACATCTTGCTTTTGGTAGAGCAATGGAATGGGAACGTTTTAGAAAAAAAGTTTTGGTATGAGAGTTGTAGCAAATTTTATTCTTAGCAATATTGCTCTTTTACTATTTTGCTCCCAGATGCATAAATATCGAGATAAATTCGAATAGGTGATAATTAGATGAAATCGTGGTTTTACATCTTGCTTTTGGTAGAGCAATGGAATCGGAACGTTTTAGAAAAAAAGTTTTAGTATAAAAGTTGTAGCAAATTCTATTCGTAACAATATTGCTCTTTTACTCTTTTGCTGCCAGATGCATAAATATCGAGATAAATTCGAATAGGTGATAATTAGATAAAATCGTGGTTTTACATCTTGCTTTTGGTAGAGCCCTGGAATCGGAACGTTGTAGAAAAAAGTTTTGGTATGAAAGTTGTAGCAAATTTTATTCTTAACAATATTGCTCTTTTACTCTTTTGCTGCCAGATGCATAAATATCAAGATAAATTCGAATAGGTCATAATTAGATGAAATCGTGGTTTTACATCTTGTTGTTGGTACAGCACGGAATTCGGAACGTTTTAAAAAAAAAGTTTTAGTATAAAAGTTGTAGCAAATGTTATTCTTAACAATATTGCTCTTTTACTCTTTTGCTCCCAGATGCATAAATATCGAGATAAATTTGAATAGGTGATAATTAGAAGAAATCGTGGTTTTACATCTTGTAGTTGGTAAAGCACGGAATTCGGAACGTTTTAGAAAAAAAGCTTTAGTATAAAAGTTGTAGCAAATTTTATTTTTAACAATATTGCTCTGTTACTCTTTTGCTCCCAAATGCATAAATATCGAGATAAATTTGAATAGGTGATAATTAGATGAAATCGTGGTTTTACATCTTGTAGTTGGTAAAGCACGGAATTCGGAACGTTTTAGAAAAAAGCTTTAGTATAAAAGTTGTAGCAAATTTTATTCTTAACAATATTGCTCTTTTACTCTTTTGCTCCCAGATGCATAAATATCGAAATAAATTCGAATAGGTGATAATTAGATGAAATCGTGGTTTAACATCTTGCTTTTGATAGAGCATTGGAATCGGAACGTTTTAGAAAAAAAGTTTTGGTATGAAAGTTGTAGCAAATTTTATTCTTTACAATATTGCTCTTTTACTCTTTTGCTCTCAGATGCATAAATATCGAGATAAATTCGAATAGATGATAATTAGATAAAATCGTAGTTTTACATCTTGCTTTTGGAAGGTCACTGGAATTGGAACGTTTTAGAAAAAAAATTTTAGTATAAATGTTGTAACAAATTTTATTCGTAACAATATTGCTCTTTTACTCTTTTGCTCTCAGATGCATAATTATCAAGAATCGATCAAAAACGCAGTTAAATAGCGAATTTTGAGAATGAGCATTTTCACCTTCGAGCTTTTGATGATTAAAATTGATCAATTAATAAAGGATCTCATTGATGTGTTTGATTAATTAGTTTTTGCGTTTTAATCAAAATCCTTAAATACTTCGAATCCGACATTCGATTAAAAAATGCTATACATGTAAAATCTTATCTAATTTGAGGCTAAAAGCATAGGTTTTCAATACGTTCCAAGAATTAGAGGCAATAACCGATAAAGTGTTGCTATTTTCATTTGAAGATTTTCCACTTAAACTGAGTTGAGTGTTTGTGAGCATGTGGTCTATAATAACCTCTCAATATACACGGAAGATAGGTTCCAAAATACATAACAAATAAGAGATAAACATATAAAATAAACATTTATGAATATCTCTCTGAAAGATTTCTTAATCAATATTGCCATCTAAGAATATTATTTTGTAGTATTACATTAACAACATTAATTTTAAAAAAAATTAACTTTTTTCTAAACCATACAGTTTGTATTTTAATGATTGTGTCCTCAATTTCCTTTCTAGTTTAGGCGTTTAACTCCTACATAATGACCTTTACTTTATATATTTCATTAAAATTTTCTTTATTAATAGATGTTAAGAATAAACTTCCTTAAGATATTTATATTTTTAGTTCCTGTTGAAGTAATTTGTTTTAAAAACCTATGAATAACCGTATTTTATCCTATTATTCACGATAAAAAAAGTGAAATCGCGTGAAATTCACGTGTAAATCCTTTTTCTTTGGCATTTCATGTACGTTACACATCCTAAAATGCATTTAACAAGATTTAACATAGATTTTAAGTACTTTTACTTTTTTAACGTTAATTTTCTTTTAATTAATGAAAGTTCCCGTAACGTTTCCTTTGATTCCAAGAAATTAAAATATGTGTACGGTATTGACATTCTTGTACACGCATTCGCACTGATTAGAATATAAAATGATAATAAAAATAACGATTAGTATGCACTATTAATCATCTACAACGTTATGGTTTCCTTTTGTCATTATCTAAGTCTTAAACTATCTCAAGGTGTTCTTTCAACTGTTATTTTTTTTCTTTAATGCAAAAAAAGTTAATGTATGAATCACAAGAAAATAATTTAAATACCTTACTTTTTTTAACTTCACATTTAAAAGTTATTTTAACCTTGAATAAGTAAGTAATAAATATATTATAAGTAAGTTGGTTTAACGGTAAAATAAATTGGAAAACTGAAATAATTACTTGAAAGGTTTGTGTTTAAAATTTTTGCTAGAAAGTTTTTTTTTTAATTATTTTAAGGCTAAAAAATACATTAATTATACTTTGCATTCCAAAAAGAAAGCGGTTTTAGTATTATTAAACATTCGAAAGTTGAATAATTTAAGTGTAATGTTGGAATCAATTACATAAATTGCAAAAAATTGTTATTTATATTAAAATAAAAAAGAACTTATATTAAAATCGTATTAGAAACGTTGAAAACCCATCCAATTTCAGTAACAATCCACACGCGATTAACTATAATGAATAAAATTGGCGTGTCACCGTAACAAAATAATTGTGTGTGCAAACGTTTTCCACGCAACACCGTTGCACGTTTTTCATTCCAAATTCCAGCCTGTCGACAACAAAATTTTATTTATTTATGTCAAGTTACATTTTCCTATTCATGGATAGACTCAAATAATTTAAATTAACTTGCCATTTTTCGTTGCAGTGTTTAAAATTGGAATCGAGGTAACACGGAAGAAAGAAGCTTATAAAAAAAACAAGTTGGAGGTCGGATGATGGATAATAATGATTAATAATAATAATGAATTTTTTGCTATTTCTTTATCTAAACATCTTGCTCTCGACCGTTACGTTAATTGAAACCACCAGGGTTAATAAGTATTTGCATCAAGAACATGAAGTCTATAAAGTGGAACATGAAATATCCACAACCCAGGCGAAGAATCATGCTTTGACAATGGATTTAAACGATAGTAAGTTAAAAAACATTTTTAAACTTATTATTAACACTTAACTTATTAATCTAATAAATTATTTTTGATTCTAAAAAGTAGTTAACTCATTTCAACAATTTGTTAAAGTATATGTTATTAAGAAAAATGATGAGTTTATGATTCTAAATGATTTTTAATAGGACATGCAAATTAATCATGTAATTTAAAAAAAAAATGTTTGTCAGAAAGCCTTGAAAGTTTCCATTGCGTGATTTAAAAAAATAATGTTAATACAAATTTAAGTGAGTAACAATGCGAATTTGAAAAACCACTTTAGGATTCCTCAAACTAATCAATTGTAAGAACCAAAAGTGTTAAAGTCAGATATATGACTTTTGTACTCATAATTCACTTCGAATTAACAACAACTCCTTTGAACGCAAGAAATAACATCACGAACACACTCAATAATAGTGACTACATAATAACGAACAAGAAAATAAAACCAGAACAGATTATGGATATAAGAACTTTAAGATCAGTCAATATAGGCTCAGATCACAACCTTGTACTAGAAAAGCTAACGATGATAAAATTTTCACCAAATTATAGAGTTGTAAATCAAAATACAACGTTGATACACATCAATAGTGTATCAATAACGACTTCTATTAAAAATCAAACAATCGAAAGAATTAGATACAGTACAGGAGTTGGAGCAAGAAAAGAAAAGAAAAAATCTACGTGTTAAATTAATCGACACCTCGAGAAACAAAAAAGTTATAATTGCCATGGATTTACGTGACTTTGAAGCGCTCGAAATATCAAACAGTGTGAGCTTAGAATAAGTAGTGTTCGAAAAATTGGCGAGTTTATGAAGGAATGTATGTGGAATACTGTAAAAGTGGTAAAAGTATTCTGAAAGTAGTACTCTTCCAACAGTATCTAGTCTTTTACAAGCACTATCTAGTCTTTCATAAGCTGCATCTAGTTTTCTGCCATCAATATCTAGTACGGTTCCAGCAGTATGGACTCTTCTAGAAGCACTATCTGATCTTCCACTAGCAGTATCAACAATAGATGGGGATCTAGTCTTTCATGAGCTACATCAAGTCTTCTGCCATCAATATCTAGTACTCTTCCAACAGTATCTAGTCTTCTACTAGCAACATCTAGTCTTCTGTCATCAATATTTAGTACTTTTCCAACAGTATGTAGTCTTTTGTAAGCAGAGTCTAGTTTTCCACTAGCATTATTTAGAATTTAGTTTTCTACAAGCAGTATCTAATCTTTCATTAGCACTACCTAGTTTGTCTTGCTAAAACTGAATGAAAAAAAGACGCAATCACTCATACTCACCAATAGAGAGCCAGATACGAGACATACCCACCTGAAATGGAATTCACATATAGAATACGTTATACAAAAGTTAGCTACAGCAACCTACCTCATCAGAAGAATAAGAATTATCTCAACGCATGAAGTTGCTAGAACCGCCTACTTCAGCCACTTTAATTCCATACTTCAATATAATAAACATTATTATTATTATTATTATACAAGATAACTTCCTTGATGAAAATATTGAAGAAGAATTTCTTAATTAGTTGAGAAAAGCATGATGGTTGCCTTCAAAGTCAGAACTAGTCTAAAGCAATATATGCCACTGAAACCTGCAATTTTCCGTCTAAGTGACTGACTTAATTCACAATTTAAAGATTGCATTTAGTCATCTTAAGCGGAAAAAAGATTAGTGTTGATAAATTTCAAAAGTACATGTGTATGGAAGAAAAATAAACATGTGTGTGTAATAGAAATGTGATAAATCAATTATTTTTGAGGTTGTTGACCAAATCAATGATTCATAAACAGGTTGAAGTAGTTTATGAGTGATTAAATGTCTTTAAAGACATAGTTTCATTGTTAACTTTGTGCTTAGGTTCAAAATTGCAAGAATTTTTAACTGATTTAAATAAAATTTGTAATCGCAAGAAATTTTTCTTACAAAAAGATGTTTTTTTTCACACTGAATAGAAAAATAAGTGTTAGTCACCTATTAAATAGCCGTAAACTGGTAACAAACGATTAAATTTTAAGTGTGCGGGCAATTGCGAATTGACTCTGTAATCTTCAATTAAAACTGAAACCGACCTTATGAGGTCGGTTTATAAGACATAGTGTGTCATCGTTTCAAGACTTCTCCTGAAATAAAAAATAAACAAAGGCAAAATGTTGGTATTCTCGTAAATAGGTCAAAAAAATAGACACCCACTTAAGAGTTTTTTTATACTTAATTAAAATGCAACCAAATTCTAAATTATTTTTTAAATTTTGTTTTAGTAATTGAACCTGCAGGATGTCAACCGTGTACAAAATCCGAATTATCTTATTGCACCAGTTCTAGTATTATAAATGACCATTGTTGTTGTGAGAAAAGATTTGAAGGTAACTAATTGGACCTAACCTCATAAAAAGAATAAAATATCTAATTCTTGTATTCTAGAAAGCTTTCCTTTCATCCCACATACTTGTTTCGTTGGAAATAAATTATGCAAACCAATGTTTAGTTGCGACGATTATATTCGCTTAAAAAGATGTTGCTGTCATAAACTTCTTTTAGCAAAATGTAAGTAGTAAAGAAGATTTTCCTAAAGCTTAATTTTTATGCATGATTGTTTTAGGGAAAGAAATGTCGAGTTCTTCTTCAATTATCAGCTATTCTAGTTTTTACGTTTTAAACGTAATCTTATTGTACATTGTAAATAGGTATTTATATTAAAAATTTATAGTAATTATTAATAATATATTGTGTAATGTTATTTTATTTATGCCAAAGAATGAAGCTTTGTTAGTTAAATGACTTGATGTTGTATTATTTTCTTAATAAAAAAAGCTTAAGCATATTTTTATTTTTTTAGTATTTACTATTTTTCAGAATTGTTAAATCTATCTCGAAATATCCCTTTTTCTATAAATACATGTCCTAAAATTAATTAAGCATAAACCAGAGGGACCAGAAAGAACCAGAGGGACATACACTTTGTTCTGAAAGTTGATTTTATTTTACAACTTAGCAGCATTTAACAAATCCAAGATATTATTTTCTTCTAATTCTTCAAAACCAACTTCGTTTCCTAAACTTAATATGTCGTAAAAGTTCAGAGCTTCTACTAGCTGCAGGAGAGACACAATCGAGAAAAATGTTTTTCCACAATAGGTTTAATCTTGCTGATTTCAGTTCATTCCATGATTCGCCAATATTGCCCACAGCATCCTTAATATTATTTTTATTCCAAAACGGAAGAATAAACGATTTAGCCTCAGTTTCATCAATGAGTTTTCCTAAATATTGCTGTATTAAGTTTGAAATAAAATCCTAAAATAAAACTGTATTTAATATTCTAGTGAAATAAAAAAATTACCTAAACAGTTCTTTTAAACATTCCATTAAAACCCTATCCGACTATTTAAAAATCCTTAAACGATTTTAACCAGAAAAGTTCCTCTAAAACCCAACACCACTTGAATACCAAATGAATCGCCATAAAAATATATAAAAACACCTGCACGTTTTATGCCCACGTTTTTTCTTAAAATTAACTCGAAAAAAAATAAAAAACGGTTAATTCCTATGTTAATACCGAATTTACTGCCCGCAACTTTATAGGAATCCGTGTCTTCTCCTCTCGTTGAATTAATTTTTGACAAAAAATATATTCGCGTGTTACAAATCGAACAAAATTATAGACGAAGATATAAAATCGAAAAGACTAACATAAGATACGGTTTTGAATATACAGTTAAGTTGAAAGACCTCTTTACATGTACCACGCGCCAATATAAGATCAAGCGGATGAAATCAAACGGTTTTAGTCGATTCAACACGACGAACACTGTTTGTTCTTAAATATCAAAATGAAATTTCAAAAAAAGTTAATCGCAATATTTATTTGCGTTTTATGTACAAGTGTAGTGAAATTTGTTGAAACGACAAGTAATCAATATCAATTTCAATATTTAATTTAATAATTTGTGTTTTTTTTTGTAGTTTTAGCCACATTACTTGGTCAAAATCAACCCGGTTTTAGCAACTTCGATAATAATCTAAACAATTTGGGAAATTTTGCAAATTTAGGCAGAAGAAGATGTCCACTTTGTGATTCATCGGTTTACAGTTATTGCAGCGATAAATTATTTCATGATTCATGTTGTTGTCACAATCCAAATAATCCTTACGGTAATTCATTATTATTTTTATAAACAAATTTAATAATTAATTTTTTATTTTAGATCGGCTTCCATATGAATGTCAATACGCCGATTGTTCGTTCATACACGCCAATACTTGCCAAGAACATAAATTAATTACCGCATGTTGTTGTATTAATCGCGTATATTAGTTTTTTTACATAATAATTTCAAACTGGGATTAGAAATTAAAACAAGATTACATGTAAATACATTTATTAAGTTACTTACATGGTTCATCTATTTTTTTTTTTATTATATTTTTTTACCTAAAACAAATTAATTCTTAATAAACGAAAAAAAAAATAGTCTTTTTATTATTTATATCACAAAATAAATCAAATAAATCAAAAAAACGAGGTAATTGACTAGTTTTAGTGCACAAAATATTTTTAAAAGAGAATTAAAAATAAATAACAATAATAATAATACATTTTCATGTCTTTATGTATCTTAATGATATATGAAAGGAGTAATAGTTTTGAGATTGGACAAGATTTAATTTAATTAAATATTAATATTAATTTTTGTGCTTTATAAAATAATTTTAATATCTGTATATGTATACAAGGTGTTTCTGTAAGTCGTGGCATAATTTTAATCACAAATACTACAGTAAAAATGATAACAATTCGTATAAAAATTGCCAAATTTTATCTTTCTAAGATAATACTGAAAAAAATTACTTAACTTTGAAGGCCCATAGCTTAACCATTTATTAGTTTAGATCAAACCTTTGAAACCATGATGTAATTATGCCACGACTTATAGAAACACTCTTTATATACCAGGTTATTTTGGGGGAAGCGCAATTTATAAAACTATTCTTTTAATTTTTTTCTTTCTTTAAAAATTTTCATCAATAATCTTTTCATTTGAATCCAAACACAACTTTAATCTTAAAATATATTAGTTACACATATTAATAACGTGTTTGATGTCGTTGAAAGATTTCCGATCAATTGACGATGGCTATTTCGATAATAATTCAAATTTTGTAACATCCTGAATGAGTTAGTATGATTGCTGTTTACACCTACAGTTTCTATTGGTATCGTTTTCTCTTCCATGAATTAGTACTATGGGTGATTTTTTTACAAATATTAATTATTAAACTTGGTGCTACAATTTAAAGGAACTAACTAATAATTAATTGTAGTATACAATTTTTTCTGTTAATCTACAAAATCTTTACTTTTTAGTTATTTAAAATGAATCTGTTCATATTATTTTGAATCTACATTATTAATATTGTTAGGGCTCTTCAAGACAAATTAATGGAACTTTTCATCTTCACTCTATTTCATTGTTAAAGAATTGAATAAAACTTTAAATGGCTTAAAATGTATTCGGTTTTCAATTTTGATTACCCTGTTGATTTTATTTAACCAGAAATTATAAATTTAGTTCTTAAATCCAAATCCTTGTGTAAATAAATTTAAATCTTTGTTTTTTCAAAAATTAGATTTTAAATTAGTGTTTATATAAACTATCTTAATTTTTATTTATGTTAACAGTGCCAGAAGCTTTTGATAGTACAAATTCGCATTATACGCCTTACACAATCATTTTTATCATTCATAATATGACCATTTTATGATAACTTTATTATATTCACTACAAACACCACAAATTTATCAGAAAATATGAAAATTAATCTAAAAAGGTAATTCATTATCAATTTAACATTTAAAATGTCAAACATTTTTAAATTGACTTAATACCTAAAAATTACTTACAAATGTCGATAAAGTAGAGAGCAATTTTAATTTTAACCTTTCAATACACGCGGAACTAATTTCGCACTACCGCCAGCTTTTGTTGGCTAACTGTTTTAAATTACTATGTTTAAATGAATAGAAACTCTAGTTTTAGTTGTTATTCAGCGTCAGGTTATTATATACAGGGCTTCCCAAAATTCCCGGGACGGAGCTATAAGCTTTGAACGAGTGAAGAAAAAAATTTTTAAATTTGGTGATCACTGAAGAGTAATAAAAACTACATTCTTAGACAGTTTAGGGGGATGACCACCCCTACATTTTTAAATAGCAACCCCTGTCGAGTTTTACCTTATTTTAAAGGTAATAAAAAAAGAAACACAACCCCATAAACCAAAACCTTAATTCTTTTAAGAATTATGAGGTTTTCTTTGGACTGTTTTCAACAAACTTGTTTTCTAAATTTTACTTTTATTAACTCCAAAAATGGCGCAAAAACTCTTTTAATGATTCGTGGCTTTGGGGATAGAACGTGTTCAATGATTTTTTTAATCACCGACCACCGATTTCTAAATCAACTGTCGAAAGAACTGTTCGAAGATTTCAAGAAGAAGGAACTGTAAAAGATATTCCGAGAACTGGTAAACTAAAATCTGCAACAATTCCAGAAAAAAACGAAGAAGTGTGACTGTCTTTTATTGAAGAACCTTCAAGTTCCTTATTAAAAGGGTTAGGTACATGAAATTGGTAAAAGTTAAAGTATTTCTCCTGTAAGTTTCACCTAGTTCAGGAATTGAACGAAGGTGACTTCGAAAGAAGGTTGCAAGGTTGGTGATGTTGACAGAAATTTTCTTTTGAATGTTGTTTTCTCTGATAAGACTACTTTCTACTTGAATAATAAGGTTAATAGGCACAATTGTTGTTATTGAAGTGACGAAAATCCACGTTTAATAAGAGAAGATCATCAGAAAATTAATGTAGGGACTGGTATTATGGGAGAGAATGTAATTGGTCCATTTTTTATTAATGGAAATTTGGACGGAGACAGATATCTGCAACTGTTAGAAAATCAAGTAGTTCCAAGTGTTCCGTATGCCCTAGTGGTATTGACAATAAATGGCTCTAACAAAGTGGTTTAGTCGCGCAGTCCGAGACTTTTTAAGCCTCACGTTTCCAAATCGTTGGATTGGTAGAAGAATTGAAATTGAGTAACCACCAGGATCTCCTGTTCTAACACCACTCGATTTTTTCTTTTGAGGGTTTCTGAAAAGTAGAGTGTATGCAACAAAACCAGAATAAATAAATGATTTGAAAAATCGCATACTTGAAGAAACCACCAATATCACTAGAGGTAGGCCTGATGGTTCAAAATCCCATTTATGAGCGTTTGGGTCATTGCGAGACCAAAGAAGGTCGACAATTTGAACATTTGTTATAAAGATCGTAATAAACGTGCAAAAAAACATGAAAATTTATTTTCCCATTTGGTAGTCGACCCCTCATAATTCTTGAAAGAATTAAGATATCGGGTTTTGGTTTATGGGGTTGTGTTGCTTTTCTCATTACCTTTAAAATAAGGTAAAACTCGACAGAGGTTGCTATTTAAAAATGTAGGGGTAAAGAAACTCCGCATTGTATGGAAGTTCTAAACTATCTAAAAATGTAGTTTTTATGGCTCTTTAGTGATCTCGAAATTTTCCAATTTTTTTCTTCGCTTGTTCAAAACTTATAGCTCCGTCCCGGGAGTTTTGGTAAGCCCTGTATTTTAAACTAGAACTAGAGCTAACACTCTCCCTAGAAGTAGAAACATTTGGGTTTAGCCGAAACGTCTCTTAAGACGAGTAAATATTTCTAGTTCTAGATATAATGTTAGTTCTACTGACAGTGCAAGTCTAAAACTAGAACTAACACTATACCTAGTCTGAAGACGCGAACGGCTAAACCTGAATGTTATTCTAGTTTTAATTGTTATTCAGCGTCAGGTTGTTGTATACTTTTATTGCACTAACAGTAGAGCAAACACTAGATTTACCACTAGTAGCATTCGGGTTTAGCCGTTTTAAGAGTCGTTTGTCTAAACCCGAATGTTTCCAGTTCTAGATCTAGTGTTAGCTCTAGCTTTAGTTGTTATTCAGCACTAGATTGTTGCATATTTCTGTTGAACTAAAACTAGAAACCTTCGGATTTAGCGGTCTTAAAAAAACGCATGGCTAAACGCGAATCTTTCTAGTTCTAGATCTCGTGTTAGTTCTAGTTTTAGTTGTTCCAGCAAATATGTGAGCCTACAATGCAAATGGGTTAAGTTATAAAATTCGGATAATAAATTTTAATTTATTTAAGTTTTAATTAACGACATCTTTCGCCCGGAAATCGTTTCTATTGGTAATTGCGGACTTACAATCCACGTATGACTGAAGCTCGTGTACTGGAAGATTAAGTAACAATCACTCATGAAATGAAAAATAAAAATATCAGTACTTTTAGCGCTGGAAACATAAAATAACAAGTTTAAAAAAATAATTAAGCGACGAAATGCTCTTTAAATAACTTTTTAAACCTTATATTGAAGTTGTATTATCACCGTTTAAAAAAATTATTTATGTTATGCCGTACGTTCGTTTGATCTCCCAGTAGGTAAAGGTTTCGAAACGCCCAAATAAACAATACCCGGTAACGTACCTTTCAACGCCTGAACCGCTTCGTCGAGAGTAACGTTTTTAATTGACTTTCCATTTACTGAAATCAATCGATCGCCGGGTTTTAATCGACCATCTTGTTCAGCCGGACCATTCGGTACCAAACTACGAATAACGATAACGGTAGCGTTCAAATCGATCGGATCCTGATAATCTAAAATTGAAAAACCAAGTCCTCGATCGCCTTTTTTTAAATCTACCGTTTCTACTTCTTCAGACCACATAGCCAAGTTATTAACTTCTAAAGAACGCGATTTGGATTTTTGCAAATTATTGTTGCTTTCATTATCGGTTGTTATCGTCGCTGTTGTTGTACTCGACGTGTTAATACTGGTATCACTTAAAGCTTTTAATAAAACTCGTTGTTGTTGTTGTTGTTGTTCGGGTTGTTGTTTTTGATCAGGAAGTAAATTCTTTAACGATCCGCCTAAAATATTTCGGGCTTCGAAAGCTTCACGATCTTGTGATGTATTAATAACACCGCGATTATGAACATTGTTTCGAGCACAAACCAAACGAACTGTAGATGGCAGTTCTTTTAAAATTTTAACAACCTCAATATGTTTGATACCAAGCAATTTTTGACCATTTACTTCTAATAGTTCGTCGCCTGATATTAACTTTCCGTTTTGTCCAACAGGTCCTTCAGGTAAAATTGATCTGATGTAGTGATGAGGTCGCAACTCAACACCACCCTCAACATCTACAGTACCCTCCAAGCTAATTCCGAGGCCTTTTAACTTCGTTAGATGCGCGACGACAATTTCACGTTCCGGTCCAACTATGGATTCCCACTTTTTCTTTGTTACGGTTTCACAATCGGGTTGTGGTTCTGATTCGAAATCTTCTTCGACAAAAATTTCCCTCGTTTCAGGATTTGTATCGTAAATTTCGCTAGTTACTGATATGACGGATTCACCTTCCGGTTCAATAGGTACCTTAATAAATAAATTGTTAATTAAATAAAATTAAATTAAAAATATACAGGGTGAGTTATTAGTATCCCAGATAGTTACTAAACCGCTTAAAAAAGAAAAAATGTTTTATACAGGGGGTGTATCTGAACAACTGCAACAAACTTCAACGGGTGATTCTTTAGTGAATTTTAAGGGTACTTTGATATATGAACCATGGGCGACTTCGGCTCCCCTAAGAGGCTACACCCCTCCAAAAATGGCGGAAAATTTTGGTTTAATTTTTTTTCTCAAAAACCATAAACGCTAGGAAAATGAAATTTGGGGAATATGTTTAACTCGTAATAGTGCATGTTTTGACCCTATTTGTACTTTCAACCTACCCTTCTAAACTACTAAACGTAACCACCCCCTTTACATTTTTGCTAATATTTTTTTTATGCAGATGATAAATACATTAAAAAAATTTTACCTAGGTAGATGAAAGTATCCTAAAACTTTTTTGTCTCTCTAAAATTTTTCCAAAAACGACTAATTTTTGAGAAAAAAAATAATAAAGCAAACACTGCACGTTCAACAACGGGGTTGTCGATCAAAAGTTGGAATGAATTTTAATGAAAAAATCTTAGTAGGCTTTGCAATCTTTATCAGAAATATTTTTGACGTTTAAATGTCAATGTTTTTCTTACTATTATTATTGTTTTTCAAATTAATTTTTAAATAAAGTTCTATCGCATTTACTACGCTCATTCACTCGACGTTTCAAAATTTTAAATAAAACAATAATAATAGTACGAAAATAAGTATATGTATAAAGGTTGTTTGACTCACCACTTTCTATTACGTAAAATTATTTTCACTTATACAGGATGTTCCATTTAAGTGTAATGGAGAGTACAATTTTAATAAAATTAAAATAAAATGAATGCAAGAAAAAAAAATGCAACTTATTGCGAGTTTCGTATGATTTAAGCATAAATTAATTAATTTTCGTAAAAAAAACGACGTTTTATAAAATTGACATTTAATTTTGACAAATTGTTGTGAAGTTGGTTACAGTTAGTAACATTGAATTTGTGTCACATTGCCGCTTAAAAGTTGTTCAAAAATTTATTTAAAAAATGAGTTTTATAAAACCAAAGGGTTGTCATTTTTCACGGAGTAAATTTTAATAATAGCGGTGAATAATCATTATTCACGGGTAATCAACTTGACAGACTAATAATAATTATCTGAAACGTCAAAATTTCAAAAAACGTCTATTTAATTTAATTTTTTAGGGTTTTCTAAAGGTTGGACATTAAAAAAACCTAAACAAATTCCTTTTTTCGTATGGTTTAAGCATAATTAAATAATTTTCGTAAAAAAAAAAGTTTCATAAAATTTACATTTAATTTTGACAAATTGTTGTGAAGTTGGTTATAGTTGGTAACATTGAATTTGTGTCACATTGACATTAAACTTTATTCAAAAATTTATTTAAAAAATAATTTTATGGAATCATTTTCAATAGTTGTGGACAAAGTATAGTATTCTACTCACATATTCTACTCATTATATGCTCATATAATAATATACTATTATATAACCGCATATGTTACTATTTCACACCAAAATGTACCCATTGCAGGATCTTTTTAAAAACGATCTAAAAACATTTTTGCTGATTTTGCCTTGAAACTATGTAGATGATAGTATCCAAAGATATTAGATACACTATACAGCGTGTTTATAAAGCTTTGATGTACTAATATTGTGTGCTGGTTGAATTGCCCATCAAGTTCCCTTTAATTAATGATACGTACATATGTCATATCTAACTATAATAGTTTTCAGGATATTTAGAATTTAGGAAAATGTGTAATAAAATATGTCATTATTGTACTTAATATTATATTCTGTCTATTTTTATTAGTTTTTAATATCATTAATTAAAGAGAACTTGATAAACAATTCAACCAGCACAAAATATACAGGATGTTCCATCTAAAAAACTTATGAAAAAGCCATTTGAAAAACATCAACAAGCTTTATAAACACACTCTATAGTGTATTTAATATCTTTGGATACTATCATCTACCTACTGGCTTTAACTATTATCTGACATAGTTTCAAGGAAAAATTAGAAAAAGTGTCATTTTTACACTTTGGAAAAATAATAAGATATTTCAGGAACTGTGAACGCTATGAGTTAGCAACATATACGGTTGTATAAACAAATTTAATTGTATTCATAATATGATAATATATAAGGGATGTTCCATTTAAAAAAATTTACATATTCTCCGTTACGCCTAAATGGAACATCCTGTATGAGTGGCAATAATTTTAAGTAATAGAAAGTGGTCAGTCAAACAATTTTTGTATAAAAAATTTTTTTCTTTCTCTAACATCTTTAGTAATTATCTAGTATACTATCTATCTAGTATACAAATAAAGTTTACCTCTGTATCTATAGGAATCCAACTCAATGTGGTAACGGAAGGCGATGGAGGACTTAAATCTTTAGTTTCTTGACTGGCAATAGCCTCTTGTAAATGTTCATACTTTGGTCCACGTAAATATCTCTCGAAAGTCAAAACGACGCTCGCGCCTGATTGTTTCAATTTTTCCACAGCTTGATAATTAGTAAGATTGTGCAAAGAAAATCCATCCACCTCAATTATCCTATCATTCAATCGAATTTTACCACATTTAAAAGCCTCACTTCCCTCTCCAATACTTTTTACAAAAATTCCACTCAAATCTTCCCTTTCGCAAACATAACCAGCTATCGTTATCCCCAAACCAAACTCATTTTTTGTTAAATTTACCGCGAATCGTTCCGTTTCTGGTAATGCTAATTCAATATCAACTGGAGTAATAACTAATTGAGTTGTATTGCTAGTTATAGTTTCAATAACATCGTCATCTCGTTCCAAACAATTATTCAAGGCGTTATAATCTTCATTTATATTTGACTCAGTTTCAATTAATTCAGCCTCAAAGTCAATGTTTGTGCAAATTTGTTGGTAACCGTTCTGAAACAATTGACGATCCAACTCTTCTGGATCAGTTAAAACTTTTGTAGGAACCACAGGGATGATACTATCGGATAGATCGACGGCTATATCAACGGGCCGGGCAACGACCATTCTTACCTGTGACCCAGCTTGTCTTAAAACGGTCGCGACCTGCTCAGATCCAAGCCCTCGTAAATTTACATCACCAATTTGAATTATATGATCACCGCTTTGTAGTCGAGCGTCTTTATCCGCTAAACCACCAGGTAGAATAGATTTGACGACGACCCCGGTGCTCCGGCCGCCCACAATACCAAAACCGAGCCCCGACCCGTCATTTATTAAATCGATTACTTCCACTTGAGACCATTCTGTACTCAATACCATTTTTAATGATTATCTTACACATTTCTTCTTCTCCAAAATATGTTGTTGTGCAAGATTTAAACGTTTTTTGCGATGATTTTTGAAATTTGAAGATTTTGTTGACAGTTGACGTTTCTAATTGAGGTTAATATAGGTTAGGTTCTCAGTTTTTATTGAAAATTTAATCATATTTCATAATCATTACTTACGTTAAACTTAAGATTATCATTGCGGATGATCAATGTTGTTTTTAACTTCCAAATAAATTCTTTATCGCTATTACGCGGAGATGATTCAACAATCAAAAATCTATCATCCTGTGTGCGTAACTAACCCCTTTTTGATTTACGCAAACTCTGTGAAGTAAATCTTTAAAAAGTATTTAAATATTTAACAATTCCAACGAAAATTTCAGTCAACATAATCTATTAATCGGTGTACTAGAATAATCAAATTGATTTGTTTTAGTTATAGATTAAACTTTACGTCATCCCCAACAGATATTCGTTCAATCTATTCTTGGAAGAAAATATTGTTCACAAAAAAACTTATAACAAGATTAATTAAAGAAATTTTGCTTTAATTATATGATAATAAATTATGAAATTTTAAATTTGTTGCCAACAGTAAATAGATAAAAATAATAGCACACTAATAATTAATTTTAATTGATTATCCAATTTAATTTAATTTGATGATTTATCTTATATTTTGTATAAAAACATTTATTATAAACAATTTATCTTTTAAATAACTTTCTTGTTTATGTTTAATTTGAATTCTGACAGTTATATCTTGAATTATAAAGTTAGGTTATAATTATAATCAACACTATATATTAAAAAAAATTAAGTATAACTCTGGAAATTTTATATATAACAACATTTTTCTAACACAAAACAACATTAACATATAATAACATAAAATCAAGTAAAAATAACATTATGGATTTTTCTGATGAAATCAATGATGATACCGGAGACCCAACATATTTCAACACAAATCGTTACATGTTGCTGGCCATTGATTGTAATGATCAAGCCTATAAAGAAGATTTAGAAGGTAAATCTTTCTTTAAAACCATATTATCAACATGTCGAGAATTCTTGGATGACCAACTAATTAAAAAAGGGGGCTACAGAGCTGGAAACCGTTACGCAATCGTCACTGTAACTGATGATAAGGAGAAAATGATAATTTCTAATTTTAACGATAACCTACCTCAAGTATTAAAAAATTTAAAACTTCTTTGCGATAAATCTGATGATGAACTGAAAGGAAAGTTTTATAGAAATTCTCCTTTTAGATTTGGAGAGTTTTTATTGAATGTACGAGCAATGTACAAAGATTACTTCTCTTCAGATTATTTAAAACAAATAGTTTATATTTCCAATGATGATGATCCTGTTAATCGAGATGAAGATCAAGTTTCTAAAGCTGTTAATCAAGCAAAAGCTTTCGAAGATACAAATATTAGGTTTCAATTGCTAACATTTAATCAGGAATTTGATTTAAATAAATTTTTCCAAGAAGTATTATATTCCTGGGGTAACAGTACAAGTAATCAGTATGATTATGTCTATTTAACTGATACTATTAGTTTTCAAGATAAATTATTAAGCCTTTTACCATTACGTGGAACAAAAACCAAGTTTTACTTATTGCCATCAAAGAAAGGTGTTTATGCGGAAGTTGCAGAAAAATCATTCATAAGTAAATTAAAGTTTTTAAATAACACAACAGTTACAAAAGAGAATCTAAAAGAAGTTAAGAAAATCACACAAACGGAAAAATCTGGAAAATTTAAAATAAAGTATGGCAAAAAAAATGATAAAACAATAGATTTAACTGAAGAACAAAAAAAGATTATCGTCGATGATGGAATTCCAATAGGATTGCACTTAATTGGAACAACTTCTGGTTTAGTTAGCCCTGGAATGCATTCAACCATCCCAAAATTCCTCCAATTAAACAGATACCAGAAAGATACACTTTTTGAATCCATCTGGAGCTATTGCGAACAAAAATCCAGAAAGTTAATTTGTTTGAGAAAATATCGCGAAGATAGCGCACCAAAAATCTTTGAGCTATCTCCATGCGTTATAAACGGAACCAGATCATTTTTAATGTTAGGAGTCCCATTTTTAAATGATTTCAAAAATCATCCTAAATTTGATTTTACATCGAAAATAAAAACCGAAACTAATAGTTTAAAAGAAGCTTGTGAAAAGTTTGTAACTAGCGCATCGTTTGATTTTGACCCACTCCAAATTCACAGTACCGTTACATGTCGTAAGATCGCCTACATTCGGTCTGAACTTCTTCAAGAAACTTCTCAAGACATACCTGATATTCAATCGCTTCGTTTGGTTGATGGTGAGGAAATTAAAAACAGCATTGAATTGATGAAACGTTTTATACCTGAAACCTCTAATAAAAGGAAAAGAAATACAAAGAACACAGTTTCTAATAAAAAAAAATAAATAGTTTTATATGCTCTATTAATGTGTTAAAAGTTTTCAATAAAATATTCCCACATGAATTTTATTACATTTAAGTACCCTCAATATTATTCACCATTCAAAATCAAGTCATTCAGATCCTTTGGGGAGATAAACTGCGACCCAAAAATTAAGAATCTGATACAATTACCAGCATAAAAGATGCTCAACCATCTTCTCGTCCTCCGCACATAGTCGACATTCAAGATCGTCGGCTAGACCCAACAAGTTGAGATATGCTTTTAATTCACAGTGCCCAGTAAAGACACCCATTAGAACTTTAATGCTGCTACGAGCAAATCCTAAAATATTCCCGAGTTTGACAATGGCGATGTTAATAAACACCTTAGCATGTCTCATTCCACGAGAACTGGTCCACAGTAGGCGAAGTCTCTCTTCAGCCTACAGTTCAATCCTATGTTTGGTCATCGCAAATGATGCACCAACTGCTGGTTCTGACTCCACAAACAGTTTAGCGCTGCTCTCCCGTGCTAGCTCATATGCCGCTTCATTGCCAGCAACCCCAGAGTGACCTGGGACCCAGATCAGAGAAATTCTGTTATCACAACTCACTGTGTTTAATGTTCTCTTACAGTCATTAACTGTGAACATGCAAATATCTGCCTGAACCAGAGAATTTTCGTTTTCGATTCAGGACTGCCGTTCAGGCAGTACAATCTGGTATGCCGTCAGATTTGACGGGATTGATACCACAATATCAGTGTCTATAATGTTTTCCGCAGCCCATTGGTAGGACATATCGGAACAGTTTTGAGCATATTGCTTAAATCTGTAAATGGTAGTTCTAGCCACTATCTCTATATGCAAGTGCAAAGGCGATAGGCCAATCAGAACATCCATTGCTAGACTTGGCGTTGTGTTTATCGCACCAGAGATTGCCCATCCAGCTACTCCTTAAATTCGTGAAAGTTTATTGATAACTGAAGTCTGTTGGACTTTCCTATACCAGGCATAAAGCCAGTACAGTCTTTCAGGGGTAAGACCCCAATTCTTTCCACAAAGACTACGACAAGTCCACAAGGATAGTCTAGCTTTGAGCAAAACTCGCAGCAAATGTCCATTCCATGAGAGGGCTTCCAGAGTTACATGTAACACAAAGTCACGTATAGACAACATAATAACTAACACAAAGCGCGATAGAACAGCATGTTAGAACAATTAACGTACATTTGGCCAATCATTTATGACAATTATTGATTGTCTTCAAAGGCAAAGATTAATATCTAGAAAAAACGTATTAAAATTTGAAAATAAAGTAAGGGATAATGATTGGATCTCTGTCCTTCAAAGGTTGCCGTCCGATTTTAACAAATTTTACAATCGCTTGTTGGAAATTTTTGATCAATGTTTTCCAATTGTAGTAAGAAGGTGGGCAAATGTTGCTAAAGGGCCAATCAAATGGTAGTCAAAGGAATTACGCAAAATGAAACAAACCTTAGATTTAGAAGTACTGGTGGTTACTAATCAGGTTAAGAAGGATCAACCATCATTAGACATAATATATACAAACGATACAAGGAAGAATACCTAAGAAAAGTAAAAGATACCAAAAGATTTCACATTACCAGGGAAATTAATGAGTCAGATAATAAATAGAAGACAGTATGGAAAGTAATAATGTTACTCTATGATAGGTTCCAGGTGACCACCCGGTTGTGGTGGCCCCCAAAATACCACCTCTTTCACATTAGACAAGCTGAGGATCAAACTTGTCGACTTTGCAACAACGAGTTAGAAATGGCTGAACATATACTATGTAATTGCGTTGTCAAAGGCCGCCTAAGAGACAAAATTTTCGGTTAAGCTCTTTTGACACCTACCAACATAAGGGAACACTTTGGAGAAATACTANATACACCAACTGCTGGTTCTGACTCCACAAACAGTTTAGCGCTGCTCTCCCGTGCTAGCTCATATGCCGCTTCATTGCCAGCAACCCCAGAGTGACCTGGGACCCAGATCAGAGAAATTCTGTTATCACAACTCACTGTGTTTAATGTTCTCTTAGAGTCATTAACTGTGAATATGCAAATATCTGCCTAAACCAGAGAATTCAGGAGAGATTCAGGACTGCAGTTCAGGCAGTACAATCTGGTATCGAGCATTAATCACTGATAGCGATCCCGCCAAATCTGACGGCATTCATACCACAGTATCAGTGCCTATAATGTTTTCCGCACCCCATTGGTAGGACATGTCGGAACTGTTTTGAGCACATTACTTAAATCTGTAAATGGTAGTTCTAGCCACTTTCTGTATATACAAGTGCAAAGGAGATAGGCCAATCAGAACATCCATTCCTAGACTTGGCGTTGTGTTTATCGCACCAGAGATTGCCAATCCAGCTACTCGTTGAATTCGTGAAAGTTTATTGATAACTGAAGTCTGTTGGTCTTTCCTATACCAGGCATAAAGCCAGTACAGTCTTTCAGGGGTCAGACCCCAATATTTTCCACAAAGACTACGACAAGTCCACAAGGATAGTCTAGCTTTGAGCAAAACTAGCAGCAAATGTCCATTCCATGAGAGGGCTGCCAGAGTTACATGTAACACAAATTCATGTATAGACAACATAATAACTAACACAAAGGGCGATACTCAGCATGTTAGAACAATTAACGTACATTTGGCCGATCATTTAGGACAATTATTGAGCATCGATACGGAAAATATCTTCAATCAAAGTAGTCTTCAAAGGCAAAGATTAATATCTAGAAAAAACATATTAAAATTTGTCCTTGAAAGGTTGCAGTCCGATTTTAACAAATTTCACAATCGCTTGTTGGAAATTTTTGATCAATGTTTTCCAATTGTAGTAAGAAGGTGGGTAAATGTTGCTAACGGGCCAATCAAATGGTAGTCAAAGGAATTACGCCAAATGAAACACACTTTAGCTTTAGAAGTACTGGTGGTTATTAATCAGGTTAAGAAGGATCAACCATCATTAGACATATTATATACAAACGATACAAGGAAGAATACCTAAGAAAAGTAAAAGATACCAAAAGATTCCACATTACCAGGGAGATTAATGAGTCTGATAATAAACAGAAGACAGTATGGAAAGTAATGATGTTACTCTATGGTGGGTTCCAGGTTACAGAGACATTGAGGGCAATGAGAAGGCGGACAAACTGGCCCAAGACCACCTGGTTGTGGACCACAAAAAAGCCACCTAAAACAAGTAATCACCACTTGGGAGACCTGAAAGGTAGCCTTACGCTGAAAAGAACTTCCAGGTCTGATAAATCCGTCGCAAAACAAAACCAGAGGTTTTATGCCTCAGCAAAGTTTAAGGACGTTCCCAAGATTCCTCACCGGCCCCTAAAATACCACCTCTTCCACATTAGACAAGCTGAGGATCAAACTTGTCGACTTTGCAACAACGAGTTAGAAATGGCTGAACATATACTGTGTAATTGCGTTGTCAAAGGCCGCCTAAGAGACAAAATTTTCGGTTAAGCTCTTTTGACACCTACCAACATAAGGGAACACTTTGGAGGAATACTAAGGAATACTATATTACATTTGCCCAAAACTTTCGGAGGACTAAAGTTACAATAGATCTTATAGGTTGTGGTGACGCGAGGGGCCGCTCCCCTTAGTCCGGCAGCAATAATAATAATAGAAAGTAATAAAATGAGAAAGTAACCGAACGCAAATCACCTTGTTGAACGACTTCGTTACCAACATATATCAGCAATGATTCCTCAGGCGAGTTTCCTCCAAAACATATCTTACACTACACAACATTCATTATTTCTTCAACTTACAATTAAAGAAGAAGGAATGTTACGTAAGGTTAGTTCTGTTTACAAACATTAATTATAGCGTGAAGTTTTCTTTAGTAATTAGTAATGCCAATCATAGCGTGAAGTTTTCTTTTGAACTGTCAATTAAACCGTGAAGGAATGTTACGTAAGGTTAGTTCTGTTTACAAACATTAATTATAGCGTGAAGTTTTCTTTAGTAATTAGTAATGCCAATCATAGCGTGAAGTTTTCTTTTGAAATGCCAATTAAACCGTGAAGGAATGTTACGTAAGGTTAGTTCTGTTTACAAACATTAATTATAGCGTGAAGTTTTCTTTAGTAATTAGTAATGCCAATCATAGCGTGAAGTTTTCTTTTGAACTGTCAATTAAACCGTGAAGGAATGTTACCTCAGGTTAGTTCTGTTTACAAACATTAATTAATGTTTGTACATACGTTCACAGGCGGTGCTGAAGATATTCCAGACATGTTTCAGACACATTTGTAGCGAATTGTTTCAAATGAAATGTTTCTGCTACATATTTTAATGATATTTCATAAATATTTCTACTGAAATGTATTTGATACATATCTTTAGATACGTTTCTTAAAAATCGTATCTGTCACGTATATGAAACGTAGTTCTAAGATGTTTCATTTAATTCACTGTACGTTAAAATTGAAATGTTTCACAGAGGTTTCTTGTTTACTGGGAAGTAATGTGGATACTTACACAAAATATACTCTATCAAAAGCTTTAGTCAAGTCCATAAAGCACAAGACAAATATGACATTAGTTATTGATCTGCCTTTCCTAAAACCTTATTGTTCTTCAGCATTTGTTATGATATTTTCTAGCTTAATTTTTAGTATGTTTGTAGATAGCTTCATAGAAGTGTCCAACAGTGTTATGCCGCGATAGTTTTCAGGGTTAGTTTTTGCTCCTTTTAATAATAATAATCTTTCCCAGGAGTATAGTTGTTTAAAATATTTCTGCCAATTAATTCTTATTGATTAATAATGAAACTTAAAAAATTATTTTTTGCCCCGCCATCTATTTTACTAAAAATAAGTTTGAATGTTATAAAGTAAATACATAGAGGTCGCCAAACAATCAAAACACAATAGACGCAACCAATTGAACTCTGATCGTCAATCGCAAAGATTTACATAATGTTTTGGGGGCGTAGTTCCATTTTAATCTAAGCGTCAGCAACAATTATCTCTAAAAAAACACACACATCATAACGGTGGGTGTGTTTCTTATAAATCGCGAACCGTCCGTCTGTTATTGCATCAGAAGTGGTGCGCGGCTGGAATCGGCCAATAGAAAGGTTCGATTTATCGCGGTCGGAGCGGAGCGGGGTGATACTTTAATGACGTTGAAAATAATAAATACGGCAGCGATTTTAACTTGAATACTATTGTACCGTTATATGACGTTAAAATAAGGTTAACTGCAGAAATGGCACCGACAACGACGACGAGAACAGGGGAAATCGAAGCGATTTTTTTCGATTTGGACAATACGTTGATTGAAACGAGGAAAGGCGATAAACTTGCTTGTAATAAGGTAAGAATTTTCTTTTCATTTTTTAAAGTTTGCTGATTGATATCTTTGCGAATGACAGATGACAGATTCATTTGACAGTTTAGTTAAGGTTAGATCAGCTGATGTCACACAAGTTTTTTTAGGTTAGGTTTCTTCTCGGTTCGTTTTACCAAAGAAAGTTCTCTCTTCTCGTGGAGAATATACTGTATAGATGTGTGTGTGTGACTATAAATAAAGTGAGACGTTTCCGAAATTAGAAGACCTGGGGTTTGCCCACTAAATATAACCTCTTCAGTCTCAGTTGTCAAACTGAGCCGGTTGGTGCGTGTGGTGTCGGAGAAAATCAAGGTTTTTCCGAAAACGTATAAAAAAGTTAATAATAAACGCAGACAAGATGTCTGGACAAATTTCGGACGCGGTTAAAAAGTGTATCGCAATTTTGCAAAATGCGACGAATGATACTGAAAAATTTGCCGCTCTTTTTATGGTAACAAAATTGGTTAAAGGTAAAGACTGTAACGCGACAGCGAAGAAAGCCATATTCGAAGCGATAGGATTTAAATTCCTAAAACGATTATTATTAACGTCCGATGTTCCCGTTGATTGTCCACCGGCAATTTATAAATCCGTAGCTTTATCAATTCTAACCGTTTTTTGTAACGAACCAGAATTAGCGACACACCCGGAAATGCTAGCAAATATTCCCGTATTTTTGGATATAGTACAACAAGCAGATGCGAGTGATTACGACGATAACTTGATTATCGTCGGAGAAGCTTACGGTTGTTTAAAAAGTATAGCAGAACACGAACCGGGACAAAAAGCTTTATTTGATGTTGGAGCTGTTTCGAAAATGTCCGAAATTTACGCCCAGCAAAGTTTTCAAACCGACGAAGCTTTAAACATTCTTGTTATGCTGGTGACAAAGTTTGGATCGAAATCATGGGATCGAAATAATCCGAAAAGTTTTCATACCATCGTGAATAAAATCGCTTTGGATTTTGAAACAGATCACGACGAACGAAAATTCGAATTATGTACGATTTTAAATGGGTTATTATTTAATTGTCCGAGGAAAGAAATTGCGAAAACTGCGAACGATGAAATTTGGCCAATGAGCATCTATAAAGGATTAACAGATATTTTACAAAGTAAAATCGGTAAACAACAAAGAAACCCCGCTTTAATATTAGCCTCTACGATGATTGATTTGCTTGGAATTGAATTTGTTATAAACGAAGAAAAACCGGAAGATAAACCAAAACAATTCTTTTTGTTATTGATTCAATTGGCGGCGATCGAAATAAGAATGCAATTGGATGGAAAAAGTTTACAACAAGCTTTCACACAAGGTGAATTAGTAACCGGTTGTTATATTATTTTGGAGTTATCAATTAATTATATATCAACTGATCAATTAGATTTGGATCAAAAAGAAAAACAAACTTTGTATACCGGTTTAAAAGGTGCTTTTTCGGCCATCATTGGCTTATTAACAAAAGTTTCAAATGATAAAAACGCGAATAATCTTCCTATAAATGAAAAATTATTTATTTGTGGCACTGTAAGAGTTTTAGTTGCTTGGTTAGCACAAGAAACGTCGGCAATGCGACCTCAAGTTTATCAATTATTGCCGTTTATGTTACGGTTATGTAATGAAACATTTAGAGCATGTAAAGAACGTCGTTTAGCCGAAAAATCTGGAACTAATCTTGAATTAAATCCTTTATCGCAATTTGATATTCTTCGAATTACTCTACCTGCATTGTGCCATCTAGCGGTAGAAGATGAAGCGAGAAAAATATTATTTAAACTTCAACAAGAAGACGTTTTATTTGAATGTTTTCAATTTCATTGGTCGATTGTTCATTATAAAAGACCTCCGGTGCCAAGATCTGAGCGTTTAAAAGTTTTAAATCAACCCCCTCCTGAATTAACACCTGATATTCTTGAAGAAATGCAAGATTCTCGTGCGGCTATGATAAGTACTTGTAATATTTTCATGAATTTAACCGTCTTAGAACCAAAAATTGTTGAAGATTCAACGGTTTTTAATAACTTAATGAAATTTTTGTTTGAAAACTTACCGGAATTAAAAGATATCCCGGAAAATTTGGTTTTGCACGGAAATTTAGCCGTCCTCGGGTTACTCCTTCTAAAACAACAATCAAAACGAATCAAACAAAATGATTTTTCAATTTGTCGCTATATCCAGGCTACAATTCGATTCCTTTGGGATGCGTATACAATTGACGAATCAAATGATCCTTCCGCTTTAGTTGTTGCGATGTCTTACAAAGAAAAATGGATGGAATTAATGGAACTATGGTTTTTGGGGATGCAAACGATGTCCGGAGTTTTAACATTAATTCCGTGGATTAGCGATTTTGCAATTGAAAGCGGTTGGGCTGAAGGTATCGTGAATACGTTGAAGAAAGTTAAAGTCGGCGCGTTACAGCCGAACGTGAAGTCGGCTTATGAAGATTTTTTGTGTCATTTGGTTGAGGCTAATAAGAATGTTGTTGATGTTTTGAAGAAAGCGAACGCTTTAACGATGTGCAGAAATCACCGATTTATGGAGTTGGGAAAGAAATTGTTTGGGGATTAATTTTTTTTGTTTGTCTTTAAAATTATTTTTTTATCGATAAGAAAAAAAGTCGCAAAAAATAAATTGTGGGTGTTGTTATTGTCGAGTTTAAAACAATATTAAATCCGATTTTTTTATGTTCCTTTTAAATATCTAAGGGTTTTCATGTTTTTTAATAAAATTTTTTTGCTCGCTCCTCTTTTTTTATGTATAACCAATTTTTACTTGATAAAAAATACATTTATTTATTAAAAATTTGATTCTTTTTTGTTTTATTTAACCCAGACAGCGTTAGATTGTTGTATATTTTTATTGAATTTACCCAAATGTTTCTAGGTCTAGTGTTAGTTCTAGTCCTAGTGCTAGATCTAGTTTTAATTGTTATTCAGCGTTATTGTACACTATTATTGAACTAAAAGTAACCCGAATATTTCTGTTCCAGGTCTAATGTTAGTTCTAGTGACAGTGCAAGTGTAAAACTAGAATTAACACTATTCCTAGAACTAGAATCATTCCGGTTTAGCCGTCTTTAGAGACGTGCGGCTAAACCCGAATGTTTCTAGTTCTAGGTATAGTGTTAGTTCTAGTTTTACTTGTTGTTCAGTGCTAAACAATATTTTTATTGAACTAAAAGTAGAACTAATTCTAGACCAAGAACTAGGATCATTCGGTTTTAGCCGTCTTATGAGACGCATGGCTAAACCCGAATATTTCTAGTTCTAGGTCTAATGTTAGTTCTAGTGACAGTGAAAGTGTAAAACTAGAATTACACCTAAACACTACACCTAGAACTATAATCATTCGAATTTAGCCGTGCATCTTCAGAAGAACCGTTCTACATCTAGTGTTAGTTCTAGTTTTACTTGTTATTCAGTGCTAGATTGTTGTATATTTTTATTGAAGCAAAACTAGAACTAACATTAGAACTATAAACATTCCAATTTAGCCATGTTAGAGACGCGCGGCAAAACCCTTACTTTTTTTGGTTGTTCCGATACAAAGCAGACAGCTTCTTTTCGGTTTCTTTATTTCCCTATAAAATATGAATAATTATATATATAAAAAAGGAAGAGACTTATTCTTTCTCTTGAATAACGATTATGTGGAACTCCTGATCATTTGCGACTACGACTTCTTGCTTCTTCGATTCTAATCTCAAAAACATCAGATCATTCGACGGTTCAAGATCTCTTAAGACTCCGTTGGCGCAAATCAATAATTGACCTACTTCATGTACATATTGCATAGTGGTTGTAGTGTCTAACGTAGTTAATTGAGGTATACCTTCCCCATTTGTCATTATTGTACCGACGACTCCATTGAGATGTTGAACTCTATCGATCGAACTTTTGATATCTTCTTGCATATGATCTTCTATCGACATTATGTTGAAGAGAACTAAGATGAAGAATTCGAAGAAATGAAGAAATCGGTTTTTTGTTGAAATATAATGGAGGTAAGAAAGAAAAATCAATTGTGACTAGAATGTCACAGGAAATTAATAACAATGGCAGCAGTGACACTTTTGTTTTATTATTTTACAGTAATCTTTGATACTAAAATATTAAGCTTTTAGGAATTTGACATTTAAATTTATCATAAAGTAGCGTAAGTACTACTCCATCAACCTTGACTTTGTTATGCCGGAATTTTTTACTATTCATGTCCATCAAGTCTATAAAGTCTATATCTCTATTTACTATAAGTCTATCTAGTAGTATACCTCATCGATTCTGACACTATGTATACAATAGAAATTGTTGTTAAGAATTTTCTGTTTTCTTTCTGCCATAAAATGGATCTTTTGCAATATACATCAATATGATTATTTTTGCTGAGGGGTGCGGGAGGTTTAGGGCAATTCTAGGCACTTCATGAACCTTAGTATTGCTCCAAGGTGTTGTTCCTTTATGTTAGCAGGTGTTAGGCCAACCTTTCCGAAAATTTGGTATCTTAGGCGGCACTTTATCCGCCTTTTAATTGCTGTCAATATCTTTGTGACCTGAAACTCACCATAGAGTAACTTCATTGTCCCTGGCGAGTTTTCTCTGGTTGCCGGTATATTCTTTGCCCAGTGCGGATTCACACGTGTAGGCCTGAATTAGCCTTACGACGGTCCGACTGTTTGTGAAAATGTTTATCGATGCACCTTTCTACCCTTTTCAAGTTTCAAAACGGTGCAAAAGTTTATGGAAAGAACTTCAAGTATTTGAATAACATGACCTATTTTATGCGCATGTAATTTCCCTTTTTAATAAACCCTTAAAAAGTATGAAAGTTTTGCAGAAAGTTGGAAGATTAGATGATTTTTAATATTAAGAAAATTTTTTATATGTTTTTACAACAATACTTAATGTAAATTTATACATTTAACGTTGGTAAAGAAATTTTAGTTGGAAGCCGTTGTTAATGAGGACATATTTTGCATATTATGTCAGAATAATTTTAATTGCATACAAAAATGTTAGTTATAATGAAGGACAAATATAACAATAATTGGTTCGTTAAACGTATAGTTTATAAAAAAAATAATTTTAAAACTAATACATTTTGTTTTATGGCATTAATATTAATTGTGTAGGCTAGATAGTTTTCTTCTTGTGAACACCGACGAAATGATGTTTAAATATAACGTGAACGTGTTTATTTTAGGTTTAGTTTCAAAGTTGTGGGGGTATACATACAACACGACTACACATTATTGGGCAGATTGCCACGTGGAAAGTATAAATAGTGGCGATATAAACGGAAATAAAATCATCTATATCCAAAGACTTTCTTTCTTTCCATCTTTCTTTAAAAAAAATTTTTTAATAAAGCTTTTAATGCTAATTTAAATGTTAAATAATATTTTTTATAAAATTTTCGAGAATATTTCATAACGTATAACGTAATTGTTTATGTTGATCGAACTAACATACATATTGCGTTTTATGTAGTTTTTTTAGTTGGACGTAATGACAGCGTCATCGTAGTTTTACAATTAAAAACAACATAAAAAATAGATATCGTTTAACGGATTATTGATAGTTTTAAGATTTTAACGGGAGATATTTTCGTTATTGAAAATATTATCAATTTAAAAAATTTCTGATCTATACCAATAAGTTTATCGAAAATTCTTATCAAAAATCGAATATTTCCTCAAATAAAACATCTAAAGTTCACGCTTCGATCTATCTTTAGATCCAATTTCAAAAAACGTTACAAAATAATTTTATAATGTGATAAGGATTGCAGAAATAAATTTGATTTTTTTAATTCTTTTTATTAATCTTTGTAGAAGTTGCCGAATTTGCTATCTTAAAAGTAATTAGTTATTTTTAACATTCCATTTTGAATATGAATAAATAAATTGACTATGAGAAAGGAATTTATAATGTCTGTCGTTCTCTTTTTGCGTGTATATTTTGTGTAGGTTCGTGGAAAATTTAACGTTCTATTTCTGGTTTTAACGGATTTCTAGAAACTGAACGGTTGCCAACCGAGTTTCTATACTGTTTATTTGTCCATAAAAGTATTGATCGTGAACAATCTCTGAAATTTTAAACTTCTAATTAATTATAATTAAATAAAAGTGTACGAAATATAATTTCTTAATGTTCGATCTATTTTTCAAATGTTGTTGAAGTAATCTTGCGAATATACATAATACAATGTTCACCAAAAACTCAGATACACCCTGTTTTTTTTTTTAGTTCCATTACATCTACGTTTCTGAAACATGTTTTTTTACATAACAAATTCTTTATACAAAAATAAGTTGATTTTGATAAAGGTTATTGCAATCAATGTGTTTTCTTTTAACTCATTTATCTGTGGTAGTTTTGAATGTATTACCGAATTTATCAAAACCATAAGTGAAGCTGTTTTTGTTATGAGTTTGGTCATGGAAATTTTAGGATTGTATCGGATTAGGTTTACAACGTTTGATGAACTAAAAGTTATATAGGTAGCTGTACAGCAACAAATACATAATTGAGTACAAAGCCAAACATAAAAGAAAACAATCTCTTTCTACCTTACCTTACTCATTGGCGGTATAGCTCCTGTAGAACCTCGACCTCCCTCACCACTCCTCCCTGCAAAATGTGCAGCACCGCACTGCAGGTGCTGGAGGCTAAAGTATGCAGTTTCCAGCTTTGATTCTTTCCTCGATCATTAGTCCATTCTCATTATTCTCTGTTAAGAGTGATCCCAGTTATTCAAATGATGCCACCTTTAAAACTGTGGACATCCATTACATCTGACCCCCGTGTCTTGTAATCACCAGTATGTGATTAATCTGAGTTTTCGTGACTCCATCAGATCTTCATGTGGCATTGTGGATGTCCTTATGAGAGAAGTATTCACTGCAAAGTTTATAAGCCCCCATTATCGTTTGACTCCAAATGCAGACTTTCCTTTCATGTTGTTGGTCTGTAGGTGCTTCTTTTTGCTGTAAACTTTAAAAAAAACATGCAATTAACAAAAATAAATTATCCCCAAAGATAAAAAATCCAAATTATCCAAATAATTTCGTACATCTCGTGTACAGAGTGATTAATACTGTACTGACTGGGTTCAATTTCGAAAATCCATTCCAACATGTCAAATAGTACAACCAAACCTATTGACATGTCAATAGATCATTTAAGATCAATCATTTAACCATTTAACACATTGTCATTGACATTCATATGAATGTCATTTTTGACGTAATCACGTGGCAGCCAATGTGTTAAAAAGGATGTTGAGAATCTACTGGTCCCTAGATGGCGACAGTTAGTAATTATAAAAATCGTCTACTAGCATAAAATAATCGTTAATATCAGTCGTTTTTGAAGATGGAAAATGTTGGTAGTAACCTCAATTTTATTTATCAAATTATAATAGTTTTATATCAAGATAACGGTATAACATTTCAAAACATCGACATAAAAGTTTTATTTGATTTATTTAGCGATTTTAACAAAAGCTAAAACATGTAGGAGGCGAATCGTATCTAAATATAAATTGAAGACTGGAAGATAGCCAGAAATAACTACTCACTTACCACGTTTGAACAACGCCCATATACACATCTTGGCCATTTATAATCCATTTTAAATTAATTTTCATTAATTTAAAGTTATTTTTTTGGCCACACAACAACTATTTCAATTTATATTTAAGTACTCATATCAATCTTTTAGCATATACGTAGATTATAGAAAAATAGGTCAAAATGTAATAAATACAATATTTCATAAAATGTTTTGTAATAATTTAGTATTGCAAAAACAAGAATAAATAATGAGTAATCATCTTTTTCAATAACATTGTTTAACCGATTAAAAAGTCGAAAATATCGTTACGTATCGATTATGACGATAAGAAAGTACATACAAAAAAAGGAGAAATTAAAAAAAACTTTGTGTGTATGTAAATAAACATGATTTTAATGTCATTTAAAGGTCGTTTGTTGTTCTTGTTTATCTGGTCGATGGCCTTTCTTTTTTTTTCCTCTTTTGAACTTTGTTGTAACAAGATAGATTTGTTTATTTTTTTTTAATCAAGTTTTGTCTAAGTCTTCAATGTATACATCATTTTTTATTTATCAACAAGGTTTTTGATTGAAACTAATTAATTGAACAAAATATTCGTTCAACAATAATCTAATTTTTTAAATATCTAAAATCCTATAATTTAAATAATTAGCTCAATATACAATGACTTAAGCAATTTAATATCATCTTATCAGCGAACGATGTGTATTTATCTTTGTATTTTTAATTACGAACTTTGAGTTAAGATTTTTTTTAATTATAATCTCTCGAGTATTCCAAAAATTAAATGTATTGTTATTCGCCGTTAAATTTAACTTGAACACAACTTATGAATTAAATCATTAATTTAAATCATTGATAAAATCGTTCATTTTTTTCTTTGTTGTAGCTGACGGAAATTCTACGAGAAAAATATTCAATACCAAATGAAATATCAACAAAAATTTGCTCTAATTACTTAAGAGCATTTCGAAAATGTCCCGAAAACCCTTCCATGGATCTCGATGTTTGGAGAAAATTACTTTGGGCGCAAGCTTTAGGAACTGATTATAACAATTTAGCAGGTAATTGTTTTTATTTTTATTAAACCGGGATTAATTTTATTTAAGAATTATTATTCTATTCATATACTACGAGAAAGTTTGTAGGTGAAGGTAGTGATTGAAAAGTAGTGAAATCCAATCTGTTCGTACTTCAATAATCGAAAGTTTTTTGTTAGAATGAAATGTTAAGAGGACTTCCGCAAACGCCAAATCAATTGATATGTAGTTGAAAGGTTATCGCTTTTTGTAAATTTATATTTTAAGGTTTTAGATGTCTTATAAAATAATCTAAGGTTATCCACCATCCTTATATCTTTTTCAATTCTTCCCATCCATCTTATTATCACAATCTCATACCACCTCGAGCCTCCAATTGAGAATGCACAAGGGGCCCACTGGGGTCTAAGTGCGCGCATAAAAATTACGCACTCCACCACGCATACATACATAGTCACAATCTTATCTTCACTACATGCTGCCAATCCAGGCAACACCATTCTCTCCATAATAAGCTTTCTAATCTCTTCTCTAAATCCCCATTCTTTCCCTGCCAACACTGCCATTTTCCAATCATATTTGTCACTTTATCTGTAACATATCTTACGTGCTCGACGAACTCGCTTACTTAATCGCATTCACTATTCTTCACCTTCATATACCTACAAAACATCCCCATCAATTTCTCGCTGGTATACCCCAGCTTACAACATCTTGCCCACTCTTGGCATGCTTTCCAGAGTCTATACCATCTTTTCTGTATCTTCCTAACCGATACATCAGCTGTAAAAATGATCTGGTCGTCGACATAAACCTGCACCAGAACGTTCCCATCTTAACTCTATATATCGCATTTCATCACCTCGCATCTCATCTTTCTATAATCCTGAAAACATTCTATTACAGTCATCAAATACCTCGCGCACCCTGTTTGTTATAGACCTCCCAGTATGCTTGGTACCAAAATGGGGTTCAAAGCATATAGGTCTTATTTGTTCCATTAGTATTTATTTCTCATCAGTATTCACATTTTCAAGAATCCATTCACTCTTAAACTTCTCCCACGTCTTCTGCACAACGACGCCGACGTAGCTTAGTCCGTTGCAGCCCGGTGTAATAATAATCTTATCTAACTCTTTTTCTGCACCTCTTTCACCTTCCTAATTATCCTTGTTCCTCCTCACTTCATTCACGCTCCTTTTATCCTCTCCCTATGCATCATTATCCTCCCACACTGACTCTCTTTTCGCTGTTACGTTTTTTTCTCTTATACTCTCTCCTTACACTCATAAACTTATTCCTCAACTTAATTAATCTTTGAATGGCCAGTTCTTTTTTTATCAGCTGATTTTACCGGATCAGTCGTATCAGATCTATCATTTTTTCTCCAATATTCGTAAATTAGAACTTTTTAAAATTAATTTTATAATGAAATTCCCTTTGTTCTAATATCTTAATTCCGATATCTAAAGCTAGGTTGATAACTTTTGACTCACTTTATACTTATTCGTAAGTTAATGATTAAAGATAATGATAAAGATGATTTAAGATAAAATTAAAATATAAACAGTTACTTTGTTTATTTACCAAACCGTTAAACAAGTTACAATTAGACAATACTTTTTTGCACTCATTTCCCACCTCTTAAGGCGACTACTAAATGTAAAACGGTTCCTCCTTTCAATTTGTAAGTGCTGATCGGTTGGTCGTCTTTGAGTTTTTTTCCTTGATAAATCAACCGTTGTTGGTCGTGTGGTATCCCTTCGAGTTCTTCAAGCTTTTCTTTAATAGTTTGAACGCGATCGGTCGGTTCGACGTCGACCTCAAGCTCGGTGCCGGTTAGTGTTAAAATTTTTAACATCATTTTCAAAACAAAAAATTTTGAAATACTGTCCAAAATGAAAAAATAAAATTAATAATTTGTCAAACGTAAACGTTGACAATTTCTTATTTTTTGAATTTACCAGGGGATTTTTTTTTTCATTACAAACAGTCAACTTCAAAAAAAAAATATTAAAATTAATATTTATCTTTTTTTTTCTAGATGAAATTTATTTAACTTGGATTCAATTGCGTTATCGTTATCTTGCCTTATCAACGGAAACATTAAAATTGTTAGAAAATTTAAGGAAAAACAACTACCTCTTGGGATTGATAACAAACGGACCATCTTGCGCTCAATGGGAAAAAATACAACGTTTGGACTTACGATCGCTGTTCGATATTATATTAGTTTCGGGAGATTTGCCATGGGAGAAACCTAATCAACGCATTTTTTATGAAGCTTGCGATTATTTAAAAGTAAAACCAAGTAAATGTTTGATGGTTGGCGATAAAATGGAAACCGATATTTTGGGTGGTATTCAAGCGAATTTGGGTGGAACCGTTTGGATACCTTTAACGCAGGATATTATTAATGAAGAGGAAGAAAAAAATAATTTTCGATTCCGTCCCGATTACGTTATCGATAATGTTAATGAATTAATTGATTTATTACTTCCAGTTTCCGAGAATAACGATAGGAAAAGGAATTTTGTAAGAATGGATATTTTTGATGGTAATAGTAACGGAAGTGATTGTTGTAGTTGAGTTCACTTTTCAATTTATTATTTAACAAACATTTTTAGTTGATCAACTAACCAATTAATGACATGACAAAATTGTAAATCTCAGTAGAGGCTTACAAATTATTATTAATTGAGCAACTATTAGTGTTAGTTATTTTGATTAGTTTTTCTTGTTGTTAGATCTTGTTAGGTTTTTATTATTATTACTTTTTTAAGTCCTTGGTAGATTTAGAAAAAAATTGTTTCTACATGAAAAATGAAGTAAATTTTTTTTGTTGATAAGCCTAAACAAAAAGGAAAATATCTCTGTGAAAATGGAAGAAGAGACAATATGTGATAAGAAAAACTGTGCTATATCATTAGTTACAACGATGTAACTAACATGAAAAAAAGTATATTTTTAGACTTTTTGAATAATTATAAGGTACAGAAACTATTTAAGTTATTAGGACGATGCTGATTATATTATTAGGTTTGTCCCAACATGCTACAAAACTGTTCATAAACTATTCTAAAATTTAATTAATAAATTTACTTAATATGTAAACAAAAAAGAAATACAATTCATAAAGTTGTTTATCATAACAAGTAATGTTGTGCACGCGTATTTCTCAACCATTTCATTAAATCACTTTTTACCAAGCAAATTATAACATAACAGGCCACCTTATACACAAACAAATTTATTTGAATCAAACTTCTCTCAATTTTTGGTAATAATACATATCTAAGAATGATAAATAAATTTGAATTTTAATTGAAAATAATATGATAAACGTTAAATATGTTAATAACAAAGACTACAAAGTCTAAATTTCAATTCTGATTCTGGATTAATTATAGAAATGAGATGACAGACATGTCACTGTATGAGTAATTAGAAATTAGTGTCATATAATTGTCTTGATATAGATATCAAGCATAATCGCCCCACAAGATTTCTGATTACTCACCAATTCATATTTCTAGAATCTTTGAACGATTTTCTGGCATGTTAGAAAAAACCTATTAATGCACAGTACGAGCTGATTTTTTAGATGATTTTGAAAAAGAACTTTAATATAATCATGTTTTCTAAAATCATCTAAAGTTTCATTTATAAAATTGTTAGATGCTTTTTTCAAAATAACCGCACAACTTCAAATTGGGAACATACAATTTCAACTTAGACAAAAATCAAATACACAATTTATATAATATGTTAATTATATATGTTATATTCTTTAAGCCCACTTTTACTATTCTCCTGATAAACTATCTAAGGGATAGTTATCATGGTTACAGCGGTTTTAAGCGCTTGTAATACATGATAACAAAATCAAACATACATGTAATAACATGTATGTTTGCTGCTCTATACTTTGTACCACGTAGTTTTTTTACTGTTTTTTCAATAAGCAGTGGTCGTTTTCACTAATGTGTTTGATAGCGTTCTCCAATCTTCGTTACTATTTTCGTTTTGGCCTAACTTTCTATCTGTTCAAATCTCTTCTCTGTTAGTTTTCATTTAGTTAGCACTCTCGCAACTCTGCCATGCTCCATCCTGTGTAGATGCCCCAGCTATTGCAGGCACTGTACCTTTATTATAAAACAAACTATATCCTTGTCCCTCATGCTATCCAGCTCGTGGTTCATCCTGATTCTCCAGCTACCAACTTCCTCTTGTATAGGACCGAAAATCTTACGGAGTATCTTTCGCTCAAACACTCTCAACGTGGTTTCGTTTCAGCTGCGTAGGTTATATTCAAAACCCGGTCTTTCTGTTGAGGATTTTTGAGCATTTGAGACTTTTATTGGCGTAGCAGTGATCGCCACTTTTTCCGCGACTCGACCTCTGCCGTTTCAGTGTCCCTTGGTAGGTGAATCGTGTCATCCCCTCGAATCTAAAGTTGACGATAAGTATTGTTGTTCCCTTGCTCTATCTCCTGCGCTAATTGTCATGTACCTCGTTTTATTATAGTTTATTCCTGGCCCTAGTCCCATTGGCTGTTGGTTCCATTCTGCTCTGAAGAAAACTTTCGCATCCTTCAGAGCGCCTTCATTTCTGCTTATGCATATCTCCAGGTATGCAGATCAGAAGAAGGACAGACATTGGACCAGGTTTAAGAGGATAGACGAGATCCGCCTCTGTTTGTCTAAAAATATTCGGCGTGGGCATCGTTATTATTGTGCAATGCACAAATTTGCAATTTTTAATATTTCACAGCTATCTCAAATTGAAATAGTTTATTCTTATTTTGAAACTGTTTATTCCCAATTTGAAGTTGAAAAGATCTAGATTTTATTGTAATTTAGTTTAGATTTATTAAACTATTCGAGATTTTTTTGATTTTTACTGGACTTGAGCATAAATGTTTATAAATCTTTCTGAATTTAATTAAATTTTAACATATTTTGTCAAATTTTTCCAAAATATACGTAAAACTGTAGTAGATTATTATTAATTATTTTGAAACTCTACTAGATTTCGAAAAAATCTAATCTTTGGTTTATTTTAATTTTATCTCATTAATTTTTTTTAATGTAACTATATTTCAATGTCCATGAAACTTTATTGTACATTATATGTATACCAGATGTTACATGACTTTATATATTTAAGATAGTTTAGCGTATTGTTAAAGCATATTAGATTTTACTCGATGTAGATTATTAGAAAACATTTGTTACTTTTTTTGGTGTTAGGAAACATGTTTATTCTTTTGCTCATTACACATATAAAACTGTTATTTAAAAATCATCTTAATAATTAGCTCGTACGTTTGTAGTTCAGGGAGAATTTAATAAAAATAATTCCAGAGGGGCAAAATTTTGCAAGTATTAAAAATTGGATCGATAATTTAACAATTTAAAGTCGCCCTACAGATTTTAAAATAAATTTATTAATTTTTCAGTCGATTCTAATACTTAGTTTCAATTCCTATTTAATTTTTATATCAAATAGAGACTGATTTGTTAACGAATCTCTGCCAGTTTTTATTTTTCTTTATTTCAGACACAATTTAATTTTGCTCAAGACTAAACAAAAATTTAAAATTGAAACACAAAAATAAAAAAAAATTTATTGGTAGTTTTAGAAGTATCATATTTATAGGATCATAGAACGAATACTATTTACTAAGATGTTTTATTATTGTTACAAAAAATATAAATCAAAATAAAACCATTATATTTCATAATAATTGAATACGAAAATAATAAAAAAAAAATAAGAACGGAGTCATCTGATGGTTAAGAAGTGCAAAATATATCTCAAAATAATAATTATTTCGTATATCATTCTGGTGGTGATGGTTTTTCTTTTTGTAGAAAACGTGTACCTGACTTTTATTATTAAATTTATTTAAACTAGAAAAACGTAGCTGCTTTTTGTTAGTAATAATTATGTATTCCAATTAGGCCAATTTAGTTTTATTTTAAAAATATTGTAACATAAATATTGTAAATAATTATTGTTTGTACCTAAACATATATATTCTTTTTGATTTGTAAAATAAGAATAAAACAATAAATAAAAATATCAATCAAGACTGATAAGAAAAAAAAAACAACTTCTTTTATTATCAAATCGAATATTTTAGTTTAAACAAAAAGATGTAAACATAAAATTTACTTTTACAACATAGAAATTGTAGTTGAAGTTATGAAACAACGCACAATACCAATTATAATTTGCCTCTTTCGATTCATTTGAAAATGTACTTTTGTATGCAGTTGCATATATCTAAATAACTAGATAAGGGTAATGTTATTTTTTTATCCCATATTTTTGTAATTTGCAATGTATATTCCTGTGTATGTGTAAAGAAAATTAAATAAATAATTAGTGAACTCAGAATCTCTTTCAATTAAATCATTAAATTACGCATAATAAAAATTTAAAGTGCAACGCAATTAATATTAAGGAATGGGATCAGTTTAACACCATTGATCAACAAGTTTTACATGAAGATGTTTAAAGAGGAAGAGTCCGTGGAAACCCCTCTACATGGTTGACACTTTCGTGAAATAGCACCATGGAAAAGAGCGACTCCATGAATTTCTATCTAAACTCACAATACTCCATTATTAAATTTACTATGGAATCGGAAGCTGCTAAACAGTTGCCATTCCTGGATGTTTTTTCCACTAGGAAGATAGGTGGGAGCATGGATCTGGGAGTGTATCGAAAGAAGTGACATAGGTAGCTGCAGGTTTCATCCCATCAGCACCCACAACACAGGAGATCCGTGATTCAAGCTTTATTCTTATGTGACAAAGACAATTTAAAGAAAGCAGAAAGTTTCCTACAAGAAAGATGTACTGCAAAAGAACAGCTATAGGATGAGGGATATCCAAGGACCCACCAAACTATGCAAACAGAAGAAAAACTCTGTAAATACTACACCAGCTGGTTTTATCTGCTTTCCTTATGTTTTAGGTATGACAGGGCAAATTGCGAGGTGCCTGAAGAATGATATTCTGGTAGGATGCGATTTGCAAAATACAGAACACTTTTCAATTAGCTAAACACAAACTAATCCTATTAATATATATAATATACAGGTGTGTCAAATGTCTGGAATATAGCCAATAACTTCGCATTTGTGGTTTTAAAGAAAAATGTTTCAAATGTAAGTTTCTTTATTAATCGTGCCGCATTATTTGGCGATATTTGCTTGTTTAGATTGTTTTTTGTTTCGTTGCTATGACAACTAATATTGTTATTTTAAATGGGATTGATATATTTTACAAGTTTTTTATACAACTATATGATTTGATATGTTCATCGCATAGAGGGCTTTATCCTCTATCAAAATATTGAAGAAAAAAAAACATACATCCCATTTAAAATAACAATGTTGGTTGCCATAGCAACGAAATAAAAAACAATCTAAACAAGCAAACACCGCCAAAACATGTGCTACAATTAATAAAGAATTTTTTATTTGAAACCTTTTTCAAATGGCGAAGTTATTGACTATATTCAAGACATTTGACACAACTGTATATTAACATATTATGTAGAAATTAGTAGATAATTAGTTCTCTTGATAAATCAGAATGGTTAATTTAGTGTTACCTTTTAGATAAACATTATCTGATAGGTAGACTATCATCTAGATAAACTATCAATCAGTTTATCTAGTTGTTGATAAAGAAAACAAAATATTTCAGTTCATAATCAGGAATTTATTTTCAAATATTAAAAGAAAATTGTTAAAAAAACAAATCAGATAAAAAAATTCAGTATCAAAAAAAATACAGCATAAATGGAAATTCCTTTCTTTTAATACTCTTCTGCTCCTTCTCCTTCGCCTTCACCAGAATCCATTCCAACCTCTTCGTAATCCTTTTCAAGAGCGGCTAAATCTTCGCGAGCTTCGGAAAATTCACCTTCTTCCATACCTTCACCAACGTACCAATGAACGAAAGCGCGTTTAGCGTACATCAAATCGAATTTATGATCCAAACGGGCCCAAGCTTCAGCAATAGCAGTCGTGTTGGATAACATGCAGACGGCGCGTTGAACCTTAGCTAAATCTCCACCTGGGACAACTGTTGGTGGTTGATAGTTAATACCAACTTTGAAACCGGTTGGACACCAATCGACGAATTGGATGGTACGTTTAGTTTTGATGGTGGCAATCGCGGCGTTTACATCCTTAGGGACGACATCTCCACGATACAACATGCAACAAGCCATGTATTTACCATGACGAGGATCGCATTTTACCATTTGGTTGGCAGGTTC